GGTTAACCCCTTGTTGCCGTAATTTTGATCAAAATGCAAGGTTAACCCCTTGTTGACGTAATTTCGATCAAAATGCAAGGTTAACCCCTTGTTGCCGTAATTTCGATCAAAATATAAAGTTAACCCCTTGTTGACGTAATTTCAATTAAGAATGTAAGGTTAACCCCTTGTTGCCGTAATTTCGTCAAAATGCAAGGTTAACCCCTTGTTGCCGCAATTTTCATCAAAATGCAAGGTTAACCCCTTGTTGCCGCAATTTTCTTCAAAATGCAAGTTTAACCCCTTGTTGACGTAATTTTCATCAAAATGTAAGGTTAACCCCTTGTTGACGTAATTTCGATTAAAATGTAAGGTTAACCCCTTGTTGCCGTAATTTTCATCAAAATGCAAGGTTAACCCCTTGTTGACGTAATTTCATCAAAATGCAAGGTTAACCCCTTGTTGCCACAATTTCGATCAAAATCCAAGGTTAACCCCTTGTTGACGCAATTTTTATCAAAATGCAATGTTAACCCCTTGTTGACTTAATTTCGATCAAAATGTAAGGTTAACCCCTTGTTGACGTAATTTCTATCAAAATGCAAGGTGAACCCCTTTTAGACGTAATTTTCATCAAAATGCAAGGTTAACCCCTTGTTGACGTAATTTCGATCAAAATGTAAGGTTAACCCCTTGTTGACGTAATTTCAATAAAAAATGTAAGGTTAACCCCTTGTTGACGTAATTTCATCAAAATGCAAGGTTAATCCCTTGTTGACGTAATTTCATCAAAATGCAAGGTTAACCCCTTGTTGACGTAATTTCAATTAAAATGCAAGGTTAACCCCTTGTTGCCGCAATTTTCATCAAAATGCAAGGTTAACCCCTTGTTGACGTAGTTTTGATCAAAATGCAAGGTTAACCCCTTGTTGACGAAATTTTCATCAAAATGCAAGGTTAACCCCTTGTTGACGTAATTTCGATCAAAATGCAAGGTTAACCCCTTGTTGCCGTAATTTTCTTCAAAATGCAAGGTTAACCCCTTGTTGACGTAATTTCATCAAAATGCAAGGTTAACCCCTTGTTGCCACAATTTCGATCAAAATGCAAGGTTAACCCCTTGTTGACGTAATTTCGATGAAAATGTAAGGTTAACCCCTTGTTGACGTAATTTCAATAAAAAATGTAAGGTTAACCCCTTGTTGCCGTAATTTCGTCAAAATGCAAGGTTAACCCCTTGTTGCCATAATTTTCATCAAAATGCAAGGTTAACCCCTTGTTGCCGCAATTTTCTTCGAAATGCAAGTTTAACCCCTTGTTGCCGTAATTTCGTCAAAATGCAAGGTTAACCCCTTGTTGCCGCAATTTTCATCAAAATGCAAGGTTAACCCCTTGTTGCCGTAATTTTCATCAAAATGCAAGGTTAACCCCTTGTTGACGTAATTTCATCAAAATGCAAGGTTAACTCCTTGTTGCCACAATTTCGATCAAAATGCAAGGTTAAACCCTTGTTGACTTAATTTCGATCAAAATGTAAGGTTAACCCCTTGTTGACGTAATTTCTATCAAAATGCAAGGTGAACCCCTTGTTGACGTAATTTCGATCAAAATGCAAGGTTAACCCCTTGTTGACGTAATTTTCATCAAAATGCAAGGTTAACCCCTTGTTGACGTAATTTCGATCAAAATGCAAGGGTTAACCCCTTGTTGACGTAATTTTCTTCAAAATGCAAGGTTAACCCCTTGTTGACGTAATTTCGTCAAAATGCAAGGTTAACCCCTTGTTGCCACAATTTTCATCAAAATGCAAGGTTAACCCCTTGTTGCCGCAATTTTCTTCAAAATGCAAGTTTAACCCCTTGTTGACGTAATTTCGATCAAAATGTAAGGTTAACCCCTTGTTGACGTAATTTCGATTAAAATGTAAGGTTAACCCCTTGTTGCCGTAATTTCCATCAAAATGGAAGGTTAACCCCTTGTTGACGTAATTTCATCAAAATGCAAGGTTAACCCCTTGTTGCCACAATTTCGATCAAAATGCAAGGTTAACCCGTTGTTGACGCAATTTTCATCAAAATGCAATGTTAACCCCTTGTTGACGTAATTTCGATCAAAATGTAAGGTTAACCCCTTGTTGACGTAATTTCTATCAAAATGCAAGGTGAACCCCTTGACGTAATTTTCATCAAAATGTAAGGTTAACCCCTTTTAGACGTAATTTTCATCAAAATGCAAGGTTAACCCCTTGTTGACGTAATTTCGATCAAAATGTAAGGTTAACCCCTTGTTGACGTAATTTCATCAAAATGCAAGGTTAACCCCTTGTTGAAGTAATTTCATCAAAATGCAAGGTTAACCCCTTGTTGACGTAATTTCGATCAAAATGCAAGGTTAACCCCTTGTTGACGTAATTTCGATTAAAATGTAAGGTTAACCCCTTGTTGACGTAATTTTCATCAAAATGTAAGGTTAACCCCTTGTTGAAGTAATTTCATCAAAATGCAAGGTTAACCCCTTGTTGACGTAATTTCGATCAAAATGCAAGGTTAACCCCTTGTTGACGTAATTTCATCAAAATGCAAGGTTAACCCCTTGTTGACGTAATTTTCATCAAAATGTAAGGTTAACCCCTTGTTGACGTAATTTCATCAAAATGTAAGGTTAACCCCTTTTAGACGTAATTTTCATCAAAATGCAAGGTTAACCCCTTGTTGAAGTAATTTCATCAAAATGCAAGGTTAACCCCTTGTTGACGTAATTTCGATCAAAATGCAAGGTTAACCCCTTGTTGACGTAATTTTCTTCAAAATGCAAGGTTAACCCCTTGTTGACGTAATTTTCATCAAAATGCAAGGTTAACCCCTTGTTGCCGCAATTTTCTTCAAAATGTAAGGTTAACCCCTTGTTGACGTAATTTTCATCAAAATGTAAGGTTAACCCCTTGTTGACGTAATTTCAATAAAAAATGTAAGGTTAACCCCTTGTTGCCGTAATTTCGTCAAAATGCAAGGTTAACCCCTTGTTGCTGTAATTTTCATCAAAATGCAAGGTTAACCCCTAGTTGCCGCAATTTTCTTCAAAATGCAAGTTAAACCCCTTGTTGACGTAATTTCGATTAAAATGTAAGGTTAACCCCTTGTTGCCACAATTTTCATCAAAATGCAAGGTTAACCCCTTGTTGCCGTAATTTTCATCAAAATGCAAGGTTAACCCCTTGTTGACGTAATTTCATCAAAATGCAAGGTTAACCCCTTGTTGCCACAATTTTCATCAAAATGCAAGGTTAACCCCTTGTTGACGTAATTTTCATCAAAATGTAAGGTTAACCCCTTTTAGACGTAATTTTCATCAAAATGCAAGGTTAACCCCTTGTTGACGTAATTTCAATAAAAAATGTAAGGTTAACCCCTTGTTGACGTAATTTCATCAAAATGCAAGGTTTACCCCTTGTTTTTGGATCAAAATGCAAGGTTAACCCCTTGTTGCTGTAATTTTCATCAAAATGCAAGGTTAACCCCTTGTTGACACAATTTTCATCAAAATGCAAGATTAACCCCTTGTTGCTGCAATTTTCATCAAAATGCAAGGTTAACCCCCTTGTTGCCGCAATTTTCATCAAAATGCAAGGTTAACCCCTTGTTGACGTAATTTTCATCAAAATGTAAGGTTAACCCCTTGTTGATGTAATTTCGATCAAAATGCAAGGTTAACCCCTTGTTGCCGTAATTTTCATCAAAATGCAAGGTTAACCCCTTGTTGATGTAATTTCGATCAAAATGCAAGGTTAACCCCTTGTTGACGCAATTTTCATCAAAATGCAAGGTTAACCCCTTGTTGACGTAATTTCGATCAAAATGCAAGGTTAACCCCTTGTTGCCGTAATTTTAAACAAAATGCAAGGTTAACCCCTTGTTGCCGCAATTTTCATCAAAATGCAAGGTTAACCCCTTGTTGCCGCAATTTTCATCAAAATGCAAGGTTAGCCCCTTGTTGACGCAATTTTCATCAAAATGCAAGGTTAACCCCTTGTTGACGTAATTTCGATCAAAATGTAAGGTTAACCCCTTGTTGCCGCAATATTCATCAAAATGCAAGGTAAACCCCTTGTTGATGTCATTTCAATAAAAATGTAAGGTTAACCCCTTGTTGACGTAATTTTCAATCAAAATGCAAGGTTAACCCCTTGTTTCCACAATTTTCATCAAAATGCAAGGTTAACCCCATGTTGACGTAATTTTCATCAAAATGCAAGGTTAACCCCTTGTTGACGCAATTTTAATCAAAATGTAAGGTTAACCCCTTGTTGACCTAATTTCAATCAAAATGCAAGGTTAACCCCTTGTTGACGCAATTTTATCAAAATCTAAGGTTAACCCCTTGCTGACGTAAGTTTAACCAAAAAATGCGTCAACAAGGGGTTTACCTTGCATTCTGATGAACATTGCGTCAACATTGCATTTTGATGAAAATTACGTCAACATGGGGTTTACGTAATTTCAAAATACAAGGTCAACCCCTTGTTGATGTAATTCTGATGAACATTGCGTCAACAAGGGGTTAACCTTTCAAAATGCAAGGTTAACGCCTTGTTTACGTAATTTCAAAATACAAGGTCAACCCCTTGTTGATGTAATTTCAATAAATATGTAAGGTTAACCCCTTGTTGACGCAATTTTAATCAAAATGTAAGGTCAACCCCTGTTGACCTAATTTCATTCAAAATGTAAGGTTAACCCCTTGTTTTCCTAATTTCATTCAAAATGTAAGGTTAACCCCTTGTTGACGCAATTTTTATCAAAATGCAAGGTTAACCCCTTGTTGACGTAATTCAATAAAAATGCAAGGTTAACCCCTTGCTGACGCAATTTTCATCAAAATCTAAGGTTAACCCCTTGCTGACGTAAGTTTAACCAAAAATTGTGTCAACAAGGGGTTTACCTTGCATTTTGATTGAAATTAGGTCAACAAGGGGTTAACCTTGCATTTTGATGAAAATTACGTCAACAAGGGGTTAACCTTACATTTTGATTAAAATTGCGTCAACAAGGGTTTAACCACCGAGTAAGTATAAATGCAAACCAAGTGGGTAGGGAATTGGTTCTGGATAGGTTTTGTTGCTTTTGAAGATTAGAATTTGTATTAAAATCATAACTTTGTAATGCTATGAAAAGGGCAGGGCACTATATTGAAATTTGGCCTTGCACAAAGATATTTGCAATTGTTTACTAGATTTCTACTACATCTTTAGGTTATAATCTAATAAGTCAGTGTTATATTGCTTAGATTTATACACTTCAATGCTTAGATTTATACACTTCAATACTACAATAAATACTGCACAAACATTTATGAACTACAGCACAAGCACAAGCGGAAACAGAATAATGTAGTACAGTTGTGTCATCCTATATGCCAAACAGATGATCTAAGGCAATTCTGTAAAATCCAATTTTCTGCATGCGTCCGATCACATGATGGACAAACTTGTTCAGGCGGGGGTACCTTAGTTTTAGATGTAAGAGAATTATTAGTGATGTTTCCCAATAGCAGCTGAAGTGTCTGACATGTACGTCCGAATTTACAAAATTGCCCATATAACATTTTCTATGTTTCACATACAGAATATTATCTTCAAGCAAACTTGATGCACAGTGAAGATGCAACGCGCACACTGTACACAAACTTTTCAGTGGTTATCCTTAAACGCATGCATGCGGCAGGAAGAGCGTACACGTCTTGGAATAACATGTTGTGGGAGTGCAATATGACCGTGGCCTACGGGATGATATCACACTGTTGTTGCCATGGATCGACCAATTAGGAAAGCTGACACATGTTTGCTTGAAGATTACATAAATTACCGCAGCAACATTATATGTGATTATATACAACTACATCAATGCTTCAAATTATGTAAATTTGATCAGAATGTGCTTCTGCTGGCACAGCCAAAGTATATTTTGTTAGACTACTAACAAATCTATAAAATTTCATATCCTAACTGGATCAACACATTGCAAAACAAAACTAAGTAAAAACTGAATGTCAGACAAACCGTTAACAACCCATTTCCATACAAAAGCAAAATTCAGACCCATGATAAATTCATACATGTTATTTGATAGTTTTCCACTAGCGCTCAATTTTCCACTTTTTCAGAAAGCTCAGCGATAGTCAGTTCCAGAGGAGTTTTACAACAATGAGGAGATGCCATAATGGTTCGTGCACACACTAAGTGTGTTCTTAGGCAAGGTACTTTACCACAATACTCCTCATTCATGAGTATGGGAACATACTGCCGCGTTATCCTTTACATTTTGCCAATATTAGAATTAAAAACTTTTCAATCAAATGTTGCTGATATTTACTGTGTGTGGTGATAAATAGCGTACCATTTAAGCACCACACACATTTTGCATTTGAGAGTTTCACGGTGGAAAGGCGCCAGTTTTAAGATAGTGCCCAGATATCCCCATCATCCTCATTGATGTTATCCTCTTCGTCCTCCATATTCATACTCACCTCCAGGAGTTCCTCCATGTCCATCTCGGCAATCTGGTACGGGACTTGCTTCCACTTCCCGTAGCTCCGTCTGCTCCGGTTTTGAGGATTGAATATCAAGTTGACGGGGGTCAGGGCAAAGACGACGCAGCCTTTGTACTTCATCTGGATGCCCCACTCCTGGGAGCAACTGGCGTCCCCGCACAGGATCCTCTTCAGCTTCTCGAAGTCCACCTTCTTAACAGGCTTGTTGTGGGGTACCAGCTTGTACTGCTTACGGAAGGCAGGATTGAGCACCACGTGGTGGGCGTTCTCGATGCGCCGGATGTCGTCCAAGGTGCAGACGTGGCGGCTGCACTTGCGGCAGAGCATGCTGACATCCATCAGCTCCCTGTTGTGCTGAAGTCGGGCCAAGGCGCGCTCCTTAACCTGGCGCTCAAGGCGACTCTCCTTCTGAATCTTCACAATCTGTGGGATGAGTAACAATATGGACATCTTGACTCATACACATCAGGGGTGACTAGATTTGGGGAAAAATCCACGAAATATATTTGGCGGACCCCCAGAGCAACTTTTCACCTCCCCCCCCCCATCCATCACTGACCACTGTGGCATAGAGGTATTGGGTAATATTTATGTACCTTTTCCAGGAACTCATTCGGGTTCATGTCGTGCATTTTCTGGAGGCTATCGGTGGCTTTGTACATCATCTTTTCACGGATGCGGTTCCGGAACTCACGACTGGTCAGGGTCAGCTCTTCAGAAAGGACCAAGAAGTACTTGCCACCACGTGCCCTGCTTCTTCCTAGAGACCACATGAACAATTAAACAAATAATATTATCAATTTACAAGTGGCACTAGAGATGTTCTTAAAAGGGGGCGTGGGCACAGTACATTAAAAAAGAGGGCGGGCAAGGCAAAAATCAATTTCACAAAGTGTGTGTGGGTGGTGGTGTTGGTGGGGGGGGGGGGGGGGATGCCCCCTTGCCGTTTCCCCCCCCCCCCCCCCCCATCCTCTGCTGGCCCTCTTCTGTCATCTATGCCATCTACATCATGTCAAAACTTGACAATGGATAAATTTGGCTCTTCGTAATACTTAACCTTGCAATATTTCAACGAGTACATGAATGGCTCTATATACCTTGGGCCTGGACTCGTCCAATCTCATTGGAGATGTAGTTGCAGCAGATGACGACGTTACACTGTTGGATATCCAATCCCTCTTCTGCCACCGAGGTGGCCACCATCAACCTGTGCTTGCCCTCACGGAACATATCAAGGAACTCCCCTTGCTTAGTTTGTGTCATACCTGGGGTGAAAAAAACAACAAAGAAAAGTAGTATTTTATGATTTGACTACGTATGGACACCATGTGGGCTACAACAGAGGGGTTTATTTGTGAGTAATTCTTAACCCTTACCCAACTGGACCCTCCAATGCATGCCATTATGTGCCTTAAGAAAATGGCATATGTTTTTTGCACGGCCCTCCAATATCTGCCATGTCATTTCAAGGGTAACTGGACAGGCACTCCAATACATGCCACAGAGAACAATGAGAGTCCTCTGATAACAAAGTGAGTGCCCCCAGCTGGTCAGTATCAGGCACCCTCCAGGGCCTCCAACTCCTGCCAATTGGAGCCTTCACTGTTAAGACAAACTATCTGCCAATAAACTGCAGCTGGAGGGCATTGGCATAACCAACTGACATGCAGTAAACTACCCTCAGAGAGTAAGGGTTAATCTCTTTGAGTTCTAACTTCTGAGAGAACGCACTGACCTTCGGAACCGCCACTTCCGGTCAGTATGCCGGCTTGCAGGCACTGGAGGCTGGGCGTAGCCTGCAGCCACGCATGCAAGGCCTTCGATGTGGCGCGTGTCTTGCAGAAGAGAATGCCGCGGGAATCGGCTCTTCCGACTAAGGTGTCATTCAGGATCTCGGTCAGACGCTGCAAGAGTGGATTCTGAAGGTCTGGGTGCGGACTCACTGCAAATGCCTTCAAGAGTTTCAGCTTGTCTGTGCATGAATACAGGCATGGGAATGTGTCTTAACTCCAAGGTTTTTATGTCGGGATGGGGGGGGGGGGAATAAGACTTTACTGTTTTGACGTCTGAACCATCTTAAAACCGTCTTAAAAAATACTGTTGATTTTGTTTTATGACGCCATAAAAATCCCCTCCCTGGAAACGCTACTGCTAACATGGCTAGAATCAACTTAGGGTTAGAGAGTAGCAGAAACTGGAAAACTGGGAAACAATTTGACACGCAGATAAAGGTTCCAATAGGTTGTCAATAAATGAATTGTTAGGTTTGCAACAAATTCTAGTCCGGATGCGAAAGTGTATTTTCTGCCTGATGTTCTTCAGTGATCAATGTGTTGAAAATTGTAAATGGTGGCTTTATATAAGGTGAAGGGTAGGGGAACTTCTCTGTCAGGTTGACGAAAGTCAAATAGATTTTTATTTTTCATGTGACACATCAGAGTGGTGTACCCCTTTTTCTTCCAGCATTGCGAATGCTGATTCTGTTTTGAGGGGGTGGGTAGGGCGAGTGCTTGTCTTAGGTAGGCCTGGAGTGAGACCGTCGCCAGTGTGCAAACTTACCTTGGAATAAATCCACCAACTGCTGTTCATCCGGACTAAAGCCTGATGTGGTTCCAACTTGAAGGCTCTCCAGGAAGTTTTTGATGTGGTCCAGGGCGTCCTGTGTCCTTGCATCACGGTTGATGTACAGGCAGGCATTGTACTCCTGAAATGAAAAAGTTGTCAAAAACAAATCTAACAAAAAATGATTGCCGAATTTGTTCACCAAAAATGGATTTCAGATTTTAATATCTTAATTTTAACCCATTAACACTTGCATTTCGTTGTAACACACTGAATTTACTCATTAATTAATTCATGAACAAATTGACTGATAGGGCAAATTGGGGCGGTATAAAGAGCAACAGCCAGGGCCCATTCTACGGGGACTGGGCTTAATTGAGCTCTAGAGAGCAGGAAATTTCTTGGAACATTGTTTTTCAACACTTTAATGCTTCTTCGGGAATTTTAAAAGGGGACGAGCCTGTGTTCACAGGAACAGAGTGCCCATCTCTCTTTCAAAGCGATTGGGCCAGACTCAATATAATGCTGCTGCTGTGGGGGGATCGTCACACCTCCTCCACAGCGAGTCTGTTACCTTCCCAGCACTGAATAATGCCGGTACCCATTTAACACCTGGGTTGAGAGGAGTAATTGAGGTAAAGTGCCTTACTCAAGGGCACAACATGCATGGCCATGGCAGGGCTCGAACACCCAATCTCACGATCATGAATCCTGTGCTCCACCGCTAGACCACATGTGCTCTAACATTTTCAATATTTTAGTATTTTCCTATACTCTGAACAAAGCCTCAATTTGAGAAAGATATCAAACTACGCACCTTCAAGTGGTCCTTGCACGTCACAAGTTTCCTGCGGGTTTCATCATTGACGGCATTTTCGATGAAATACTTTCCCATCTGAACGAGCCAGTTCTCATAGCCCTGGGTGCCACGCTTTGGCACAGAAGCTGGCTGTTTAAGCCAATCCTTACCCTCTATAAAAAAATATAGAATCTTTCATGAAATTTCGAAAAGAAGGGAAATTTTTTGTTTTGTGCGACTAGAATATTTTGACAAATCAAGACTAGTGACCCAGTCAGTCAGCGACCCATTGGTCAATGACTCAGTCAGTCAGAGGTTGACCACTGAAACGTGCATAAACACAAAGTAAATTAAGAGGATAATATAATGAACCCTGCATTCTATTACCTTGGGTTCGTGATATCTTGGCCTCAATCTTTTCCATTATCCCAACGATCTCCTTCACAAAACTATTATTCTTGCGCCCTGGCACCTCAAAGATATCTGAAAAATAGATTGGTAACAATTTGACAGTTTATAATATAATAATATAAATCCAGTTGAAGGGGGGGGGGGGCGGGGTGGGGGGTGGGGCCAATTGGGGGGTAAGGAAATATTTTGAGTTTGCGGGATTTGTGAAGCCATACCTTCCTCTGGTTTGTCCCTAATCTGTCGGAGCTCTTCCTTGTTTTGCTGATCCTGAACCGTGCAGATCTTTTCAACATCCAAGTTGGCGCACATCTTCATGATGTGGAACTCTGCCTCATAGAGGGTGCTCGCCTTGCCTACCCCCATGGAGGCAGTTAGCCCAAGAACCTGGCATGAAATAGGATTGAGGAATGTTCGGAAAAAAATTTCATTTGGCTGTGCATTTTTGGGAATAGTTCGGGTACTCCGGAAATTGTGGAGGCTCAGTATCAGCATATCAGGAGTATCAGGAGAGGCCTGGTGGGTTTGTAATCTGAGAATAACAAATGGCAACGACCACTCTAAAATACCAACATCCATTGAAAGTTTTCCTTTAGATTCATGAACAAGATGCTTCTCTCCCAACCAAGAAAACCACTGATCAAATTCACGAGTTGGATAATAAGCTCAAATGCAGCTGATGGTGGATCAAATTTACAGACACGCACCTCCACAAATATGATAATTTCAGCATGCAAATGTTAATTTGAATTGAAAAACTACTGGTACAATGTTTTCTGAAAAGAGATGCAAATTCTCACCTGCGGTCTGGGCGTTTCAGGCGAAGACAGCTTTACACCACAATACTGTGTCATGATTTTGTTGTACGGATCATCTTTCTGTTAAAGGGAAGATACAACATTTGCAAACATCACAAAACGAAATGATCAAATTATCACGAAATACCTCACTGGATTGTTATGGAATATGACAGTCTAAAACATTCTGTAAAATCATGGCTCCTGGTGTGCTGTCATTTTCAAGAAAAATGGGATTTTTCCAATGCTGGTCAGCCAACTAGCGTTGGAGAAAACTGGCTTTTTTCAAAAAGTGCTCCTAATTTTTCATAATTAGTTATTCCGCGTTTTCTTTGCAATTGATTACACACCTGTAAAGGGGTTCAAGCCTGCTAGACAGATTTTCTGACCTTACAGTTCTGCAAAGTTTATAAATTGCTCTGTTTCATCTACAAGAACATGATTGGTTTTCTTGGTTTTTCCAGCATCTACAAGCCCAAATCGTGAAACAAGTCATTTTAACAATATTTGCTATAACATACTAATCCTCCAAATCCATTTATTTCTGAAAATTGCAGCAAAAGCAAATGTTGTACATTCCCTTTAATAAAGAAGAAAATTAGCTTGAATGATCATTGCTTTGTTGACCCAACCGTCTTCTTCTGGTAACTTCAAATATTCAAACAAAAATCTGCATATTTACATATTCAAACCAAAATTTGCATATTTCAATATTAGATTATGCAAATGGTATATCTCGGTATGCAAATTACCTGGCAGTGGTGACACTCGTCAAACACAAGCAGGCCAATCTTGGAGAGCTCCAAGCGATCGTTATCGTCCTTGACTCCCTGCAGAGCATTGACCAAGATCTGAGCCGTCATGACTAGGACGTCGTGCTCATCCAGCAGATCAACCAGCGAGCCAGCGTCACTCATCTCACCGCTCAGACCCATGATGCTGCTCTCGCTCATGTAGCTCTGAAAGACGTTGCACTGTTGGTCGACCAGGGGGATCTATAAACATTATCAGTGGCGTTGTTACATATGATGATATTATTCTTGATTGTTTGTGGTGCCCACTGTCGAATCAGATTCAAACCAAACGAACAGACTCCTGCAAGCTCAGTGGAAGTGTGGTAAAACGTTGGCTCTAGTAAGTAGGAGATTTTGATGTTCTTTCAAACATCCGCTTCCAAAAAGACTAAATGTACCGGTCGGCCAGATATTAAGTAACTACGTTATTTGGGCCACTTTCATAGTATCGGGACACGAATCAGAATAGATGGCAGCCAGTCAGTAGGGGTAGACCACTGAGAATTACTATTGCTAATGTGTCAAGCATGGTGTTGCCTTCAGAAATATTGCATACATATTTTGTGGAAGTTGCTTGTTGCGAGGCAGAAAGCAAGTTAATTACATATAGGGCTGAGGAACGGAGACAAACACAAGGGTCGCTTGCCCTGTACCCCTAAAGCACACCTGAGCAGTGCGGTAGATGGATGATTATCTGAAGGCATAAGGGAATCGTAACAGATCATGTTCAAGTAGAATGATTTGGTCCATCATGGGTTGTTCAGCAAAGACGGGTGGGTTGGTATGAACAATCATAACCGTAGCAACTCACCTTATTGACAAGGAAAACCACCTTGTTGGGCCCATCTCTTATCACCTGGGCAGGATAACCGCTGCGGGGCCCCACACCACTCTCCCTGTCCAGAAAGGCTTTCACCAACCGAGCGGCTACCACAGTCTTACCGGTGCCAGTGGGGGCCACGACCAGAGAGTTCGTGCCTCGCAGAGACGCTGCAACCAGCTCCTCTTGGTAACCTCTCAGTCTGAGCTGTTTTGGCTCATCGTCTGAAGAGTCACCCTCTGGTGTATCACGATCAGAGCTGCGGCTGAGCTCCCCCGGTTTCAGGGCACAGGCACCGGATGCCGACGGCTCACATCCGCTAGTATTCTCTGCAGGGGTGCCACTCTCAAAAATGTTCATCGGCTCATCCGTGACAACGCCGGTGTATGTGCTTGAGGCACCACAGCAGCAGTCATCCATTTCAACATCTTGAGAGAGATTATTGGTACCACATGTGTCTAGAAAACAAAGATATATTCATCAACAAAATATAAGATCGTTGAGTATCACACAAAGTTTTCTTACATTGACCATTTAAAAACCATGCATCTGCAATGAGCAAAAAACCGTCAAATTTAAAACCAAATTTTCAAACCAAAAACTCAACATCACTTCCTTTTGAGGTTTAGAACATGAGCATCAATGCATTAAAGCAAAGCTTTTACTCCCTTTTTCAGTGTGTCAGGATAGATAATTAAAAAAATTCATTAAAACAAATAAAATTCAATATTCAGACAAAAAAGGAAGCCCAAGTTCATGATAAATGTCAGTGCGTATATGACGCAAATTTTTATAATTGGCCCTCCTCATTATGTTTAAAAAAAGGAGTATAGTATACGAAGCATATACGATTAAAGTCACTGATATTGTTGGAAATATACAGACCACAATGGGCCCACTGTATGCAAATAAGTCAGGCAGAAAAACTAGTGGCTAACAAGACTCTGCTAGCAAATAAGCTGTAGTAAAGTGGACTTTTTGTTTGACAAAATGAACCCTATCAGTGAAATTTTCTCAGCAACTTTTTTGGAACTGCAAGTTAGGCCTGTCTCAAATATACCATATAGTCCAATACTCGAGCATCAACGGAATAATCGAATAGCTTTTTGCTGCTTTGAATATTTGAAAACATGGAAAAACTTATGCACATACACACATGACCAGGATGTTATTTTATCCTAAAGTTGTGGCTCTTTATTGTCAGGTGCAACTTTTTTGTCAACGGTAACTTTTCTGTTTACCGCGGTTCAATTTGTTCACAGGTTATAGCTCTTTCACAGTTGTAAAAAAAGTACTTACTGCAAACTCTCTAGCGCCCTGTATCGATTGCCGCATGCAAATTGTAAAATGGCACAACTTTTTACCGATGCAGCAAGCAATTGCAGCTGGCAGTTTCGAATATCCACATATTCGGTCAAAGGCAGTTTTGAGTAACCGAATACCAAATTATTAAAAATGGACAGCCCTACTACACGTGCAACGTAATATCAAGATCTGATCAAAAGAAAATCACAAGTCCCTTCAGAAGTCTATAGTAATGAGTAGCAGGTGATGAAAAACAACAAAGGATGTCTTGGTCAATAGCTTGTGACTGGAGACCGGAGGATCTTGTGATGGACTTGTGAAAAGAGGTCACGATAGGCTTGATAGCTCCTTACCTGCACATGTAGGGGCGCACACAAGCTCAGACAGTTCCTCAGCGAGACTTCCGTGTCCCGTCTCTCTCAGACCCTCCATCAATTGGCCAACGACTTCTCTGCCTTTCTTACAAAGTATCCCAACCAGAAAAACAGCACCCCTAGTGTCTCCGTGGTTAATTGTCGTCTGACTGACGCTTTCTTTTTCCTCTGTGTTTAGGCAGTGGAGGTAGGGCAGCATGCTTGCGGGATCAATTTGGTTGAGTTTTACGTGGAAGGCCTGCATCAGGTGCCTTAGTAAATCTAGTCTCTCCCCCTCCACATCTGCGCTGTCCTCAATCGCATCAGCAATGAAGGCACTCCCTTATTGGATAAAAATATGAGAGAAATGTTGTTACCCTATATTGTTGATGTACTCTAACGTGGCGCAACCCCTAACGTGGCGCACTTTGATTTTTTGCCTGTAGTGCCTAGCTACAGCAACTTTTTTATTGAAATTTCACAGAAAGTTCTAAACACTCCCGTTCATAAATCGCAGGTTTATCTAACCGTTACAAAGTTAGAAGAAATATTTATTTCGGTGTGATTTTCCGATTTTATTTCAAAGTGCACAGTGAACCCTTTGAAAATGTCTTCCAAAAATAGAAAATAATTTGCTGACAAACTTCTAGTTGGGAATATAAGTAGAGATAATAATTGTTTATCAGAATTGATCAATTTTACCCAAATTCTTAAATGTTTGGAATTTTCCGAGATTTATTCAAGTGCGCCACGTTGGGGAACACTCAGCCGATTTGTGCCCAATTTCTAGATGCCACCGTTATTGAATTTCGGATTAAATTTCATGACATCAAAATTTTCACAGAGGTTAAATAGCAAGCATTAACAAGGTAAAAGTACCAGTATTTCACTGATCGAATTTGAAGTTTGTCAGCAAAAAAGTTTGGCAACACTACACGAGGAAGTCGGGGTAAACGTCGAAGTGCACCACGTTAGGGATTAGGGAACACCATACACGAGTATGTCAAGAAGTACCATACGGAGTTTAGAGGAAAACTGTGCAGCAGTTTTCTGGCAATAGACTACATTTTGATGAACATTTTTGTACTTAGTAGTCGTTTTGTAGTAGTCAACAAATTCGTTGGTGATTTGTCTATGGGGCTCAACTACGCGGAGCACCATAGTAATATATACAGTAAGAATTGATAATATTCGGATTGCTCAATATGATATCAGCTCACCTTTACTTCTCAGGCATTCAATAAAAGCAGTGTACGTTCCTTTCCTGTTCAGTCTGGCCAGGCGGTCCAGGAGCACATTGACAGGAGATGCCTCCCGAAGAAGTTGCTCTGTATGCCCCATAGTTTCTATAAAGGAGAGAGCATTCAATATTTGTTTAATCTAGACACATTTATTCCTTGTAGATTTCATTGTTGACTGGCACTCAGCCTACTTTGCAGAGCCAGAGGAATAACTGCTTGACTGAACACAATTAGCAAAACACCCATGCCTGCAATCGGGGACCCCCTATTGTCCCTCTTTTGTTTGTACTCCTCTCGGGAATTGACCTATCGCCGTTTGCGAGTAAGCCACGCCCCTTAGACACCCCTATGGAGTTTTTGTACACTAACTTTTGTTTGTCTCAGATTTTGTGCATTCCGCATCCATTATTTGTATATCAATTATCATGTAATTTGACAATATTTCACAAGCTGCGTTGACGCGATTCTACCGTGATAGGTCAATGGACCGATCCAGTAAGCACCGCCCCATGGTGTTCTGACCAATCACAACCGTGATTTATGTCCGACATGCGTGCACTAAAGTCCGACATGCGTGCACGCGCGTATGATGTGCGCGGAAGGAAAATGCAGCGTGGCATTGGAGAGGAGCACGTGTTAATTTGCCCACGTGCGCACTGGGCGGAGCTTACTGGATCAGTCAATTGGGGACTGATTGTCCTCTACTGGTGACAACGGCCCCTATTGACCTACGCGGTAGAATCGCATTAGAATCGCGTAAACGCAGCTTGTGAAATATTGTCCAATTGCATGATATACAAATGGACGCGAAACGCGCAAAATCTGAGACAAACAAAATTTAGTGTACAAAATTCCATAGGGTTGTCTAAGGGGCGTGGTTAACTCGCAAACGGCGATGCCGATGGAATCAAACTCACACACAAATTAGCTGCTGAAGTGAAGGAAAACATACACAGTAACTGGCGAATCTCCCCATGTTATGAGCCTAGTTCGATGGAAAGTACAAGCTAGTAGTAACTATCTTAGTCTTACCGCGATTAAGGCCATTCTTGCTGTACAGCAGAGACAAAAACTCGGACGTCAAATTGAGATTTTCCACCACATAGGGTCGGAAAACATCTGTGATTATCTTCAACTTTGGGTCTCCGTCCTCGTCCGCAAAACAGTCTGCCATGGTTTACAACTTGCGATGTATCTTCGCTTTTTCTCCGTCGACAAATTTGCAGATCAATTTCAACGAAAGACTTAAAAATCTAAGCAAGAGAAAACAGTATCCCAGTATCCCCACTCTTCATCTGACTTGTGTCAAGTCCGAGTCTGAAATGTGATGATTCATTCTCCCCTGTTTTTATGAACGTCCGGGGATTCCCCCAGTGAGAAATCGCGCAGCTGTCAGCCAATCACGAAATGCCTGGTACATTCTTGCCAATTAGTACCGACGGCTGTTTTACGCTTAACTTTGCACCAAAAATTTCTTTTTATATTTCTTCCTTTTCCCCCCTCTTTTTTGTTGCTTTTCCCTGGGGTGGGGGAGCACCCCGCCCCCTCGCGACGCCCAGTTGAGTCGTGCTTTGACATGAAATAGTATCCATTTCTGCACGAGATTTTGTTTTAAAGTGGAAAGTCCCAGTATTTAAAAAAAAGCATTACAATTAACACGCAATAGGTGGCCATCCCCTACGCTTACGAAATTTTCGCGTAAATTCCCCATTGTTGAAAATACTCAGTGGATAAAATACTGAGAACAAATGATTATATTGATAACATTCACAAAATGATGGGTTATATTTAGGTGTAATAAAGGGTTAAGGATATTGTGGTAATAAATATCAAGGTATATTCACATCAATAATAATTTGTGGGGGTTACAGTGGTGGGGGTCTTATCGTCTTGGTGATTTTTGTTTATAATATCAATTATCATGCATGTGCTGTTTTTCCAACTCACGAGGTACAAGGTAGGCATGCTTTTCGTTGTGTGTCAATGTGGACTATGAGGTCTATTTCCACACCCATCAAAATCACTGTTGTGATTATTCCAAGTTCCAACAAGACAGGCCTCACCCCCAAAATGGGCAGCAATCTACAAGTTGTCTTAGTTTTCAGAACCTTAGAGGTACTTTTTTGGGGGGGGGGGGGGGGGGCAATATGTAACCTTTTCGAGCTTTGGCCATTTGACGCCATTGCACTTAAGCAACTCAAAAAAGTTTTAGATTAGTTTACAAAAAATCTGCTGTTCAACAGGTTCGTTCAAAGTTCAACACGGCCAGCCGAAAGTGGGTGAGTAAAGGCTTTACAGTGTTTCGTTGACCCAAGAAATGAATGTTCTTCTTATATCCCTGGGGGAAAATGGGCAACCACCCACCCCTTTACAACCAGACATTATTTCCCCAGTTTCCTGCCTTTAAGAAATCTAAACTAAAACGACCAGGTTTATGTAGAAAAATAAAATTAAGACTATAACATTAACACATTTTTTATGCAGTGAAGGCCCAACATTTAACTTAGTCTATTGCAGTTATCAATTATAAACTTTTATACAACACCTGAATAAATCCCCGTCATCTGATTGGTGGATCGTTGATCACATGTCATTGAATTATTCGTACCAACGCACGGCGCGCACAGTGCAATGGAAGTACTATTGCACTGTGATTAGAAGTACCATTGCACTGTCACTGCACATGTTGCCGAAGGTGGCGCTGTGGTGTTTAAATTGGCAATAAAAGTTCTGAACTTATTGAACTGTTTAAGTTCTAAATTTATAGAAAAGTTTTAAATTGAGATAAATTGAATATGATAATTCTGAACCTGTTGAACAGTTTGCATAACTTAAATATGATAACTCTGAACTTGTCAAACTTGTAAACAATTTTTAACTTGAATAAATTGGCTATTAAAAGTCATCCAATCAGATGACGAGGATTTATTCAGTTGTTATATAAAACAAATAATGAATGTTTCATGTTCGTGCAATAGAAAGAATAATTTCATTCGGTGACAGATGAAATGTTCCATTCCACGCGAGGCGAACATTTCATCCGTCACCTCATGAAATTATTCTTACCATTGCACTCACAAACATTTGTATAATTTAATTTAGTTACCTAGAAAAGTGGGCCTATATAATTCTTATAAACTCAACTGAACTGGCTTGAGATTCAAGTTTTAATGATACTTAGACTTACCTTCTTTACACAACACATGTAGTAAGACCAGACTGGGACCTCAAGTGCAGAATTAAAATTTTCTTGACATATATATGATATTTTTTTATTTTCAGCTCTCTGAAATGATAGTCTAATCTTGCTTCAAAAGGTATTGAGAGTTCTCTGCAGAAAAAAGCCAATTTTCCAAATAGTCCTGTTTCTTTAATGAAAGTTTACCTGAAACTTACACTAATACATATTCTAAGATAACTCTATTTCGTAAACAATGACTTTGTGTACATTAAAATATGTAGAAATATAGATTTTGTAATTATTCTAATACACTGCATCACCCATTTTCAAGCATTCCATTTTCATTTTAACATTATTTGCTGTCACAATTTCCAACAAAAAGGCATACACTTCATGCATGTTAAGCATAAATAACCACTGATTAAATATAAAATGCAAAAGGTAAATGGCTAGAGAGTTATGGTTAAGTACTATTTTCGTTGCTTTTGGATAATAAAATTTGTATTAAAATCGTAGCTTCATAATGCTATGAATACTGAATAGGAGAGGCACTCTATTGCCATTTTGCCTGGCACACTATATTTGCAATTTTTGGTACAAGTTTTCAAATACATCTTTACATAGGTTATAAGTCAGTGTTACACTGCTTAGATTTATACACATGAATAGTACAATAAATACTGCACAAAAATGTATAAAGTACATTTTCGTTTAAAGTGATGTACATTAATGATGTACGTCCGAATTTACGGAAATGCCCACTACATTTCCACTTTCCACATACACAAACTTTTCAGCGGTTATCCTATAATGCATGCGGCAAGAATAGCGGTCACATCTTGGAATATCCGATATATGCGGAGTGCAATATGGACTGTAGCATATAATAATTCACACTCTTGTTGCCATGGATCAACCAATCAGGATAGCTGACTCATATTTGCTTGAAGATAGTATTGGATAGAAAACAATGACAACATTATGATATATGTTGTTATACACAGTTATATCAATGCATCAAATGATGTAAAATTTGATTAGAATGTATTACTGCACAGGCACAGCACGCAGTTTTTTTTTATACTGCAAACGAATCTGCAAAAAATCATACTAGTGGATCAACACATTGCAAAGCAAAAGAAATAAAAACCGAATATACGACAAAAATCAAACAACCAATTTCTAAACAAAAGCAGAACACACCCAAATAATATATTCAAACATATTTTTAAAAAAATCTTCTAGCTTTAATTTTCCTATTTTTTAAATCCGCATTTCTTTTCAAAAAGTTTGCAATAATCGGTTGGTAGTCCACTAGTGGTTCAGGCAGGAGTCAAACTACAGTTCATCACAAGACCATACTAATTGTGTTTTAAGACAAGGTACTTTACCACCACCACGACTCGTTTATTTATATTTGAACACACTGTGCCATGTCTCCTTTACAATTTAACAATGTTAGAAAAAATAACTTTTTGTTCAAAGGGAAAGTGCATGAGCTGTGACAGCAATTGGTGTGTTTATTGTTTTTATTTTTATTGGGTTTTTTTTTTGGGGGGGGGGGGTGGTGGGGGGGGTGGGGGAGGACGGGGTGATTGGGCACAACCCAATCACCAGTTTAGAATTGTTCAAATTATCGGTGATTGGGCACAATCTAATCATTGTTTTTAAAATGCTATAGTTGTTTTCTTCTGGACTTTTAATTATCCACGACTCTTCCTCTTCATTGTGGTATAAACTTGAAACTTAGAACAAACATCAAGCACTACCATTTTTTTGGAGATTTAGGGTGGCAAGAGCATAGCTTTAAAGAGGTGCCCAGATATCCCCATCATCCTCATTGATGTTATCCTCTTCGACCTCCATGGTGAAACTCACTTCCCGGAGTTCCTCCATGTCCATCTTGGCAATCTTGTAAGGAACTAATTTCCATTCCTTAAAGCCCCGCTTATTCTTGTGTAGAGGCTGGAATATGAAGTTGGTTGGGGACAGCGCAAAAACGACGCAGTCATTGAACTTCATCTGGGAGCCCCACTTCTGGGGGCAAGTGGGCTTGCCGCACATGATCCTTTTCAGCTTCTCAATATCAGACAACTGGCAGGGCTTGTTGTGGGGCACCAGCCTGCACTGCTTAAGGAAGGCGGCATTCAGCACCACGTGGTGGTTCTTCTTGATGCAACGGAGGTCGTCCAGCGTGCAGGCGTGGCGCCTGCACTTACGGCAGATCAGACTGACATCCATCAGCTCCTTGTTGTGCTGAAGTCGGGCCAAGGCGCGCTCCCTGGCCTGGCGTTCATTGCGATTCATTTCCTGAATCTCAACAATCTGAGGGATGAATGACAGTAATGTGAACAACTCGACTCACATACACCAGGGGTGAGATTTGAAGAAAAAATCCACGAAAAAAATATTCAGCGGAGACCCAGACAAGACTGTCTTTACAGTCAATTTCCCTAAAAAAAGGTACTCCTAAAAACTGCTCATAAAAGGCCCTAAAAGAAAAAATACAATGATGAAAACTTTAGAATTATAACATATAGCACATGCTAATAAGTTTCAAGTTTGAAACAGGACTGACTAATTTACTATTTGCAGTTGTTCTGAATGACCTAAGAGTCCAATAAATGGAAAATTAATTATCCGGTTAGCATTGGTTAGCACTACATTGTGTTAATTCACTGAAATATCAATAAAACCACAGAGTGCTCAGGCAGTTTCTGGCGCTACAGTGAGTAATAATCAGGGCAATTTTGGGCGCTTCAGTGACTAAAGGGTTGAGTCCACTGTCTGCAACCAACAGCTATTTGGATGAACAAGAACTGCTTTTACAACATTTGTTTCAAAACTACTCAAGAACACTAGTCTTAAATATATAACTTCCTCATGGAAACACTGGTGTCCATAGCACATGCAGAGGAAGTATTGGGTAATATGTACCTTTTCCAGGAACGCCTTGGGGTTCATATCAAACTTTTCCTGGAGGCTATCGGTGGCTTTGTACATCATCTTTTCACGAATGCGGTTCTGGATCTCACGACTGGTCAGTGTCAGCTCTTCGGAGACGACCAAGAAGTACTTGCCGCCACGTGCCCTACTTCTTCCTAGAGACACCAGAAACAATCTAATAATGTTATCCATCTATGAATGGCAGTGAACATTACAGAAAGTTGGAGGGGGTTGGCACAGCAGATATATATGCCCCTGTAGCAGATATTTAAAAATGAGGCAGGCAAAGGAAAAATCTATTTAAACAAGTGTGTGGGAGAGGGGGAGGGGGAGTTCCCCCTTGCTGCCCCCCCCCCCCTTCTGTTGCCTATGCTTTCTTTATGTCAAAAGGTGCCAGCATGCATGTGAGTTTTGATCTTCACTTTTTAACGAGTAAATGAACGGCTTTATATACCTTGGGCCTGGACTCGTCCAATCTCATTGGAGATGTAGTTGCAGCAGATGACGACGTTACACTGTTGGATATCCAATCCCTCTTCTGCCACTGAGGTGGCCACCATCAATCTGTGCTTGCCCTCACGGAACTTATCAAGGAACTCCCCTTGCTTATTTGTCGTCATACCTGAGGATACATGTAAGGGTAAAGAAAAATGTAGTGTTGTAGTTGAGGTATTTGTGGTGGATCACAAGTCTTCAAAAGTCCAACACAAGTATGATTATCTGTGCCATGTACGGTGGTCATGATCGTTCCAACCCAGCACTGGGTGTTGGTTATGCGTATGTTGGTTTTGCCAAGCCTTAATTGCCTACTACCTACTGTGCACAGTGCTTTACAATCTTTGCCTATACTTTACAATGACGCCCCTGACTGTCCGGTAACCAGATATAGGTGCATGGGATCATGTGGGTCAGTGACAGTGCGCTAACAAGAGAGGGCGCTTTTTAGTGCTCCGTGAACGGGATACTCCGCGTACGTACGACTTCCTGAATGTGCAAAAGCTATTAGCCACTGTGTCTTCGTGTGTCTGTCAAGCTAATTCTTGCCCCAATAACTTGGTGGATCATTCAAGTACGCAGTACGTGGATGGACCAGGAACCAATCTACATGTAAGTCTCCCAACTCTCCTTTTCTGGCCGTTCAAGGGCTACTTCTGCGAAGAGCCCATATGTGAGCAAGGGGGCATTCAGCAAGAGGATTTAATTCTTAATTTGTTCTTTGATTTCTAAATTCTCAGAAAATGCACTGACCTTCGGTACCACCACTTCCGATCAGTATGCCAGCTTGAAGGCACTGGAGGCTGGGCGTTGCCTGCAGCCACGCATGCAAGGCCTTTGTGGTGGCGCGTGTCTTGCAGAAGAGAATGCCGCGGGAATCGGCTCTCCCAAGAAGGGTCTCCGTCAGGATCTTGGTCAGACGATCCAAGAGAGGATTCTGAAGGTCTCGGAGTGAACTCTCTGCAAGTGCCTTCAAACATTTCTGCTTGGCTGTGTGATGAACGAGCATGGAAATGTGTCTTAACTCTACAAACCCATGACTGATTACTTTCATGCTCCAAAAATGGCTGAATGCCACTCAGGGTAAGAGACTAAAAAAAAAGGAACAGGAAAACAGGGAAAGAATTTGACAGACATAAAAAGGTTCCAAAGAGGTTGTCAATAAATTAATCTATAGGTTTGCAAAATATTTGGCATGGAAATAAAGCCCAGGTTAGACAACGTCTTCATTGCATAATTACGACTGATGCCCAGGGTATGAACTTGCTGCCATAGTGAGAGAATTACAACAATTTTTTTTCTTCATACTTTGATCTGATGGAGGAAGCTGTAATTTCGTTTACAAATTCCTTGTGTCCAGAATTACAAAGATATGCTTGGTTTAGTTAAAGTAAATATGTTTGTGGGCGACGTGTTTACTGAAAAGAAATCGCATATTCACACTTTCGTCGTAAACATTTTCCGAGTACGAATTTCCCGTTTGAAGACTTACTTGCGCCTATGCAACGAAGTTGCTATGCGGGACATGCATGCGCATACATAAGTCTTTTTCGCTAAGGCCAACAAAAAGGCACCGGTTTCTGGTCTGCGTGCGCGTCACCGTGGCACCACGGGCCCCATTTGCAGTCATCAGCTGACATTTGAAGAAAAAACAAGTTAAAAAAAAAAATCCAAGCTCCATACCAGAAACTGAAGACTTTTTTTTGGGCCTAAAGTAGCAGAAGTTCATACCCATAGACATGGGCGTCGCGAGGGGGGGGGGGGAAAGCGGGGGGCGCTTGGCCCCCCCGGCCCCCCCCCCCTTCCCCGGGAAAAGCATCAAAAAAAGGGGGAAACAAAGAAAGAAAAAGAGGCGCAAAGACATATTGTGCTCTTAATTTAATGGGTTGGGGGGGGGAGGGCAAATATTCCTGCCAACCCTCGAAAAATGATAAATCGAGAATATGTTGGAAAAGTACAGGGATTTCGGGGGAAGAAATGTGCTTTGCCCCCCTCTAGAAAAAATCCTGGCGACGCCCATGCCCCCAGACTCTTCCGCGTGTACACAATGGAGAAGTCCAATCTGGGCTACAAACATGTTAGGGTTAGAAATTGAACAAAACAGAAGAACAGGAAACAATTTGACATACAAATGGAGGTTCTAAGAGGTTGCTTACAAATAAATTGACTGGTTCAGAAAGTAAATTCCAACCTTGTCAAAAAAAGGGTATTTTACCAGTATTGTCATTAAAATAGTGGCTTGACTATGAATTTTACTTGGTACGGGTTGTGGAACACATAGAGATGGTGAAAGTCAAAATGCTTATTTTTTTTCCATGTGGCACATAGTTTTCCAGTTCTTTTGACATTGCAAATTCTCAATTCTTCCAGCTAGCATGCAAAGGGAGTGCCTTGCTTAGGTATGCCTGCAGTGAGACCATTTCTTCCAAACTTACATTGGAAAAAGTCTACCAACTGCTGTTCATATGGACTGAAGCCCGACGTGGTTTTAAGCTCAAGGCTCTCCAGGAAGTTTTTGATGTGGTCCAGGGCGTCCTGTGTCCTTGCATCACGGTTGATGTACAGGCAGGCATTGTACTCCTGAAATCAACATTTGGTGAAAATTGTCTCCGAAACTTCATTGCCAAATTTGTTCACAAAAACTGTGTCAGCAACAGATAGTCTTTCAACCCATTATACACTTGTATTACATTTTAAACCATTGCTATGACGTCGGAACTAACGAATCTGTTCTGGTCACAAAGTGTGGATTCGGAATGAAGAATCTTAGTAAAGTGTGGATTCGGAATTAAGAGTCTACACTTTGAACATGTCGGACAATTGTTCTCCATAATGAGCAATAATATGACCGTCTGCGTGAATACTTTCCTTCCGAAATTACCAATGCATTTTCACTGTCAGATTACTAGCCTCGAAAAACTCCCTTGTAAATTACCCTAATGTCACAACTCGACACGAGATATGAAAGTCTTTTCATCTCCACTCAATGGACTGTTAATGACAATACTTCGTTCATGGTTTAAGTCGAAGAATACACTCGCAAGTGAATTCTTAAATTACGAATCCACACTTTCTCTCGTGTATTCTCCTTAACGTACTACACTACTACTTAATGGTTGAATTAATCAACAAAATTAGTGTCTCATAGTTCCAATATTTGAAATATTAAATAATTACCAACAAACTGCGTACCTTCAAGTGGTCCTTGCACGTTGCAAGTCTTGTGCCATTTTCATCATTGGCAACATGTTCGATGAAATGCTTTCCCATCTCGACAAGCCACTGCTCATAGCCCTGGGTGCCATACCTTGGTTTTGGCTGTTTAAGCCAAGTCTCACCCTCTACAATTAGGGAATAAATATGTGCTTGGCCAATTTTTAAACAAGTACGATGAAAACTAGCTTGGGGGCTGGACGCTGATAATGGCCCGAGCCGAAGGCAAGGGTTATCAGTGACCTGCAGCCGATTTCACAAAACAGTCCGTAACAAATTACACCATGGGTAGGACTTGCGCACTACGTAGCTTTACAATAAACTTATATTACCATCGATTTTACCCAACTTGTCTTAGCTGTGTAACGTTTTAAATAATTTATTATCTTGGACGAGGATAACAGCATTTGCGAGGGCTGTTTGTACGTGATTTTGTTCGGTCACAATCGTTGAATCACCTCTGCCTGCCATTTTGATAATACTTTTGTCCGATTTTCTTCGGAATTGTGCGGCAACTCTAAAAACTCTGGCATGAGTAAAATAGCCATTATTTTCCTTCAAACACAAAGTTGTGAGTATCTTGTATCAACTTTGATAAGTTGTGCAATATACAGGCTCCTTGCTGGTTTAAAGTACTTAGGTCATTTTCAGTCGCTACGCCACAGCTTACGCCATCTAAAATTAAGCAAATTAAGCCATAATTTGTTGCGCATTTCGCGGACTTTCGTGCATGTATACATTAATTGTACTATATATGAAACTGTCATGAATTTGTAATAACTGAAATGTTGCGCAGCGTGATATGTTGCGCAACTTACACAATAAATTGTTGCACAAGTGGACTTAAATACCATTACATAAAGTTTTGTTAAATCAGCTGCAGGCCCAAAAGCCAGTTTTAAACGTACTCGTTTAATACTGGCCAAGCATAATTATTCCCATTCATAAATACCTTTGGGAGAAAAAGTAAAATATAAAATTTGAAAGCAACATTTGGAAGTTTAGAAATATTTAAAATTTAGGTGTTTTTTTACCAAGTATTGTTACTTAGTTTTGACCAAACAAGACTAAGCTTGCCCAATTGCCGAAAACTTAACCAATTTGGAAAATTTATAATTTAGAATAATAATAATTTTGAAAATTCGTAATAGTCATTTAGTGACTCAGTTAGTCAGTGACTCATGTCAGTCACTCGGGGAGTCAGCCTACAACTCAGTAAATCAGTGCAACTCAATCAGTTAGTGACTTAGTCAGTCAGCCCTTTGGGTCCAGAAAAAACCTTATGACATGTTTGTCTCATAATTGTGTACAGGCGCTGTGATCTGATCACTCTGATTATACAAACCCCACCCCTGGGGCAGGCTAGCCTGTGGGAGAGGGTGAGGGAACAATTGATCCACGCACAAACACAAAGTAAATTAAGGGGATAATATAAAGAACCTTACAACTTCGATTACCTGGGATTTGTGATATCCTTGCTTCAATCTTTTCCATTATCTCTACGATCGCCTTCGCAAAACCATTATTCTTGCGCCCTGGCACCTCAAAGATATCTGAAAGCAAAATAGGTAACAAATGGGCAATTTAGTATCCAAATATAAATGTGTCCACAGCAAACAAGATCAAGCCGCCCCTGCTGTAGAGGCTGCTATAAACAAGATGTAATCAAATCCAGATGTTGGAACTTTGGCAGCGCTACCCAGGAAATTCCGTGCATACCTCAGCTCAAGCATGGGTTAGGTTGAAAATAGCAACCAATCACTGTATGCTGGAAATGTTTTGGCTCATATGTCCCAGACATTTCCAAGACCAGATTCAATTCATCTTGTTGAAAGTGACCTCTACAGCTGCAAAGACTTGACCGACGTGTGCTTGCCTAAGGAACTGGTTGTGTTACGGAATTGAACTCCAAATCCTGTCTTGGACCTAGATTATACAAACTGATGGGATGACATACCTTCCTCTGGTTTGTCCCTGATCTGTCGGAGCTCTTCCTTGTTTTGCTGATCCTGAACCGTGCAGATCTTTTCAACATCCAGGTTGGCGCACATCTTCATGATGTGGGACTCTGCCTCAGAGAGATTGCTCGCCTTGCCTACGCCCATGGAGGCAGTCAGCCCAAGAACCTGGCATGAAATAAGACTGAAAATTAAAAAAAAAATAAAGATACATTTGGCTGTGCCTTTATGGGTATAGTTCAGGTACCCAAAGATCGTCAAGGCTTGGTATCAGGATATCTACTGAAGATAGAGGCCAGAGAGGCCTGGTGGGTCTGTAATCTGTGTGAGGATGAAAATGGTAACGACCACTTAATGTTCAAGTATCGACATTCAGTCAAGTTTTTCCCTAAGTGTAAAACAAGTTTCAAGAGCAACTTCCTTATTAAGCAAGAAAAAAACACTGATCAAATTCTGGAGTTGGATAAATATGCTCACGCACCTCCACAAATATCATAATTTCAGCCTGCAAATATTAATTTAATTGAAAAACTATATTGTCATTTTCTGCAAAGAAATGCAATTGTTACCTGAGGTCTATGAGTCTGAGGCGAAGACAGCTTAATATCACAATACTGTGACATTATTTTGTTGTACGGTGCACCTTTCTGCGAAAAAAATTAAAAAAAACAACTTGAATGATCATTGCTTTGTTGACTTGCAACCATCCTCTTTCTGGTAATTTTAAATTTTCAAACAAAATCTTGCATATATATCTAAGCATCAAATTATGCAAACTGAATGCAATTCACCTGGCAGTGGTGACACTCGTCAAACACTAGCAGGCCAATCTTGGAGAGCTCCAAGCGCTCGTTATCGTCCTTAACTCCCTGCAGAGCGTTGACCAAGATCTGAGCCGTCATGACTAGGACGTCATGCTCGTCCAGCAGATCAACCAGCGAGCCAGGGTTGCTCGTCTCACCGCTCAGACCCATGATGCTGTTGTCACTCATGAAGAGCTGAATGACTTGGAGATGTTGGTCGACCAGCAGAACCTACAACAATATCAGTGACTTTGTTACATATGATTATATTAAGGGAATAAATGTTTCCTCTGTACATCTACTACTGCCATATGAGTTGGTATGAACCATAAAAACCGTAGCAACTGAAGTACTCACATTATTGACAAGAAAGACTACTTTGTTGGACCCATCTTTTATAACTTGCGGAGGATTACCAAAGCGCGGCCCGACACCACTCTCCCTGTCCAGAAAGGCTTGCACCAACCGAGCAGCTACATATGTCTTGCCAGAGTTAGTAGGGGCCACAACCAGAGAATTTGTGCCTTGCAGAGACGCTGCAACCAGCTCCTCTTGGTAACCTCTCAGCCTGAGCAGTTTGGGCTCACCATCTAAAGAGTCATCCTCCGGTGTATCACGATCAGAGCTGCGGATGAGCTCCCCCGGTTTCAGGGCACAGGCACCGGATGCTGACGGCTCATCAAATCCACTAGTATTCTCTGCAGGGGTGCCACTCTGAAACATGTTTGGGTCATCAACGATGGCTCCTGTGCATGTGCTTGAGGCACCACAGCAGTTGTCATCCATTTCACCATCTTGAGAGAGATTATTGGTACCATACGTGTTCGGGAAACAAAGATAAATTTGTTAGCAAAACATTAGAACTCTGAGTATTTGCAAACATTTCTCTCACCCTAAACTAAGGCTCTTACCATGCAAATTAAATCAATCTAAAATTTTAATTAATCATTAAACTGACCTTTCAAAAATCATGCATATATGCAGTGAGCAAAAAACAAATAACGCATGTTCCCAAATTGGAACTGGCGATGTTCCCCGGTGTTCCGACTTATGAGACCTTCCCTGACAAATATGCCTTTGTCATGGTTCATTTCAATAGCTTGTGACATGGAGACAAGAGTAATTGTGATGGACTTGTGAAAAGAGATCACGATAGCTTCTCACCTGCAAACGTAGAGCAGCAAAACAGTTTAGACAGTTTCTGAGCGAGATTTCCATGTCCCGTCTCTCTCAGCCCCTTCATCAGTTGGCCAACAACTACTTTGCCCTTCTTACAAATTATTCCAAGAAGAAAAACAGCACCCCTAGTGTCTCCGAAGTTATGGGTTGTCTGCCTGATGCTTTCTTTTTCCTCTGTGTTCAGGCAGCGGAGGTAGGGCAGCATGCTTGCAGGATCAATTTGGTTGAGTTGTTCGTGGAAGGCCTGTATCAGATGCTTTAGTAAATCTAGGGCCTCGCTGTCTACATCTGCTCTGTCCTCAATGGCATCAGCAATGAAGGCACTCCCTTATATAAGGAAAAAACAGGAGGAAACTGTTGCTTCTGTTGACAAAATTTCTTTAAGTCCATGAGGAAATATTTCAAGACAAAAAAATCCATTTCTGAAAGATTACATTGACACAATTAGACACCCACCCCCAGCATTGAACTACGGTACCCTCCGCTCAAAAGTAACAAGATAAGGGAGATACAACTACTCTAGAAAGCCATTACCAATCTACATAATGCTCACCTTTACTTCTCAGGCATTCAATAAAAGCAGTGTATGTTCCTTTTCTGTTCAGTCTGGCCAGGCGGTCCAGGAGCACATTGACAGGAGATGCCTCCCGAAGAAGTTGCTCTGTATGCCCCATAGTTTCTATAAAGGAGAGGGCATTCAATACTTTTACAGAATTTGTTGAAGTAATTGTATTACTATTTCAGCCTTTCTATTTCCGCTTTAGTCCAAGTAACTCTAATTCTACCTCCATGCTTTGACCCTAGTCCGAGTAACTAGGACTCTACGAATCGCATTTTTTATCATTTGGACATGGTCTGGTGATACTACTATCGCCCGACCATGCATCCAAATGTTAAAAAAAGCGATTCATACTCGTAGAGTCCTATAGTTACTCTGACTACTTTGACCCTTGCTTTTTTTAACAGTCGGACATGATCGATAAGTGGCCATGGGCGTCACCAGGATTTTTTTCCAGCTGGGGGCAAAGCAATTTTTTTCCCCAAATTCCTTAACTTTTTCATTGTATTCTCAATTTATCATTTTTTTCTCAGCGTGAACTGCAGGGGAGCATTTGCCCTACCCCCCCCCCCCCCCCCCAATCAACTTAACAGCATTATGGCTTCGCACCTCTTGTTCCTGTTTTGGGGGTTTTGTTTTTCGTTTTCCGGGGGGGGGGGGGGGGGGGGGGGGGCAAGCGCCCCTCTTGCCGCCCCCACCCCTCGCGACGCTCATGTAAGAGGGGTCAGATTAGCCCCACTAGTAGTGTGGCCGCGGTATGCTGCGCTGAACCTCTGCGCAGCATACCGCGGCCACATGTCACACTAGTGGGGATGTTGTGCCCATTCTTGAAAATCACGCATTCTCGAGAATGGGCGCGCATTCTTAAGAATGAGCGCCCATTCTTAAGAACGAGCACGCGTTCTTAAGAATGAGCGCTCATTCTTAAGATTGGGTGGGAATATCACGTGCACAATTTATGAATTTTGCCCAATCTTAACAAACATTGCACGACATAATTATGTTAAATGAATTGTATAGCGGTTAAAAGGGAAACAATTCATATAAAGAGGAAAGAAAATGTTCGTATAACTACGATAATTTGAATCATATTAAACCTGTTATTATTGCTTTTTCCTGCCTACTTATGGGAAGTTTTGTAATAACGGAGGACTGGGAACTAGTCTGGGAAGTGCTTTGTTTAGGCTAGACAAGTACAAGTCCCTGTATGTATCATATGCATGCCACGAAAAAAAAACGATGTCCAGAAGCTGCCAAAATTGCTCTTTTGACTAGATAGAATCCAGCTCTGCGACGTTATGGTGGGGTGTGAACAATAAATTGGTGGCAATTTAAATGGTAAATAGCATTAGCACTATGGGATGTCGCAGTATTCATTCTCATTCTTCACATTCTTCATTCTTACGTCCCCCCCCCCCTCTTTTATTATCCCAAAAATCTGAATTCTTTCTTATTTATTCTTATTTTTTTCCCCGGTCCCCTCCCCCAATACGCGTATACTTTTCATATCCACTCTACTTTTCAGCGCCTTGCGTTGCAACAGTATAATTATTAAGAATCAGTGAACGAGGATTCAGCTAGACTTGCCAAGCGCAGCCGGTGCTCGGCATCGACAAGACCGTTATCTTGTCGCGCATTCTCAAGAATGTGCGCTCAATCTGGAAGAGTAATTTTTTGCCAAGATTGAGCAAGGATCCAGTTGCACATTCTCAAGAATGTGCATACCCATTCTCGAGAATGCGTGATTTTCAAGAATGGGCACAACAGGGCTAGGGTCAGATTTGCTTGGACTATTGCCGCATATCATTATCCATTAAGGTAAATATCTTAGTCTTACCGTGATTAAGGCCATTCTTGCTGTACAGCAGAGACAAAAACTCGGACGTCAAATTGAGATTTTCCACCACAAACGGTCTGAAAACATCCGTAATTATCTTCAACTTTATGTCTCCGTACTCGTCCGCAAAACAGTCAGCTTGAGCCATGGTCTACAATTTGCGCTTGTATCTTCGCTTTTTCTCCGTCGACAAATTTGCAGATCAATTTCAACGAAAGACTTAAAAATCTAAGCGAGGGAAAACAGGACCCATGACTCTTCCTCTAGTGTCAAGTGCTACATGACCTATTTTGTGTGGTCGTCACTTGGCTTGGTTTTTTACGATTTTATCAACGTCAGGGGATTCCCCTAGTGAGAAATCGCCAGCTGTCAGCCAATCACGAAATGCCCTGTACATTCTTGCCAATTAATACCGACGGCTGTTTACGCTTAACCTTGCACCAAAAAGGGCCTGCTTTTCTTGTTCAACGTGTTTGCATAACCAATTTTATAGCGATACATGTATATTGAAACCTCTTAATCACTTGAAATTGATCACAGAAGCAAACAAGAATGACAATACAAGGAGCCAAGCGCCCGTTTAATGCTTAAATCGTCCACTGTTGAATCGTCTTCGACATGAAATAGTACCCATTTCTACACGAGATTCTAGTTTAAAGGGAAAGTCCCCAGTTCTTATTCACCCTAACACCCAATAATGGCCATCCCCTTCGCTTCCGAAATGTTCGCGTAAATTCCCCAATATTGAAAATACTCAGTGGATGACAAGCTTTGAACTGATGGGTGTCTCAAACACCTTTGAGAGTTGCGAGTATTTTAAATAATTTTTGGAAGTATCACTGAGGTCTATGCGAGTCAATTCACCCTTGAGAGCAGCCATTTTCCACCGTCCGTACGCCATTTACAGTTCATGCATTAACGAGTTCGTAATCTATTTCGGCTCTTTCCAGTGTCCGGTCAATTCCATCTCGTCGTCATCCTCCCGTCTTGCGGCTCGGATCAGACCGTCCAGGAACACGCATGCATCGACTTCCTGCTCCAGGGCTCCCATCTGAGTCTCCAAGCTGCGCATCTTGGTTGCCATGGTAACCAAGGATTGATTTTCCGCCTTCACCTGATTGGTTAAGAGTTGCAAGGATGCAGCCAGATCAGGCTGGTGTTGGTTTTGCGGCACCTCGCTGTGGTTTGGGGCCGTTGAATTTGAAGCCATGGCCTGGGTACTTTTATTGGTTTCAAACGAGCTGAATTTGTTTCGGTGTACAGGACTTTTCTTTTTTATCACAAGTCTACCATCACATTTCAGCAGAATATTATTGTTCGTACCTATACGGGAAAAGATAAAGAAATGGGTGTAAATATTATGATTTGTAAATTGTTTTTGGTATTCTAAAGATGCGTATATACTGAAATCGGGTGCAGGGATATTAGCTAAAGATGCTCAGTATAGCTACACTTTGCATGCAGAAAGATTTTGAAAATGATTCTATATTTTGTTATTTCATGAATTTTGCTGCTTTTGTGGACAAAAACAAACAAAGACGAATTCAAATTCAATGCTAATTTTCTAGCAGTTAAGCTTTCGATGATGCAATACCGAACAAACAAACCAGGCAAAGAGTTTATTTCGAGTTTCGAATTATAGCACACAGTAGTATACGGAAGGTTGCGTTGGACGACGGATGATTCTCAGGCTAACCCCGCCCCTCATTTAAAATTGCTTTTTAATGTTTGTATATATGAACGTATATCTCTAAATCTGAAATAGTCTAAAAATACAACATTTGAATTTATCAAAGCTCTATTTTTTCCAGCCTTACCTTAGAAGCTATCCTAAGTATGTATAGGCCTAAGCCGATTGAAAGTGCGCGGTATCATCAAACTTGGAACTTTGAAAGAAATGCGTGGCGCGTCAAATTCGCTTGACCGCGCGAAACACTGCCAGGGAACAAAAATCTCCAAAAACACCCGAAGGAAAGGGAAACCCCAGAATCAAGAAGTAAAATTGTTAAGTTTGAACAAATGACTGACTTAAATCTATCCCTATGCTTCAATGCACAATGTAGTAAAAAAAAATCATTTTATATCCCCTTAAACCGCAAGGACGCCCTCTAGGCTGCAGCATAACAAGCGCGCGCCGCGGGAGGTTCGCACACGAACAACCGCGCCGTTCGTTGACACTTGTGGTTACTAGGGCGGTAACCAAGGGACGCTGACCCAATGTGCCACCCAACGCACGAGGTATGCAGTGCATTGTGTGTCAATGTGATTCATTTCCACACGTATATCAAAATCACTGTTGTGATTATTCCGACAAGGCGACTCTCACACAAAAATGGGCAGTAATCTGCCCGTTTTGCCCACCAAGTTGTCTTAGTTTTTAGAACTTTAGAAGTAGTTTTCGGGACATCATGTAAACTTTTCGAGCTTTGGCTATTTGACGCCAAGCAACTCAAAAACAAATTTAGAAATTAGTTTCGAAAAAAAAATCAGCTGTTCAACAGGTTCGTTCAACACGTCCAGAATGGCGACAATGACAGAGGTTCAGCCGACGGAGGGTGAGTAAACTTCACAGTTTTTTAACAGTCAACAATGATCTCGGGATATTAAAGTTAAACAAAAATAGAAAGATCTGTATAATCTTAGTTAGAACGTCTTAGTTATACACTGAAATTTTATAAAACAATAAATAGAATTTAAACGAATCAGACATTTCACATTAGGCCCTAATTCATGTTCCGGGTGTTGGGTGGGGGTGGGGCAACCCCAAGTGTTTCGTTGACCCAAGAAATGAATGTTCTTGATAGCCTTATAATATTCGTGGGGGGAAAATGGGGAACCAGCCACCCCTTTACAACCAGACATTATTTTCCCAGTTTTCTGTCTTTGTTAAAAAAATCTAAACAAATAGGTTTAGGCCTATGTGGAAACAATTTAAAAAAACACAGAGTAAGACTTTTTTTAATATACAGTTAGCCAAACGTTAACATTTGAGTCTTAACTGCAACATTCCATAATATTACCTTATTTAACTTAGATATTTAGAAAACTATTGAGATAATTTTTTAATTCAACTGAAACAGCTTAAAATTCAAGTTTTAATCATAAAAGTTTACCTTCTTTTCATTACTCAACACCATTTTCTGTACGAAAAATAAGACCTGAACCCAAAGAAACAGTTTAAGTTTGGAGGAAATCTTGCTCATTCAGCTTACAAGTTGAAGTAGCCTTACAAGTAAAATACAGCATAGCCTTAGGAAAATAAAAAGCACACTCCTGAAAACTTTGATTCAAGTTTGACCTATGAAAATTGTTGAAGCAAAAACCGAAAGTTTATCCAAGGCCTAAGGATACAACTTACAAACTTTTATGGAAAAGAAAACATTGCTGTGTGTGGAATTGAAACTGGAGCCTGGCAGGTAATTTACAGGGATGGAGCGCCAAGTAAAATTTTGTGATTTGGGGGTTAATTCTTCATGACCTTACATCGTTTGTTATAGCTTGGGAATAGCCTGTGTTTATGCATTCCTCTCATTAACAATGTACCAATATCCCTAGAGATATCAGGTATCCAGGGCTGGGATCAACTGCCTCGCCTTAGCGCATTCTGATTAGTCTAAATTTGTGTGGCAAATACTGCAAGGATTTTAAATAAACAAAATATCCTCGCATACACCACCAAGAGAACCAGCTAGACTGGCCTTCGAGTATCTACTAAATTGATTTTAGCCCCAGGCAGGAATCTTCTAGAATATGCACAGGTGTAGATTTAAGAAAGTTTTTATCCATATAAACAACTGGAGTTTCTTCATTTTTATCTTTCTGTTTGGTTTCTACATGCCATAAGTATCAGTTCGTTAAGCAGCTTAGAAGAGATTATTTTCAGCGGAGGATTAACGACCTCCCTCTTCCTGATCCGCGTGTGGTATTGAGGAATCCTTGATCTGTTTGTGTGCGTGTGACGCTCTTCTTTGCTCGCAGATAACAACCGAATCAGAATGACAATGGTCAGTGTTGGTAGTTGGGCAGCTTCGCTTCAGTGATTATGGAAGTTGCGTCAGTGGGTGCATCTGTAGCCTTCAGGGGGGTTTGTGCAGAATTCTGAAGCGGCTTTGTGGACCCTTATTGACAAAACACGGCTTGGTGCGAGGCTTAAGAATGTCGACTCCACCTCTCACTGAGATGGTGAATAGTGCAGAACTAAAGCCTACCCAAGTTGCCTTTTCTTACTATTCTTGGAAACAATTAGCTATAATGATGTTATTTGAATTTCTGAGGGAGTGATGAGCTCGTTACTGTTGATGAATTCTTGTTCAGTGAAAAACAAAATTCGAAACATAATGGCTTTAATGAAGAGGACTTCATTTAATGTTTAGTTGAATTTCTGAGGAAATAATAAGTCAATTCCTGGCAACAGAAAACTTGTTCACTGAAAAACAAGAAATACTACAAAGGGTTTTAATGAAGAAGACATCATTTGATGACATTTGAATTCCAAGAATACAACAAATTCACTTCTGATCATTGGTAGTTTTGTTCATTAAAAAAACAAGAAAGTATGTATGCCCAATCACAGCACTTTTAAAAACAAGCTTTGGTTTAATTTTTGTGCATTTTCTCAGACAAACCTGGGTTTTGTGCAACGACTTCATTCTACCAAAATGGTAGCTTATTATTGTCTGTTGCAGTTTAAACTTTAATCAGCATTTTTATACAAAGTTTACATTATTGAGTTAACTTTTTCTTGAGGAAAACACATTGGAAATAAAAACTAAAAAAGTCTTCAAATTTAAGACTCTATTTACATTTTGCTACAGCAAATACCTGAGATATCTGAGATTTTCTTTTGGGGGTATTTTTTTTTTATTCACAAAATAAAATATCTGCTGACACTAAACAATTAAACATATTTCCATTTTCATTTCTGATTTGTAACATTTATTTCCTCTTAGAAATGATTTACAAAGTATGAAACTAAAAAAACCGAAAAACCAGTTGAGGTGGCCTAGCCTCAAGTTTATCAACGTTATGCAGTACTGCATACGGTACTTGAAGTTTATAGACTCTCAAAACTCAGTGGCAATGACAGAGAGATTGCTACACAGGTAGCTAAATGGAGCGTCAAATGCTACAATTTGATTAATCGGGCCCTCAGGGCTCAGCAGTGGGGGCCTGCATGGCTTTTGTTCAACACCAGCGATTGTGTTTTCTATCAGTCCTGTGCACAGGGGGTTTTGTTTGCCCTCTGATCGGCTATAAAGCGTAGGACAGTGTAGACGACATCTTCATTGGCTGTACAGTTGAATGCATCTTTTGTCTGGATCCTAGCAACTTTTATCTTATAGGTTAAAGATGATAAACGCTGGCAGTGTTAGTGTTACGTATGGTATTAAAGTACTGCGGTTAGAAACGATAGTGATATCGTTTGGTATAGGGTCGGTCAATCTGTGTACTGAATGGTAGACATTTGGATTCGTTTTTTTAGGGGGAGGGGGCATGGCCCCCATTGCCCCCCCCCCCTTCCCCCCCCCCCCCCCCCTGGATCCACCCTTGAACTCTATAAACTTTACATTTTTTATGCGTTATATATGTAAACACCAATCCAGTCTAAATTGTTCCATGATTTTGGGGCTTTGCAAGTCATTAAAGGGAATGTACAACATTTGCTTTTGCTGCAATTTTCAGAAATAAATGGATTTGGAGGATTAGTATGTTATAGAAAATATTGTTAAACTGACTTGCTTCACGTTTTGGGTTCGGAGATGCTAGAAAATCCAATAAATCCAACCATGTTCTTGTAGTCTGGAACTAGTTGGGCTTCTAATACTAAATTATGCAAGACAAAATTACTTCGAAAATGTTTGGATGAGGTGAAAAGGAGATTCTCTTGAAATGCTTTGAAGAAGACAATAACCTTCTTAAACTTCATTTTGAATTCAAGAAAAAAGCCAGTGGCCAGACAATCTGTACAGAACTAAAGGCTAAATCTCCCGATACTCCATTTTCTTTTTGACATAACTGGTACAGTCAAACCCTGATAAGAAGAGTACTGTTAATACAACATCCAGCTTATAATGTTAGGCCCCGAGTCTTTGTTTTTCTTTGTTTTCCATTACTGATAATACAAGGTACCTGTTATAACAAGGTAATTTGTAAAGTCCCAAGGACCTTGTTATTAAGGTGTTCGACTGTATCTTTTTAACCCTAACTCCCCAGCCTAATTTACTAGGAACCATACCCATTCTGGCAAATTCCAACACCCACATGGGAAATTGCCACACACACACTGTTGGACTTAGTTTCTGGAGGTATGCCAACCCCAGTGTAAAAGACCATCAGTTTAGGGGTACTGTACCTATACCAACAGATTTAAACAAAACCTGCTGTTGAACTTCGATGGGTCGAGTTCGGATAGGGTTAATTCAACCATGATTCAACCATCCAAGTCTCCTAGGGCTGGTTGATCCTTCTCTGGTTGCTTCACACTTTTAAAGTTTAAAATAAATTAAGGCAAAAGTTACAAGAACAGTGGTTGGCTGAAACTGACCCCACCCATGTACATGAGCTGTTGTTGAAGGAAGGGGAAGATTATGTGTGTTACTGTGTTAAGAGGTTGAGGATTTGAGTCAATAAACCATCCCCAGTTGGTAGAGAGCAAATATTGAACATTAGATTACACAGAGCTGGCATGGCCATTTGCAAATAAATGGTCCCAAATAACAAGGTTGTCAAGAAGCGCTCCACTTAAGCATCCATCTACGACTAGCCCAAATTATTTGGCTCTGGCTTGAAATTACACATACATGTACACCTATAGATTGATTGTTATTGCTAGCAATAGCTGAGTAATTCGGATGCGGCTATAGTTGCTGGCCAATAGAGGGCAGTCTCCAGATTCAAGACTTTGGTTCCATTAAGTTTGTGTGTGAGGAAAGAGAATTCATTTGCTGGACTTTCTTGTTATGGGAACAAATTGAATGTTTTTTTGTGTTAAAGAACAACCAAAATTTAAAATCAATGTTCCTTTTTTCAAACTAAACAGAAATTAAAGTAAATCAAAGAATTGAGTTTACTTTCTGTATTTTATCTTGTCAATATCCAACAGCGAAACACGCCAGTAACAGGATTGAATTTAAACATGGAAACAACACATTTTGGCCCAAATTTGCTACGGAACTGATTTCTGTCAATGACCAATGTGGAGAAAAAAAAAACAAATTGAAAAAAAATAAAGGAAATTTTTAAAAAGTAATATTAAAAAGTGCATGCATGACCATCAAGAATCATGAATTCTAGCTATCCGAAGTTTTATTAAAAGTTTTATTGTTCTTAATAAAAGTTCATGATATAACCTGTGTGAGAAGGCTTCGTTAGGATAAGACAGCACGTCATTGTACCTCTTTGTTGCTAAGATGATTGTTTGGAGATGCAAGATGCATACTGCTCATCCATTCACTGTTGATGTTTTAAAAGAAAGTTTCGCTCGGAAACTGTCAAGAATTTTACACCTTTAAGTGTTCTTTTGTCTATGTGACAGCAGATCAATTAGGGAAACAATTCATATTTATTCAGTCTAATGACATATCTTGGATAACGACTGCAAAGTTTGTACAGAGCTTTTTCCAATATCCTCCTGAGTATTTGCGGCGCCCGTGTTTCTCAATAACCCATTATTTATGACGGGCCGGGGTCTTACACTGTAACAACACTACTAATCAATACGGTCCATTCAAAGAGCTCGTGTAATATTGATGAAACAATACACGGAAGAGGAGTGCGAACGGGAATGGGGCATTGTGTGATGACGCCCCCGAGGCAATCTATATTGACTCTCCAGCCAGTACTAGGCAACAGGATTTTTCCCGCACGAAACAGAAGGAAAATGGCATCGGGGCCGGACTCCAAAAAAAAGCAGTTTTGAAGACAGTGGACTGGCTTTTTTCTTTTGAAATGAGATGCTTGAGAAGGTGTAGAGGTTTCTTGCAGCTATCAAGTTTTCAGAGTTATTCAGCTCTGCCGATGGAAGAAGCAGTTCTGTATTGATTTTCCTGCCACCACTACCAGTTCGGACGACGTAGTTTATGTGCATGCAGTCTTTTGTCCAAGATGGCTCTACGTTCGGGTTCTGTGGCCATTGCAATGGCCACTCAGCAATACAAGCCAAAGCGGAGAAAGAGAAAGAAGACGAAATCGCCCTCGTCGACACCGTCATCGTCAGCATCGACACCAACATCTCAGACTCGTCTCAAGCTGCCAAAGATCAAGGGTGCAACTCCGGCTCCGACCAAAAAATCCAAAGGTTCTCAGTCTGCGTTTTTGCCAGCAGTTTCTGATTGGAATCTGTTGGACTTTGTTTAAGGAATGATGAGGCTCTGAATAATCAAGTATTTTGTTTTGGATCTTGTGGACTTCAAGAAATAATGTGGCTCTCAATAGAGTATTTTGTTCGGGATCAAATTTACATGAACATGGATCCCAGAAATGACCTCCAAAATAGCCTGATCTTTGTTGAATAACATTGAAATTGATTTTATTTTATTTTCCCCCAGGTACATCAGGTAACCCGTATCAAGACCTGAGGGGCAGGTGTGTTTAAAATTATTCATTTTTGTGGGTGTTTTTTTTTTTGGGGGGGGGGAGGGGTTGTGTTTTTTTTGGGGGGGGGAGGGGGAGGATTGGCTAATGGGATGAACTGCTTAATTTTGTGTTTTAATCTTTTCTTTTGTGTAACTATTTAATATTGCTTGATGAGATTTGGTTAAAACACAGAGAGGAAAGTTCAAAAACATCCTGAGAAAATTGGTCTTTAATTTCTCCTTTTCTTTTCCTTTTTAGAGAGCGGTGTGTCTATTTAGCAACTCCCAAATCATCCAAGGCTATATGGCTAACAAGTTTGGGGTAAGTATTGTAACAATAATATAAAAAAAAAATTCTACAAAAAAATCAGTATCTATTCAGACTCACAATATGCGTACATATTGAGGAATAGACCAGCAGGGTTCGATTTTAGCCGTAGCCCGCTAGCCAAATGCTAGTCAAAACAGCGGCAGGCTAGTCAAACTATTCCTTAAGTAGCCCGGCTGGAGAGTAAAAAATTATTGGGCTACGGCAAAGATGAAAGGACAGGAAAAAATAAATAATTAAAATCAGAAAGCAAACCTGTGTTATCAATATGTGTCTAATTTTATCAACTGTTTTAGGGGTTAAATTATTAGATCGGTTTATTAAAACACTGACAAATGTTCGTTTTACACGTATGCACATTGTTGGTTATGAGACACTCTATAAAAGAAAAACATGTGGGCTAGTGAAAATGTCCGTGGGCTAGTTAAGAGTCTGTTTCAGTAGCCTGGCTGGCTAGTGAAAGCAAAGGTAGAACCCTGTAGACCAGACCACTCTAATAAATATTTGGTTACTTTTTTTCTTGAGTAGCTTTCTTGAACATGACACATCCAATGCTTATTTCTTTAACCTTTCAGGCCTAAGTTGGTATGGGGGAACCAGGAGACAATACTGCCCATCAGCAAGGCAGCCATGCAGACGGAGGCGTCGCCTCGCATCGGCCAGCTGGCCGAACCCAAGAAAAACTTCCGCAGTCTCGGTGACGGAATCAAGTAAGTAATGATTGTCACTGTGACCTATGACATGAAATCAGTTACTGGGGTGACAGTTTGGGTTGGTCTGTATGGTTCAGGTCAGTTTATCTGTTCGCTGTCGTGCCCTTTCACCCTAATCACTCCCAGAAGAAAGAAAAAAAGGAAGTACATGTATCTAAACAGTATGCCCTAGCCTGGCGAAAGATACACACTGCTCGTACACCCTTGGCAGTGAAGGGGTCAATACAACTATACAACTGAAAGTGGATAAATGTTTCTCATGACAGTGTGATAATGGTACAGTAATTTGACGACAGATCTTTTTAAGAACTGAAAAAAAAAAGCAAGAGGGTTAACTATGTTGTACACGTCTGTCATCATTAAGCCTATAGCCCTCAACATCCCATTACGAACTTGATAGTGCTACTCCATGTATGCTTACTTGTATGCAATGAGTGCTGTTTTTACTGTAATCAGAATTTGACTGATCTATTTCTTTTGCTGTACTGTCAGTTGCAACTTGTAAATTTGTTCACCATGACAATTCAAGCTTTGGATTGATAGAGAATTGACAGCAGTTGGGGAGAATTGTTTACATTTTGGTCTTTTCAATGGTGTTTTCTCTCTTTTTTTGGGAGGGGGATATGAGTACTTAAATGTATACTCGCTTGCTTAAGTGCCTTGCTTATTCATCTGTTTGGTACCTTAGCTTGTGTCCAAATCACTTGGCTACCACCAGGAAGTGCCTGCTGCTGCTAGCCAGTGGCTTCCATAGGACACGGTTTTGATCTGATTTATGTGATTTTGTTTCCCCCATAGACGAATCCATGTCTATAGCTGTGGTCGTAACTCGGTGATATGGGACGTCAGCCCGATAGCAATGAAAGCCGAGTCGTCCCAGCGAGTCACGGAGTTGTCGAGATTCAAGGTGCCTCCTCCGGCTTACATAGAGGACAGGTAAAATCTTATCATTAAGTTACACTTTCTTTTGGAATTACGACACTTTGTAATAAACAATACGGGGGCTTGGCTAATATAGCTGACATGGGGGTCAGGAAAGGTAAGCCACTTCGTACTTTTTGTCTTACAAGTATTTTCAGATTTTTGTCCCAAAAGACAGTTTCATCTCTGCACCTGACAAAAACTTGTAATCTCATTTGTCAGTGTGCACAGTTTGATTGACAGTCAGGAAGGTAACTTTGTGTCATTGTGACCGTTAACCAAATCCACTGTTTTTTTACGACGTACGAAACCTATTGCCTTGTCTTTCCGACAGAATAAATCACGCGCTAAGCTGCGGCCGAGAATCACCCATCTGGCGTGTGAGTGACGCAGCCAAGCGGGCCAGGGACAAGCACAGTCTGGAGGCACTGGCCAGGGCAAAGACACCTCACAGAGACTACCAACCACCTAGAGAGGTCAGGAAACTAGACTTCTCTTAGGGTCATTTGTCAATACCTGGGTCCATTTCCAGCTTCAACTCTGGGCATAAGATGTCTGCATCTGTGACTGATTTTGGATTCTGACTCAATTGAGAGACCATAATTATGCTGTGATACAAAGCAAATGTTATGGAGTGTGCTCATCAGGTTTGATTATTACAGGTTATGTAATGATCCCAAGGCTACAGAACGAAGCTGGAATGAAGCCCATATTTAAAAATTGCCTGGATCTTCCAGGTCATTCAGAACAAAGAGACTTTGACTAGCATTGTACAGGTATGGCGTCTTTTGAGTGACACAAATTCCATCATGAGTAATCAAAACCCAACTCCCTGTCCAGTAACACAGTTATTTGTACAGAATGCATTTCGTCACTGGTCTTCTATTATTTATTGCCCAACAGATTGAGACGGTTGTTAGTGACAACGCAAAGAAAGCCATTGCCTCTTCGAGAATAGACAGTCTAGCCAGACCCAAGAGCAGACCAGAAGGACCATTCAGGGATTCCAAGTGGCCAGTAAGTTTTCTTTGTAAACCTAGTAAACAAACTTGTAACATGCAAGATTCTTTCAACTCAATGTTTAGGTTCAAAAATGGAGTTCTTGTTTAACCAGTTTGTGCCGAAGGCTGTATAAAGACGCAAAAGTTTTGCGGTATTCGGAATGGATGACAGATAAACACGCAAAGAGCGAGGCCGGAAATATATGTCAGCTAGCCAGGCAGGAAATATGAGTGTGCTGCCCGAGGGTGACGGCTTCAGCACGCCGGGCTTGAGATCGAGTGAAAAGTAATCCCGTGCCTCGTTCTGTTCTTGTCGAAATAATCCCGGCGTGAACTGGTTAATAAATATTACTCAGGAGCTGACCAACTTCTAGGGGCTAGTTTTTGTAAAGTTCAAAAAATATCTTTATTACGGTTTTAACCTGTGAATCACTTGCTCTTCTTTTTTTTCAACTCTTCGCAGGTATCAGACTTAGCTCGCAATGCCGCAGCTACGCCCCGCCAGCTGGAGCTGGCCAAACCAAAAGGTCTGGTGGACGGCTACCAGCCCGAACGCGGCGTCCAGTGGGACGTCAGCCGGGCCTCGCGACGCACCGTGGCCACCACCCGCACCGTGGACCTGTCTCGGCCCATCATGCGCGCTACAATGGACCACGTGCAGTTCAACCCCGACGCGTTCATTGTCAGCGAGGCCGCCAAGAGGGGGCGCTGTCCGCCGCGCATCGAGGAGCTGGCTCAGCCCACCACGAGGAGTTAAAAGGGAAAGGTGTATGCAATACTTCAGCCCAGCAGATGACATTATGGCCAGTAGCGTGATCAAAATAGAATGGAATTTTTTTGGTGGTTCCTGCTCCATCAATATAAGGTTTAAGAGATAAAAAAGGTTTTGAATATTTTACAACAATATAAAGTCAATTTTCTCAAGATGGTGTTTTTGAGCATTTTTCTAAAAACTGAAAGAATGTTCAGAAATTGAAAGAACATTGTCATTTTTCTGAACACTGAGAGCATATTTAGAAATTGAAAGAATTTTCTCAGAAACCTTGTGCTATGTTTTTTAAACAAATATTTAAAATTAAAAAATGACAAACAGTTCATTCCTGATTTTGATGAAGTAGGTCATAATTTCTATTACTACATTTTTATAAACAAAATATGTATTCATGCCTCTTTCCAGAAGTCAATCAAAACTGTGAACACCTCAGACAAGCCAATGGCAAAGTGAATCTCGTGCAGTGTAACTAATTTCAACTATCCTTATAACTACCGAAATCCACAATTTTCTGCTCGATCTGTGTGTTGCATACACAATCTTCTTCTCTCCTTGTTTTGCCCAGTTTTGTCAGAAAGTGTTTTATTAAATACAACTGGATTTTGTTTTATCTGAATTTCGGAAAGAAAATTCTATTAACTTTTCTTATATCAAAACAGGGTTTTAAGTCATTGGCCCTTAAAAACCTGGAACGGTTGGAAAAAACCTGATTTTATCAATATTCTATATAATCATGGTAATGCTGATTAGCAATGGTTTAATTTTTTCTCCATTTAAATAATACGCAATGTTTTCTACAACTGTGCATTTATCGTTTCATTTTTTTAATGTGCGTTTTCAAGCGGCCACATATCATAAAACTGAACATGTGTGCTATGTGTTTGTTTTGTGCAACAAAAAAACTAGTTGTTTTAAACACTTTTCAGTTGGCCTACTATTTACGCAAGTGTTACAAAGTTTTTGTAACTTATAAAAATTACTGCCTTGAAAAACTACTTTTTAGCTTTTCTGATAAGAAAAAATTAGCACAACACACTGTGGCACTACTTTTATATTTTCCACAATTTATTATGATTGCATTGTAATGTTATCAGCTATCATTTTGTGCTTGTAAAAAGTAACACTTATAAAATACTGATTTTTTTTTTAATGCAACTAACCTTTTACCTCACTGTTTGAATGAACACTGGCATCAACCCAATGCTCCTCCCACAGTTTTTGATTGGTCAAAAGTCTGGATGGCTTATCAGTGTTAACCAATCACTGGGAATGAAAACAAGCCCCACCCACTCTACAATGAATAATCATAAGTGAATAAAGTTAATGCAAATCACTGAACACGGTAATGTATTCTGCGCACGAAGACTTTTGTAAATACTTTGCATGATTGCTACAATCTATTACGTTGCTCCGTGTAATTATCCAATGACACTATATTAACCATTATATGTTTTGTTCTCACTGCAATAAATACCTCTTGTATATTGATCAAACGATGGATGTGTGGCAGCTGTAGTCATTTGAACAAGTATCTTTACAGTTTTCTTAATATGCAGTCACGTCCGCTAGGAATGAACGATGTTTCAATTCAATTTTGGTTAGTGTATACATTTATATTATTCTTTCATTGAAAAAAAAAGAAAAAAAAAGAAATACTGACTAAATACACATTCATAAATACCTAAGACAGTTTACCCATTCCTATTGGTCGAGAGCCCGTTACATGGCTGGTCTTCAACAAATAATGACATGGCTAGCAGGTCTTAAACACTTTTCCAGTGTCGCATAAACTTGGGACTCCCATGAAATCCGGTACCTTTCAACGTTCATTGGTTGAACTTCACATTTCTCACGTAGGCATGTGCAATACGGTGAATCAATATTTCAAATTCCGAAATTCCCACTACACCCCTGCCCAGCTGCGTTTTGCGCCACATCGCGCTGTACGCATGACGCGCACGCCAATGTCCTTATAAGGTAAGGAATTGTAGAGGGACATTCCATATACTCAGATACAACATGAAGTAAAATTGTTGAACAAAATGGTTAGCAATATCTAGTTTTTGACTTGTTTCAATTTTTTGACGGAAATTTATTTTTTTTTGACCGAAAAGGTATTTATGAATGGGAATAATATGTGTTCGGTCGGTATTAAACACTCTGTTTAAGACCGGTTGGAGTCTGGATGGATGACAATTACCCTTGCAGAATTAAATAAAATCACTTATCTCAATACTTGAACCCTAATGAGCCATTCCTTCCCCATCCAGACTCCAACCGGTCTTAAACAGAGTGTTATAATACCTTCCGAACACACATTTATTCCCTTATTATACATGTACATATGTACCTAAAAAAAAACATGAAAATTCCTTTTAAAAATGGGTAAAGGTAGAATCCTAATTCAGAAATGCAGAAGGAAGTACGCAAATTACTGATGGCAGTATTGCAAACAAACATACACCAAGTTCACCATCTACAATTTTGAGGTCTTGTTTTATGAAATACAAGGCCTTGAGAAGTCGACAAATTTCAGTCCATGTACATTTCGAATGCCCACCCCTGAACTGCTATGGGGCACCTTTCAAACAAAAATAAAAACATGACACTTAGGAAAGCCGAGATTATGCTATGAATCACCTGGTATCCATGCATTCATTTGTGCTGCCTTCACCGGTCTTCTTGCCTTTGATGTATGGGTTGTACTGCTCCGGTATGCTCTTGAATAAGTTGATCTTCTTGCGGATCTGTTTGGGTGTGTCCTGGTAGTAGTTCTTAGGATCTCGGGCCATTGCCTGTTGACCAAAAAAAACCACCAAGTTATAAGTACACCTCTCAATAACCCAACAGCCCAAAAAATTAGGTTATATTTCTGAGCAAATTGAAGCATATTCATAATTTTAGTTAAATGTAAAAAATAAAGTATGTGTGTGTGTGGGGGGGGGGGAGGAGGGTGGAGACGGCATCACCCACACCGCTAGTCTTAGCCCAAGACGCTAGTGATCGATAATAGATCACGCATATTGTTTCACATTTATTTGGCAGTAGTGTGCCATCTAATGACATGATTCGTCCAGCGTGCCTGCTCCCACTAACCTCTTGAGAATCCTGTATTAGTTGTTAATTTTTTCTTTTATTTTCTCCCTGGGCTTTCCTTGGCAACCAATCAGCGATCGCGAATTGGTTTAAAATCAGTCGCGCGCGAAATATTGAACGTTCTTCGCTGAATGCTAAGCTTTTTTTGGGACAGTTTACAGTCTTCGCATGACTGTTGTAAACATACGTGCTACATGTGGAAATTCACTTGTGAAGTGTAGTGATCAAGCATAAGCATCGCCAATTAGATATGCAACGCAGTGATACCCCCCGAGCTCGCAATTATCGTTAACAAATGGGAAGCTGCCTAGACATTCATATTAACACCAACAGTCTAATTTACATAAAACAGCCACACCCCAATTGCCGCAAGATTTCCAAGACGTTAGTACGTGAAAGTAAAAAAAACCCAGTTGTCCAAGGGCACTCTACAACAATAATTGTCGGTGCTCTACAAATGCAACCATCACTATCGATCACTAACGTCTTTGGCCAAGACTAGCACACTGCATGCGCACATACGTGCAGTTCGCATGACAAATTTTATTCGGAGTGTGAACAAACCTGGAGTGTCATTGCATGAGCACCAAGTGCCAAGGGTAATGAGTTCGAATATCCGTTGCAGTGGCCTCCCTCAACCCTCTCTTTGTAACCGTTGCAGGGGAACTTGCACATACTTGACGTACTTGAGAGCACATTACCTTATAATCTTCGCCGTATTTCTCCATCAAGCGTGTGCAGTAGCTCATCATCGCTTGTGAAATGCGGATGGACCTTCCAGTGGGAACGTTGGCCATGTCCTCGAGAGCTACATGAATAGCCAAACAGTAACAGGGTCAATTGTCACAGATGTGCCTTTAAGCCTAACTCCCTAGGAATCTCGGCTAAGATGCAAACTCAATCCTGCAAAATCCTCCAACTGCCTCCATGTAAAAATTGAACACAGCCTCAATCCTCCAAAATCATATGTTATTTCTTGAATGTGGTCCTTAAAGTGACCACTGCCTCAATCGGATTGCAGGATTGAGTCAATCCTGCAAAATCCTCCAGCAATCTCTGTCAATGTTTTAAGGCAGAGCCATTGACATCCTGGAGCAGTGCAGAGGATTTCAGGTATAATCAAGACCTAAATTTAAGCAGGGCTGAGCATAAGCAACACAAGGTCCGGCCCAAGACCTTGACACAGTGCATCCTCTAAAATCAGCCACACATTTTTAGCCATATAGCGTCCATCCTGCAAAATCCTTCATTTTGCAAAGAGGATTTTGGAGGATTTGGGAACGTTGGGTTAAAATTTGGAGTTTGGTTGTCTCACTTTGAAAAAAAAAAATTCAGGGGCGACTTCTCAATCACTCGACAGTTTGAATCTTATATACATGTACATCCAACACAACATAAAACCAACAGTAACCACTGATTCCACCAAGCTCACAGTTGCAAAAAACGTCACAGATGAAAGTGGCTTTTGAAAAGGCTATTTTCCCTAAAAACCACAACAAATATCCAATCTTTGGGCTTCCCAATTCAACAACAGCTTACTAAAACGAAAATGTTTTGACGTGAGGTACCAACCATGTAAGACATAAATCTTGGACGGCCCGCTTGATTCCACAGTGCCAGTTTTGTCCATCTCTGAGATGTCAACTGCCCTTGGTTTGAGCTTATCCTGGGCAGAAAATACAGTGAAGATAGATGAAAAGCCATTAACAAGGATTACAATAAAGTGTCTTTTTTTGATGCAATGATGAAGTAAAATACATTTGAAGTTCTTTTAAGAATTTAAAACTCTACCTACAAAAAGTACAAACTGGCAAAGCACATCTAAAAAATTTAAAAAGTTGGCAACAAATCGATGGCTTGGTTCTAAGACCAAACAGAACCACTTTTGCATGTTGACAAGAGTTCTAGGGCTTTTCAAATAATTTAATATTCGATGACAAGGAATTGCGTTGTTAAAACTCCACCTACAAAAAGTACAAACTGGCAAAGCACATCTTAAAAATTTAAAAAGCTGGCAACAAATCGATGGCTTGGTTCTAAGACCAAACAAAACCACTTTTGCATATTGACAAGAGTACTAGGGCTTTCCAAATAATTTAGTAGTCGATGACAAGGATCTGCATTGGAGCGAATACTCGGATATTCAAAACTGCCAGCCGCAAATGCCTGCTGCCCTGGTAAAAAGTTGCACAAAGAGCGTGCCGGTTAAAATTTGCATGCGGCGATCAATATTGGCTGCTGAGGTGTGTTGCAATAAGTATTTTAAAATTGTAAAAGGGCTTTCACCTGCTAAATAAAAGGATATGAACATTGAACTCCTGTTGACAAAAAAGTTACAGTCAACGAAAAAGTGGCATCTGACAATAAAGTGCTGCAATTTTACAATAAAATAACATCACAGTCGTGTTGTATAGCCTGATTTATTTTCTCTTCAAATAATCAAACCGGCAAAAAGCTATTCGAATAATTGGTTGATGATCGAATATTTGGAAAGAATGTAGTATCCAGGCGCCACTTCAACGGTTGTGTACAAAATCTATGGAGAGTCACGAAAATTGTCTTAAGTATTTCCTAACACAATTGGAAATGTTTCTCAGTCCTAGATTCATGTCTTATCAACATATTAGAATATGACTGACCTTCATTGAGATGATATATGAAGGAAAAAAATTGCGTCAGGTTGCAACATTCTTTCCAAATACTTGACTACATGGTATATTCGGGACAGAACTAAAGTGTACACTAAAAATGTAACATCAAATTAAAAAAAAATGATGAGTGAATTTTTCACCTTCATTTTAGGTATTGGTATCGTCTTGTTTGGGTTGGCAGACAGTCCCATGTCGGCTAAATTCTTCTCCAAACTCTTCCTCTGGTCCCATGCTTCCTTCAGTGGCTTACTGGTCAATGGTAACAATGGCAAAAGAAATCAGAAAAGCCAAAATAAAATCATTATTTATAAATCATTTATTTATTAATTTACCATGCTGTTAACATTTAAACTCTGAACAGGATGTTCTGTTGACACAGACAATTTGATCCTAATACAACTTTGGTGTACACTGTACACGCCTGGGATAATGTCCTGAATGATTGTGTTTTTGTTGCCCCTGTTTTACTCCAACCCCCACCCTCCCCAATTTAAAACAAAATAAAAAACCTGCCCTCTTTTCATATCACTCAGTTACATGCAGTCCAGCTAGGTGTCCTATTAGTTTTCAACAAAAATTAATCCAAAGAGTTGTGCGAGTCTCATTATACGCAGTGGCTATCATTACGGTAGCCGTAACGTGATTTTCAACTGCTATCGTTATCGTTCCGGACCTAATAGTATTCAACATCACGATCTTTGGCTGTTGGAACCAGATTATCAACTAAATGGTTCTAGGACTTTATTTCCCTTTGAAAAAAATCTTCAAAAGCCACAAAGAAGAAAATGAAATGTACTTAAATAAAAAGAATGATTTGATTAAAAACAACATGATAAAGTAAGGAAACAAGTTGTTGCGATGTTTCCTGATGGATGCTTTGCCAACTATAACTTTCAGATTCAGAAAACGGAAAAAAAAAATGTTGCAACCTGAGCCACTTTTTTCTTTATTTAACATCTCACAGAAGGTCATTCATTGCAAAAATGATGATAAGACATGAATCTGGGACTGAGAAACATTTCCAATTTTGTTAGGAAATACTTAGAACATTTTCTTGACTCTCCATAGAAGTGGCGTCAGGTTGCAACATTTTCCCCCAAAAAACTAGGCGATCATGTAGTGTAGGGCCCCTGTTTTGTTTTGATCAATTTAGAGTCCAAAATGTTTTTTTATTGCTCAAAAATCACCTTTACAATCGAAAGCAGACTTTTCTCAATTCTAATGAGACCCGTTTTGATATTTTGAACAGTTTCTTGGAGTAGAAATCACAATTTTCCTGCGTGGTTTTTCCTTGCGATTCAGAGCGCTGTGCGTGCTCATGGTTCATGGTACATCGCACAGTGTTTGGCCATCTTTATTTTCGGGTTGCGTGTTGTCGTCGCGCTATCATCATCATTTTACCCCCAAATTTCCTCTATCTATGACAATAATGACATAGGCCTACCTGTTTATTGAGAATGTCGCCAACTAGTTTGGTCGGTCTAATAATTTTAAATTAAAGTGGATTTTGTTCCCTATAGGAACCAAGCCCTACATTACACGATCGCTGAAAACTATTCCCAAAATATAATGATTTAAACTAAGAAAGTTACGCGGCATGGGTTTTGATCCTGAAACCTAGCTTTTGCCGTAACGATTACCAACATAGCTTCCGCGGTAACGATAGCCACTACACCATGACTATGCTAATTTCAATCATATAACCTAAAATTGGCTTTTATTTTACAAAAAAATGGCCCCATAAATTTACAATCGCAAAAGTGTATCACAGTTTTCACATTGAGGGCGCTGTTGCGTTCTCAAAATGATGTGTGTGTTTTAATGTTGCAATGCAACATGTTGCAATGATATTGATAATCAAAATTACGGTTCAAATGACGTGAAAAAATTACCAAGTGATAGTGGGCATCTTTCTTGACTTCTTCCACAGCCGACGCCTGTTTACTCCGTAACCATACTTCTTTCCTTTCGTCATTTTGTTTATGATTTAATCGACACCGTTCGTGTCGCGCCGCTGAACATTTAATTTCACGTGCAACTTTCGTTGCTTGAGACATGTATGGTACCTGCACGTCGAAAGTACATCTCGAATTCGTACTAGAAGTTGGCTGGCACCACCCGACTTAACAATTTGACCCTTGACCTCAACTTAGATGAATTATTCAAGATGGCGGCCTCCACAAAAGTTACGAAAGCAGACGAAAACGCAGTTGTGGACCCAAACTTCCATCGCTATCCAAGCTCTTCATCGGTTTCAAACATCGGGCAAAGGCCGCTTGATCTTGCCGACTGGGAACCAGTAACATCGCTTGGATTTAAGGAGAAATTCAAGAAGAAAGCTGCGGAAAATCCATTTGTACCTATCGGTAATGCACATTCATTCGATTGAAGTTATTATAGAGGGCGCTGTTCCATAACATTTCTTGCGGTATTTTTGTGTACGCCAAATTGCGGTATTTTTGTGTAAGTTTGCACTGTTTACTATTCTTGGCGATTGTGTAGTTTAGGGCTCCTCTTCAACCTTGAACAAATTAGAGTCAAGGCTGTTTTTTAAATTTATTTATCAATATCGGCCTCATCAATTCGAACATAAACTCAAAACTGCATACTTCCGTAATAATTCCTAATCCTATGACACTTTTTTTTTTTTTTTTAAATATTGAACACTTTCTTGCCGTAGAAAATGTGATTGTTTAAGTGTTTAGTGGTTGGTTTGGTTGGTGCCATGCAAATCATTGGGGGTTTGCATGTTCACTGCATCGCGGTGATCGTAGTTTTTACTCTCTTGTTGCATTTTGTCGTCTTCATAAATAAAAACCCTGCCCTCTATCTATGGCATACCTGCTGGTTTGTAATGTTGCTATTTGCCAACTAGTTTAAAGAGTCTAAAAAAGAAAAAAAGTAAAAGTGGAGTTTACTGATTTGTTCCCTTCGAAGTTGTAGGGCCAGTCATAGTCCCAATAACTGGGGCGCTAGAACTAGCAGCTAGTACGACAGACCAACATCCCAAATGTCAAAAAAGGAGTTCTAGTGCCCCAGTTAGTGGGACAAGGCCAGGCATGGGCCAGGGAATAAGGCACGACACTACACAATCGGTAACTGATTTAGGAATTCCACATAAGATAATTCCAGAAAAGTACAAATAAACAAAACATGATATTGGTAGAGATGAAATATTGGAAAGATTTCCATAAACGAAGTTCACTAATTTTCCTCTGTATTGACTAACAAGCCCCCAGATAGCAATTTCATGTCATCAAAGTCAATTTGAGCAGTGAGAAAATACAAGCATTTTCTTAGAAAACACTTAGAATTTTTCAGTCCAATCTCATAGGGTTTGTACACAGGGTGTTGAGTGAACTTCGTATATGGAAATCTTTCCGAAATATTTATTATGGCATGTTTCTTTTGTACATGTAACATCCTAAAAGTGTTTCTTGTGGTTTCTTCAATCAGGTATATTCGCCACAACGTGTGCACTGACAATTGGACTGTTCAGCTTCCGACGAGGCCAGGTGCACAGGTCCCAGATGATGATGCGTGCCCGAGTTGCGGCCCAGGCATTCACCATCGGAGCCGTCCTGGTTGGAGTGTTCCTACAAACAAAGAAGACCGACAAATCCAAGAAACCATGAGTGTGGGGACCAGCGGCATTTATCATCGTATCATGGCTCAGAGTCAGATTGGGAGCCAGTGAAACTTTGAGAAGCTGCTATCATTTGTGTTTTACATATGCATCTATTTTCACAGATTAGACAAAACTACTCCCAATAATATGGATTTATATGCAGTGACCACAACCAAAACTGGAAAGTTTTCCAGATTTTTCTGGAAATTTTGCAGGGAAAAACAACAGCAGCTATTTTGGAAAGTGAACAAGAATAAGACATAAAAGCTAACCACCTATTAATGTGCCCAAAGCAAACACCTAGTTTTATAGGTGTAAAAAAAAATTGTTGCATTCGCCCTTCAAAATAATGTGTTGGTTTAAACTTGGCTGGTGTGATGTGGATGGCTCGTGATGATTTTCCACTGTGGTGCAACCATATACATGTGTGGGCACACTTTCTGAACATATTTAGGGCCTCACTTACACAACTGACCTATGTGCGCCGAGTGCAATTTGGAAAATAATGACAAATATAGATTGTTGATAAAGATGGTTGTTTTGATGAGAGTAGATAACTTAAGTGAGTAGATTTAAAAGGGGTACCTTGTCTGTCATGCATCCAACCTATTTAGTTTTGTAAAGTGATTTAATTTGAGGTGTTTTGTCTTTGATAACACAATCCACATTGTACAAATGACATTATTTAAGTTATCCAATTGTTTTGGGTAAATAACAAAATAACCTTTTGATTCAGTAATGTTTTGTTAATGAATCACACATGGGAAAAATATGCTGTTGTAAATCAGGACGAATTCTTTTTCCAGGAGATTTTTTAAGAAATTCAAGGGGAAAACCCCCGACAAATCCAAGATAAAATACAAATACAAACATTGGGATAAAAACAATTAAGGCAGTTCGTGATATTTTTAAGATACAAATATTCAAGGATGCAGAGTTCTATTACCACATGTTTGAAGGTAAAGTAGAAGTCTTTGCTGCAAAACACCCCTATAAATTGTATTCCTGTCAGAGTGGACATTGTGTGCGTGTGTGTGTTGGGGAAAAGAGGAGGGGTTGGGGGGGGGGGGGAGGGGGGAGGGAGGGGGGCGGGGAGAAGGGGTGGGGGAAGCTTCTATAACCATGTATGTAACAAATGTATTTTTGTGTTCATGAAATTATTGAATTGTTTGAACATAACAAATTGTATTAAAAGATAAATGAAGTGAAGTACATGTAGTCTGAATTCAAAACTCCATATACTTGTGTTTTGCTTTTCCAGGGTAACTCAAAAATTTAACAAGCATTAAATAAGGCAATAAACACGTGCTTGGCTGGTGTGAACAAGCACATTGAAGACACGTTTGGGCCTGGACGCTGGTGGGGGCCATTACAAATATGACAAGTTCACAAACAGTCTTGGGGTATTTCGTAAAGTGCGAGACAATTTATTATTACTCTCTATTCGTAAAAGAACAATTGGGTGACATTGCCTACTGCCACATTGGTAAATTACACAAAAATCTCAAGGTGTTAAAGCAAATTATGTTTAGTACACAATCTATCAGAATACATGTATGAAACATTTCATAATACTATGCTTTGGCTAACTTGATACAAAATGCATATAGAGGTGGTTCAGTGTTTTGGTAAAATGTCCACATTTTTCATGAAGTAAACATGGTAAAAGACAAAAAGTTAAGAAACTTGATACATGCCAACTGTCCCACAAATATGTTTTCCCTGCAAGTTAATCATGTGCATTGAAGGGCATAAAAGTATGCAATACAATCTTGGCCTTCTTTGACAGCCAAAATATTTTCCTCCGTTCTTTTTTTTTCCGACCATAAATATTCAAAAGCATGCACATGTTCTAATCAACTTCACACAAGAACTCATTATTTTCTTGTAATAAAACAAAAGGTTCTGAAAAAGTGCAACCTACATGCAACTCTCAGCAAACTTTGGGTTTTTAACAAAGTCGGGCGTACAAAAACAAACAAGTGACTAAGTACTATATTGCTCTGAAATTTGACACCTTACGAAACCCTGTCTACAATTATGTATTTATCAATGCTATTTTAAACAGGTTTCAGATATGTTGGTTAAAACTACAACTGTTGCATTCAATAGTGGTTAAGGACGGGCAAGACTTTTACAAGGAAAAACGGAGAAAGCAATGGGTAGGGAAGGCAAGTTGACTGTATGCCATAATGGCTTGCCATAGTTTTAATTCCCATTTCTACGATTTGGGTACAGCTTTCCCCAACAAATTGAAACATACCATGCATTCACATTGCGCTAACTGTTTGGAATAGCCATACCAGGTGTTTGTACAGAAGCAAACAAATACTCTGAACTTTTAGCAATCAAAATACAGGGCAACAATTTTTGGCCTATCTGCTCCATTCACAAGTACCCCCTCACCGGCAAATAAAGTGCAGTTGGGGGTGGCCAACCGACGCCATCTTGCCTGACTGCAATTTTGCCGAGAAGCACAAAGCGCAGCCACTGCATGTACATAGTACAAATCCCCTGGTGTACATGCGTCACACACAAGGAAACGGTGCGTGTCAACCAGCGAAATGTCCCCCCATGGGACGTCATTGCTAGGTAAAGGGGCGCCCTCTTTTGTTGGCGCACTGAGCCAATAGCTGGAATGTATGCACATGTGTAAAAACACATGTGAGCAGAAGTTACCAGAAAACCGTTTGAGACTTGCCTCAATATTGCCATGGCTGGTGCTTCAAACCTAGGAAATAGAGAGCAATATTACAGCCTTGAATGAAGACTACAAATCAAACTGGGTAGGGACAGGAATCTCGGATATTTTTTCGTGTTTACAGGTATGTTGATTTGGGAGATAAAAAAAATGCATTGAAATTTAACTGCGTGCATAATGCATTGCTACTCTTTAATTTAAAAAAAGGGAAAGACTAAGTTAAGTACTTCATAAAACATAAAACATCTATTTACACATAAATAAACCAGGTCATGTTTTAAAGAATTGTTTACACAAAACCTGTACAGGAATCTTTTCTTATTAGGTCTTGGAGAACCTAAATTGGGGGAAACAAATATATCTTAATAAAATAAATTCTTTTCCAATGCAATTTCATAAACAAGGTAAGAGACTTTTTGATTAAAATACACAAAACCTGTACAGGAATCTGTTATTATTAGGTCTTGGAGAACCTAAATTGGGGGAAACAAATATATCTTAATAAAATAAATTCTTTTCCAATGCAATTTCATAAACAAGGTAAGAGACTTTTTTTGATTAAAATACTCTATCAGATGACGGTCCAAACCTTGTGCTATGGTTAACCTCCCTGTGTAACCAAAAGTGGTTCTACAAAAACTTGAGTTACATTTACTGATTTACAGATGAATTATGTGGATATAAATGAGCAAAATTTGAATACATCACACTGTCCAATGTATGCTTTCCTTTAACCCCAACAACTTGGCCCATTTTTAGGCTTGGGCCTTCCAAATTCCATTAATTTAAAGTCCAATGACACATTCTTTCTTTAAAGAGGGTGTGGAATGCTCGAAGACATTTCCGTCATTTTTCGGGTATATGTAGCCTAAGGTGTGATGAAATAAAAACAACTATTGTTTCTGTCATAAAATGAGTACAAAAGGTACTTTTGAGAGCTGTTTTTCAAGTCCTGTCATGCCTGTTTCGACCCGAACGTGCAATTTGTGTAAAAGTTGTCGTTGCGGGCAGCAAACAAAACACAGTAAATTGTGACGTAATAAACAGGACTCCCGATGCAGAGTAGCATAAACGAGTCCTGTTTATTACGTCACGATTTACTGTGTTTTGTTTGCTGCCCGCAACGACGACTTTTACACAACTTGCACGTTCGGTCGAAACAAGACCTGAAAAATAGCTCTCAAAAGTACCCTTTGTACTCATTTCATGACAGAAACAATAGTCGTTTTTATTTCATCACACCTTAGGCTACATATACCCCAAAAATGACGGAAATGTCTTCGAGCATTCCACAACCTCTTTAACCCTTATCCTGCAAGAAGCAACACAGTGCATCAGATGTCAAAGTCTGTGGGACCTTGCTGCACTGATGAGCCATCAACACCAGTGCATAAACGGCCATGAGAGCTAGTCCCATTAAACAATACCCCAGTTGTATCCTGCTGCATTCGGTGACAACAGACTCTGAGGCAGTTTGGCCTTGAGATTTGTGACCTGACGGTCCTTGCCTCATTCTGTTGCATGTTGCTGCATTTAGCAGGGGTTTCTAGCCAAAAAACCCAGGGAGTTAGGATTAAATTCCGGACAAAAATTTCCCTAAGCTAAATGTTAAGTAAAAGACACTGGAATCTACGTTCTTCAATCCTACAAAATCTTTAAAATTTCCTGGTGGATTTTTTAAGGATCAGGACGGTTAGGGTTCCTCGCTTAAAATATTTAAAAGCTGATAAAATTTATAAAGAAATTCAATGCATTTACTAATGACTAAACATATACATAATCGATGTGTTAACTGCACAGAGCAAAATATACACAAAATAATCTAAATTTCTCAGAAAACTGATAGGTATATAATCTACAAAACACTTGGATCTGTGTAGTACTGGATCTGTGATCCATATCATGATACATGTTCTAGTTTACACCAAATGTTAACATCAGACAAATCCTGCACTGTTACAAATTGTCTGATAACTGGAAAAAGGTGTAATGCTTTTGTGTTACTTTCTTTAATCACAATTTCAACAATTTCTTTCTTTGAAATGGTTGTACAAAGTTCACATATTCAAAATGTGCTGTTTGCGACAAAAGTCTGAAATTTCTCATCCTTGAATTTCTCAAGTTGGAATTTTTGTGAGTGAAAACCGTCAGTTTGTTTAAGGTGCTTCAAAATGCATTTGTGAGTATGTGGTGTTTCACATAAACAACAAAATTATATGCAGAATGTTGACTGTGTGTGAAGCTAAAATGTAGCATCTGTGAGAAATTCTTGGTGGTGCATCGTTTTGTGACTCCCTCATATTCTGCATTACCGTGACTGCTTACCAGTGCAGATAGTGTGCTTACAAGCTGAATGCCCGGGGTACACAACCGCATGTAGCATTGCAATCAGTTCTTACTTAGTGACACCATTAAATCCATGACCTGTTGCACGTTGTCGCTGCCTGCGTTAAGTACAGTTTGCGTCTCCACCACGTGGACCTCACGCTCCTGAGACGGGACGGACGGACTGAGGGCCGAGATGAAATCGGCGCCTCGCTTGGCTGTTGCCTGATCCTGGAGAAAGAATTTGAGTTCCTGGAATGTCAGGTATGTATTTCAAGAGCTGGTTGCTGTTAATTTGCATGCAATAATGGACTGGACCAAGGTCAATAATGGACTGTTCCAAGTCAATAATGGACTGAACCAAGTCAATAATGGACTGATCCAAGTCAATAATGGACTGTTTCAAGTCAATAACGGACTGAACCAAGTCAATAATGGACTGATCCAAGTCAACAATGGACTGAACCAAGTCAAAAATGGACTGATCCAACTCAATAATGGACTGATCCAAGTCAATAATGGACTGTTCCAGATTTGGCTACAAGCCCCACCCACTTTTGGTTTGTGTACATTTCTCAAAGTGCTCGCTACCAAGTTTGACCAAGATACCGTGATCACCTGACCAAAAGGTCATAATTTAATTGGTTAATGCTGACCACTTAATTGACAGGCAGGAAGGCTAATAAAGCAAGAATTTGTTGATGGTAAAACTTTCAGATTGGCCGGGAAAGAGCAAGTATGGTTTTTGTACCCGGAACCTGCGAAAAAACTGTGTTGAAAGTACAGAAAAATCAACTTTGGTAGAAGATACAGGTTTTGCATATTTGACAAAGGCACCAGACACATAGAAATAGGAATTCAGTTGTGCATACATTTCTCTCATAATAAAACCATGAATTAAAACAATGGGTGTACACAGAGCACTTTTAACAAAATCAGATTGCTTCATATTATTGCCTGTGTTTACCGAGTTCGTTAAAAATTCCTACCTGTTTATTTGCAATGAGCACCAGAGGTACGCTTTTCAGCCTTTCGTCTGCTAGCAGCTTGTGGAGTTCCTCTTTTGCCTCTGGCAATCGCGCCTCGTCAACTGCATCCACAACAAACACCAGCACGTCTGTGCCCTTGACAAAGTTCTCCCAGTATGAACGGACGCTCTCCTGGCCACCAACTACAAATGAAAATAATGTTAAAGTTAGGGGGGGGGGGGGGGGGAGTTTTATGCAAAACGTGGCCGCAGACATCCGGGAATGTTTTACATTGGCTTATCTAGCTCCCAGACTTATGTTCTTGAAACTCAATGGTTCTTGAGTCTGGAGTGCCGAATGGTTACACACATAGCAACCCATGAAAACTGGTGTGCAAATGAAAAGATGATTTCATCGGATGACATCAGCCTGTCCCACCCTATGGTTAGGCTTTGAGAACAGTTTTATGCAATATTTCATGATCTGTGCAATTCCGCACCCTCGGGTACCTACATTGGTGCTCCAGGTGGAGGCAAAATGTAGTAAATTGTCTTGCTCAAGAACACAAGCAGCATGATCACAGTGAGGTTTGAACCAACCACTACTGCTACACATGAGTAAAATGCAGTAACCACTGTTCCATTAGACTTTTTGAGACATGGGGGACACAACAGGAGGTTAGTGTTTCGTAAACACTTTTGAACGAACCCAAATTTACCAAAACCTTATAGCGCCCTCAGATTGTGTCCAAATGTCCGCCATATCTTAAAAAACGTTACTGGAATATGATGAGAATGCCGTCTTAAATAAATTGAAGATTATCATTATACCTTCCCATATGTTGAGTGTGACTGCCTGTGTCTGTACACACATTACATTGAAGCCCTCGGTGGGATCTGGAGGACCAGCGTTCTCCGACTGTGTCAGGCAGCGTAGCAGGCTACTCTTCCCCGAGTTATCCAGACCCAGAACCAGAATGCGCTTCTCAGGTAAATCCTGGGGAGAAAAAAACCCCCAAAATGTCTGTTAAATTATTGTTCACATGTACATGTAAACTAATCACAAGTTATTTTTTTTATGTTGGGGGGTTTACAAAACTGGCTTAGTCTTTGTCTCCAGGTTGCATCTTGAGCAACTTAAAAATCTTTCTGACAATCATTCCATCCGTTAAGGCTGTCAACAGTGCCATGTTGATCAACCCTAACTCCCCAGAATAATTTAGTAGGAACCGTTTCCATTCAGGCAAATTCCAACACCCACATGGGAAATCATATACACACTGTTTAATAGACTTAGTTTCTGGAGGTATGCCAAACCCAAAAGGCCATCTGTTTAGGGGTACTGTACCTATCCCAACAGATGTAAACAAAACCTGCTGTTGGGCTTTGATGGGTTGAGCTCGGTTAGGGTTGAAGTTTTTTTAAAGGGAAAATACAATGTAGCGCCCTCTTTTGCCCCTCCCTGACTCTCTCACACTCTGTATCCGCGTAGCTACTCCGGGGGACCTATGTTGGACTTAGACTTTTCCCTAGCTCTGCCAGTTCCTTGACCATGCATGTCGACTGTGTAGTTAGCACCATCGATATCGGAATTTTCAATAATCGATGTATCAGAAATCCACTGTCGAGAATATTCAATATATCAATTATCCTATGTATAAGTTAAAGACTGCAAAGATGACACTGTGATTAAAAAAGCAAAACAATGGTATTATTAAGTCCCAATTTTCCACGGCTTTCTCTGGAGCATATTGATCAAACTGTTTAAAACAAATCTCAGCACTAGTGTCATGACAGTTTGTCCAGAACAGGCAGTTTCTTTTGAGGTTTTATGTTGGTATCAAAATAATATCGAAAAATCGAGTATTATCGATACGGGGGTGATTTTCGAGCGTCGGGGTATTCTGCATTCTGCAACACAGTGCAAGTGCAATTTAACTAGGCCTACATTGTAAATTACTGCAAATATAAAATTCACAAAACCTGCATTAAAATTTTATAAATTATTATCATTTCATATCCACGTCAAGTTTCATATCAACTTTGATATTCATCTTGATATTGCAAGATAAAATAAACAACCATGTCTGAATTTAATATTAAAATACAATCATTACATGTGAATGGCAATCTCGCCGGGTGGTGGCGCCCTGCAAGTAAACTGTAAAGTGAAACCCTAAAATCGAAAAAGAGAAACCTACCGCTTGCGCGACTTCCTGAATTGCCATAACACCGATTTCACCCAGTTCAGACTTTTTCCTGTGCCTGAGGACAGCGTACACCGCACCTGCGATCACAGCCCCAGATCCGATGAAAACTGCAGCCTTTTTCCACAAACTCAACTCCTTCATCCAATTTGCACCCTCCGCCATGTTATCTCTATTGCGCCTTGTTCCGCGCCTCTAGCCGGCCGATTGCAGGTGCCTGACGCAGCTGCAATGCACCAGACTATTTTTTGTTGCCGTGCACTTTTCCTACGGAGGCTTTGAAGACCCAAAACATTTTGTGAGTGGAAAAAAAGCGCGGAAGACGTATGTCACTGTCAGTGCAGTGGTTGGCGGCCTTTGGATGGGGAGGGGGGGGGTGCAAGGAAAACCCTGAAATGTTTAGTGTAGAAGACGATGAAAAGAATGAACTAACCTTTGACGCCAACAAAGTTCCACCAAATTGGAGAATACAAAAGTAGCTCTGTGAAAAATAAGTATGGTCAACATTTTTGTTGACTGATGCGTATGGGTGTGTGTAGTGTGGGTGGGGCGAGGGGGGTTATTTTTTTCATTTGGGGCAACATATGGGACCAAAAAAATTGGACTGGTATGTGTGTAGCTACATACACTCTACATAAAAAAAACTAGAATAAAGCGCCCTCATCAGACAAAAAATACAAAAAATGCTGCACAAAATTCCCATGTATATGTAGTACCCGTTGCCTAGGGTGATGATAGCCTTTAATTACAGAAAAAAGACTTTCTACAGAATTATGTCGTGCGCCAAACAGTTAAAAAAGTCTACAGGCATCTACCCTGTACAGAAAAAGTCTACACGCATCTACCCTGTACAAAAAAAAAGTCTATACGCATCTACCCTGTAGAAACAAAGTATAGATGCATCTGACCTGCACCAAAAAAGTCTACACGCATCTACCATGCACAAAAAAAGTCTACACGCATCTACCCTGCACAAAAAAGTCTACACGCATCTACACTGTACAAAAAAGGGTCTACATGCATCTACACTGTACAAAATAAAGTCTACACACATCTACCCTGCACAAAAAAATGTCTACACGCATCTACACTGTAGAAAAAAAGTCTACGCACATCTACCCTGCACAAAAAAAGTCTACGCACATCTACCCTGCACAAAAAAAGTCTACACGCATCTACCCTGTACAGAGAAAATCTACACGCATCTACCCTGTACAAAAAAGGGTCTACACGCATCTACACTGCACAAAAATGGTCTACATGCATCTACCCATGCGTGTTGTTTCTACAGGGTATGTAGACCTTTTTTGTACAGGGTACATTTTGTAAATACGTGTAGACTTTTTTGGTGCGCAGGTCGGAGGCATCTAGATTTTGTTTCTACAGGGTAGCTATGTGTAGACCTTTTTTGATCAGTGTAGATTAATGATGTGCAAACTCGCCAACCCGAAACCGACCTCAGGGCGGTTTAGCCATCTTTTGAAAAAAACTGAAAATAAACCGAAACAGTTGAGAAATTTAGGTGATCCAACATTATTGACAGTCACTGTGACCGCCGAGTTCCCACGGTATTAATTTCTCCAGTCGGATGGGACTGACAGCGAAATAGATACATTGTAACAGTTTTCAAGATACCGCGTGATGATACCATGCGTTTGTTCAATAAGCGGAGTTATAGTGGAGCTGCTAAGCGAAAAATCGTGCACTTTGTGGTAAAAGCATGAAATTTGGCATGTGTGGTCAAAATGGGCTAAAAATCATTTTAAGATCGGGACCCATCCTGGATCTTGCCCATTTTGGGGGCGGAGCTTGATTTTTCAAGAAAGGGGGTGCAAACAATACAAACTCATGAAAACTGTATTTAACATCAAATTTCCTTGTTTTTTTTACACTTTGAAATAAACTTAAACATGAAATAAGACATTCTAGCATTCTAACACCTGTTAATTTTCCACCCATTTTGTGGGCGTGGTCTAAATGGTAAAAGAGGCGGTATATATTAGCAGTTTGGTTTTAATATGGAAAACATCATTCAGTTTGGTGGTAAAATTCTGAAAATTGGCATGTCCAATTGAAATGGGCGAACATAATTTTTTGAGGTGAACGCATCTTGGATCTTGCCCATTTGGGGGGCGAAGCTTGATTTTTCAAAAAGGGGAGTGCAAAAATAGAAAACTCAGAAAACTGTATTTTACATTCACTTTGTAAATTCTAACATTCTAACGTTATTTTCACCCTTTTGCGGGCGTGGCCTAAATATGTAAAGAGGCAGTACATTAGAGCAGCTTGATTCAAACGAGGGAAATCATCATTTTTGCTGGTAAAAACACAACTTTTCTATCGGTTAACTATGTTTACCATACACTGTAAAGATAAGTTTAAACGGTTGCAAGACTAATTGTTACCCTTTTGTTCACTCACCCTGTATACTTACAATGGCGGCATTTCCTAATTGTGCATATATTATAAACACTATGGGGATCACAAGGAGAGGGAGGGGAATTAGGGGCGGCCCAATGAAGGATTTCTTGAAAGTGCTCTTCTAATATGTTTAATATATATATATACCGGTATATAGGCATATAAACATAAAAATGTGCACAGAATATACGTCCATTCAGGCGCGGTTCTAGAACCAATATTTAGGGGGGGGGGCTAGCACGGTGGATCCAGAACTTTTTCAGGGAGGCGTGCTGAAATGTTGACCGTTTATTTTTTCCAGACACTTAGGCCTCCGAAAATCAATAGGTGGGGAGGGGGGGGGGGGGGGGTTCATGCCATATTTTCAATGGGGAGCGCCAATAAAATCCTAAAATCATTCACGCTATATTAACTAATGTACCCTTGTCACAGCTATTTCTTCTTTAGGGGGAGACCGTTCGCATGTACATCACAATCCTTCTTTATGCTAATGCAATTTTTTTTTTACGGAATTTATTTTTTGGGGGGCTAGACAAAATTTGGGGGGCTACAGCCCCCCTAGCCCCCCCCCCCCCCCGGTAGAACCGCGCCTGCGTCCATTCCTTGCAGTGTGTACTGTTGGATTTATATTAGATGGATGTTGGGACTTGGGGGAGTAATGTGTTACTGACTGAAAAGGAAGGAATAATGTTGGGTTTTTTCGAGAAATTATGTAACTTCTTAAATAATGCGTTAGCAATGTCCAGTTTGCTGACGTCACGATCCTAAAACCTCACGAAGTCAGTATGTTTTTCTATATAATATCTAAGGGTAAGTTTGGTAAAATTTGGATGAATGGTTTTTAAATTAAAAATAGTCTAACTTTCTTGGACGTGCTAGGGGGTGCCCTTTCAGGCGTTTTTATGCCCCGCGGCGAAGCCGAAGGGGCATACTGTTTCCGCCTTGTCCTTCCGTGGGTGGGTGGGTGTGTGAGTTTGTCTTACATTCCCTATGTGGACTTGTGAACAAAAGATGTCCACATAATGCAGGTTGTGTTAACGTTATGTGGACTAAGCCGTGTCCACATAACGTTTTGCCCTTTCTGGAAAACAGGTTTAGAGGCATTTTTGGGTTAGGTTTATCCGTAGCAGAATGAAGAGAAACACTATAGGGAATCATAGAAACAAATTGGGTTGAAAGAGTTTTCACAGTTTAAGTAAAGTTATTTTTTGTACCGAGTTTTCTTAACTACACGAAAACAAAGGAATGTCCACACAAGGTATGTAACGTAAACCTGGGTGTGTGTGTGTGTCCGGACAAATCTTGTCAGCGTGATAACTTGAGATATACTTTACATGTGAACTTCAAATTTGGTTTGTGGATTGTCCTTGGTAATCCTAAAAAACCTATTGCATTTGGGGCCGAAAGGTCAAGGGTCAAGGTCACAGTGACTAAAACAAAAGAAATTTTGTCAGCGCGATAACTTGAGAAATACATTACATATGAACTTCAAATTTGGTTTGTGTATTTTTCTTGGTAATCCTAAAAAGCCTATTGCATTTGGGGCCGAAAGGTCAAGGGTCAAGGTCACGGTGGCTAAAACAACAGAAATTTTGTCAGCGCGATAACTTGAGAAATACTTTACATGTGAACTTCAAATTTGGTTTGTGGATCGTTCTTGGTCATAGGCCTATCGCATTGGGGGTCGAAGGGTCAAGGGTCAAGGTCACAGTGGCTAAAACAATAGAAATCGTGTATTTATTCTGAGATCATAGGGTTTAGGGATTAATTCATATAAAACCTACACGAACGTGTTTGCTTAATTTTCATTCATACAGATGCGAGTAAATGCTTCAAAATTGGAAGTGCAGTAAAAGCAAATGCCATGTTTTATTCATACGAACATGGTATCATTTGTACTTTATGAACTTTGTTAATATTAATTTTTCGCGATTAACATATAATAAATGCTGTAGCTTTTGCGCAGAATTATTTGCTTTATAATTTCAAGGTTGCCCCAACCCAGCCTTGTGAATGACAAGTGCATATTTGAAATCTGAAGCATTTACTCCTTTATATTCATACGAAACGTACAGATGGGAGTAATGCAAATGCCAGTTTCCATTCATACGAACTACCGTATGGTATTATTTGTACTTTTTCGCGATTAACATTAATAAATGCAGTAATTTTTGCGCAGTAGTATTTTACTTTATAATTTCAAGGTTGCCCCAACCCAGCCTTGTAAATGACAAGTGCATATTTGAAATCTGAAGCATTTACTCCTTTATATTCATACGAAACGAAGTAAACAATAAATAATTTTTTTCTGGTAATGAAACCAAGGATCCTCAAAAGTGCATGCCCCAGGCACTGTAGCTCGCAAACCCCGAAAAAAAAAGTAGAGAGAAGACAATGAGAAGAAATTACAGTTTTAGAGGTGGGAGGAAAACCCCAGAAGAATAGTCTGGGGAAAACCCACGGAATCAGGTAGGGACTGAAAATCCAATCCACATGTAGACCATGGGTGCCGATGCACAGCGCATTGAGCGCGTAAATGACATTGCGTTCGTCGCGTTTGATGCGCCTTTTTGTATCTGTCCTCCAGCACGTGACCCTCCCCGGTGCCGCTTTCCGTTTCGGTTATGATAGTTTTATTTTCTGCAAACTTATAAACATGTAAAGCTTTACATTTTGCAGGCCATTTACTCAAGAGCAAATGGTTTTTAGTAAAAGTGTTTGCTTAATTTTCATTCATACTGATGCGAGTAAATGCTTCGAAAGTGGTAGAAAAAGCATATGCCATGCTTTATTCATACAAACATATGGTATCATTTGTACTTTATGAACTTTAATAAATGCAGTAGTTTTTGCGCAGAATTATTTTGCTTTATAATTTCAAGGTTGCCCCAACCCAGCCTTGTAAATGACAAGTGCATATTTGAAATCTGAAGCATTTACTCCTTTTTATTCATACAAAACGAAGAAAACGATTATTAGGCCAAAAAAGGCTCTGGTTTCTGGTATGCGCGCGCGTCCCCATAGCCATGCGCGTCGGCAATGTAAGATGATGTCTTTCAATGTAAGATGATGTCTCAAACCACCAAACTCACTGGTTCGACTGGAATCCTGCTGCTGCACAATTTTAACGTGTTATTTCTCATAAAGTTATTTCTCATGTCTAAGTTTATTTCAAGCATGAAGAACAAAGGAAAATGGATGTTAAATACAGTTTTTCTGAGTTTTTTATTTTTTGCACTCCCCTTTTTGAAAAATCAAGCTCCGCCCCCCAAAATTGTGCAAGATCCAAGATGTGTTCACCTCTTAAAATTATTTTCAGCCCATTTTAACTAGACCTGCCAATTTTCAGGATTTTACTACCAAACCGAATAATGTTTTCTATATTAAACCCAAACTGCTAATATATACCGCCTCTTTTGTACATTTAGGCCACGCCTACCAAATGGGTGGAAATTAACTGGTGTTCGAAAGCTAGAATGTTATATTTTATGTCTAAGTTTATTTCAAACCATAGAAAAACAGGGAAAATGGATGTTAAATACAGTTTTCATGAGTTTGTATTGTTTGCACCCCCTTTTAAAAAAAATCAAGCTCCGCCCCCAAAATGGGCAAGATCCAGGATGGGTCCCGATCTTAAAATGAATTCTAGCCCATTGGGACCCCACCTGCCAAATTTCATGCTTTTACCACAAAGTGCACGATTTGGGCCAAAAATGGACCTAAGCAGCTCCACTATTACTCTCGATCAACCCACTGAGTATGACAGAGAGAGAGACGATGGTTTTGCAAAAGAATTCATGCCACGTGGGTAAGGGCAGGCACCAAAAAAGTGATCACTTTGTACAAGCAAGGTATTCGGGGGGTTTTTCGGGTCGGGTCGGTTCGGGTCAGTTTTACCTTCCTTTTGTAGGGTCGGGTCGGTTTGAGGGAGTTAAGATCGGTTTCGGTTCGGATTCGGTTTATATCTCTAATGTTTCGGGTCGGTTTGGCCTGGTCAACCCGACCCGATGCACATCATTAGTGTAGATGCCTGTCGACTTTTTTTTGTACAGTGTAGATGGGTGTAGACTTTTTCTGTACAGTGTAGATGTGTGTAGACTTTTTATGTACAGTGTAGATGCCTGTAGACTTTGTCTGTACAGTGTAGATGCCTGTCGACTTTTTTTTGTACAGTGTAGATGGGTGTAGACTTTTTCTGTACAGGGTAGATGCCTGTAGACTTTGTCTGTACAGTGTAGATGCCTGTCGACTTTTTTTTGTACAGTGTAGATGGGTGTAGACTTTTTCTGTACAGTGTAGATGTGTGTAGACTTTTTATGTACAGTGTAGATGTGTGTAGACTTTTTATGTACAGTGTAGATGTGTGTAGACTTTTTATGTACAGTGTAGATGCGTGTAGACTTTTTATGTACAGTGTAGATGCATGTAGACTTTTTCTGTACAGTGTAGATGTGTGTAGACTTTTTATGTACAGTGTAGATGTCTGTAGACTTTTTCTGTACAGTGTAGATGCGTGTAGACTTTTTCTGTACTGTGTAGATGTGTGTAGACTTTTTATGTACAGTGTAGATGTGTGTAGACTTTTTATGTACAGTGTAGATGTGTGTAGACTTTTTCTGTACAGTGTAGATGCGTGTAGACTGTTTCTGTACAGTGTAGATGTGTGTAGACTTTTTATGTACAGTGTAGATGTCTGTAGACTTTTTCTGTACAGTGTAGATGCGTGTAGACTTTTTCTGTACTGTGTAGATGTGTGTAGACTTTTTATGTACAGTGTAGATGCGTGTAGACTTTTTCTGTACAGTGTAGATGTCTGTAGACTTTTTCTGTACAGTGTAGATGCATGTAGACTTTGTCTGTACAGTGTAGATGCGTGTAGACTTTTTCTGTACTGTGTAGATGTGTGTAGACTTTTTATGTACAGTGTAGATGCGTGTAGACTTTTTCTGTACAGTGTAGATGTCTGTAGACTTTTTCTGTACAGTGTAGATGTGTGTAGACTTTTTCTGTACAGTGTAGATGCATGTAGACTTTTTCTGTACAGTGTAGATGCGTGTAGACTTTTTCTGTACTGTGTAGATGTCTGTAGACTTTTTCTGTACAGTGTAGATGTGTGTAGACTTTTTCTGTACAGTGTAGATGTCTGTAGACTTTTTCTGTACAGTGTAGATGTGTGTAGACTTTTTATGTACAGTGTAGATGTGTGTAGACTTTTTCTGTACAGTGTAGATGTGTGTAGACTTTTTCTGTACAGTGTAGATGCATGTAGACTTTTTCTGTACAGTGTAGATGCGTGTAGACTTTTTATGTACAGTGTAGATCTATGTGTGTAGACTTTTTATGTACAGTGTAGATGTGTGTAGACTTTTTCTGTACAGGGTAGATGCCTGTAGACTTTTTCTGTACAGGGTAGATGCCTGTAGACTTTTTCTGTACAGGGTAGATGCCTGTAGACTTTGTCTGTACAGTGTAGATGCGTGTAGACTTTTTCTGTACAGTGTAGATGTGTGTAGACTTTTTCTGTACAGGGTAGATGCATGTAGACTTTTTCTGTACAGTGTAGATGCCTGTAGACTTTTTCTGTACAGGGTAGATGCCTGTAGACTTTTTCTGTACAGGGTAGATGCCTGTAGACTTTTTATGTACAGGGTAGATGCCTGTAGACTTTTTCTGTACAGGGTAGATGCCTGTAGACTTTTTCTGTACAGGGTAGATGCCTGTAGACTTTTTCTGTACAGGGTAGATGCCTGTAGACTTTTTCTGTACAGTGTAGATGCCTGTAGACTTTTTCTGTACAGGGTAGATGCCTGTAGACTTTTTATGTACAGGGTAGATGTCTGTAGACTTTTTCTGTACAGGGTAGATGCCTGTAGACTTTTTATGTACAGGGTAGATGCCTGTAGACTTTTTCTGTACAGGGTAGATGTCTGTAGACTTTTTCTGTACAGGGTAGATGCCTGTAGACTTTTTGAATGGCGCACGACATAATTATGTAGATGTACTGGTACACGTAGTCTTTTTTCTGGAATTATAGGCAACGGGTACTACGTAGACATGGGTATTTTATGCAGCATAGTTTTTTTGTTTGATGAGAGCGCTTTATTCTAGTTTTTATGTAGAGTGTATGTAGCTACACACGTACCAGTCCAATTTTTTTGGTCCCATATGTTGCATGGTATAATTTTTTTTGGTGGGGAGGGTCGGGGGGGGGGGGGGGCACACATTCCATTTTATCGTGGACCACATTGACGTACGCTTTTATTTCGTGGAGAGCATCTGAATAGGTCACTGGGAGGCAGGCGGGGGGGGGGGGGGGGGGGGGAGGGAGGGGCGTTCCCCATCAATTTCCCTATTGTCGAGGCTGTGATTTGAACGCATATGATGGGATGGGGACTATCAGCTCGACATTGTGCCTATGGGAAAAATGCTTCGGGGAATCCATTTAGTGAGACTATTTTGAACACTAAAATGAAATCGAAACTTAAGGAAAAATGAAAAATTACCAAAAAAGGGGCGGGGCAAATTCAAACCCTCGATCAAAGTACTTAGGGAAATAAACAGGGGTGGGTGGTCTTAAATTACAAGAATGGTGGTGAAGCAGTGGGTGTAGAAGCACTTTCCTGCTAATTAAAGCGCAAAAAATAAAAGTACATGCATAAAACTCATATTATTAAATTTATACCTCAATACAACTCTTCCGCCTCAGTTCCCAAAAAGCTTGAGACTGCAAATGACTTGAGTGAAGCCTAGCAAAAAGCAACAGAAACATCGCTGGTGTCCACTTACATCGTAAGGAAAATATACACGGACCATACATCACTGGTGCGCGTCATGTTGATACGTATGCGCCGATACAGCTGTCGGTTAAATTTTGCCCGAATCAGCGTAGAAAAGTTATGAAAAATGAGTGAATTTAATGTCAAGATATATCAATATCCTATTTTCTGTATACGTTATAATAGGGTTTCATATGACATTGTTCGATGATGTATGTTATTTCGTCTAGGGAGGTTATGAAGGTAAGTAAATATTGGTTTAATCGTCAAGTAAAGTCCGTGGCTTTGCCCTTGTAAAAAGAGGACAAGTCAGCTGAGCAGTTAGGTTGACTGCTGTCATGGCTGTGCTGTGCTCTATGCTCTCAGCATGCCCCCCCCCCCAAACGTTCGTATTTCATGTTACTTGTTAGCATGGTTAGGTTCCATGTATTTAGAATGTGTTGTACTGTGTAAGGAAAAGAATGTAGAATCCTGATTTTAAATCATTGTAAATGTTGTATTTTCATGATTTTTCCAACAATTCCACAAAAATTGCTAAAGTAAAATTTACAAATTGGTTGAACCACTATTCCTTCCTCCATGGTGAACTAGGACCTACCACCAGCAAATGGAGTGGTTCCGGGCAGTATACAGTCGAGTCTCGTTAATACAAACTCGTTCGGACCTAGCCAAATTGTTTGTTATATCAGAATTTTGTATTAAGAGGAACATCTAACGAGATTCGACTGTACATAAATGCACAGTCGGGACTAAGGCTTTATGTTTGTTATAACCAGAATTTTGTATTAACAGAGTTTGTACTAACGAGATTCGACTGTACATATATAATTATTTACATCTCCAAAGATGCCAAGTGACTGAGTGTGACACCGATGAATAACATTTTGCACATTTTACTGTGATTTATCATTGAAAGTTCACACTAACTAGGCCCTAGGCCTACTAAGAATTGTTTTCTTCAATATGTTTTCTGGCCCTTTTTATGTTTTTTTGTTTGTTTTTATTCGCTTCCATCACTTCGATTTCATAAATACAGGGAACAAGTTTTTATCACTTTCACCAAATACACCTTATAAGTTGTAACAAGTTGTCTACATTTTTCTCTCCTTGTTGTAGCTCTTGGTCTTGATAGAGGAGACGGGGAAGTGAAGACCCAGTCGGGATGGATTCAAGCTCAGAACCAAAACCGCTGGGGAGTGGCCGGCCCGAACGCTATGACATTGACGATCATGTCGTGGGCTCCCCACAGAAGTACACCTTGCTGAAGGCATTTGATGCCAGCCACATCTTCAGCAAGAACCCTCGCAAATACGACAAGCTCATTGCCCAGGAGGATGGCTACTCCAAGGACGATTCGGCGTTCTCCGACACTGAGGTCGACAGGTTCAAAGCTGGTGAGGATATACTGCCAAGGCGACGCACTCGGTCCAACTCCCTCACCTCATTAGATACCATCGCACTGGAGACCAACTTGTCCGGAGCACAGCCGATAGCACCCGAGTTGGACGACAGCAAGAGCATGGTGGCATCCAACCGGGCTGACGACATGTATCGTCGCTGCTCCTTAGACCACATGGCTGATTACTACTCTCGGAGATCATCAGACGCAGCTGTCACAGCCATCTGGGAACCCTCAGGCACCGCTAGTTGGCGATCGTCTACCAAAACCACAGTTGAATCTACTGTAGCGTCTTACAAGCCCAATAAAGTCAAAGGTATAGACATCACCAAGTCACCCAAATACATAAAAAAACACAAGTCTGCTAAAAAGCACAAACAAATTTAACATAATAAAATCACAATAAAAGTTAGAATACACTTGCAGAACAAAATGTGACAGCACATCAAGGCACAAATACATGTATAAACAAAATGTAAACAATATTCAGAAAATGTCCATTGTCTGACTATAATTTTACCCTTTGACCTTCGTATAGATTACCGTTTACCAGATGCAATAGATTTACATCTAATTTTTCTTCAGGGACATCCACACAGTAATGTTGTTTGCACTGACTACTGTTTTCCCACCTTTGTACCCCAGCTGAAAAGTTTGGCGAACGCCACCTCACGGACATCATGATGAAGGCAGCCTTCAAGGAACCGCTGGTCTCTTCCAAGAAAGATGAAGTGAAACGTGGGGAGCGAAAGACCTCTGCTGTTAATGAGTCTGAGGTGCCAACCTCGAGCAGGGAGGCACAGGATAGACGCATGTCCCTGCCGGAGACAGCCAAAGAGTAAGTACACACCACTTGCAAGCAAGCCCATAACAAGTCATTCACAGGTCCGGTCATAAGTAACAGGGGATCTGAACCCTTCCACACCGGCCGACAGCTATAGCCGTGCTCTGGTATGCGGTCGTAATGCCGAGGTATGTGGTATGTGGGCAGCTGCTACTGTGCAGTGCCCCTACTGCACGGAGACTCCTGTGCAGTGAGGCATATAAGCCCGTGCAGTGAGGCAAGGGGCTATCAGGGGAACGCATTTGCTACGGTTTATATGAATTGCTTTTGATTAGACTTGGGACTGGATGACAATGTTAAACCAGGGTTCGAAATTAGCGGTAGCCCGCTAGCCAAATGCTAGTCAAAACAGCAGCGGGCTAGTCAGACTATTCCTTAAGTAGCCCGGCTGGCGAGTCAAAAATTATTGGGCTATGGCAAAGATGAAAGGACAGGGAGAAATAAATCATTAAATTCAGAAAGCAAACCTCATCAATTTGTGTCTAATGTTATCAACTGTTTTAAAGGGTTAAATTACATCTGTTTATTTAAAACACTGACAGAATTGCCTCAGAATTGAGCCTGAAAATACGACATTTTGTATTTGAGCTAAAACAAAAATGCGGGCTAGTGAAAATGCCAATGGGCTAGTTAAGAGGCTGTTTCAGTAGCCCGGCTGGCTAGTGAACAAAAAAGTTAAGGTCGAACCCTGGTTAAAAACGCTGTGAAATTATTCCATCTGGAATGCTATCATTATAAACTCCAGTTTTTGTCACGACCTTTTGGCTTGTTGAGGTTTCAACAATCTTTCCTTACGTGCACATGTAATTATATATGTGTTTCAAGCACCAAGAAGTTTTGTATTAAGTTCAACCATTTAGGACACTTGCAAGTAGAAAAAAAATTACATTTTCTAGAAGCTCTGTAGTAATTTCAGTCCCTTCTCTCTTCCATTTTTTCCCCTCAAAGTGTCAAGAAGACGTCAGTAGGTGAAGAAGTAAATGTCAAGATGACCACAATCCATCCGGAACCCCGGCGCCTATTTGGCATAGGGCCGCTGTACCGTCCCCTGCCGGAAACGGTGGTAGAGGGCGTTCCCACGGGCGTAACCTCCACGGACGGATCGCTGGTGGACAAGATCAAGAAAGAAGGGCTGGGGGCTGAGAAGAAAACGGGGAAGAAAAAAGCTCCCACAAAAGCTGAAATGAACACGTGGGCCCCGTTCTCCATGTGAAGACGTAAAGAGTTCAGTAATAACAGGCATAACGATGATCATCCCATTTGTGATTATAAGTACGAAACTTTGTGCTTAAAGTGCTAGTACAGAAGCGGGATGAAACCAAGCGCACAATCCAAAATGATAAAAGTCGGCGTGTCAGTGCAACAAGGTCGTAACTCCATTCTGCAACAAAGTTGTATCTCGCGCGAATACGCTCCGTGCTACAACGTCGTATCTCGACGTCCATAGACTTTGTGTGTACATCCGGGTTATTTTAAGTGAGATACGACCTTTTGACATTCAAAAACTCGCGTTTTTGGTCCATTTTAGGAGATACGACCTTGTTGCACGGACATGACGAAGTGGTAAGCTTACCAATAGCACAGAATTTTTCTGGTAATACTAAGCATAGATTTATTGATTATATTAGGCTGATCCATGAAGGTGGATTTGTACTCTAAGACTAAGCCTTTGTATCTTCAATATGAAGTACGCATTGTAATAAACTGCATTCCTCAGTAAATCAATTAATGTGCACTCTCAAATGTAAATTTGTTAGGAGTGTTTTATGATTAATTATGTATCATTTCTTATTCATCATACTTGGCCTGTTCTGAAAGAACAAATTGCTCTCCCAGCCCTGTTTTGTACATGTATATCATTTGCGTTGCCAATGTCTGTTAGCTTGACTGAAATGCATGAGATTACTTGGGAGTTGATAAAATGCTCCTTAAAATTATGTAAATATTGCATACATGGGTTAATAGAAGTGTGCGTATGACTGAAAGAAAAGAGTTAATGTAAAAAATTATGTTTTGTCATATTGACAAAAACCTTTAAGGCAAATTGATGCTGTATTGAAAATTATTACCTTTTTATCTATTGCTCATTTGACTGAAGTTATATTTCTAATATTGTCCATGGAAATGCCAAGTATATTGGACAAGAATAAAGACATTTATGCATTTAGCGTATAGAACAAGAAAAAACAGCAAACATTTTACAAATCACAAAATCTTGGTTACTGTTCTGTAAAGGTGGTTTGTCATTTGCTGTATGCAGGAAGGGATTTTAATGTTTGTTTTCTTCTTTTATTTACGTTGGACAATATTTCAGGGGTTCCTGAAAATTGGGTGGTTGTGAAACAATAGAAAAAAATACCTCAAGATATTGTTTACAGTCTTAAAAATTAATTATTGTATGTAATGTTCTATTATGTTTATTTAAAAAGTAGGATATCGACATGATTTATGTTATTAAAGTGACATCACTGTTATTAAATACATGTCAATAAACCTTGAGATCTTCATATTCTTTTTAACGATTGTGTTATAATCTTTCACATTTATCCAGATACCTAGCCATTGGAAAAAAAGTTTATTTAAAATATAAAAGATAATTTTAATTTGTTTAATTCAAATTGGTATTATTAATTTGACTTGTTCAACTTTTTTATCAGAAATATAACAGTAGATTTTAAATAATGATCTAAACTGACCAGGATATACTTTTTTTTGAATATTAAAGCTTTTCTTGTCATTAAATTTGCAATATGTTTCAGTGTTGAATTCATATGACGAAATTCACTGCCAGAGCATTTCAGCTCATCGATTTTAAAATTCAGTCCCTCTAAATCAGGCAAAACCTTGTTATTGTGGGGATTTGATGGATATAGGACTTAAAAGGCCAGTCTAACATTTTTAAACGCTTAAAGTACCACATAGGTTTTAAGTGTACAAAGAATCTTCCAAATTGAAAAAGAAAAATGTAACGAGTGTTTAATTTTAGTGGTTGAATGTAATTCTTCAAGATGTTCATATTTGGAACATATTTGGCAGTCAATACGGCCCAAAATGAACATATAGTGCCATACTCTTTGTCAAAAATCTGTCGAATGATGTCTGGGCTTTTAGCCCCATGCACCAAGTAATGTTTGAGTGGGAACATTGATTTGCCAGTTTCTTGAGCCGGTATTGTGGGGAAATGGTTTTCCTCTTGAAAATATTGCCGCTTAGGGATAGGAAGATTGTGGTATGCATGCTTAAATAATCGAATAAAGAAATAAATGTAAAAAAAGGAAAAAACATTAACATAAATAAAGAAAACCTTAATATTGAAATGATTATTGTAATGACTTTCATGGCATTTGCAAGATATGTTTTGTGCACAATTTATGATCAGTATTTTGCCTGATGAAATGCATGTTGTTATGCATAAATACTTTAAGAATTCCTGTCTTTGGAAGAGTGGAATGTTCAAATATGAGAAAAGTTATAATTTTTATTATTACTGCCATTTTTAACAAAATGATTAATACACATTTATGTTGTCATTTATGTCAAAAGCAATATCACTGCTGTAAAAATGAAATAAAATGAATTTTTGAATAAAAAAAAAGTTATAGTCATGTAGTTATATTAATGCAGAGTCATAGTCTAAAGCTTTTTTTTTTGCAGGAACATGATTTGCAAAAAAAAAGAAAAAAACTTCTTTGTTTCTGATTCAATATTGGTTCATGTTTTGCTTTTGAAACATCAGACCCTGCAATATTAGGCTAAAGTTGGGAGTATGCGTGCCCAATTGGTTTGGTGTCTTTTTTTTGTCCGCATGAACAAATTAAAGTTTCGTACCCCCCCCCCCAAAAAAAAGCAGTATAAATTTGTGGTGGGCGGAAACTGTGAACCAAAAATGTAATTCCCACGACTGTTTGGAATCGCGCCGCTTATTTGCACAAAGCTCCGCAGTGATAGTAGTATTCCAAATTTTAATATGCAAGATGGCCGCCTGCTGAATGACGAAGTCGGAAGTAAACGGAATGTTTTGGTTTATGAAAATGTAAAACAAAAAGTGGACCTTCGTCTCAAAGTTCATTTCTAGGATTGTTGTCACCGGTTGGTACCACTGTAAATCCTGTGTACCGTCTTAAGTTTAAGTTTAGTCATTTTGATCACTTTTAATAGGAGGAAAATTAAGTTCAATTCATCGTTGATCGTTCAGCATTTCGTGTGCCGAAACTGCATCTATGATGGTCTACTGAACACGGTCATGACGGTGAACAATGAATGAGTTGACTAGTGCAGTAAGGAATTTATTCGTCGAAACTACACTTGGAAGTGACACCTCTTATTTCAGGAACTAAGGAATGGACGATTCTGCCGCAGTTGTGGTAAACTAAACATATAATGCTGAATATTTTGTCATGTTTGTGTTGTTCTTTTCGTCCACGATTCCCTGATTCCTCCATGGTCAAACATGTCATTGTCAAACATGTCAAACTAAGTTTCTTTGTCATGTTTGGTCATGTTTGTAAATTGTATTTGTTTTCGTGTAAATTATCAAGTATTATTATTATTAAAATAATCATATTATTTATTTATTTATTTGCAACAACATCAAGAGCTAAGTGGTTGGATTAGAAACAAAGACACATCAAAATCTTACACAAATTGTAACATTAACAAAAAAATATAATTTACAATGAACACAAAAAATGGACAACAGGAAAATGAAAAACAAAGACAAAGAAACGTCATTTAAACACCCCCCCCCCAAAAAAAAATAAAAAGCGCCAAATTACTCTCAATTACAGTAAAAAGGAAAACAAATCTCATGAAGCAAAAAAGTGTGTGATAAAAACTAACTTCAAGTTATAAAAATACAGTGGGTAAATATAAGAGCATAATGATCGATAGTTAGGACATTGAGAACAAACAAAAAGTTGATTGACTTTTAACTATTTCTATTGCATAATTGCCCCCTTTTTTGTAATAAGAATCAGTGTCATTAGAATGTCATGTTGATGTATGGTTGAAACTTTAATCTTTCATTTACTTCAAAAACTTAAATAAAACATTTTTATTTGACAGGATGGCTCGTAAACCCAATTGTTTTTGAAAATTTTTAGAAGTTTCTGCTTGACGTTACTTTTCTTAAATTAAAAAAGAAATCATGGCGTTGACTGACTGAGATACATGAAATTTTGCCGTGTTGTTCATTTCTTCAGATGCAGTCTACCGATACTACTGCCCCTGATGCCGACTCAACTGCTGCCGAAAATGCATCAGAAAATCAAAGCACCAACGCCGACACCACCAACACTGACACCACCAACAATGACACCACCAACACCACCAACACTAACGGCAGCAGCAGCAGCAGCGGCAGATCAAGCTCTCGCAGCTCCCGTCGTCACCGCTCCCGCGGGCACCATCGGCACCGCAGCAGGCGGCGCCGTCACAACCCCAAGCGCAACGAGCGCAACCTGGTGGCAGCCATCCTGGGCATGGTGGTCATCGCGGTGTTAATCTCCTCCCTGGCTGAGCAGAAGTGGTTCCACTTGCACGGTGGAGAGTGTGCTAAGGAAAACATTGGCGCATATCAGTTCTTGACCCCCGGCATAGAAACCAGCGGAGGTATTTAGGCCAAAAAAAATAAATTCTGCTTCCAGTTTCCCTATCTACCCTATTCTAACAGCCCCTACCCTAATTTTTTTATTGGAAAAATGAGAAAAAAACACCCAAAACCATAATTTTCTACCTTTTACCCTTGACTACACGCAGACGCCTCCATATGATCGTACGCAAAAAAAATTGGCAAACAAAAATTTCCCTACCTACCTACCCGACATCCGACTTTATCGTTGAGACCCTTGACCAAGGATAGCCTATAAAACCACTTATTATTTATTGAATTCATTGAAATTAATTAATTTTTTTTTTATTTCCTATGACTTTCTTTCCTAACAGCTTACAGGTACTGTTTCAACACCCAAGTGGTAGCCATCATGCGTGCGGTCATCGCCTTCATCTTTCTTTCCATCACGTCCTCCCTCTTTGCCTTCTTCCTGGACACCCTGGGGCCCATGAAGTCCTCCCTGAAACTCCTGAGGCGACACGCGGCCGGCAACATCATTACAGGTGAGTCAACTGATGAGACATCTTCCTGGAGATGGAGGGAGAGCAGAACATTCAAAGTGTTAAAAGAATTGTTGTTTCTCAGAATAAAAATCGACGCACAAAAAAGATACACGGTGGTACTAACCCAAAATCCATGCATACCTTCAACATGTTCAAGTCGTCTCAGATGTCATCTGTAGAATGTTGTCTCAAATGGGAAAATAATTACAGATGCTGTTATTGTTGCAAGTTAAGGTTAAGTTCTGAGATATTATTTGTTACTGTGAAGAAAAAAATTCTCTTTGCTCAACTCTTTGACTCTGCTATATTTCTCTAACATTTGAAAAACATACAATCAACAAACACTTTCTTATAAAGGTACATGTACTTTGTGCATTTTTCTGCTCACCCTGTAATATTCAAATCCAGCAATAAAATCTAGTTCCGATAAGTCTGTCATAAGCTTATCACAAGTCATCAAGTGATCAGTTTTTTTTAATGAACAATGACAAAGGCATTCCACTGTCATTGTATATCCCGTCACTTGGACACTACTTGTGACTTGACTAGTGATTGACATCTGCTTTATTTGTGATTGGCTTCACTATAACTCGGCTATCTCTCTGACAAAATACATCTCATTCATAAAATTCATTTTTCAATTCGTTTATTTTTTGGGGACAGTTCTGTTGTGCCTAACCATGAGCGGCTTCTGCTACTGGTCGGCCTCTCTGATGGAAAGCGAAATGGACGGTCACAAGCTGGGCCCCAGCAGCAAAGTCCTGGTATCTTTCGGTGTGGGCTACTACCTCATTGTGGCATCGGGGGCGCTCTCCGTTATCATCGCGGCCACCAACCTGCTGCGGCCGTACTCGTCGTACGACGAGACGCCCCGGGAGCGACTGATCGAGGATTGGGACCAGTTATTGGAGGCTGAGCTCGCGAACATGCCCAGTGGACCGTTGATGAACCCCGCTAATATGCCGGAACCACCAGCCTATACCCCCTAGCACATGCAGTTGTGTTTTTTTATTATGTTTTTTTTTCTGTTGAACGTTTTCTGAATAATTGGAGTCAAACAATTGCACATGAAATACACAACATTTACTAAGAATGTGTTTTTTGTTCAAATTATGTGCTTAAAGTGCATTTTATTATTATTATTATTATCATTTCTGGTAATGAAACCTAGGATTCCTCAAAAGCGTCCTAGGCACTGTAGCTTGCAAGCCTGAAGAAACCTGTAGAGAGAAGACAATGAGAAGAAAGTTACAGTTTTAGAGGTGGGAGGAAAACCCCTGAAGAATATTCTGGGGGTAAACCCACGGAATCAGGTAGGGACTGAAAACCCAATCCACATATTGGCCCGGGCGGGATTCGAACCCGGGTCACAGCAGTGGAAGGCGAGAAAAGTACCACTGTGCCAACCTGACTGCCCTATTTTAAGTACGACTTGCAGCTTAAAATTGAGGTTTTTGTCCGAGAAGTTTTTTTGTCCCCAATTTGACCATCTGAAATGCCACACAGGTATTTTTTTGTCAAATTGTGACTTACAGAATCAGATTTGTCGAAATGACATGTATGAGTGTTTTGAATACAAAATTCACACTGCCATAACACCGGTAAAATAACAATGATTTGCTCCTTTTCTTTCATGTGTTCTGATATTAAAAAAAAAATTATGTTAAACATGCTAATGGAAATATACACAGAAATTCATATGAATTAATCTAACTTGAAGATGCTGTCTGTAGGCCCCATTTTTATTCAAATATCTAATTGAACTGTTGCATTATGCAGCTGAAAATGCAAATGTAGAGATTCGTTGATTTGTTTTGTTAAAAAAAAATGTACTGTATATTATTTTTTAATTTCGAAAAGTACTCGAAAGCGCTGTCCACAATGCACTGAGGAGATCGAATATATGAAGTAGAAAGTTACTCACAAAATTTGTTAAATATAAACCTTTCAACATACACTTTACCAATTTATTATTGTAATCTAAATTGGTGGAAGTGTTTACCATTGTATTTCCAAATATGATAGATTTGTTATAATACGTAGCACCCATTTCTAAAAGCAGCATATGTAGAATTAATTTGGTGATTGCAGTATTTGTTGTTGATGGCATTTTCAAATGTTGACAGCTAAAGTAATTCATATTTTCTCCATAGTATGAGAGCATTATATTCCGTGGTCAGCGCGTTCTATTGGGATGTCTGTATATATTTGATTTGATATAAAGACTATATTTGTCTCGTTTATACGAAAGCAAAAAAAAAAGTGAATATTGTAATTTATGCAATTATTTCTTATGCCTCTATCCGTACACCTATTTAATTTCTGTGGGCTTGGGCATATGTGTAGATATTCATATTTGTTCGGTATTAACGTATACTACAATTTGTATTTCGTTTCTTTAGCGTTAAATTGTTTGCAAAGATTTGTTTTGCGTGGCATGAATTCTGGACTGCCTTGGGTCATTTCTGAAACCTTGGGTTCAGCTGAGGCTTTAGGCTACATCACTAATTAAGATTTGTGACTCTGGCTTTGTCTCATCACTTTTTTACTGCACACTGTAGTGTAAATAAATAAAGTGTATGTAGCCAATAAGGAACATGTCCATTTACAACCTACTACAGCTAGGGCTTACAGTTTCAAAGCCAATCCCGAAGCTGAATCCAAGATTGTTAAAATTGACCTAATTGAGAGTTTCATTTGCATATCAGTACTAAAATACACAATGCTTTACTCAGTAATTGGCAGGTTAAAAAAATTGTAGCAAAGGTTTTTGTATCCCTAAGGAATTTAGATGAATGTATCAAAATAAAACCACTCTAATACATGTACTCTAGGTGCAAATTATTTTGTTTGGAAATAGGATGAATTTTAGGGATAACACCATTAGTTCTGAATTAACCCCAACTCCCTAGCATAATTTACTAGGTACTGTACCCATTCAGGCAAATTCCAACACCCACATAGGAAATCGTACACACGCACTGTTGGACTTAGTTTCTGGAGGTATGCCAGACCATCAGTTTAGGGGTACTGTACCTATCCCAACAGATTTCAACAAAACCTGCTGTTGGGCTTTGATGGGTTGAGTTCGGTTAGGGTTAAAAGAAATAAACACTTTTTGAGTAGAGAAATGTCCATGTTCAAAAAGTCACACTTAGAAATGTGTATATCATCTGCAAGTTGCAAGATGCACGTACATACCCGACAATTTCAGAGAATGAATTCTGGAATGATCAAATATCATCTGACACATCATGTGACCTAGTGTCTTTGGTCTTGCAAATTCAAAGAGAAACTGTGTCCAATATTAGAACAAGTCAGTGTTCCAGAAATTATTCATATTTAATTTACATAGGTCGCAGATCAGTTGTACATGGCTAATGAAAAATGCATTAATTTGGAATATAATCCTCATGAAGACAATACAATGAGAGAAAAGAAAATGGACATAAACCGCCCAAAACATGTAAGTTTGACTGGTTAAGACAAATGCTTTATTGTCAAAAAGTCTTCACAATGTAAAATGTTACACTATAACCAAACCTGGAGGTTACGAATGTGAACGATACTTTATGATGCATCGTTTTGTATAATTTACATAACAATATTGTCAAGTATTGTTGCCATATTTTGATGTACATGTAAATAAAATAATTTTTCTACCAGCAAAAGATGAACAGTCGTTCTCCTGCAGTGGTTATTTGTAACAATTATTATTTCTTACGTATCTGGAATTGGCTCTACACTTGATGACTAAAATTCAATGTACAGTTTCAGCCATTAAAACATCTCCATTATACTTTTGCAAAAAGCATTTCTGTGGAGTTAATTGACACTCAAAGTAAAACTTTTGCACGGCAAATTCGGAAATCGGACCCAACTTTAAACAGTTAACACCAGAGGACGTGTAACCATGATCTGGCAATGCATATTTGCAGGGGCGTCTGATGGGTTAAATTGTCAAGCTTTCACCGAGTTGCTGGCAGTGGACGTGTATACACGTCAGTGGTTCCCATTGGTTTTGTGCACACCGTGTTTTGAAGAACTTGGCCATGGTACACCGCCTGTCATCGTAGCAAATATCACTCCATGGCGGGGCCTTGGAGTGTTGCAATAAATGAAGGCACGTTGAGAAGTATCGCACAAACTTTGTACAAATGACTCTCAAGAATCAGTATTGTGTTTGACTTAATTCGAATATTTGGCCAATTTAGCTTGTCTTTATTGAAAAATGGTGTTTTTTTTCGGCCAAAGATAATCCCAGCCCCAAGTGGTAACAGTAAACCCCCTGAGAAAAATCTTGACAAGGTATAGGAACTTTAATTTATCTGTACAAGTATATGAAGTCATGGACAGTATGGAAAGTATAATACAGTTTTGAACTTATAAAGTGGGGAGGGCTCGGAGAAGTATTTACAAAAAGGAAAAACCCCATAACAAAAAGCCACCACATCTCAAATCTTGAAAAGTTTTGAGAATGCTATCTACAATCAGCTGTAGACAGCTGAACATTTATTCAAAACAAAAGACCATGGAAGCAATATGTCAGCTCACTGTACACAAAGAAATGTATCAGTTGCTTCATGTACCACCCAAAAACACCCTGCCTATTTACACTGTGCTGCCCAAAATTGCCCAAGCACACTATGGTTGTATGTACTCATCAGGGAATTAATACGATGTAATACAATTAAATACAATGTAATACAATCTAGTACAGGTGCTGAAGGGTTAATTCTATGTACAGAGGGTTATTCAGAAGTGTGCCATGGGGTCTTCGAATCGTCTCCTTTTCATACGGAATGCCTCCATCTCTTCTTCAGTTGGTTCCTTGGTCTCCATGGCGCGCAGGGAGTTGTACGGCCGCTTGCGCTCGTCCATGGCCAAGATGCGCTCAGCCTCCCGCTGGCTCTCTGCTTCCTTCTGCAGTGCCTGTGTAGTGGAAACCAGCCAAAAATATTAATATTGAGTTTAAAAATTGAATATCAAATTATGAAATTTTGGTTCGATTTCGTCCCACTGGCTCCTTACCTCTTGTAGTTTCTTCCGTTTTATTGCCTCCTCATCCTCTTCACTGTCACTATCATCGCTGCTGCTCTCCTGATGTCTCTTCTTCTTTTTCTTCTTCTTCTTGTTCTTCTTTTTCTCCTTTCTTCTTCGCTCTTTCTCCAACCGTTCTTTGTGTTGCTGTTGAGTGAAAAACATATTTAGATTTGCGACAGTTGGGAAACTGTATAACTGCGAGATGGGACTGACTTGTGATTGACTTTAATTGACTTGTGATTGACTTGTGATTGACTTGTGACGGGCTTGTGATTAACCTATGACTGACTTGTGACTGGTTTGGGATTGACTTGTGACTGACTTGTAATGGACTTATGATTAACTTGTGACTGACTTGTGATTGACTTGGGATTTACTTGGGATTGACTTTGGACTGACTTTTGATTGACTTGTGATTAACCTATGACTGACTTGTGACTGGTTTGGGATTGACTTTTGACTGACTTGTAATGGACTTATGACTGACTTATGATTAATTTGTGACTGACTTGTGATTGACTTCGATTTGGCTTGTGATTGACATGTGACTGACTGGTAACTGACTTGTGACTGACTTGGGATTGACTTGATTAAAAACGTTGGCTACAAGAACCACAATAGCGCCCTCAGCCGAGTATGCAGAGAGGGGATACAAATCAACTCACCTCCATCAGGGATTTCGGCTCTTCTTCCTCGCTTTCTTCGCGTTCCTGCTCAGGTATAATAGCCAAGTCCATGGTAGAGGCTTGCCGTCCAGCCTGGCCCGTGCAGTAGGAACCCCTGACGGTGGAGTGACAGCAGGCGTAGCCCCAGCGGAAGTCCTTCCAGTACGAACCCCACACGCTCTGTAGACACAAACAGTGTAAAAACCTCAGCCAATTCAAGTTATGAAACTAACACAGCCCCCGATGAACTTGCACTGCTGTCTGCTTGGTGCACGCCATGGTCAAGGGTATAGTTTGATGAACGGTGATCACAACTGAGTGCAGATTGAACGAACAGACCCAGCCTCTTAAAGCCGGCGCATAGCATCCTAGGTTGGAAGGTTAACAATGGGCTGTCTTCCGCTTGGGTGCTTCGGATGTCAAGCGGGGACGCGTCACTGATCATAATTTCCGTACCTTGAAAATGTATGGATGTTAAATTTCGGTCGAAAATGCTGCTTTTCCAAGAGTATAATTATACATATGGGTATGCCATGCTGGCATTATTGTTAGGAACAGACAAAAAACTAATATCAATTTGGGTCATTCTTTTCTATCCTTGTTAAATCTGACATGTTTCTATGATTTTATAATTCTGATGCACTCCTTAATAAAGTCGTCCTCCACAAGCAATAATGAAAAGCAAACTATCCACCTAACAAATATATATCATTTATGATACTTAAATGGCAAATTACAAAGTACCAAAGTAACAGGAACAGGAAAAATGTCACACTTCTATAAATTCAGATTTATGGAGTGGCCCATTTATTAAGTGACTTATCCACAAAATCACTGCTCATAGCACAGTTCGCATATTAAACCAAACTCTTTTGAAAATATTATTAAGAAGATCATCTCAGCTCCCCAGCTGCAAATGACCTTCCAACAGGCATGCAACTAGGAATGCCTGAAAAAAAAAGAAGAAATTCCAAACCACACAAGACTTTGTACTGTATTTTTCAATTTGTAATGGCATTCATGAGAAGTAAAAAACGAGGAAATCAGCGGATCCGAGGAAAAGTTGCATGCCTGTTCCAAAGATCTGATCTGATCTGCCACACTCACCGTGTGATTGCTGGTCAAGACGTCCTCTTGGTATTTGGATTTGACCTTTGCCCTCTCCTGACCTTTGATGACATTGCCGTGCCTGGAGTACTCAACATAGTCCTCCTGTTACGATGACAAAATAAACATTGTTTAATGGATGAAACGCCAAGACAAAAACGGATAACTTTATCGCTGATTCTTGAAAAAGGACCTTCAAGTCAAGCTTTTCCTTCTCAGCAGACTGTTGATGCAAGTAACAACAGAGCCCAATTTCATAGAGCTGCTTAAGCAGAAAATTTGCTTAAGCACGAAAAAACATTGCTTAGTAAAATTAGGTTACCGGCAAAAACTCCATGTGATGTACATTGCTTGTGACTGGTATTTAGCTGTTGTTTACTTAGCATAACAATTGCATGGAGTTTTGGCCGGTAACCTGATTTTATTAAGCAAGACGTTTTTGTGCTTAAGCAAATTTTCTGCTTAAGCAGCTCTATGAAATTGGCCCCAGATCTCAGAACACACAGCAAAAATAACCAGTCAATGGAATAATGTAATATGAATATCACTGAATATGAGCTTGTATGATGGGATTGAGCATTACAACTTCAGGCTTTGAATCCAAATTCCAAAAAATGAAAGCTCTTCATCAGAAGAACCGAGGGGTTAGGGGAAACAAGACCTACATAGTACATTGTACGCCAGACACAAATTAAAGTCATTGAACTCAACAGGAGCAATGAATGGTCACATTTTCAGCTTACCGTCTGGGCCAACAAGAGTTCCCGCGCTGGTGCCTCCAGATGCTCTGCTCCTCCATACTACGGGGAAAAAATGAAATAAAACATCAATATACCAATTAGCAGCCAATTTAGGCTGGTGCTTGTTAAACTTGATCAGCGCATTGTTCAATATTCAAATATTGGATAAAATTGAATACTCGAATACAACATTATTCAAAAATGCCTAGCTCTAGAGTATGACATTTTTGGCTTTTCATCCCTATGATCCGTACTTAAATCTTACATAGCAGTGATACGATAAATGATGTTTTAACATCTACTGGGGTCTTGAGACTTACTCGCTCCAAGATGCTGCCTTTCTGGTTTGCCTTGAAGTCGTCCTTCTTGACAGAGAACTCCTTGTGTAGCAGCTCTAGCTTGGTGGGCTCGGCCTGCAGATGTACGTCAGTTCCTTTTTCTGAAGCCTCCCATGCAAACACTTCAAGTAAACACCCCCCACAAAAAATGTCAATAACTTCTAATAAATTGAGAAACCTACATAGTAGAGATTGTCAGTAATACAGATAGTTTCTAAGTTGTGTTATTGTCGAGTCTTCGTTCCAGACCAACGTACTAGACTTTATTCACGAGTCGGCCATATTAAATTCAAAGGTAAACTCTTTATTATTGGAACTTGCAAGTAGAAATGAAAGCAATGAAATAAAAGTTCATTACAAATTAATACCAGTCTGCTCTGATGAATAATTTAAAACTTGTGATTAAACATACCTGATGTTTTAAGCCACATTTAAAAAAAGAAAGAAAGTGAGGCTTGGCACGCACTCCAATCATAAAATAGTCTGGCACCAGCCCATTCAACAGTTTACAATATATAAAAAAGATTCAGGGAACACTATCAAAGATGGCTTCCTCCTGAATAAGGTCTATAACAGAACGAGGCCCCTGTGAGTGCGATTTGACTCGAGAAATGGTTCTTGCCCAGATTTGGCTCTTTACTCCGGCATGATTATTGAGGCCTTAAAGGTATCAGAAACATAAATCTGGCAAGTCGAGCAAAGCGGGCGACAGGCAGTAAAGCCGCCTCCAGGCAAAGCCTTGTCGCTGTAATAATTGAAAAAGCTGGAACTGAATTGAAAAATTTGTTCACTCACGCTGTGCTGTGGCCATCTCTTTCGTGTCTCCCGTCGCTCTGACAAAATTGTCGCCGGCCATTTTGGAACTGCAATAGGGATGTAATACCAAGGCAACTTGATTTCATATTTGTTTTAAAAAATCACTTCGGATATATATTATCGCATCTAGCAAAAGGATGGCTATCAGTCATCATGGCATCAGTTTAACCCTAACCCACCTCACTCCTCCAAAATCCTCCTGGCGGTTTTGGAGGATTCTAGAGGATTGAGGATGAATGGTGATTGAATCAAATGAGGATTCTGGAGGATTGAGGATGAATGGTGATTGAAGCACATGAGGATTTTTGAGGATTGAGAATGAATGGTGAATGAAGCACAAGAGGATTTTGGAGGATTGAGGATGAATGCATTTTGAGGCAGGACTGTCTGATGATTTTGAAGGATTTGGCATTGGTTATCCTTCATTTAAACACGAGTGCAAAGTTTTGGGATGAGGAGGATTTTGGAGGATTGAGGATGAATGCATTTTGAGGCAGGACTGTCTGACAATTTTGAAAAATTTAGGCAGAGTTGAAAAATTTTGGAGGATTTTGGAGGATTGAGGATGGTTGTAAGCAACAAGGGCCTAGGGGGTTAGGGTTAATGCTTAATGGCAAATGATTCCAATCCCAAACCATATCAACCTTTTTTTCACAACTTGCAGGATTTTACACAGCTTTACATAACACAGCACTGAAATTCATTAACCAGTTCACGTCGGATGACATGTATACACGCAATGGTTTTGCTGTATTCGGAACAGATGACAGATAAACATGCAACGAGCGAGGCTGGAAGTATCTGTCAGCGACCCGCTCCCAGCGAGCGAGGCTAGAAATATCAGGGTGTGCTACCCGCAGATGACAGCCTGAACCCGTCTGGCATGGAGGTTCGTGAAAACTATCCCGCGCCTGGGTCCGATCAATGTCAAAATAAGCCCGGCGTGAACTGGTTAAGGCAAGTAGCTTAGACACAGTGTCCAAAAATATTGTTGTGATCAATTGACAATTGCGCAGCGATGCGTAACTGAAATTAAATGAAACTCATAGGGATTTAGGCCAAGGATAAAGAGTATCTGCACAATCAAACATTTTCAAAATTGACTTCATGGTTTTGTAGTTATTTTTAAAAAAAGTCAGATGGACACTTTTTGGGGGACATACTGTACAGAGAGTGATGCCGTTGGGTTCCTACATAGTAGTGGGACGTGGAAGATTTAACAACATTAATAGCAAACATGCAGAGGGAGTCGGGAAAACCGCTAAGAAATCTACTCACTTTTCTCTCGTATATTAATCAGTAATTTTTATTCCAGCAAACACTTACTCTTCAGCACTCTGATCTTTGAAGGGGTTCTGCCTCATGGAGCGAGTCTTGGGGTCGTAGTACGCTGAGTTTGGATCAAGATTGTACAAATACTGCAAGGGGAAAATATATCAAAATGTCAAATCTCGTCAGACTTCAATAAAATATCTATCAGGTTGTTCATTATTTATTACAATTTTTTTTTGTTAATAATGTAGCTGAGTCAGTTACAGACCACTGTCACTGCATGAGTTTTAAGGAATACTTTTTGTTCAGGAAATACAAATCTACACAACTATAAGCATTTGATTAAGCAATAAATATCCTTTACAAATAGTCATTAAAGTCTACAGGTAACTTAGCATTTAAAATGAACAACAGAAAAAAATATGACAAAAAGAAATAAACACAAAAATGTAAACAATCGCTAAGCATCTATACTACTCACCTTGGCTGTGTCCTCCCTGATTCTAAGGTTACGCACTGTGATACGTCTATGAACGAAAATCAAAAGAAAAAGAAAATAGATATTATTTCTATCCTAACTTGCTGATTGATAAGCATATTTGAAGACAATATTTGCATTACAAACAATAAAAAAAATCATCCTTGACTTGGACCATTACCATTATACGGGGCTTTTAAAACTACAAAGAATGGTATTTGAGACAAATGTGGCTCACCTTTTGCTGTCAAAGTTGGTACCCGGCATGTCAAAGTCATCAGCGTACTTGTCCTCATCAGCGTCACTGTTGTCACTGTCTCTCTCCTGTTGTAACAATCACAATCTCAAAAATCAGAACCAACCAAGCCAAATTATGTTGATAAGCACTAATTTCCAAGTGTTGCTGCTCAGCATCAACTCAAAACAGAAGGTTCTTTGATGTAAAAACTGAAGTTTGTAGGCAAAAAAGCAATGTAATGTACATGTACACCCATACTCAATTTGTATCCTTGTGGAGACATCGCTTTGTTCACGAGTACAAAATCGTGAGAGAGTCGAAACCTATTTTCAAAATGCTCCTATTTAACCAGAATTACTTTTTTTGGGTTGAAATTCCGACCAAATATCCTTTACATAAAATACTTTAATTTGTTTATCTTGGAAATTCCTAATTTTTGAGTAAAATCCATATATCTATTTCATGAAATCCTTCACCTTTAGAAATTGCCTTGTGGAGACCTTTACAATCTTTTTTCTGTATTATACCCGGGTCTCCACAAAGCATCATTTTTCGAAACACTTTATTCATGACTAATTCTCATATGTTTTTCTTTGGGGGGGGGGGGGGCTGCTTTGTAAGTATATTTGTAAGTTCATTTCTTGCAACACATCTAGATGAAATAAGCTCTAATTGCAAAAAAACACACTGGCTTCCAAATTTATGGAAGCAGCAAATATTACAGAATCTGGTTGGACCTCCATGCTGATTCATGGACATTGTCGCAGTACAGTCACCTCACACAGAGGAAACCAAACCCCTTCATCCACACTCTTTGAAATTCAAAACATTTTTCAAAACCCCTCAACGGAATGTTGACAAGACAAGCAGTCTGCCTGAAAACACAAGATATTGATTGCATCTTTGATCGGAGTGAGCCTTCGGAAAGTGATCATAAATAGGTTGAGTTGAGGTGAATAATTCTGCCTACCAGTTGCTCGGTTGTCAGCTCTCCCGATGCGAAGTCTTGAAGCTGCTTGCCTTTAAGCTGTTTCTTGGCCTGGTACAACAACAATAAGAATTAAATTGAACAGAATCTAACAAATTGAATTGATTTTTCAATAAAACTGAAAAACAAAAATACTGCAAGTTAAACTTGTGCGATCCCCTTGGCATGCCGGCAGTATTTATACAGTCAGTTAGTAAGCACACTTTTCAGTGTACCAAACCAAAATCAACAATGACCTCATTTGACCTCTAGATGACCTTTGACCTCAAAAGTCTCAAGTCATGTCCCCCTATAGCTACCCAAAGATTGTCACCAAGTTTGGTTGAGAGTGAAGCACTTTTCAGTTTATCTGACCAAAATCAACAATGACCTCATTTGACCCCTACATGACCTTTGACCTCAAATGTCTCAAGTCATCTGAAGTCCCCGTACCCAAAGATTATTGTCACCAAGTTTGGTTGAGATTGAAGTCTGACTTTTCATATGACAGCACTAAACAGTTAACCTAAAATGGAACACACGGACACACATACACACTGAAGTTTACACTACTGCAAGATGCCCCTTTCTTGGCTTAAAACCAGGGGGATAAAAACTGAATTGATGCCATACCACTTCTTTTTTGCAAATCAAAACCTCACCTCTTCTATTTTGGCGTATTCGTCTAACACCGCTTCGTATTCCTCAGGGTTGTAGCCATTCCATCGGTCTCGCTTCCCGTCGTAATCAAAGCTCAGCTTTGGCTGCATGTGTTCGTCTGGCGCAAACTGATCCCCTGTAAACTTGGCCCCGACTTTGCGAGGTCTCTGGAGTAATGTTTAAAAAAGGCAAAGTTTTGTTTTTGAGAATTATAATTTAGGATTGGATAATGACAATAGTGACAAGTCAGTGATTAAGAATTTGAAACAAGATGCAACAATTCCTATGGGAAATAAGACAATTAAGAATATTCTTGATGTACCTGTGCAGGAACTGAATATAGTAAAAGCTTACAATTTTTAACTACTTCGAGTGATGGAGTAGTAAAACTAGCTTCCCGGGGTGATCCATGGGGCATTCTCATTTGCTGAGTGAAAGCAGAGGGAAAATAGCAGGCCCAATGGATCGTAGAGGGAGGTTTATTTTCGCATTACCTCAACGCAATCTTTCTTCTTGTGCGTCATTGCTCCACAATTTTCGCAGGCACCTTTTCGGAATTTTGTTGAAACGGCCCCCTGAAATAAAGAAACAAAGAGTGTGATGTCATGTAAAATTTTGATTTCTGTGACATCGCAGCAGAGAAAAAAATTACCACAAAAATTGAGATACTGCTTCAAGTAAAAACAATTTTATGTCAACACAATTTTTTTTATAATACTTCAGCACACATGCTGACACTTTAAGCGATCCTGCATTTTTTGGTCCATTTTTAATATAAAAATTAAAGTGAATATACAACATTTGCAAACATCAAATAACAAAAACAACCAAACTATTATGAAATACCTTATGAACTGTTAGTGAATGACAGTCTAAAGCATCCTGTAAAATCATGGCACCTGATGTGCTGTCATTTTCAAGAAAAAGGTATTTTTGTATCAATTTTCAACGCTGGTCAGCCGACCAGAGTTGGAAAAAACTGATTTTTTTTCAAATACTGCCCCCAATTTACCATATTTTGTCAGTAAGTTCAGTAAGTCTGCATTTTGTTTGCAATTGATTACACACCTGTGAAAGGGTACAAGTCTGCTAGACTGGTTCCCCGACCTTACAATTCCTTGATGTCTATAAATTGCTCTGTTTCATCTTAAGTGGGTCAGGGAACCAGAATACAGAAAATTATTGTTTTTCTTGGGTTTTCCAGCATCTACGAACACAAAACTTCAAACAAGTCAGTCCAACAGTATTTGCTATAAAATACTAACCCCGCAAATCCATCCATTTCTGAAAATTACAACAAAAGCAAAGGTTGTATATTTCCTTTAAGTCTAATGAACTGTATTTTCCCACAATTTCTTGGTGAAGGGTTAAACTTTCGGTAATTTTCAGATTTCTCAAATAAGCTTTCTAAAAAAAAAATGATAATCACGTGTTGTCTTTTTCAATTACTCTGTCTAATGCCTAATGCATGTTTTGGCTCATACCTCGCGTACTCCCTTCTTGTACCATGACGCAATGTCTGAGAACTGCCTCTCTTTCTCCGCCTGTGGTCTCTGATGCTTCAAAGTCGGTTGGCCGTACCCAACGTACCAGGGCACGGTAGAAATATACTGGGGGATGTGAGGGTTGATGTCTCTGAGAAATGTAGAAAACAAATCATGTTAAAAACTTGAATTCTCTCAATGTCTTAACTTCTGAGCAAATAAATGTTGGGTGTTCCCAACCTACAGTGGTTAGCCATCCAATATTGATGATACACCTGAATCATATGCTACTTTGAGAAACAGTTATAGCCTTCTAATTTACCAGTTTTAAAGCTTGTTTACATCAAACAGAACAAAAAATAACTGCACAAAAATTACTGGAGACTACAACCTAATTTAATTTATTACTTGTATTTGTATCATATATTACTAAATGTACCATTAGGGAGACACGTTATCGTAATTTTTTTTCGATAATAGGGAGGCACCGGCTTTTAGGGAGACACATAACTGTCTCCCTAATGGCACAGCCCCCCTTTAGAGGCAAGATTTTACTGTCACAATTAGGTTATATTTGTTGCTCGTGGTCTAATTAGTAAAAAATACCGAAATTCGTGGAAAACGGACAAGGGAAAATTGGGTTATAGTTTGACAAAAAATTGTGCACAAGTCTAAGGGAAAGTCTCCCAAATCACCCATTTCCGGTTATCATTATTACTTGTATCATAATTGTTCACGTAATTATCATGTACATCAGGGCTCAATGTGGATCAAGACTTAACACTCAGAAAACTTTCTTGGGTACTGCAGATACATGAATGCAACCATCGCCTGGAAAACCCATACTTACTTTCCCTCTTCGTCGGTGAGCGCAGGGGCGGTTCCCGCCTTTCTGGCCTCCTCCAGCTCCTTGGCTTTCCTCCAGTCTTCTCTCTTGGACTGCTGGGAGGGCTCCATGGAGGAAGCGACGGAGCTGGCGGCCGCCGAGGGCAGCAAGCCCGGGGCTTGCATGGACATGACTGGGCCAGGGGTTGGGCAGACTTCGATGTCTCGGTTCCACGATTATTAACTGCTGTTTATCTGTTTTTGAAAGGATGAATGTTGTTAATTTTACCACCAAATAATAAAGGAAGAAAAACGTGTCACAATTCTACATATCCGTGCAACAAGGTGGAATCTACAAAAAGAAAAGTTAAATTGTCTTCCCCCAAATTTAATTAATGATTTTTTAATCCCAAATTTACCTTTTCTCAACATACTTTAGACAATCATTGATAATGATTAGAAAATAGGTGTTCCCAAATGTTTAAAATAACAATGAATTTGGGACCGAGAAACATATTAAATTTTGTTGAAATATTCCCTAAAAAATATTTGTCTTCACATGTCATAGCCTGGCCTAGTACACATGCACATCACATAACATTACATGCATACTGCATAGACTTTGTACACAAAACAAATCAGATCATAATGAGGCTTAGCCCCACTAGTGTGGCCGTCGGTATGCTGCGCTGAACCCAAGGCCACACACCGTGGTCTGCGCACTACTGAGGACGTTTTCATAATTTCAACAGCGAATTTCTTACATATGGTTGTATTCTACGATGTCCCAACTTTCACTTCTGGGATGCTTGGGTGTAATGATGTTCAATTTTCCAAGATATTCTTGAATCTTTCTGGAGCCCATATGCACTCGTGAAACGTCTGGTGATGGCAGCCATTTTGAATGTGACAAGAGATGACCTCAAGCTGTGACGTCGCGTTTATGCAAATTGCTTGTCGAGCGAGGGCGCGAGTTGCAAATGCGACGGCTGTTTCCTGTACCATGCATTTATCGTCTGGGGGCCACGTGCACTGATCTCTATTCAGGATCTACGGCACAGGAAACAGCCGTCGCATTTGCAACTCGCGCCCTCGCTCGACAAGCAATTTGCATAAACGCGACGTCACAGCTTGAGGTCATCTCTTGTCACATTCAAAATGGCTGCCATCACCAGACGTTTCACGAGTGCATATGGGCTCCAGAAAGATTCAAGAATATCTTGGAAAATTGAACATCATTACACCCAAGCATCCCAGAAGTGAAAGTTGGGACATCGTAGAATACAACCATATGTAAGAAATTCGCTGTTGAAATTATGAAAACGTCCTCAGTAGTGCGCAGACCACGGTGTGTGGCCTTGGGTTCAGCGCAGCATACCGACGGCCACACTAGTGGGGCTAAATGAGGCTGAGCCTGAATTTTACTTAGCTTTATTTCTCCCAAAAAAGTGCGCTCTAAAGATAGTACAAATGTAAGGAAAACACCTTTACCTTATTAGATGTCTCTAAATATTATGAAACCGTGGTAGTTTCGTGTAAATATTGTACTTTTTTGGCAAAACTTACCGACGTCACTTTCGCTGCGTAAACCTATGAACGTGAAGAAAACGCGATGGTGCCAGTCGTACTCCCTGTCTACTTATCACGCTTTCTTATGAACTGACTATTCATTTCTAAATTTTCGTCGCATACGGCTGTTTAAAACAACTGAGTATAAACACAAAACAGCCGTTGCCTCCCAGTAAAGCACAAAGTCTGGTATTCGCCTGTCACGGGACATTGGTACATACGGTAAATATTAGCCTATTGTGCCGTGTACCAGACTGTTGAAGAACATTTTCGTGTGTTTTGGTTTGTGGGCAGTGTGCAGATTTAGTGGCAAAATTGAGTTATTTTAACACCAAATCGGATTGAAAGTTATCGTGGTGGAGCTCTAAAGAACATCAGAACTGGGCTAGTTTTGTTGGATTTGTCATAAAACCCAATAAACATGATAAATAAACATCAACTTTGACCGTGTCATTTTGGGTTGTAAACTTCAGCAACACCTTGAACAAGAGTGATTCACATTTGTAATCATAGGCTCATGAGTCATCGACACCGAGTTTTATTCTGACCAACAATACTAAATCTGTGTGACATTAACTGCTAGATATATGAAAGTTTGAAACCATGGGTCTCTTCGGTAAAACACCACAAAAGGATCCTAAAGAACAGGTATGTTGTCAGACTTTTTCTACGCTTTAATTTTATTTTCATTTTAATTGCGCATACATTTTCTGAAATTTTTCAGAAAATTTAAGTTTCGTTCGGAGTATGTTAGACACGGCTAATCATGTATTAAATGTGTGTCTTAATCTACTAGATTTCATGTTGAATTATAATTGATCGCTTGGGTGAGCTACTGCATTGCCTTTGAATTATGTGTAGAGTTTGGCCCATCACACTCCTTTTGTCCTCTTACCAAAACAGGTTCAAGAATGGACGAGGAGTCTGAACAGAGAATCAAGAAAACTGGACAGACAGATCAGATGTGAGTAGATAATGGTTGTCGACATTACAGGAGGTAAAAGAATGTTCATTGCTGAGTATGTGCAATTAATGAAATATCCTCGCATAAGTCTGAACGCTGCTTTCATTTGTTTTGTTTTACATGCAGCCATCGAGAGAGAAGAGTTGAAGGTGAAGAGATCCCTGAAAGATGCGGCCAAGAAGGGCCAGAAGGACGTGTTAAAGATCCTAGCCAAGGAGATTGTCAACTCCAGGAAAGCTGTCAGGCGGATCCACACCTCCAAGGCGCAGATCAACTCGGTCAGCATGCAGATGAAGAACCAGCTGGGTAAGATGGAGTTGTATACGCTCCGTGCGTGAACTGATGAGGCGCTCTGTAGTCTGCTAATGGGAGTTAAGTCAGGGCACAATGCAATGGCAGCATACTTATCCTAGATACAAATGGCAAACGTGTCTGATTGGCTTGCGTGCATGTGTACATTGTGCAACGAAGGATTCTGTACTTACTTAGTGAGCGCAGACATTTTTTGCTAGTACTGTAAGTACAAAATGGTGGTTTATATGCATAGGGCCCAATTTAGCAAAAAAAGTTGCGCTTATTATAGCAGAAAATCATGCTGCTGCTTATAAGCACTATTTCATGGCGTGGACGAGCCAACGGTTGTGCGTGTATGGAGATTTCTATTGTTATATCATTGATTTAAGCACATTTTTCATCTTAGTTAAAGGTAGAGTCCATCATTTGTAATTTGTGCATTTTGTTCGTTTGAAGCAACAAAAGAGTTCAAAATCTAATGAAGGATACTGAGCAACTAACCTGATGAAGTTTCAGCTAAGCTTCAGCTGTACATTCCGAGAAAAACAGCATTCTAAGATCTCAATTTCAAATCAAAAGTTGCTGAATCATGTTTTGAATTGTTTTGAATTGCAACTATACGCGACGTCGCGCACTGATCCGACGAATTATAACAACCGCGCGCGCGTGTGCGTCGTTCGAATACTTGTGCGCGCTGCGCTGAATAACAAAACGAACTACTAATTTAAATTTTCCTACGGTGCTTCTTAAGAATCACCGTTGGAAATGCCTTCTTTCGTTGATTACTTCAAAATGACAGCTTCCCAGAAAGAATAATTTCACAGGGAGTTTAGTCTCCTTACTATCTTTCAACCAAGTTAGTTTTTCAACAATAATTACGCCAGTTACTTTTCGGATGGCTGCAAATGATGGACTCTACCTTTAAGCGTGCTTTTGCTGTGCTTACTGCTTACAGTCTCTATGAAAAAGATGGAGGCTCGGTATTAAAGCACAAAATCGGCTGTCAAGCAGTGCTATAAAATTGGGCCCAGGTCTGTGGTTTAATAGCAGAGACATGAAATGGATCCTTCCTGCATGTCTATCAAACGGTGCGCATAGATTATTAGATCACATGTAGGTTGGGTGACCATACTAGCTCAGCTACACCTGGTCACATGCACTAAGAGAAATATACATGAATTAAAGGTGGGCGGGACCAATCAGCATTGCTGGTGGTAATTTAAAAAACTTCCAATGCTGAAAATTTTGAAATCCGACGCTAATAAGTTTCACAGATGAAAATTTTAAATTCCGAGTGATTTGTTTCTTCGTTTCTTCCCCAGCCCTGATCAGAATGTCTGGGGCCATGGAGAAAAGTGCCGACGTCATGAAGTACATGTCACAGCTATGCCGGGTCTCGGACGTCCAAGCCACGATGATGGAGATGTCCAAAGAGATGATGAAGGCTGGCATCATTGAGGAGATGGTGGAGGACACCTTCGAGTCCCTGGAGGATGATGACGAGATGGAGGAGGCCACCGAGCAAGAAGTGGAGAAGATCCTGTTTGAGATTACGGCTGGTGAGACGATCAATCAATCAATCACTCAGTTCTGGTTTTCTTTTAAAAAGACTGACTACTACCAAATAAGAAGTCTATATCTTCTCCTTCATGGGGAAAAATCCATCTTAAGATGTTGAATCTGGCGATGCAAGTTGGCATGTTGATCACAACCAAGCTGCTGTGGTCGTGCCTCCAAAACAGGTTGTTCTTCTTTCCTTCAAACCCTCTTGGCCATGTTTGGAGGTGAGAATTGTTAAAAATCATTTTCTCTGTAAAACCCTTTCAGATATCAGTTTATTTATATGAGTTCATTTGAATAACTTGTGACTTGTCCTGACGTGGGGCAGGATAACTTGTGATGGACTTGTGAGGATTTGTGATTTAACGCAATCGTGAAACTGGCAAGATATAAGAAGATCAAACCGATGGTTTTGGCAGCAAACATTCATTCTTGTTTAAATTTTTCAATTTTTTTTTATCAAGGTCACCTGAGTGACGCGCCCAGAGCAGTCAACGACGACCTTCCGGTGCCGGCAGGAGCAACGGCCGCCTCGGATGAAGAAGAAGAAGCAGCCGAAGACATCTCCGAGATGCAGGCGAGACTGGAGGCACTCAGGAGCTAAGATGGTAACCTTGTGTCGTGTTGATGTGTCGAGACCTTGTACAAATAACACAGAGCAATCAGAAATTAATGGACGCTGTGCCGAGGATGAAATTATGGTCAGACGTCAGTCTGTTTCTGTCCGTAAACCATATTTAAAAATTAAAAAAAAAAGGATTTGCTTGGTTAACTTGTTCAACTGGAAGTGCATTCTGAGATGGATAACAAATTTGACACCAGGTTTGTAGCAACTAGTTAGGTCTGTCCAGTTTTGAATAATTAGTATTCGATTATACGAAACTGCACTTTACCGAACATTCGAAGATTCAAAACTTGCAGATCAAGTTTTACGCACGCCAGCTGCAGCTGCCTTCCTCGCTGGTCAGAAGTTGCATACAAAGCGCGCCGGTTAAAATTTGGATACGGCAATGGATATTATGGGTCGCCGGAGTGTCTTGCAGTAACTAAGTATAACTGTCTATTTTCACCCAGCTAAAAGAATGGGACCAATAAATAGGCATTGGCAAAAAAGTTACCATTGACAATAAAGAAACCCTGCAACTTTACAATTTCAATAACATCAGTCGTGTGTGTGCATGCAGAGTTTTTTCTTTTCGAATATTCAAACCGGCAAAAAGCTATTCCAATTTTCGGTTGATGATCGAAAATTTGGTACATTTGGGTCAGTCCTACAACTGGTCAGGCTAGTTCATTCAGCCTGAGCAGTTTTGTGCCAAATTTCACCCTCAAGCACTGTGTAGTATATGGGAGCCAGTGATGCATGAGAAGGCATGAGGTACAGAAGGCATGAGATATTATCTTTTTCATTTGAATGTTCAAACATTTGTAGCATCTGTGATTGAGTGCAGCGCACTGGAGCATTGACACGGAGAGTCATAGAATAGGAGTTCTGTTTTGCATTTTGCTGATAAAATGCACAGATCTAGAGTCTGTGGATAAATCAAGTCCACGTAATGGAGGTACATGACAAATGGAAAAATGTATGTAGGCAAAGGATTATAGGCAAGGATAATATTGCCGTTATTTTGCTTTTTATGTATATATTTTTCAATAAAATCTGTATAGACTAACAAATTCTGTAATCAAAGAATTAATTAGCTCCACTTGTCAAAAATCTAGATTAATTCTGTTGTTTTTTTATTTTGCGAGTGACATGGGATTTCGGGCAAATTTGTAAATAGAGCCAATATTTCAGGGTTGTTTTTCTACAGACCTATTTCAAGGGATGGTAGTCTTGTGTTGTGCGCTTACGCCTCATTTTTGCTTGGACTGCGCAATGCTCACGTGTAGACTATCCTTGATAGAACAAGAATAGCAATGAAAGCCACAAAACTCTGTTTCTGAAAAAAATAGCACAATCAACTATCGTATAAGTCACCCCTTTCAGTGCCTTCGTGATTGCCATGGAACAAGAATGATCCTAACTGTTGAATAGTAATCCCAATTACCATGGGTGAATGGGACTTTTTGAGCCCCGACGTGAATGGGAGCAATAATGAATGTCACGTGATGTGAGTTCCACCAATCAAATGACAAGGATCTGTATGTCAGTTGTATAATAATTGAAATCTGCACTTACCTTAATCTATCAAAATCTATCCCAGTTTTAGTTGTTTTATAAAATTTTCAACCGCTTCCCTCCCCCAGAACTAACTTCTTCCTACAAAAGTTACATCATCCACCATATGGTCATGATAAATTGAAGCATGTAGTGGTGTTCCCATACCATATTACTTCAATTTTAATAAAATATACGGAATTCTAAGTATTTCGGAAATGGCAATTTGAAATAAGCCATTTCGGAGTTACAAAAATGTACTACTGCACGTGCGCACATCCGACTCAACGATTAAGTGTCGGAAGATAAGCAAAGCAGATAAATGCACACAAGACTATGGGGGACGTGGTAACCAAATCCACATTTTGCAATTTTGTTCTAGTAAAACAGAAGATGGATATTTTTGTTCGCACAAAAGTTGGAGCATACAAAACATCTTAAACCATGGTGCCGTTGAAAACAATCATCGAATCAACATTTTGCATCTACTTAAAAAAAAAGAACTTTTCTTTGATTTCGTTGGTACCCCGCTATGATTTTGCACACGTGTGGCGAACTGTTTATCCCCCGACCCTAATCGTTGTCATGGGATGTGCGCATGCGCAGTAGTACATTTTTGTAACTCCGAAATGGCTTATTGGTAGATTGCTGGTTGTTGACAGCAAATGGAAAGCCCAATTAAGGATGTACCCCACAGTAAAGTCTGATGACCCAGTAAATGTAAACATTGTAGCCATTGGACGTAGTGATGATGCTGTAGGTGTACGCAGCCAATCAGGAATGTCAACATTAATTTCCTTGGTCACTGCTTATGCAAATCGGTTGTCCGTGCTCTATGGTCATTTGGTGTGTATTGTTGGGGTCAGCTTTTTTGAAATATTTGCAAATATTTTGCAAGGTTTGTTGACAAACAAGCCATGCATCAAGCCTGCATCTTCATGTTTATTTTGTAAACAGAAGGACTCTGCTGTAAACGACTCCACAATGTCAGAAATTTCAGAAAAAAATATTCAGGAGAAAACAATCGAGAAAAACAATTCAACCAAGATTATTGTTCTCCTTTTAGAAATAATCACAGCTTTATTGTATATTTGGAAAAAATATATATTTATGGACTAAAATGATGAAAAGACAAACTTTGTTTATTTATCGGGTAGTTTTAAGTCTGAAAAATCAAATTTGACTTAGTGATAAAAAAAAATGAGATTAGCATTTTGATGGTTTTGCTTTTTGCCATCAATCATTTTTAATTTCCAATAAAATTAAATCGTAGAAAAAAAAAGTCATGACTACCTTCTCATAAATATGCCTTTATTTGTCTCTTTTAAAAATATTTGTCTGATAATAACGTTTTTGATAAAGTCATATGTAAATCTTGATAAAAAATATACAGCATACAATTAGGTGCATCTCAAATAGAATTTAAAACAATAGTCGTGTTCTCTGTGAAAATTTATACATCTTTAAAGGAATATCCATATTAAAGGAATATATACAAATTGTTGATCAATTCACTGATTTTTGTAAACTTATAATTTAATATTCAACAACGATTGCCTGGTTTTGCCGTTCACTTAAGTGGCTCAATAACCTGTAAATAATAATAAGTTAATTCAACAATTTAAGTCCACACTGCCAGCAGTTTTATACAAATCAATTTTCTGGAGCTGGGAATATTAACACTAAATGGACATTACATATAATCACTTCATTTCCTTCAGTTAATACTAATAACCACACAGACACATGTTCCATACCATTTGACTGCAAAGTAACCTTAAAGGTACAATCCATCATTTGTGCATTTTTATTCGTTGAAAGGAACAAAAGTGCCCACAATCTAAAGAAGGGTGCTTAACAACTAACCTGATGAAGTTTTGGCTCAATGAATGCTGTATATTCGGAGAAAACAATATTCTAGGATCTCAATTTCAATTCAAAAGTTGCCATGTTTGAATTTTTGAATTGCGCCTGAAATCAGCATCCGGGACACGTTCTCATTCAGCCAATTGAAGTGACGCGATGTCACGCACTGAACCAATGAATTATCGTCGTGTGCATCGTGTCAAGGCTTGCGCGCACTCATTCACGGCTTCTCCGAATTACAAAAAGAACTACTAAACGGAAATTTCCAAAAATTTGTCTTTAGACACATCTTTGGAAACGACCTTCTTTTATTGTTTTCTTCAAAATGACAGCATGCCAGAAAGAATAATTTCACAGGGAGTTTAGTGCCACTACTATCTTTAAACCAAGTAAGCTTTTTAACAATAACATTGTCAGTTACTATTTGGATAGCTGCAAATGATGTACTCTACCTTTAAGTTGTAGTCTTTGTGGTTTATTTGATTCTTTTTCACATTCACAGAATATAGTGTTCTACCCTGCCAACAAAAATGATTGTGCAAGCATACTAAATATGGCTTGGACTCTCAAAATACATCTTGTGCAAGGTCTTAAGATTAAAAAGCAGACTAGTGGAAAAAACATTGACACAAAGTTTATTTGATCAAAAGCACATGTAAAAATTATGGAGCCATTTAAGATCTTCTGGACTTCGGGCATAGGAGGATAAAAGGCAAGATGGTTTTAGACCAAGACATTTCGGAAGATTATGGGTTTTCTTGGCAACTTTTCATGATTTCACAATGATTTTACTTTCTCGTCACTGAACCTAGCATTGTGGACGGAGAATCATCGGAACTTGTAAAGATCAGCTTGAACTGTTTTGGTGATTTAACTCGACGATATTCACGGACGTGTCCATGACTGTTGAGGAGATCTCGTTCATCAGTTGCGGGAGCGGTACAGTGTACGAGAAAACGGAATCATGGCACCCTGTGGCCGATTCCTCACCATGGACCCTGATGTCGGGCAAACTGGGAACATTGGGCAAACTGGGAACATTGGGCAAGCTCAGACCGATTGGCAAGCTGGCAGAATCCTCTCGTAGACTCCCGAGGCGAGGCTGGTGCTGCCTGCTGGGCCTCCTGAGAATGTTGCCACTCGGAGTCTGCACGATGTCGCCGCTCTCTGTCCTGACGTAAGAGCCCTCCTCGACGATCATGTCGGCTGTCGTAGACACGATCTCGCTAGGTCTCGTGACGAGAACATTAGCTTTCGAGCTATGCTCCTCTGTTTTTGTGTCCTGATCACTACTTTTTGTGCCCAGGTCACCAGATCCTGACTGGATACCACCATTTCTCGTGCGAATCTCGTCAGTCCTTTTGTTGATGCCTCCTGTTTTGGCCGAGACATCTCTAGTTTTGCTTGTGACATCACCAGTTTTGGTCGTGGCATCACCCGTACCCTGTTCTGCCTTTGCATTAGAATGCTCTTCTTCATTAAGAGTTTTCAGTGTCTCTGTGGTTGCATCGTTCCTGCTCTGTTGTGAGAGGTCACGATAAGAGTTGCCGTTGCCTGTCCTGCGTCGCCGTGGTGACGAGGATGCGGATGACCCGTCGGAGAGGAAATCGGACGGGAATTCCTCGGGCACCCTGGAGGCTATGAGTGAGTCCTGCACTAACTCTTGCTGCTCGTTGCTCGGTGGCGACAGCAAACTGTCTTCACTGATGACGGTGTCTGTGGATCTACGGAGCAACATTGATGACAGTTTACATGTACGTGTAGTGTAACACCAAAATTTACATCACTAGTGCAAGCAAAAAAACTGACATGATATTTTGTTTATTCAAATATTCGTTTAAAAATTGTGACTGCTATATTGTGCACAACCAAGACAAACAAAAGTAATCTGCATTTAAACTTCATTTGGATCTTCTATTGTACTGGATTTTCTGGAAATTCCCTTTGGTTTTTTTCTGATCTTTCCATGCGAAAAGAAAAACGTCTGTCCTCACATTGGCTTGGGATTGTTTGACCACCGTAATTTGTGTCATTTGTCTTCAACTCACATTTTCTTCGCCGAGCTGTTCTGTAGATCATCCTGTATCTGTAAGCCGCTGTATTGTTCATCGGTGCCGAGCAGCCAGAAGGTTGTCATGACTCCCTTGCCCTAGATCAAGAAGAAAATGCATGACAATTCAATTCAATTCAATTTATTCTCATCATGTAAAAACAAGAAACTTGTCTCCTCGTTTTGCACACGTATATTCGTATACACATTAAAACTTCAAGAGTACACGTAACAAGAAATAGAACAACAAATTTAGCCTAATGAAATAAATAAATAAATAAAATATCTGGATTGATAGAGCTAAATGTATAATGACAAAAAGCCTGTTGCACAAAAAATGGGAAGGGAACAATGGCAAGCCGGGGGAGAGGGAGATATGAGAAAGCCAGGGGGATATGAGCGGGGAGAAAGGAAACAGGGAAAGGGTTGGAATTTACATGTACGAGGGGTATAAACACACAAATTTACATTGCGATTTAAAAAGCATTATCTAGTATAAGTCTGATTAAAACATGAAAATTGCCCTGGGTAAAAAGAATAAAAATGTGCCGTGTTATACAAGATTTCAATTTACGGATTAAACCTGACAATTCAGAATTAAACTTGAAAATTGGGAAATGCAGGATAAGTTACAAATTTCAATGGAAAAGTTGCCTTCCAGGGTGCAAGTCTCTGATATATGATGGGAAAAACTCTTCCATATTAGGTGAGACAGTTACTTTTAAACTGAGTAACAGTAAAACTAGCCTCCTTGATCCGTGGAGTGCTTTCCCTCAGCTTCATGTGGTGAAAATAGAATGTTCCACAGGTCTAAAGACTAATTTTACTATACCACACAAAGTAGTTTATGTACATGATCTCATAAGACCTAAGATGCAAAGTTGTCTTGATATAATAATGCATATTTATGAAGCTCATCCACCATTTTTGGTGCTCAAGGCGCTACATCATTATTACCCTGCTCATTGGCCCAATGAAACATTCCAAATACCATCTCAACTCCCTGGGTAGTATATAACTCAAAGCAGCTACAATCAACCACAATAACCATCTCTACCCTCACCGGTACCCATTTACTCCTGGATGGGAGAAGTAATGAGTGAAAAAGTTACTTGCCCAAGGGCACATGCACTATAACCCGGGGCTGGACTCGAACCCAGACAAAGTGCCTTGCCCAAGGGCACACGCACCATAACCCCAGGCTGGACTTGAACCCACAACCGGCAGAATTAACCGCAGACCACAAATTCAATGCTCCAGACCACGAGGCCACTGTACTCCATGTGCTTTCTTATGGGAGCTAGATGTTGGGGTGTACCCATAAGAAAGTGCACATGCAAGCCTAGTGTGACGTCATAACATCTCAGCACTCCCCTTCCTTGACTTGCCTTAATCTTCAGTTGACCCCTGACCTCTAACCGGTACCCGCCGATGCTGGTAAGCAGGGTTGCTGTGCTCCAGTTGACGTGGATGCGTTGGGGCATTCCGTGGGACTCCATGCGAGATGCCGTGTTGACAGTGTCCCCAAAGAGACAAAATCTTGGCATTGTGAGACCCACCACACCAGCCGCTACAGGTCCTGCACACAGATATTGCAATGATCTGTTTAATTTGTGTTCACCTGAGCACAAATTTTAATGTGTGATTAAAAAGCAACCATCTTTACCAGACCTAGATGTTAAGACATATTTCTTTGGTTTATAAATAGCATCAAAGAAAAATATTACACACCCCCCCCCCCCCAAAAAAAATCCATTGATGTGCTTTTAAAAATTTATATAAATTTTCGTGTAAATATTTATATTTATAATTTTATTTATTCTGAGTTTTTTCTAGGAAAGCTTTTTTTCACAAGCCTTTGTAGATTGAAGTAAAATTACAAAAATGCTAATTTAATAACCTGTAGATTTGTCTCCTTAGAAATCACTTTTTTTCTGTTAGTTTTCTGAGTAGAACTGAAGTTCTTTTAAGTGATCATTTTTTGGAGAGGTTTAGGGGGAGGGGGTTAACTCTTAATCTTCTAACTGATACCTGAGTTGATTCCAATTCTGATCTGTACATGATGTTCAGGCATATGCCTGATCCTAAACGTCTTGACACCCTCTCTGACTGCTAGCGCCATGCTAGCAATCTCTGATGCGTGTCTGTTGCCGTTGCGGTTGGGTAGACCGCTTGCCACCATGTAGGCATCTCCTATGGTCTCAACCTAGAACATAAAAAAAGAAAAGAAATGGAAATACAATTTTATTCTTTCTGATTTCATGATTTAAGAAGCAGTATTGAAGTCATCCCATGGTAGGATTAAAAGATACAAAACTGAAAACAGTGTGGTCAGACTACATCTGCTTTGACTTTGGAAAGGGATTTGAGCATTTGGACAAAGAATTTATTAAAAATTGAAAATAGTACTCCTAAAAGGACTGAGAGTCATGTTTGAATATTTTTTTACCAGTGAAATTCAACTGAGACATAGAAATAACATTGGAATACAAAAACATACTACCATTACTTTGCTTAAACACTATAATTGTGTTGGGACCCTCTTCTAATTTTCCTATAATTAATCTTGTATAAAAATCCTCTTTGGATTTTCAAATGCTCCTTTCCCTGGATTTTTTGGTCTTCTAAAATAATTTGTGTAAATTTTGTCCCAAAATCAAAACATATGAAAAAGTATCTTGGCCACAATTCTATTTTTTAGAAAAGACTCTTCCTCATGAATTCAACAGTTTTGACAGTTTCCAGTTAAAACAACGAAACCAAGCTCACCTTGTAGACATCAAATCTTTCCAAGATGGCGTCAAAACAGGTGTAAAGGTCATTCAAGAGGTCGACGACCTCCATTGGGGCACTCATGGCAGAAAGCTCAGTGAAACCGACAATGTCGCTGAAGTAGAGGGTCACCTGATCGTAAAACTCCCCATGAAATGACTGGCCTTTCTTCAACTCATCAGCAACAGCCCTGGCAACAAAAAAATTAATGTATCATTATTTTCTGGATGAAGATTATTACTGGTACGAAAGGAAAGATACCTTTAAATTTGTTAGAGGCCCCCTTCCTAGGAAAAACAACGTCACCTCGTATCATTTTCTTTGTTTTTCCTCTTTTTTTGGGGGGGGGTTAATTAATTTGCCAGACCACAGCAGACAACTTCTGTGTTCTGGATGAAGATTATTACTGGTACGAAAGGAAAGATACCTTTAAATTTGTTAGAGGCCCCCTTCCTAAAAAAAACAACGTCACCTCGTATCATTTTCTTTGTTTTTCCTCTTTTTTTTTGGGGGGGGGGTTTAATTAATTTGCCAGACCACAGCTGACAACTTCCGTGATCTGGTTTTGTAGGATAGTTGAGTTGCGATTAGGTTTCTGCGGTTGATTAAATCAACCAGTACTCTTGAGCAACATACTTTATCATGATTCCTTGTACCTGCTCCTAGGCAGAATTCAGCCTGTAGTTTTAAGGGCAATGCATTTGCTACTGGCAGTTTTGCTTTCCAGACATCTATGCTGTGTCTATATTCATTTGCTGAGAAAAAAATTCTGTTTGGCAAAAATCTGCTCAAAAACAGTCAAAAGCAAAAATGATACTTGGCTTGTAATCTGTTTTGTTTTTCCAGGCAAACATTCTCTACAGTTCAATTTTTATGCCAAGTGCGCACATTGCAATATGATATTCAAGTAAAGTAATATTTCAAATAACAGAATTTAGAATGCAGCAATCAAACTCTTCGGTAAAATGAATTTGGTCTTACTGAGGCAGCATCCTGTACAGCAGTGCATCGGTCTTCTTCTTTTCCTCCAGGAGTTGCCCTGTTCTGTCTGCTACCACTTGCTCAAGATTCTCGGTGTACTTCTCCATCTTAGACACCATGTTGTCCATTAGATTCAGCTCTTTCCTGTATTACAAAACAGCACATCGTTTTGTTGTTTGAAACTGAAAAATCGGTGGCTTACCTCCCATCCAGTGATTATTTAGGAGGTCACATGAACAGGTATATGAGGAGAATGTGATATTGTACTGTTATTCAGTAAAGGCATCAAAAGACAACAGAGTAATAAAATGCAATGACTTTTTTCAGTCAGCCAGCCATCTATGCCACAAACACAAAGAGAAAATGACAAATATGAGCAAGAATGAAAACAAGTACACAAACAGGAAGGAACAAGTTAAAAACCAATGCTGATGCAGAAATGCAGAAACAGAAGGCAAATAGCCAAAATAAAAAGGTTTACAATTGAGATTCTGAGTCCTTTATGGGACTTTTCTGGTTCTGGTGAATCATGCATTGCATTTTAATCAAAGAGGAACAACTTAATTCCTAAGATAATTCCAAGATTATTCCGATGGCCAAACCAGGTTGAAAACTGAAAAAGAGGATGCTCAGATCAATCCTTCCATGTCTAACAGTTCATTGTTATTATTATTATTATTATTGATATTATTATTTATTCGGCCAACAAATGAAACAAGTACAATGACAAAGCAAATATATATCATAAAGTAAACAAAAACTGAAATTCGAAAAGGAACCAATAATGTTAAAAAAAAGTATGACTAGACAAGACTGACGTGACTGAAGGATGCGAGATGGAATGGGTGGTGGGGAGGGGAAGGGAGGGTGGACAGTTTGGCAGGAGAGAGGAGATAGAGGGACAGAAAACAAGGACAATAAAACATTCCAAACCGGCCAGGGTAAGCAAAAGTGTACTTAAACACTAAAGCCCTAAAGCCGGCTTACCCATGCTCGAAATGTCTACACACTAAGTAGACAAGAACCAAGAAACAATCTGCACTTTCATGCTCTTGGAACTTGGTAAGAAATATTGACCAACAAGTTGAGGAATTATAGAGAAGGGTGTTGTCAATCTTTTCAATTTTTAATTTGAAACCTTGGTCTTGGAATCAGGAATACTCCACCCCTATAACTAACATCATGTTCTTGCTCCTTACCTTCCTTTCTGCATTGTCCTGAGTCGGTGTCGGATGATGTTGAAGTCTGGCCTGTCTTCTGGGTGTTCTTCCCAGCATTGCATCATGAGCTCTGCCAGGCATGTCACGATGCCGTCCGACATGGAGAGCTGGGTTGATAGGCCCCTCAGGTCGTCCTCTGAGGCTGCCTTGCGGGGCCGGAAGGGGGGCTCTTGGCGTGTCATAACCCTACGAATGATCTCTGAGAGAGAATGATAAAACAGCTTGGACTTATTGGAGATGGTTGTCAAGCCTTATGTTGCTAAGCCAAACTCTTTTTTGTGTTAACAAAGTTTGTATGTTGAAATTGGCTTCTGTTTATGCTGTCATTTCTCGTATCTTTCAGAATCAAGTTGTGTGCCAATTTTCGCTGCTAGGTGATGCATAAGTGTCTGTGCCGAAAGCTGCTTGATATTTTAAAATTTAACACATTCATTTATGACTTCATTCATTTATCTTTTTTTTTTAACTAACTAATTTCGATGTAAAAAGTCTATCACTTGAAATAAAAAATGTTAGCTATAAAAAACAAATGATTGATATTTAATCCCGCAAAGTTTGCATGTTTACTAAATCTTGAAAAGGTCTGAAGTATATTTAATTTTTCGAAAAAATGGCAGAAAAGTATGTTTCGTTTTTATCTTGTGCATGCTCAGCTCTTCCGAAACTTACCCCTTGAAGACATCCCGGAATCGTAGTACGGTAAAGATCGAGTCAAGATTTCTTCTATGAGGATGCCAAAGGAGTAGACATCTCCCTTCTGTGAACCCTTGGTCGGAAGCTCATGCCGAAGCAGCTCTGGAGATGTCCACAATAACCCTAGAGATTGAAACGAGGACAGTTGGTAATAAAAGAGAGCCTCTAGAAAAGGTTTCAAAATAGCTAGAAAGACCATGCATCCCTGCCTCTCCCCCCCCCCCCCCCCGAAAAAAATGGGTGCTTGTTCATTAAGGCAGAACAAAGGAATAACTTTACAGTAAAAGGTCCTCAATTGGTGACCTGTTCTCGATTGGAACACGTGTACAAAAAAGAGGAGTTACCAAAACGTTTCAGTTCAAATAGAAAAGAAGCCTTAGGAGGAATAATATATATTCCATATCCACCAAGTTCTTTTATATTTACATCAATGTTTAAAAAAGTAATTTGGGTATAGGGCACCACATTACACTAGGGGGCGCTCTTCAGGATATAGATGTATATCAACATGCATACTCCCGCTTACATCAAAAAGTCGCATTTTTAAAGCTTTTGTACCTTGTTCTCAACTTTTCAGTGCTATATTGAATACATTTGTGTTGTTTGGATGTTTGTAAAAAAGGCCTCGAAATCCACATTTTTCCCCTTCTCATCACGAAAAAACGTGTGTGTGTGTGTGGGGGGGGGGGGGGTTGATTCAATAGTCAAAAGGTGGGGGGCTATAAAGGCAGGCACTGCCTTCACCACGTACCATCTTTTCCTCACAAAAAAAATTGGTCAAAGTGGTCAGAAATTGTCTCAGATCGCACCACAGAGCATCTAGAATCCAAAAAAAATATCGGGGCCCTTAAGCCGTCTGCGACCTCCATCCCCCCCCCCCCCACGCCGTAATTTTTTGGACCCACTTTTTGGGGACCAAATTGTTTTTTGCCCCCCCCCCCCAAAAAAAATGTGTTCTGGATCCGCCCTTTAGGTGGACTGCCCGGTTGCTAAATATAATTTTACATTAAGGTCATCTGTCAAAGTTACCGTGAAACACTTCATTATTCAATGGCAGTTATTCCAAAATTTGTTTGTTACATACTAACCGCGAAAAAATATCCAGAGACTGTAAAACCAACACACCGACCAGACGAAAACGAATTGCACCCACGCGTGTATTGATTGATCTACTTTCGTCTCAGATGCGATTTAATCAGATGCCATTGCCGAGTCCAGAAGTCAGAGACGAAAAAACTGAACATAAAAACATGACGAGGCCTACATAAATATTGTCCGATTGTCCACATCCCATCTAAAATATTTGTGTTGAATTCTAGGATTTTTCAGGAGATAGGGCGACAGTCGTATATGCATTGAAGTCAACGCGTATATGTACACTGACCACAGAAGCAAGCACAAATCAAACCGAAAAAGCTAATCCTACGGACGTGCCGCGTAGCCCCTATTTATGTTACATTTATTTATTCAAATAAAAAAATCGCATCCAATGCAATCTGTATATTGACAACGTTGACCCAATTTTACGGCGCTGCCTCAGACACATTTTCCCGCCAAGTTTGCAATACATTTTGTTAATGTTATGGTATTTCACGGGTTACCAGACCAGACTCATGAAATTTGGGAACTGTTCATCCTGAATTTGCACATGGAGAAGCTTCGAAATAAAAGTCGAATGAAAACAAACTTAATATATAGAGACTCATCCTCATGATTTATGACTTATCCCCACTAGGGTCGACCACTGAAGCTATTTTTAAACCACTTAGAAATGGCACGTCAGCATGCATGGGGATGGTTTACACCTGATGTCTGTATAGTGCAGTCGTTTAAAAGCACATTTCGTGTCAGGTAAATTACTGTTTTAAAGATGCTATAAAGACGACAGAAAAATTGTTGACTGAATATAGGCTTTTACTTTCTGGAACCTTTTTTAATTACGTAGCTGTATTCATGTCTGTCTCTTCATCCATACTAATAAACACATTTCTAAGAAGCGTAAACAAGATGTTCATTTCATTAAATTCCTTAAAGTGTCCATGCATGAATTTTTCTTAGGAACACATTTATGCAACTTTCTACTCCTCTTAAATGAATGAAAACTATTTGAGATCCCTTTTGTGGTTAATATTCGAAAGTGGATTTCTTTAAACATTTAAAATGTTACATGCTTTTCCGGACAACTGAGGGCGCTGTTGTTGTGATGTCATGTTTAGGAAGACACTGTTCAGTTTAGGGGTTTCTGAAATGCGAACCCAAAAATCTGCTCATTGAAAACATTTGTGAGAAAAGTTTGCTCATTGGCTCACTGCCATGTACTGACACAACAACGAATCACCGAAGAAAAGCAAATTTACAACTTACAGCAAAATATCCCAAATTCTGGTAACTTTTTTTGTGCTGAAATAGCTGTAACAGAGGTTTCTGCATGCCTGAAATGACATCACACTTTTGCTCATGAAAAAATGGAAATTTGCATTAACATAAAAACCAAAAAGGCACCAAAATACTCCTGAAAACCGGGCAAAATGAAGATTGAAAATAAGGTTAAATGGGGCATAAAGATACATCTTCCAGGATTGCATTACAAAAACGGCATTGCATGGGCCCTTTAAAAGTCACCAAAATGTACATTATTCTTCAAAACTGCGAATCAAAATGCCTTAAAACGGAGATGGATTTTAAAGAGAAACTGAAGTTATATTAGGAATGAAACCCATTGAGACACATGTAGGCCGAGGGCAAATGTTTGACGACCGCAGCTCGCACTCTTGGATAAAATGTTCACCAGCTATAGGACTATATCAGTTTTCTCCTGATTTACGAGCTCCTCGGCAAAAAAATGCAATGATCCTGGATTAAACTAGAGCCGGGACACTGAAATGAATTCATGCATAGATCTCCCCTGATGGTTTCGGACCCAATGTAGTTCCTCACGTAAACAAGTGGGAATTAAAAAAAAAACCAGGTATACCAAAAAAAAAAAAAAAAAGGGAGAGCATACATTCAAGGCTTGATTTGTTTGATGGACCCCAGGCACTGTAATTGCTTTCTGATCATAACACTCTCCCCATGGAATTGACCCGACTCCAAGAACTCGTGGTTTACCTGATATAATATAAGTTCTTGTTAATGCATTTCGGGAAAATAAAAGAAAACAGGATGATTAAGAAAAGAAGAAAAAAAACAAGGGAATATATATGAGTGTGAATGAGCAGACATATGAATTTATCGGGTGCAGGTTGGGGCATATCGAATGGCGGATATACAAACTCATTCTTCAACTGATGTAAAGTAGACGTAAATTATTTCTTCTTAAATTTGATTGGATGTTCGGATAAGTTACATGTATGTATACAGCCCACACCAATTTCAAGGACCATTGTTACATTTTTTTGTGTAGCTCATATGCTTTGCCTTTCGTTGACGACTCTAAGAGGTTCATGAGTCACTGACTAGCTAGCACTTATCCTGTAGACAGACACAATTCACGGGGTCTCTAAAAATGACAGACCCGAGACAAATCGTCCAATAAAAGCCATCACCCAGACAAAAATATCATATTAATGACGATCTCTTGAACATGCGAGCATGGCCGTTACCCCTTCCAGCTTCATCTTAGACAAATTGAACGTGTGTTATCCACATCACAAAAGATCTTGATTTCAGATTAAAATTAATTTATAAGAGCCTTCTGTAAATAGTGGAATGTATTCATTGCCAAATGAACCATTCCTTTGTGAAAACTTCCTTCAGAATCTAACGTCATCCTACTTTGATAAAACAATAATTTCCCTGAACCCACAAGCCTATAGCCTAAGCCTCATCTGTAGTCTAGTTCAAGGGAGCCCTCTCCATAACCAACGTCTGATTTAATATGCACATTTTATGCGACCCCGCGCGCCAGCCAATCCGAGTCGACTTTAGAAATTGAGACATCATTTCGATCAGAAATGTGGACTAATTAGCTGTTTATTGATCAATTTGGCTGCCATGGTTTTGTAGTACAACGACCGGGTTACCGAAGACGCGATATAGAAGGCGCCCGCTGAATGGTCAGAATCTCGAGATCAAGACGCAGTCTTGTTTTGCTTAATTAATCGCTGAATCTGCTCGCATATCATCTCCCCTTCCTGTGCAGGGGGATATTCCATAGACTATGCCTAGCCCTCAGCTCCTTCAGATACTATTAAACTGCACAATTTTCACCAGTTACTATACAAGTCGGTTAGTGAGAAATAAACTCTCCTTATTTCAATCTCAAGAAAACCGCTGCTTCATCTGCTTTCCGTTCACTTTTGACCGTCATCATCGGCAACTGCTGTCGTATAAAAACGGTATAGTTACACTAATATGAAATTAGTTGTACAAACATTAACACACCAAACTTGTCAGATACGCCAGCAAATCAAAGCAAAACTCGAACTGATAAAAAAATATCGTCGACCTCGATGGATCGAAATATGATAGCAGAAAAAAAAAGAGTTATCTTACTGGAGAATCTGTCCTCCGGATCCATTTTCGTGGCGGTGCCTCTGGACATGTGGAAGGAGACGGAGCCAAACCCTGCGATCTTCAGCGCCCATCGGCTGTCGATGAAGCAGAGATTCGAGCAGAGTAGCCCGTGGGACTTGACCACGGAGTTGTGGAGGAACTGCATACCCTGAAATATAATTACCATAAGGGCAAGGTAATATTCTCTCGACATTAAACCAAGAAACTACGTGAGGAATTGGATCAATATGGAGCATTAAAAATGTATAGGCCCTCTCGGGAAAATAGCACTTTGTGGGAATGGAACTATACTGTGAACACCGTTGCGTAACATTTTTAAGAGGTGCTGAAGAAATCGGCCTAAATTGGAAAAGGTATATACATAGCAAAGGCCAACTGATAGCGTATGGTAAAACATATCATTCAGTATGGTAAGATATTTTTTTTTTAAATTTTGCTTAACAAGACCAGAGGACACTTTCATGTGGCTTTTTGCCACATTTAATTGGTAAGCATAGAGAACATATCAGCTAAGCAAAAACAGGTACCAACCAAAATGCCATGCAGTGCATATTACCTTTGACTGGTACTCGGCCAATTTATGATAACAAAAACCGTTTGGTAAACAGTAAAAATAACATCTGGCACGTGATGGTGAATTGACCAGTCAGAGTTCGGCTCTGGATCATGAATATGTATGAGGTAAAGTAATATTTTCTGCTCTATGAAATTGGTCTCAGTTGCCTTTATTCTTACCCTTGCTAGATCGTTGATGAAGGAAACCTTGAAGCTGAGGTCTAGCTTGATGTCATCATTGGCCAGCACCGTCTTGAGGTTGCCTTTAGGACAGTACTCGGAGATGTAGTAGAACATGCTGCTGTCGCCCCTCGTCGGGAAACACACGCCCATAAAACGGTTGAGATTGTCGTGGACCAGCCACCTCATCTAAATTGAACACGGAATCATAACATTCAATAGCGTTCCCTCTTTTGGGGCATGCTTTCATTAATTGCAAAAATTCGAAACGGCATGCAAGGCGAACAGTTCACTAAGCGAAGGTAGCATAGCCTTCCGTAAATTGTTGATCATATTTTATTCAACGCCATTGTACGTATTTATCACCTTTCAACCCTTTGTTTTATCTTTCTCATTTTTGCCATTTTTTGTTAGTTTTACATTTGGAATAAACTTCTCACGACTGCCTCATTGAGACTGATTAAGAACCAAAATAAGAAATTGTATTTTATGATTCAGTCACAATGTCAGTTGTCAACTAATCGAAATGTCATCACATGGGGGATTTTTGAACTCTTGGTGGCAGCAGATACGAAAATATTTGTAGTCTGGCGCATTGTTTGGTCACCTGACGTCGCCTGTAGATTGTTTGCGGCTTCGCTTTTTTTGCCATTGGCACGCTTTGGACACGTTAGCCGTAGACGTAGCCTTATTTACCTCTTTGAGTTCCTTCTTGGTCACTTTGTTAAGCGTCAGGCCGTTGGTGACCTTTGCCCTCCGTAGCACCACCGTCTCGGACTTGTACTTAGCCAGGGTGAAATCGGGCGACATTTTCTGGCTCTCCTTGCGGAGCTTTTCCTGGACAGATTGGGAGGCCAGCGACTGCTGGCTCAAGAGCCTACCAGAGATGTTGGGCAGGCGGAAGGTGGAGGGATACCCCTGTAAACCGATCTACGGTTAAAGACAAAGAGGTGTTAGCTCATTATTGATTTAATTAATTGCTGCAAAGCACATTCAAGTTTATTCAACAATGCAGCTTCTCAAAAAGTGCATCAATCAACAGGGTGAGTGTGACCTAATGGTGATAAAACGTCGGCCTATAATGAGTCGTTGGCTCGGAACAGACATTTTACTCACAATTAGATGAAGAATAATTGCAAAATGCTTTAAATTTACCCCAAAAGTGCTGTTTTGAAGAGGTAGAAATGTCAGCTCATCAATTTCTATCAGCCAGTCCTTGCGGAGGACATACTTCCGGTACTTAAGACTGGAAATGAAAAGAAATTTGGCAAAATGTGAGCCATTAGTAAGATTTTGTGTCAAACCAAATTTATAACATGCAGACACTATTATTTTGGCTGCATTGACCAAAAAATGCAAACATAATAAAGAATAATAATAAGAATAAGAATAAAAGCAAAATCAATGCAGTTACCAAAAAAAAAAACCCACCGAACAAGCCAACAAAAAAACGAAACGAAAGCTCGAACTCAAACCAACACAAACAAATAAACAAACAACCCAACAAACAAACAGTCACTTGACTCTATAAGTATCCATAAATCAGTTAAAACTGCACCAATACATGGTAACAGCTGAACGATCCAACTCTTCTTTCTGTGAGCAAAAGAAAATAACGATTTAAGACAAAACCCAAAGATCGACTCTCAGATTAGCTCGGACAACCCTATCAATCACGGCTTAATAGAATGGACGCCGGATGCCGGCGGCTACAATTTGCCGGGATAATTGCATTATTTCGGGATAGGCTATAACCGTTCTGGCTGAGTGATTAGCTTGGACAACATGAGTGGACGCAGGTGCTTTATAATTGCTCATCAGCTATTCTTAGAACAGGTAACGACCAAACCTGACATGAAAGAGAACAGAATTAAAGCCTGCACCATTTGAGTTTTTTTTTAGTCATTTGGCATCGTGCGTGATCGCCATGATAGGCCACACAGGCCTGTAAAAGCTACAAGCATGAAGTTCTTCCGTACAATAAACTGAATTATCATTCGAGGAAGACTCATTAATAAAGCGATTTCTGGCGGAACCAAACTCTAGTAAACTGTGCCTCTCAAGAAAATTAATCATGTAGTTTGTAACAGGGAACAGACGCAACACAAATATTGGGAAATGGCGTCCGCTTATAAACTGATTTTAGTTGTTGTGATGGCAGAGGTGATTACGCGATAAACATTATCGGGAAGCTAACAACGAAACTCCGCCGTATTTTTTCTCGTCAATGTCGAGTTTAAATTTTAAATACATTTTTGTCTACCTTTTATTTTCTCTGAAAACGAGAAACATTTTGTCACCTACCTTAGTGAATTATTATATAATATCGCAAAATAAATGAAAATAGTGCCCTTAGGAATTAACTATTATTATTTTGTTAGTAAGCCTAATTCATCATAGTTGTTTTTCACTTTGTTTGACGTCAGCAACACGTCCAGAGAAAACATTACCATAAAAGTACCCTGAGATGGCACGATGGAAATTAAATACAGTCTTTATTCTTTCTTAAATATAAATCTTTCAGGTCGTGGCTTTGGGTGGTCCTCCAGCAGTACAGCACAGGCCTAAAATGAGTGATTAAATATTGATGAATGGGGAAAAACTACCCATGTCTTTAACGTCATGACTTCCAAAGTCTGTTTACCACATTTATACATCTTTAAAGGTCAGTTTGACGATCAAGGCGGATGTTTTTCTAACCCAATTTTGTTATGACGCCACCCATGTGGAATGGATTTTCATTCCTGCGATAATCTTCGCGTGCTCCAGGACGACAACTGCGCATTTTTGGGGTCGGCCCTTTGGGACTTGGTCCGTAATATTATCTCATCAATTATTGACTGGAACTTGGTGCAACAGCGAGTATATAGGCCTGAACTATTTGCCAAAATTGAGCAAATAAGTAATAAATTACAAATTACAGTTAACAAGAGTTTAATTGGTAAAATAAGAATGAAAAGACAATACTTTACACTCAGATTTGCATTTAAAAACAAACAACTGGCAAAGCAATAATTGTACAATAGTCTACAAAATGTTCACATAAAAATAGAGAATTCACACAATGCCATAACTACAATACACAAAGTTCAATCAAGCTCAAGCTTTCATCTAATCTAGCAACATACAAAAATCATAACAATTTCTATTGTTGTTAATCTCTGTTGTTAATCTTTTATTTGTTCTTTAATTCAGTATATTTTCTGTCTAGATTTAAGGCTTTAAAAGAGTCTCTATACGTACGTGCACCTTCCTACAATGCAAGACCGCATCAATCGCATGTATAGGCCTATTGACATACACGTATGTAAGTTGCGAACACTAACAAAACATATTATACAAATCTTTTGATACCAGACGTATCACATCATTTATAATCCCATTTTTTATCAACGCTTACAGAAATCCTCTCTGTTATTATCTTGTCACGCAATATTGTAAGTCGCTCAGCAAATAGCGGCGTAGGTATCCTCAAACAATAGCGAACCCAGATCGTGTCAAAAGGGCCGGGCTCAGCTAGTTTGTAAGGAGTGATAAAGCATAAACCGATGATAAATCATATTTCAGGGGGCGGGGTCTTATCGTGACCTTTGACACTGACGTCACGAGAAAAGTTCAAAAGTGCAGTCTTGCCTTTGAATGGGCCTTTTATGCACAAGTTGGCCATTTTTGTCGAGTTCCCAGAATGTATTTCATTGACTGTTAACTGTTGAATGGGAAGGCGTCAGACTATTTATGCAGGCATAAATACAGCCATATTTTGGCCCTTTGGAATGGTCGGCCTCTTTATTATGCATGTCTTTTAAAATGCATTAAAGTTGAAAATTGGGGCATGCACAAGTGCACAATATTGTCTTCGTTGATCATTTTAGATCAATTTTACAGTACCAAAGTATACCTTGTTTCTCCAAAAGACCAGTTTGCAAAAATAATGTTTACAATACAGTGGATCAAGTAATGAATATATAAACCTTCGCCAACATTGTGGGCCTATATGCTTGGCTATACATTGTACCCGCAGAATAGTTCATTACGTTTTATAGATCCGAATGGGCATATATTAGCCGTGAAACAATGGTGAACCAAACTGACTACGGCATCAAATATTTTGCTTTGTCCATCAACCGTTTTAGTGCCAATGCCTTACCTGAGGTAGGGGACGATGATAAACAACATTAGCGTGACCAGACTCCCAACAACTATTGCTATGATGACACTGCTTTCTGCGAAAATGATCATAGATAAGTCAATAAACGTTACCAAATCAATTTTGATGTACGCAAATGTAAATCGATCAATAAGTCCACTTTGTCTGAAAATATCTTAGCTGTGTGAAGCGATCTTAGGGTAAAAGGTAAACCGGACTGATATTTTAGAGATTTCTCCTTTTGTGGGCCCTTTCGCCTAGGTTGACAAGGTCGCAGTTTTCAACAAATGTTTTATGTACTGATCGCATTCATTTGAGATACTTCTTACCAGTTATGTGCATTAGTGATCAAGTTGAGCGACCCACAAAATAAGTTTTTGAGACAAGTTTTTGAAGTTGGCTTCCACTAAAACGTGGGTTCACTCCATTTGGGTAATACCGTACTTCGGCGAGTTTGCACCTATATGCATGTTTGCGGAAAAGCTGGTTCCTCCCCTAACTCGCTTCACTGTGTTATTGCTCTGTTCTTTTAAACACTTATTTGGTACTTATCACGGCTGACATTACCTAAGCAATTCTCTCCCTGGTATCCGCATTTGGGTTCCGTTGGTATGGCCGTTCCAGGCCACCATACCTCCGTGCCTAGAATCTCTTCAAACACGGGAAGGGTTCCAGTCACGTGACCCACGGCCTCAAACTGCCCTCCGTCCTGCGTACCAGAAATACCAGAAATTTCGTCATTTTTGTTTTGAGAAAATGGCGTAAGATATAACTTCAACTAACTTTTGAAAACCATTGCCTATAAATGAAAGACAGGTAATTTTAATCATACCAGTATCTGTGTACATCTCATTATGGAAACTCAAATGTAAAATGAAAATATTGTTAGGTTTTAGCTTTAACAACAGTGATTTAAATCTCCACAGCTTGTAAAGGTGTAAAATTTCACCGTTGTTTAATAAATTGCATACAATTTTCGGTTCATTTACGAAGTAAATAGTCGCCATACCTTTAGATCCAAGAGTGAAAAGTTGGCAACCCTATCGCCGGCACTATCTAAAACCACATAACCAGTCATTCCTAGAATAAAAAAAATATGTCACTTGTAGAAGTCGTTATAAATGTCCAAGTGAGCCAATATCTATACATAGGAACGCCTTTGCAATGTCTTCATCTAAAGTCACGCCTTTAATTGACCGGAGACGCACTGACGTCACATTACGTTACCGCGTTGCACTGAGGTGGGGACTGTACATGTACTTCGCTTTCGTAACCATGTCTTCAATTTTCATAAATTATTATGTTGGAATGTTTTTGTGCTAATGGCATTATGTTAACTGTTGCACAACACTAATCACAACAGTTTTTCGGGTTCGTTTTAGTTATAGTATTTAGTGTAAGGCTTTTAGAATCCGGAAAATGAAAACCTGGCTCCCAGAATGCAAAGCGGCACATCAAGTGTTGTGACGTCATTAAGTTTTAAGGATTATTGACTGAATTGATTGACTAGCTAAAACAATTATGAATATCAAATTGAAAATAAAGAGCTCATACAAGCATTAAAATTACGCGGTTTCAGCTGCGGTCGGCGTATTATCTCCGAATTCACCAGCATGAAACTGCATGAGAATACCGATAAAAACTCATCTTATTAACATTGGTTGAATTGTTTTGGCTCAAATTACTGGCGGTGTTTCCAAATACGATAGCAATTAAATGTCAATTAAAGACACTCACGGTTTCTCCTATGCACACGCCAATCGTTTCCAACGCTAATTACAGAAGACCAAATTCGCGTTATTAATCCGAGGAATGGTAATAAGCTTAATTGTTGGCTAATTTTGCAATGTTTCCACTGCGCTAACTTTAACCTCAAGTAGAATGCAGGAGTTTGATAAAAGAAAAACTGCTGCATGGTTAACCAAGTATACAAACTAAGTATCCTATTCAAAAGTGTTACTGTTACTTCATTTCGATAAATAAACCGATTGTTTTGTTTTTGGCTTGCTTGTTGGGGTGTTTGTTTGTTTGTTTGTGTGTTTGTTTATTGTGTAGTTGTTCATTTAATTTATAGTTCCATGCCATGTTTAACCCAAAATGCCGAATAATGATACGCGCAAACCGACTTTTTAATCAGTTAAAACAACTAAAAAGAATTTATATGACTTATTCGTGATCATGTGATTGTCTATCTATTTGATTATCAATAATCGCCAATACCAATTTGCAATATTTCGGTACTGGTCTTCCATTAAAGAAAATGAACAGTGCAATATATTCGATATACCGAGATTCTCGTATAATGACATTGGAAATTACATATGTGCCAGACATTCGTAGTTTAATCTAAAACTTATAGGAAACAAACAAGAGCCGTAACCTCTTGAAAAAGGTTATTGATTTATCGCATTCCTGCAAAATAAGCAGTTCTAAAATAATCGTGCATTATGAACAAAGTAGCCGAGGCCCCATATTGTTTTCATCAAATGACAAATGGTTTGAAACACAACACGTCGGCTGACTCTTAGGTTTTATTAGTCCGTTTGATTGCTACTTTTTCCCCAGGGCAAACCCGTAGGATTTGTATCGTTTCGCCGTACTTGGCCTTAGACAGTATTATCACGTCTATAAAGTAGCATGGACTGCGTTCATTTACTTTCCAGAACACTATAGTTTTGTTTATGGTATACATAAAGTTTTGATTAAACTTCTGAAAACATGAGAGTTTATTTATGGTTTACATCGATCAGGACTTTGTATAGTTACCCTTCCTGTTTTTCAAACTTTTCTTATTTGATTTGGACACTATTTCCCACCCATCAACAGAACAGGTACAGTGCAATCTCGATAAGTCAAAGCCCGTAAACTCAAAAACCCTTCTAACTCAAAGCAAAAAGTTATTCCCGTCAAATGTTGTTGAATAAAAAATCCGTTGGATAACTCAAAACTCTGCTTAACTCAGAAGTTGAGCCAATTCCCCTTAAGTTTGACTTATCGAGATTTAAATCCGTCATTTTGCGTAAATAGACGTACACGATAAACATTCGCAATTAAGTTGAAGCACCAGTACAGTATAGGCCTACTGTTTCTGTTTTTTTTTCTATTTTGGTCCATGTTGTTCGTGTTTCTCCCGCCTGGTCTTTCATTACTTTCTTCATCTTTTATTACAGAATATGATAAGGTCGTTTTGGTAATTTATCGCGGGAACGCGGATGGTCACTTTAAGCTTCCGTAAAGTGTGTGGCAAAAGGTCTCAGTAACAATTTTTCATTGAATCGAGTGATGGAGTGTGCCCACATTTTCTCCTTTTCTCCCGCAGGAAACGGGAAATTTCCCACACCATCAATCAATATACGCACAGCCAAAAATATTCGGTCTCTTGAGGCGTTGGTTCCACTCGTCAAGTTAAGATTCTCCGTAAAATTCCAAGACCACGCGGGCATAAGTGTCTCCTTTCCTCGTTTTGTAGTTATTCTGCGAATTCGCCAACGCAGGTAGGCCTAAAGTGATTAGGGGTTCGTTCAGCACAGCGCAAATGAAATGCATTCAAGCAAATAGACATTATGTATATAGCGGCCATCTTAGAAGGCATCTGTTGTTAATTTAATTCCGTAACAGTAAATGCACAAAAATTTCACTCATTATATCCTTGCAAAACAAAGGCCACTTGCCCACTACGATGGCTGCTATACGCATGAGGTCTACTTAAAATTTTATTAACCAGTGGACCATCCTACACGATCATAATACGTTTCCTAAATGTTTTCGTCACATCCCATATAGGATCCTGTATAGCTTACCAATAGGCCAATAGATATCTTATGGGATCCCGTATGGGATCCCATAGGTTTCCTTTGTGTTTTCGTCACATCCTATTTTATGATCCTGCAGCTTATCCAATAGGCCAATAGATATCTCATATAGGATCCCGTAAAGGAACATGTATAGGAGATGACGAAAAATACATAAGGATCCCATAGGTTTCCTATATGTTTTCGTCACATCCTATGTAGGATCCTGCAGCTTGTCTAATAGGCCAATAGATATCTTATATATAGGAATTTGTATAGGTGATGACGAAAAACCTATAAGGATCATATAGGATTCCATTGAAAATAGGGAATACACGTGATATAATTCTGGTTACATTTTTAGTTGGGGATTTGGGTTGGAGTTGATGTGGGTTGGTACTCGATATAGTTCAACGCGTCCCCATAAAATTCTTCTGACGGGTTTGGTTGCTGTTGATATTATATCAGACTTATGACATGTATGCATAATGCAATGCAATATACATTTTGTATACCTCACCCTTCTATTGAAGATAACGGGGAATATTTTTTGTTTTAAAGATTTGAAAAGTGTAAGGTATATAGTTGATCAGGTGATCGTGGTGAAAATTAAGTGCAGGGCGAGTCAAAAACAGCGAACCCAAATATCGGGACCATTGTTTAAGTGAAGTTCTTCATGTAGCCCACGAAGGTACGTGCTCTTTCAGCAAAATGAAAACAAATCACATAGGGATGTGTGTGAATTGTTTTCGTTTTGCTGAAAGAACGCACACCTTTTTTTGTGATCCGTAGACAGAACTTTAAAACGGTGGTTGTGTTTAAAATTCCGTAACTTGAAAAATACATGAGTGATTTAAATGATTCTTGTACTAAAAGAAAGCTTATGAATTGGGCTTTCATATCCTAGATTTTCAAAGTGCTACATGTAGGACTTCATTAAAACAACAGTCCCAACATTTGGGTTTTACTTTATTTGACTCACCCTGTATTGTCTGTGTTTGAAGAGGGGTTTTATAAACTTAACATCGCAAATTTTTTTTAAAAAGCGTATCAGTTCGGCAAAAACATGCTAAGTTTGACATAAAATAACAATAACTATGACAATAGTTTTACACCCAGAACAATCGCACTTCTAGTTTCAGTGAACGATTAACCTACATCCTACAGCCTTTATGAACGCCCATGAACCATCACCACAAACAGTCATAAATTCTTTATAGTCTAGCGTTAAACAAATACTGACTACGGTTTAATGACGGGTAGAAACAAATTAGGTCCGCTTGTTTTATGATATCCCCAGAGGTTATGCCAGGCCGTTATATAATACATTGCTTTATGCATTTCCAAGAAGACCAAGAAACTATTTATACAAGTAAAGGCTGGACAAGGAAACAGTTCGGTTTGTGAACAGAAAGTGCATAAAAATGCAGCAAAAGTAGCGGAACGACGACATTTTCTCTGACATTGTCATCATAATCATTTATAGTTTTCATCCCTTAGTGTGAAAAATCTCTGAACAAAATTTGGCATCGTAGTTTTTGCACGTTTCTAAAGGCGTATGCGTGCTTGTGTATGTGTACGTGAGTTTGTTTCTGCATTCAGTAGGGGGCTTTGAAAAATACTGAGGACAACAGGGTCCCCAATTCCCGAAGGTCCCAAATTTGGCGATCATGTACAAAACATATGGAAGGTCTCCCTAAAAAGTTGGTACAAACAAAAGAGGGACAACAGGGGGTCCTGATTGCAGGCAAATACACATTTGGGTGCACTACATACACACCGAGGACCGACGGACAAAGGGAGACTCGATCGTTCATCTTTTGTTGAAAACGGTCCTCGATCGTGCATGCGTGTGCTTAGTCTATGGGAGTTTGTTATATTACAGGGACAAAGGGAACACAATGCCTTGTCCTCGAGAGTTATGTAAAGTGCAACTGTGTGCACTTCTGAGGAACTCTTAATAGGTTTTATTAACAACAAAACATGATCCAAATCAATCAATAAAATAAAGAGACATTGTCTTACCTTCAAATGTTACATTTGTTCTTGTGTAGGATTTATTAGCCTCGTAACCGTTTATCTCTACGTGTTGTTTTGCGGCGTGAGCAAACAACAGCACTGCATCGTACAGAAAGGCCGCCATGATGCTCGGCTGGAGGTCAAAATATTGAAAACAATGTTCATATAAAGTCAAACAAGTCTAGACTCCATTTCCTAAAGCGAAGTGCTTAAATTGTGTTAGGTACGTACTCCTTGTGGGGCAGATATACTTAAGGGAATTGTGACTGTGAAGATATACAAGCATGGCACTTGTCACGCACACAGTCGGAGTATGTCATGAGAAAGATATTTGCGGCTATAGGGACATCGCAGATTTGTCCTTTGAAAAAATGTAGGCAGAATAACAAGCAATTTTCAAAATGGCTGCCACAGCTTGTTGTTGTACCTGTATTTGTTTCAAAGGACAAATCTGCGATGGCCCTATAACCAAATATCTTTCTCAAGACGTACCCTGACCGTGTGCCAAATGCCATGCTTCTATCATCAAAGGCACCTATCTGCCATACTATTCTACAGAGCAACTTTGATGGTTACGGAGATGTCAACATTTTAACAAAAGGACTCATTCCAATTTGCATAATTTACATATAATTCAAATTGCAGATATTGGTTGGTCCAGTCCCAATTGTCGTTGACCCAGCACACTGGAAATATAAAGAGCCAATTCACGGTAAAAGAGCACATTGTTTTCCTACAATCAACAGGAAAACATCGAATCTGAAAACAGGAAAAGGGATTTTTTTTTAAAGTGTTCTTTTTATTCAACCCCTTTCGGAAAAAAAAAAAATTGAAACTTTTTTTCAATCAAAGTACAGAACTGGTAATTTTAAAGTATACTCTAAATTGAAAAGTGAAAAACCCGTGAGCTTTTCTATCTTTCATCACTTTAAACAAACTTTCCAGAGGCTTAAAACCAGGTTCGTTGCTAGTGCGTCGGCAAGATAAATAAACCACATTAGTACTCGTTTCTCGGTATTGGAGTAGCTAAAAGCTTATGGAATGAGTGACGTACACCTGGCGGCTAGACTCGGACGTGATTATGAACACGTAAAGCAAAAGAATCAGCCACAACTTTTAAAAATTTCGTTTTCTAAGCTCGTTGGTTTTCATCTTACCGACTCTCACAAAAACCCCGCCAATTGTAGAAAAATCTTTTAAACTTTAACTTAACACAACGAGGGACGTTATAATAGGTCACATAAATTATATTCCGTAGAGAGCTTTTGAAATGGTTTTGAGGTTTTTATACACTTTAAAAAAGTTGGACAAATGAGCTGGTATTTTGCCCATTGTTAACATACCATTATGTGGGGCAAATTCTTAACAATAGTTGGTGATTTGTTTTCCCGCGAATTATCCAACAATGAGGTAATTCCACACCAATGGTGGGTCAATACTGTTCAGCAGTGTTTTACCCAACTTTTTTTGACAGTGTCATGTATACTAAGTCAAAATTCAAGACTGCCGCCCTTAAATCCGTAATATTCACCCATTTATCATGCGTTACCCTGGAACGCTGTTGAAAGATGCGACTGCAATTTTGACCCAGGGGTCGTGCCAGTTGACTAGGGGGAGCCCAGGAGTTATGACTGCTCGGAAAATTGGGTTCAGTTATCAACAGTATGAAACGAACCCTTAATGTATTCCGGAGGGACAAAATAATGTTGATGATGAGAAAATAATAGTGACTTGTACCAATTTAGATCTCTGGGGAGGAGCGAGTCGTGCCGTATCATTGCGTGACGTTATGGCAGAATGTATTTTCCCAAAACACCTGCATATTTTGGAACTTGTGGTGTGGTTATTTGTGAAAAGTTTAAATGAAAACTTTTATTACCTTGTCGATCAAATGTTATATTGTATCGTCCCTTTGTCTCAAAAATGTTCATGGTTGATTTTGATAATACTTAATTGTATTTCAACCCTAAGACTGAGCCCTTGCTTATTGTTTGCATAAAGTGCAAAATTGAACAAAAACCACGCTCAGCATGAACAAATTGACAAAAGATTTATAAAACAAAACAAGATGAAAAAGAAAAGCATACGAATGTTAGAAAAGTCGTCACGAGAGCTACCAAGAAGAGAAAAACCAATTTCATCACATGATTTCAATACCAAAACTGCCCTCAGCAATGGCCGCCGGTGCAAGCCCAGGTTTCAAAACCACCTCACTGTGATTTTTTAATGGTATTTCTAATGTGAGGCTGGAGTGAAATCAACCGAGCTAAAAATAACTTTGAAGTAAAAGTCTTTCAACTTACCGTGGACGTATTTTTCTTTTTATACAAATCAAATCCTGGATCGGTTAGACTTTCAGAGACTCGTCCTAATAGTTCTTCGATCCGCCCATCCTGAGGCAACCTGTGTTCAAAAATTATAAACCATTATTATTATTTTTTAACAAAAAGGTCATTTTTATTGTAAAAAGGTAAAACATAAGTATCCACATAATTATGCTGCGATAAACTTACATTCGTCACCAGTGATCCTGGTTTGGGTATAGGAGAAGCATGGGAGAACAAAAATGATAATTTTTTTTTCTTTCAAAAAGTTGCTTAAAGGGAAAATACAACATTTGCAAACATCAAACAATAAAACTACCAAATCATTTTGAAATACTTTGCTGGACTGTTAGTGAATGACAGTGTAAAGCATCCTGTAAAATCATGGCACCTGGTATACTGTCATTTTCAAGAAAAGTGGTATTTTTGTATCAATTTCCAACGCTGATCGGCCGATCAGCGTTGGAAACAACTGGCTTTTTTCAAATACTGGCCCCAATTGACCATCGCACTTGTTTGCAATCGATTACAAACCTATGAACGGGTACGAGCCAGCTAGACTGGTTCCCTGACCTTACAATTCCCCAATGTATGTAAACTGACCTGTTTCTTCTTATATGGAGTCAGGGAACCAGACTACAGGAAAATGATCGTTTTTCTTGGTTTTATAGCATTTTCGAACCCAAAACCTCAAAAAAGTCAGTGTAACTATATTTGCTATATATTTCCAACCCCCCCAATTCCATCCATTTCTGAAAATTACAGCAAAAGCAAATGATGTATATTCCCTTTAAATTCCGTTCAAAATATTTCAAAGCAGGGGATCTCTAGTACCGTTGTTAAAGTGGTGACTGCTAAAATGGTATAAGCAGGAAACATTAGATATTAGTGTGCTGAGCAACAATCAGCAGGGTACCAGTCGGAAGCTGTTGACATTGCATGGAGTTTTGGCTGGTAACCCGTTTCTGCTAAGCAAATATATTTCTGTGTTTAGCAAATGTGCTAAGCAGCTCAATAAACACGGCACCATATGCTCACCTGTAGGTAACAATCATCAAAGCTTCGTAAGCCAGTCTCAGCGAGTCCCCGTTTGGTGCTGCCCGGTCGCTCGTGGCGTTGCCATCGACCAGGACGGGCGACCACGGCGTGGTGTGACCGACGTCAGGGAACAGCTCCAGGCGGAAGAACACCTGCTGGCCCCCGGTCATGCCGAGCTGGTCCGCCGCTAACATGAAGATCTGCTCGTCCCCTTCCAGAGTCGTGACCCCGCCCATGATCAGCCAAATTACTGAAAAGGTAGTGGAATTCGACGATTGGAATCGTCATTCTGACAATTGACAGGAGGTCGTGGGTTCACATCCCACCCGAGTAAGCTTCTTATTCTTTTTTCTCGCAAGAACTCTGCAGTGAGTAAACTATCAAGCACTCTGACGGCACCGAGTATAGTAAATAATTAGAAAAGGCAAAGGACGAACTTATTCATGGGCAAAACCCAAAGAAAGCTTACGAATTGGGCTTTCACATCCTAGATTTTGAAGGTGCTACATTTAGAACTTCACTAAAACAATGGTCCCGACATTTGGGTTTCGTTTTTTTTTGCTCACCCTGTATTGCAATGCAACATCAATGGGAATCATTGCGATAATCTTATGCCAGTCACGATGTGTTCACTTTTATGAATACCTTTTTTTTATGTCAAGATTCCTTGCATAAAATAATTGAGATATTCTAAAAATCACAAACCCATAGTTTACTTTAATGCAGATGACTCATAGCGCTGCAAACGCGGGAGGGAGATTATTTACAGAAATCCCACGCGATCCCGCGGGATCTGCAAATCTAATCAAGTCAGTCTAACCGGTGGGATTAGAACCCAGGCCGCGTGGGACGTCAGATGGGTGAACAACCGCCACGCTAACGCGAATCCAGCCACCCACATTGACCTTATATAAATCCAACTGATTTGATTTGAATTTTATGAGGAATACATAACAGAGATCTTTCGTAATGACGAGTTTTCTCACTACAGCGATGACTTACATCACTGAAAAATTGCCTGGGTTAATTTTACCAAAGAAAGGGTGAAAACTGGAACTACCCAAACTTGGGTTGTTCTATAACCAATTGACGTTTGGATTAGAATTTATGTTAGATTCAACCAAAAATTGTAGTCATACAAGACCAAATTTAATTTAAGTTTGGGTAGTTCCAGTTTTCACCCTTTCTTGGGTAAAATTAACCCAGGCAATTTTTCAGTGATGATAAACTGATATATTTTATTATTATTTTTTTTACTCCAGTTGTACAGCCTCACAAAGTACCAAAAAAATCAATTTTTTTAACACGAAGAAGAGAAAATAGATATTGTTGCTTTATTACGAAAGCCAAAACTCAAAATTCGGGCATGTTCTTAAATGTAAGTTTGAAATGCTACATGTGTGTATAGGCCTAATGTACCATCGGACGACTCACCATGTGATACATGTTTCACTTTTTGCAGTATCGTCACAGCTTTTTGCACATCGAGAGGGCCCGTGTAACTTTGAAGGTTGGAGATGGTCACGCCAGTATTGATCATCGTCGTCAAGACGGTTTCCGCCAGCGCGCCCCACAGCGGCGCGTCTGCGTACACGACGGACGCCGAGGTGAACCCGTAGTGAGTCATGACGGCACCCGGTAGGTACGACAGACCCGAGAAAGGGACGAAAGTCCGAGCGAAGGAATCGTACGTGTCGTCAACCGCCGTGGCTGGAGTCTGTGGACAGAACCAGGAGATAAAAGGGATGTCCCAGTAAGCGGACAGGTCCCGGACGCTCCGGCACGGCTCGGAGCAAGGCAGACCGATGAAGACGTGCACGCCGGTGAAGAGGTGTAAATCCACGGCTGAGCCGCTGGCTCGACGGGTGTCGCACCTGGTGTCTCGGTACACGAAGTTTAAAGTGTTGTTACCGAGGATTCCTTCATCCCGGATCTGGTCTAGGGCTAAGGGGACCGCACCAGCCGTGCGCCGTCCAAGGAGCGGGTAGGCGTAGGATTCGGGGGCGTCCCAAGGACCCAGAACACCGATTGTGACATCTACGGAGTGGACTATAGAGGACTGTGACATCAGTACGGCGTACAGGACAAGGCAGGCGGTGTATAAACGCCATAGCCCCATGGGAAACACAGACATTGTGTTGAGAAACTCATGAGTTTCGAACTCCCTTAAACTAACATCCAACAATCAGCGAGCTACCAAAACTATCACCACAAGTCATCCATCATCCTCGACAACGGTGAGAGATGTGTTTCAACTTGAACCCACGATTGTAGTCCTATACACTGCTCATAATTTCACAACATCGGTACGAATACAATCCACAACTCATCATTAACGATGGGCAAGGACCGATGATACCGGAGATCACCTTGGATCATAAAAAAAATCCTCTTATCATCCAGAGATAACATCCCGGAATGATCCTGATAGAAGAGCGCTGGCAATCCGCAGGTGTATTTGTTCAGAAGGCACGGCGGTATCATGACATCGTCACATTCTGTTTGCTCGGGCTTTCCGGGTGGTTGGCATGGCAAACGCAATCAAAAAGCGGTGAAAACCATTGCTTCAAAACAAACAGCGGTAATTTCCCAGCACTTAGGTAACAAGAGTACAATGTCGACCCCATTTTCTTAAAGTGAGTTCCTCATCATCTTGAGATTCATCCTCAGGCAGACGCAGCCCTGCCCTACCTGAGGCCTTCGTATTGTCCCATACAAGTACACGCAGTTCACGGCTAAGTTCAACAGTATATGACTACGGTGACTTTCAAAGACTACAGTGGCCATTCCTCACATGCACAGAATCCTTGCAAGACTTAAAGTCCCGTGGACACAGGTTTGCACCATCCCACGCGCAGTACAACGTGACTTGACGTTTGCTGGATTAATGACTGCCCATACCTAGCAACGGGCGACGGTACCGACTCCAGGTGCGTGCGCGACTGCGGCGCCCCAAGCCCCGTGTAGGTGGACCTCGCGTCCATAGGGAGTTGACTGCAAAATCACGGTGCTCATTTCATAATCGCTGTGCGGATTTAACTTTTATGCAACCTGCGCATGCGTTTGTGTGTCTGATAGGTCGTCTGCGCATGTGCGCGCATGCGCTTTTCGATCGAGAGTAAACTCAGCACTGGGTTGTTTCGAATTTCCACACCGGAATTACGAGCTCTCTTTAACGATTCCCTGTCTTAAACGAGCCGTCAACACAGTCCATTTATCATTCCGTCCACACTCGGCGAGTGCCCGCCGTGCCATAAATGTCACGCCTGAAGCTCGTGTCATTTTGCCATAAGACTAGAATTACAGAACTGAGAGTATACAGGGATTTTCTTTCAGATATTCCGACCACAACAAAAAATGCAGGCCTACGCCGAATGTAAATATAATTCAAGTGCGCTCATGAATGTATTCATAATTGAAGGCGATAACATCTCAAAGGACGAAACGAAAGCGGAAAAGTCACCTTTTCCTTGTTTTCTTCGCAACAGTTTTTTCGGATGCTAAAGGCCTTATTGTTTAGTTGGGCCGAGTATTAAGATATTTATGCGCGTATTATTATACACGATAAGCCAATAACAACAAATATTATGTACGTTTTTTTAATAGGCCCCTACATGTAAAATTGTAAACGTTCGTACGCACGGCTATAAGGGGAACAAAACAAAACACAAGTTAGTAGACTTTCTTTTTCTGAAGCTTCAAGAAAAGTCATACAATGCTTATGCACAGTGGCGTCTGTGAATGGCAAAGTACCAAAATTGAAATCTATATTTCCAGATTATCACAACTTAAGCGATCACAGCGTCATAAGTGCGTGCGCACTGTTTTCAATCGTTTGTAATGGTCACACTTCATTCAGGGTCCCTTTCAGTTTTTCTTAACTGAAGAACACTTTGCCGAATTATTCGAACGGCCATGAATTTTGTTTGTTTGCGAAACAATTGAAATTTACTTTTTTTTCCCCTTCAAACTCAAGCCGAATCGATACGCAAAGCGACCGACTCCGACCCGCGCAAACACGAGACATCCGACAAAATTAAAGACCGTAAACGCGTGGAAATGAGTGGTCATTAAGCCAACTGGCCGGACGGAAACTCTCTCTACGGAATGGCCGAGTTGTTTAACCAAACACGGCGGAGGTCCAAGCGGAATCGAGTGGCCGGAAATTACTGTTAGCTGTGGACTTGTGTATGAAACAATACCGTCGAAACCAGCTAAATGAATGGTTCTCTTAATTGTAATTCTACCGTTGCCAATTTCATGGCGTTGCTTTAATAGCAGAAATTATTGCTTAGCACATTAACGCGCTTAACAAGAATTAGCAGGGAACCAGTCTTGATTTATATACACTTGTGTGACACTTTAACTGGTAACCCGTTCTTGCTCAGCAAATATTGTCTGCGCTTAGCACATTTCCATTTTAGGCCGTGTCCGTAGTAGTTGGCTACGGCTTTAAGCCCATAGCTAAGGAATTCGGACAAGTTGTAAAGCTGTATGAAATTAGCCCTTGATCAGTCGGAACTAACCCCCCCCCCCAAAAAAAAAAAAAACTCTGCCAATTTGAAGTCGCATGTCTACACTCTTTACGAATTTAAGGCGAATGTAAACGAGAAAGGGAAGAAGGTAACACAACTTTGGATTTATTCACATTTTGTGCAAATTACTATATAGAATGGCAGAAAGAACGTGATTAAGAGTACATGACGTGTAATTGACAGCTCGCCGTAAAAGCCTTGTAAAAGGTCGAGTGCTGTGTTCAGTAAGCTGATTCTCACCTTTGTGCGAGGATTTTTACGAAATACTGTTTGGAAATTGAGGGGGAAAGAATTTTATTGAAGCTTAGAGCATGACAACTTGACTACATCGAGCCAGCACCGGCATATCTGGACATTTTCGGGGGGCGGGGGCGGTTCCTCCCTTGGGGCGTCAGACCCTAGAGACATGTTGAGCGCATTTTAGTACCCCGTAACGTTGGTAATTGTGAGCACTTTATTTTTGCGAGAGGGCGTCATCGTCCATGTCATTTTTACGCTCAGAGGGGGGTGGGGTTAACGACGCTCGGGCGGGGGGTTCGGCGGACAAAAAGTCGGAGGTTTTTTTTGATTAAAGACACCCCCCCCCCACACACACACACCCACAAACCCGTCCAATGAAACAAGAAGAGAGCTCGTTAAGCTTGCGAAGTTTGGGCAACCTGTTCTTTATTGTTGGGGGCCGGGCTCTCATAAGATCAGCACATCACTATTTTGTTCGAATGTAAAACGATTTGGGTTGAATCAAATCCTTGGCTATATTCGTGCTTTGGGCGTCTCTTTTATTCTCGCAAATGACCTCTCATGCACTTAATAAAAAAAATTACATAAAAGACGATGGTACGGCACCTCTGCAAACCGCCTTAGGACAGCCCCAGATGTCAGCCAGTCTAGACTCGATTACATCACATCAACTCATTCAAGCGGAACACTTTCATTAGTCCACCGCAAGAGGACAACAAAGGTACAAAGGAAGGACGGCAGACCTTTGCTGTGTACGGAGTTGTTGGCTTCGCACGGCCATTCTTCGGTTGGTGTTTACAGGTACATGTACAATAAAAAATCTTCGGCTTGTTACAAGGAGATAAAATATCGCCGACGTCTAGTCCTTCTTATCATTCTGTGAAGACGCTAGACTGATGAAAAGATACGATTATGATTTTCATGTGTAAGCCATGTACATCTGGTAGCAACATGGTGTCCATAACCCTGCTGAAGTTCTTCATTTTGCTGGCTTTGCTGCAGTCACTGATGGTCCATGGCCAGCCGTATCAGCCAAACTGGCAATCCATCGACTCGAGACCTTTGCCTGGCTGGTACGACGATGCCAAATTCGGCATCTTCATGCACTGGGGCGTCTACTCCGTGCCCAGTTACGGGTCCGAGTGGTTCTGGCAATACTGGGCATCGAACGTGCCCAGTTATGTCAATTTCATGAAGCAGAACTACCGTCCGGATTTCACCTATGCAGATTTCGCTGAGCAGTTTCAGGCAGAGCTGTTCAACGCGAGTCGGTTTGCGGAGATCGTGGAGGCTTCTGGGGCTCGGTACTACGTGCTGACTACCAAACACCACGAGGGATACACATTGTGGCCCTCGAGGTATTCGTGGAACTGGAACGCCATGGATGTGGGTCCGAAACGAGATCTGGTTGGCGAGATGGCTACGGCAATTCGTAAACTCACGACTAAAGTTCACTTTGGGTTGTATCACTCCCTCTTCGCCTGGTACCATCCACTGTATCTTCAAGACGAGGCCAACGACTTCACGACCAGGCTCTATCCTGAGCAGATTTCGACTCCGATGCTTCATGAGTTGGTTGAGAACTATCACCCAGATATTGTCTGGTCGGATGGTTTTGAGAAGACTACGGGGCCCGAGTACTGGAACAGCACAGGTTTCCTGGCCTGGTTGTACAACAGCAGCCCGGTGAAGGATGTGGTGGTCGTGAACGATCGCTGGGGGGAGGGGACAGTGTGTCATCACGGCGGGTATTACACCTGTCATGACCGTTACAACCCAGGCACCTTGCAGAACCACAAGTGGGAGAACGCCATGACGGTGGACAGGGGTTCCTGGGGGTACAGGAGGAACGTCCAGCTGGCCAATTACCTCAGCGCGGAGCAGCTGATTGCATCCCTGGCCAAGACGGTGAGCTGTGGGGGCAACATGCTTCTCAACGTCGGCCCGACCCATGATGGACGCATCATTCCCATCTTTGAGGAACGTCTGCGTCAGATCGGCTCGTGGCTGAAAGTCAACGGGGAGGCCATCTACGGGTCCTGCCCATGGAGAGCCCAAAATGACACCAAGTCTCTGGACATCTGGTACACCTCCCAGAAAAATGGCACAACGGTGGAAGCCGTTTATGCCATCATCCTTGCATGGCCTGCGAACAACCACATCTTCCTGGGAGCACCAATGTCTACCAAGATGACCACTGTAGCCATGGTGGGAGTCGAACCACCACTCAATTGGGAGGCAGGGCCGAAGGGAGTTGGGGTCAACGTGACCATGCCAACACTGAATCCCGTACAGATGCCATGCCAGTGGGCTTGGGTTCTCAAATTGCTGAACATTAAGTGACCATTTGGACAGCATCACATTTATATATGTGTGGGTGTGTGTGTGTGTGTGTGAAGTAGAACATTAAAGTTCTAGTTTATAGAATAGTTAAAAACAACAATAAAAGTTTAACATCGGCTTTACACAAAAGAAGTCACTGCTACACAGAAGCGTTTGTTTCAATTATCATTTATTACATTAAATTTGTATGTAAATACATTTATATTTGTGTTATCATTAAAACTCTGCTCAGATGACGTCATGGTCACTGGCAACCAAACTATTGTAGGTTTTCTAGAAGATCTAGAGGACACATGATGCACTTGTAAAATTAACCAAAATTTGAGTGAAGCTTGCTGATCCAACAGCGAAACAAACACGTCATCTGCCGACTGCTACAACTGAGGAAATCCACAAGAAAGTGCAAATGTTTGAAGTTGGTTGCATTAAAAAAAAGTGGGGGTTATGTTATGTGCCCTGATGGAGTCATATAGGGGGAAAAATAGGATGCCCGACTATGACTGAAAGTCCATTAAATTTCTGTCTGTTAGAAAATCCAAAATACCTCTTGGTTTAATTGGCTTTACTATGCTAAATTTATCGTCTCATTGTTTCAATATGAACTCTTAGACTTCAAGTGATTAAACTGCATGTTGCAATGAGAAATGCGCTCATTTTGAAAATATCTGTTCGAGAGGTACCGTCCTAACCGTTGTTTAAAATGAGTGTGTGTATGGAAAAATAAACAAAATTAACTTCCGACTTCAAGAGTCATAGAAGTGTGTACACTAATGTATTGCTGTAAACATTTTACCTGTTTGGAATTGTGGAAAATGAGGATGGCCCCTTGGCGATTTCTAGTTTAACCCTAACTCCCTCGTGTGTTTTACTGGGAACTGGACCAAGTCCATCAAACTCCATCAATCACTGTGCGTCCAATACAAAACTGTACACGACATAATGGAATCCACCACTGACGCACTGGTTCACATTCATGGACTTGCTACACATGGCTTTTATGACAATAGCAGTACAGGAAGCTAGGCAAAATCAATGGGATACCCCTAGCACTGCTTCAGGCCATTAGGCCCAAGTCCATCACACTCCATCAATATTTAGTCACGCCAGGCCTCCTGGACCAAGTCCCCCAAAATCCACCAAAATAGGGGATGGATTTTGATGGAGTTGGGGTGGTTATGGTTAACAGCTGGGTCACAGGTTAAAGATGACAAACCGTATCAGTTTTTGTTCTCAAATTCACCCGACCGATTATCTTTTCAACTCTATGTACATCAGGGCTCTTAAGCAGAACAAATGCGAAATTCTGTTAATTGGAACACCACAAGCTTGTCAATACGTGCTGGTGACATGTACACATAAGCAATTACTCCTGGCAATCCTCAGTAGGCCAAAGGGCGCCCTCTGTAGTTCACGCACACAATGCAATACACGTTGCACGTGAGACTGGTAAAATAATCCTGGGCACTCTTGGGTTACAAATTTACACTCGTACAAAAATGTTACTTGTCTGGAGTTTTGTCTTGAGGTTCTTCCTCTGTCTCAGGTTCAACAAGGTTGGACGGCTCCTTCATGGCTATTTCCACGTTGCCCGTGTATTTGATGTCAAACAAATTGGGGTCTTTGAGAAAGACGGTCTCTCTGTACATGAATGGCATGAAACCTAATGAAATATAACCAAAAAAAATCAAATGAAACAAGTCAACCACAGCATGCTTACATGGGCGTTGCCAGGATTTTTTCTAGAGGGGGGCAAAAAAAATTTTGGACCAAAAATGCTTGTATTTCTCAACACATTTTCGATTTATCAGTTTTAGAGGGGGCAGGGACATTTTGCCCCCCCCCCCAACTCATTAAATTTACACCACTTTGTCTTCGCGCCTCTTTTTTTTTTTTTTTTTTCTTTTTTTTTTCTTTTTTTTTTGCGTCCTTTTTTTTTTTCTTTTTTTTTTTTGCTTTTCCGGGGGGGGGGGGGGGGGGGGGGGGGGGGGGGGGGGGGGGGGGGGGGGTGCCCCCCCTTGCCCCCCCCCTCGCGACGCCCATGCATGCTTATACTTATTATGTTATAGAATAGGCAAGTAACTAAAATGTTATAGGCTTACAGAATCTAACATTTGTGAGGCGATCTGGCAAAATAATCCAAACCTTTCATTCATAAAAAGCCACGTCCTCACAGAAAAAAAAGAAGAAAACATATTGGAAGAAAACAACATTTGGTTTTGCATTTGCATATAGATCAGGTTCAACTTTTTGCAGTGGCCAAGGTATCAAACCGCGGAATAAAACAAACATCTCCAACAATTTCAAAACGTACCCATTCTTCTGGCCCGTTTGACGGCCTTAGTGACCCGCCTCTGTTGGTAACTGCAAAGCTTGGTGATGTAACGGCCGTAAAGCCGGCCGTTGTTTGGAGAGATAAACTGGGACAGCAGCTGCACATTCTGGGTCGCAGAAAAAAAATTTACAGTAAATCCTGGGTAGATAATGTTCAGAAGTTCATCTACAGAGCACAGGGATCAATTTCACAGAGCTAAGCATAGAAACATTTATTTCCACTCTGTGGAGGCAGCATCCTAAAAAGCCGAAGCTTGTGGTGGATGTACCAAACAATACAAGACAAAACAAGACAAACAACACTTATTATAAAATTTGAAATAATAACAAGTGTTAAATATATAACGGTTAAACAAAGTAGACATGATAATGAATAACATATCAATAGCGGCTAAGCCAACTTAATAATAAATCAGGTGATCTGAGAATTAAGTAGGTGGCCAAAATGTGAACATTTTCCGGGAGTGTTGATAATACTTGTTTTGCCATTTCTTAATTATATGTCCACACTGAGATGTGAAGAAAACAGTAGGGGGTAAAATCACAGTCAGACAACAGACAAACTGTTTTGCTATATTTGTCCATTTCAGCTTGCACAATGAATACACTTTCGTGATTCTTACCTTGTAAGAGACCGGTACTTTGTGTTTGCATAAGATACATTGCTCGACTGGTTCCTTGAAGGGATCCTCAATATTTGGTAGTGGCTGAAAGGTTAACAATAAACCACAAACTATTCTAGTCGACGTTCTCCACTTTTACCAGACAATCTTGTAAACTAATGAAAGAGCTATTCAGAGAGACACAAACATTACAACATTCCTGCTCTTGAAGTATAAGTAAAGCTTAAAAAAGTCACAGAATTTTCTCAATCTTCCTTACAGAGGAGTTATTAACCCTTGACAAAGAACAGAACCTTTTTTTATTATTTCTTCTATTTTTTCCAGATTGACAATCAGTTTTTGTATGTATGGCAACAACACAAATTCAAAATGTGGAATTATTGTACAAAATATGAATATGGATTTTTTTTGGTCAATTGCTGTGTGTGTCTTCTGTTGTGACATCTTCCAAGCTAAATTAGGTCACATCATTAGCAGAGCTTGCTTAAATGAGAAATGTGTCTCCTATGAACAAACTTACAGAATACCAAACATTGGAATTTTCTTCACTGGACATAAAATACCGAAAAGCTTGTCCAGCTGTTGGCCATCAGCCCAGTACTTGAGTCCATCACAAATCCTGCACCAGTCCAGTCACAAGTAACAAGGGATGAACAATGACAACGGATTGCTTTTGTCACAGTTCATTTTGATTATCTTACGACTTGACCTGAGACTGTAAATGATGGAGTTGCGAAGACTTGTAATAGACTCGACTTCCAACACTGCATCACACTAATCCTGCTTAATTCTTCAGTGACTTACATGGTCAGGACACGGCTGTTCTTCCTGTATTTTATCGTCGTCTCGGATATCAGGATCTGTTTGGAATCCTCTTGATGTCAAGGCTGGAGCAGAAAACTGGTTGCTGGTTTTATTTCCATCAAAGACTGACCCTAAAATAGAAGAAAAAAATCAATTAACAAATTTGCCGTTGCAAAACCATTCAATTACTGTAATCTGAAGCATTATTCTATACTGTCTAACCATGTCTATATGTAGGAATTATGTCCCAACATGCAGGCATGCATCTGGGAAGTCACAAAAGAAAGAGGAAATTCAAATCTTTCCAGGATTTTGTACAGTGTTTTTCTATTTTCAGTGGCACACATGGGAAGTAAAAAAAAAAGAGGAAATTAGCTGATCTGAGGAAAAGTTGCATGCCTGCAACATAATGAACTTGAAGTTGACTTTATTTCATCTTTTGAATTACAATTAAGATCAGATTTATTTGACCAAGATTTGATGTGTCATATAAGCCCTAGGCTTCAATTCGACCCTCAATTACAAGCAAGATTACAAGCAAGATTACATGAGTACAAGATAATTTAGCAGATAATAATATAATTAATATAATGGCACTTTTTTGTCATACACAAATCCCAGTGATGGTTAGTCAATGCAAATATTTGGAAACAAAAGCTAAACCAAAGAAACAAACAAAACCGCACACACAAATGATGAAAATGCTGAATGAGGAAAATTGTGAATGAGGAAGATGTACGCAAAAATACTTGAGCCAAAAATGTTCATGACTCAACAAAGTCTTTATGTTTCAAAGTGGCAAAATATGGCCAGCCTATGGTCTTAATGATAACATCAAAATGAATTGAAATGGGTCACTCTTACATTTGTCTTATTTCTTAAATCTTAAATTTACAATATCAACAATGTACAAATACAATTAATCACTGAATTTCAACAAACATGTTCGACATAGATCATGGTAAAGGATAGCCACGATGCAGGATACGTGCAGTGAAGGTATCCGTAACGTTGCATTAATACTACATTTTTTGTAAATTGTAGGCTACACTGCCCATCTCGATCTCCATTCGTCACTTCGTGGCGCTGGCACACATTCGTTATGCACGCTACAGAGACACGCTCACTTTTGCGGACATACATGGACAATTAGGTGGAATGAAAAAGATAAAAGGCAAGTATAAGTACCTGAAATACTTGATAATGCTCGAGGTGAATAACTTTTAGAAAAACCTGTATCGCAGTTCCTTTTTAACAACGTTAACACGTTAACTTGTTTGCAGAGAACGCGAATTTGGTTTGCCATGTGGGCCGCCATCTTGAGAATCTGGCCAATTGAGGGCGCTCTATAAGTTTCACATGCCATTCTCTTTTTCCAAGTGGCGGGTGATCAAAATTTTAGCCGATTGTTGTCATTAGTTACGGGCAGGTTTGTCTCGTTTTCTCCAGGTTTTGAAGATGTTTACGGATGAAGTGCTGGACGGAGCAGAGTTTAAATCATCATGGAAACGAGAGAGGTAATATTTGGACCTTTTTACTCGCAAAACTAACGAGATCAATCGTGCTTGTTTTCGAACGCTTTTGTAAAAATTCTATGTACATTGCATAGGCCTGTTGGGCCCATTCTTGAAAATCACACAATCTTAAGAATGCGCACGCATTCTTAAGAATGAGCGCGCATTCTTAAGAATGAGCACGCGTTCTTAAGAATGAGCGCTCATTCTTAAGATTGCGTGGGAATATCACGTGCACAATTTATGAATTTTGCGCAATCTTAACAAACATTGCACGACATAATTATGATAAATGAAATGTATAGCGATTATAAGGGAAACAATTCATATAAAGAGGAAAGAAAATGTTCTATGCTTCTGTACTCGTATAACTACGATAATTTGAATCAAATTAAACCTGTTATTATTGCTTTTTTCTGCCCACTATGGGAAATTTTGTAATAACGGAGGACTGGGAACTAGTCTGGGAAGTGCTTTGTTTAGGCTAGACAAGTTACAAGTCCCTGTATGTATCATATGCATGCCACGAAAAATAAAACGATGTCCAGAAGCTGCCAAAATTGCTCTTTTGACTAGATAGAATCCAGCTCTGCGGCGTAATGGTGGGGGGTGTGAACAATAAATTGGTGGCAATTTAAATGGGAAATAGCATTAGCACTATGGGATGTCGCAGTATTCATTCTCATTCTTCACATTCTTCATTCTTACGCCCCCCCCCCCTGCTTTTATTATCCCAAAAATCAGAATTCTTTCCAATACACTATTAGTATTATGTCTCTTATTTTTTTCCGGTCCCCCCCCCCCAATCCTTTTCATATCCACTCTACTTTTCAGCGCCTTGCGTTGCAACAGTATCAGTGAACGAGGATGCAGCTAGACTTGCCAAGCGCAGCCGGTGCTCGGCATCGACAAGACCGTTATCTTGTCGCGCATTCTTAAGAATGTGCGCTCAATCTGGAAGAGTTATTTTTTGCGAAGATTGCGCAAGGATCCAGTTGTACATTCATAAGAATGTGCATGCGCATTCTTAAGAATGCGTGATTTTCAAGAAAGCGCACAACAGGCCTACTACAAATTGGCTCTTGCATTTACAAACTTTTCTTTGCCATTTCATTTTAATTTATAGGCCAACTAAATCAAGTGGCTCCCAGACCAGTGAGGTACTCACGAATGATTCAGATGCTCAAACATCGTACAAAGCAAATGCGAAGGTAATTCCCCCAAAAAAATCCTGTAAAAAATAGCCAGTGGATATTTTTATGATATACCGGCCCCAGAGCATGACTAGGCCTATAGCTTAGGCCTAAATATTTATAAAGTGTACATGGCCACCAATGTTGATATATCACTGTAAAGTATCCAGCTGAGGGACATGGTCACCATGATCTCATGGCTGACATTCAATAACAATATCACACTTTCTCATTCAGTATTAATTCAATTGTTTTCTACCAACACCAATCCCTCCGATTCCTTTCAATCTTGGTGAGCCGACGTTTTACGTGTTATTTTTTTCTTCACAGGTTCAGACGGACCCAGTCAAAGAAAAGAAGTTTGAACTTGCAACAGACAATTCGCAGGTGAGTATTTGCCTGAAGCATGAATAGTCTCATTTTGGTGATTTTTGGTTTTTTTTAAATAAATTTCATCAAATCCATATATTTTCATGTGTTCAAAAAAGTACCCTCAATCTAAATCACAGCCTCACATTTTCATTTTGTGCAAAATTTATTCTTTTGCCAGTCATTCATACTACTGACGTTTATATTTTACCTGACTTCTCTTTGGAAATATCTTCTTTTCAGGCTTTTCAAGACTTCATAGCGAAGGCTACACCGAACATTTGTGCCCAGTTGGAGCGCAATGCACGCAGCCACGCTTTCGATGGTTTGTCTGAATTCTCTTTTGTCTAAGATTTTTGTTAAAATTGATGTTTAGAATAATTGGTATTTGCTCTAGAAAGTTAAAGCCATCTGCACATGTTTTTATATTTTAGATATGTGTTGTTTGAAATTGTTAAAAAAATCTCATTCAAAAAGCTCATTTTCTGATGACAGTTCACAAATATACTTCTGCCTTAAAATTGCTTTGTCCATTATTTGATGTACTGTAGAACAAAAAGTGAAGAATTGTACACTGTTTGGAATTGCTCTCTTAGGTTGGGATGTTAACTGGGAGGAGGACACAGAAACAGTCACCTGTCAACATAAGCTAAGCCACGCCCCCCTTAAGGAGGAGTTACAGTGCACACGGCTTGCGTGGAACTGTACTGGCTCATCGCTGGCAGTGGCTTATGGGCGGTTGGACCACCAGGACTGGTGTACGCACAGAGTAAGTATCAACAACGACAACAACAACATTTTGGTAGTTTCTTATTTTTGTTGGCTTGGGTAGACGTGTGCTGATATTCTGTCATCGTTTCCACGGCACAGAGTCATTGTGTAGTCAATTGGAAGTTAGTCAATCACACGTCAATCACAAGTTAATCATAAGTCAATTGTAAATCAATCATAAGTCAATCATAAGCCAATCATAAATCAATCATAAGTCAATCATAAGTCAATCATAAGTCAATCACAACCCAATCTCAAGTCAATCACAACCCAATCACAAGTCAATCACAAGTCAATCACAAGTCAATCACAACCCCATCACAAGTCAATCACAAGTTAATCACAAGTCAAGCAAGGTCAATTTTAAGTCAATCACAGATCAGTCATATTAAAGTCAATCAGAAGTTAATCACAATTAGTCAATTAAAAAACTATTAATTTTTGATGACTGTTCGAAATCTTTATATTCATGTTCTGTAATGACTGTGTACATTTGCAACAGGGGTCACTCTGCATTTGGAATGTTGGCCTGAAATCAGTCAACGCAGAAAAGGCCGACACAGTTGTGGATGTCAATGTAAGTTGACTTTTGCTAATTATTTTTAACGTTGCTTGTAATTTGGCTTATTTTAAAAACTAATTGTGCTTTAATTTAAAGCTTGAAATTGGGATAAAAATGTAACATTTAAAAGCCCAAACAATTTAATTTTTTTGTGAATGCAGAGTTGCTTGATGTGCTTAGCGTACCATCCAGAGAAACCTTCTGCAATCGTCGGCGGTAACTTTAATGGTAAGATTGCATTCATAATAATCATGTCAAATTTGAAATTTTTCTTTGATACTACATTTCTTGCTCTGGTTGACATGAAGGTAGTTTTTAATCTGTGAATTGTAAAATTCATTACAAAACTTGTTTTCTCTCTAGTTATGTAGCTCGGGAGCAACAGTCCTTACAAGTGCACCTAAAGAGAGAAATGAAATAAATGAACAAACAAAAATATATGACAATGTAATAATCTAACTTTGCTTACATATGTTTTCTCATTTATTGTCCTTCTGGGTAAGAAGCTTGAAATTTATCTCCAGCTGATTTGAAAATCATTGATGAGTATGTAACTATTTCATGTCTTGACTATTTTCAGGCGAGGTCTTATTGTGGGATCTGACCAGGGAGGACGACAGTCTTCTGGCTACGTCAGGCATCGGCGACGACTCGCACCGAGAACCAGTGTCAGAGGTCATGTGGCTGCGAGATCCAAACAAACCCAAGAAATATAATGTGAGTTGTCTTTTAAGCACCAGTTTGTAATGAGACTTTGGACATTTGGTGCAAAAAGTTTGTTATCATGTTTTTTTTAACATGTGGCAAAAGGTTTGGGTCTGAACTAGCCTGTCAACTTGGGTATGCCTTTGAACATGGATATATTGGGGGTGAGTTTCTTACTAAACAAATGTAGGATGAAAAGCCAATTTAGTTTCATCTGCAATAAACATGTGAGCACAGATATTAACACGGTTACATAATACTTGGCTATAAAACAATGGGATGGGATATTCATTTAATTGATTATCGTTACAACTGCCTTTAGGTTCATCAGTGCATGGGTATAAAGTTGTGTTGTTCTTGTGTAAATGACTACATCATCTGGGAATTGAGTTTTATGAATAATAACAAATGAAGGAAGATGGGTACAAAAATTTGAAAATCAAGGTTTATTATCAGTTGCTTACATTACTATCTTGGTGGAATATTCAGATTGTAAGCGTCAGCAGTGATGGACAAGTCTTAGTGTGGAAGATCAACGCCAGGAAAGGAGCCTTGGAGCTAACAGAAGGATTCTTGCTGTTGGCTAGCAGCATGCCAGCTACCCTCGGCCAGCCCAAGGCCAAGGGGGAAGGGGAGATGGGCGGTAAGTCTTAGAGGTTCTCTGGTTTGGGATGTGTCACGCAAGGAAATTTTACTGCAAATTTGTTCCAGGCAATCTTCTAGAAGAAAAAATGATGGCAAAATTATAAATTTCCTGTGATGCCCTCGGGAAAAATGAATATTGTTCTTGTCGGTTCCTTTAGCTTGCAATACAATTGGGTGCCTCGAAGTTGCCAGTGAAAATTGCCTTATGGTTCCAATCTCGACTCCCTCAAGTAGCCAATTTTGGTTTCCCAAGATTCAATTCCAGACACTTCAAAACAGAGTCAAACTTCAGAAACAAACATTAGACAGTTTCAAACAGAATCTTGATGTCTGGATGTAATAGGAACCAATTTATTTCAGAGTCGTCTAACCTTAGCCAGTATTAAACCAAGTCCCAAGTTCTCTCTTCACTCCCCCACCCAGACTTTGTGCCCCTAAACTCATCAAAAACATCCGAATTTGTACAAAATATGAGTCATATTCCTTCCGAATGTGACAGATATTTGGTGGCACTCTGGTCCTGTATGGGCCTGTTCACCAGCCCCTTCGTTTACCTTTGAGTGATGTTTGCCGGTTTTTATCTTTTTATTTCAGTGAACTGTATCTCCTATGTCTCGGAGGACCAGAGCCAGTTTGTGATTGGTTCGGAGTCAGGCGGAGTCTTCAAGTGCTCCATGAACTCCACAACTCCAGTGCCAACAAGTAAGGCATTCTGCAAAAGATTAAGTTATTTGTATCAAAGAAAAATCAGTTGTAAAGTAAAGGTTTCAATCTTTCTAAAATGCTCTTTGAGAAGGCCTTTGATAATTTTATATCGGTAATCATTCCTTGAATCTTCATAACTCTCCTTGAAACGTACTTAATTTAATGTGGATTCTAGAGAAATATCAACTCTACCACTTCAATTCCAGACATGAAGAGGTTATTGTGGTAAAGTGTCTTGCCCACGAACACAAGAAATGATATGCAGCCATGAAGAGGGTGCCTCAGAGGTGCTCCCACTGCAATCGAAAGACAGATTATTGATGCTTCCTAAACATTTAAAATCGCAAACAAAATCTGCTATTGATTGCCCGCAATTGTTGGATTTTGAAGACTTGGGAAGGTCCCAAGTACATATGCCCAGGGAGAGTAAGGGTTAACCTGTTAGCACTTGTATTACATTGTATAACATAGTAGTACATTGTATTACATTGTATAACATTGTATAACATAGTATTACATATAGTATTACATTGTATGACATTGTATTACATTGTATTACATTGTATAGCATAGTATTACATTTTATTACATTGTATTGCATTGTATAACATTTTATTACATTGTATAACATTGTATTACAATGTATTTATTCCATGGTGAAGCCATAAAACCACACAGTGCTGGAGCAATTTTGGGCAGAACAGGAAGTCTAAGGTAGGGCGCTTTGGGGCAGTACAGGGACTAATGATTTTACATACATTGCTCAAGGATGCCAATGCTGTGTTATCCTCTTTCAGCCGAGTTGCTGCGCTCCGTACCCCTCCATTCCCCCGTGGTCTTTGCCTTCCAGCCCCACCACGCCCCCGTCCACTCCATCGATTGTTCCCGTTACCATCGCAACTTGTTCCTGACCTGTGGGATGGATTCGGAGGCACGCATTTACAGCATGCTGGAGGTATGAAGGAAGCAATAAAATGTCTCCTTAACATCCTCGTCACACCCACGTCACAATGACATTCTGATTGATTTACAAGTGGACATAATCAACTGAATTGCACTTTTGAAATTTGATACAACTTTGGAACTTAACATATATATTTTGTGTAATGAACAAAACAACAATTTGAAAAACTAAGTAAAGTCTATACAGTTTTTACAATTCTTGAGATAATTGAAAGTTTGTAAAGGCTTGATGAATGTAATATGAATGGTTCTAACCTGTTCTCAAAGTTGAAACATAAATTTAGAATCATCAGAAATAATGTGAATTTTAAGGCTCTCATTTTTTTTCTTGTGAAACAGTCAAGGTCTATCATCTCTATTGAGCCATCGGCTGGATACCTCTTCTGCGCGCGATGGTCCCCAGTACGCCCTCTTGTGTTAGCGGTGGCGACGGGCGAAGGCAAGCTCCTCATCTACGATCTGAAGACGAGTCGCATCAATCCAGTGCAGACGCTTGAGGCAAGTCCCAAGAAGAGCGCTTTGCACACGCTGGAGTTCAATAACAAGTAAGCATGTTTTTTTTAGGTTTTTCATCCATGGCTTCTAGCTTGCCCCTTGAGCAAATTTGGTAACCGCCAACGTGGGGCTTTACTGCTCAGTTGGTAGAGCACTGGTACGGTATTCCGTAGGTTGCAGGTTCAATTCCTGATTCAGGTGATTACTTTGTTCAACCTGAGAGTGATTAAAGTTGCAGCTGCAGAAAGGGCTACAATTAACTGCCTATTAAAAAAAGGATCTTCTGCGTCAATATGACTCGTCATGCCGGCATTTGTCTCTAGTTTCCGTCATATGAAATGACCGAGAATCTGTCTGTTCCCCTGGATGGGATGCCAGTCCATCACGTTACTTGAAACTTCCCAGCTAATGCTGGTATTAATCAATAACTGAATGGCAAGCCACTTTACTGCAATTTGCCTCTTTCCAAAGGACACAACCTATGACCAGTAGCAGGATTTGAACCCCTGACCCTGTGATAACGATTCACAAACCCTAACCACTTGGCCCCACTCTGCTGCCCTCTAGCTGCATATTAGCAGTTTGGTGTCAAGCATTTAGTCTTCATCATTATCAAATCTTCAATCTGCACCGTTTCTTTCTTGACAGGAATGCCACGTTGGCCACGGGCGATGCCGACGGTGTAGTCCTGATCTGGCAGCTGAGTGACATGTTGTCCAAGCAAGGTTCTCGAGAGGTGGAGATGCTCGCTGATATTGCCAGCTCGGCTGGGGACTAAAAACGACATCTTTACTTGTGTTTGTATCACAAAGGTGTACCCAGGATTGTGGCTGTATACAGGCTACAACCGCTTCACATTTCACTCGAATGCAAAGGGGATGTGAATTTGATGTCAAAAAACATTCAAGAAACTTTGCTGCAGTTTTTAGTTTGAATGCGGCCTATTTCTTTTAAAAATCGCTTGAGCATTCACTCTCACACTTATCATGAACCAGCTTCAAGGCCCAACTTAAACACCTCAAGCTCTAACTTTACCGTCACAAGTAGGTTATGGTCAACTTTTTATTTCTAATCAAATAAAAACGGATGTAATAATAATAATTTCACTCATCATGCAGCTTTTTATTTGTATGAGGTAACTGGAAAATATGTGCAGTTTTCCCACACAAAAAGAAATTGAGATAAAAATAGGTAGCAAATTGTTTTCATACCAAGCTATTGTGACTTAGAATTTTTTTTCGAGTTTATCATGATTCAGTATTTGCTTTATGTTAACAGAAGGTAAACAAAAGAAACTCAGTCGTTAATATTTTGCATTTGTCACCTTATTTTAAATATGTCAACTATTTTCAGAAACTTAATTTGTAGTTGATGTTCTGCATTCAAGTACAAAGAGTGACCCTACTTTTAAAACGATTCAGTTATTTTGAATTGTAATTCAGCAATCCAAATATGTGTAAATTTGTAAAAATTCTGTGCAGTGCACTTTAACTTAACCAAAGTAAAATAAAATTTCAGTTTGTCGACACTGAGCACAATATCAGTCTAGTTCTTCTGTCACGAGTTCAACGCCTGTATCAACGTTCACTGGGGAGTTTCTTCCGCTGCCTTCGAGTAACGATTCTAGTTTGTTGAATCTCAAGTCTACGTGGTCTCGCAGTTGCTCCATTTGTTGATCCAGTCTTCCCATGATCCTCTTCTCGCTGGCTGCAATGTATCCCATGAGCCTCTGCTCTAGCTCGACCATTCCATTGCGGTGGGGGGATTTGTCAACTTGTCTGCAGATAAAATGTTTTAAATTTTTAGTGGTTTTTTTTTTTTTTAAGTTCACAATTTATCTAGTGCGAAACGACTTGAACTGAAAAAAGGTCCTGTTTTATGTTATATAAACCTAAGCACAATCTCCAACATGCACATCAATATTATTATTTGATTCTCCATGTATTAAAGAAGGTGCCCAATCAAATGGAGACAATTTTGTGTGACCTAACCTGGCATTTTCATGGGTAGTAGAACATTCCTCGCGATCGCCTCTTCTCTCTGGTCCATACGACCTCTCAGCAGCTTCCCTGTCTGCTGCCCTCATGTGACTTACGTCCCTACACATCGCCCGCAGTGCACTGAGCATGTCCGGATTCTCGCTCAGTGCCCCACCCTCTGTGGCCTTAGCCCCAGGCTCCGCCCCTCCCATGCCAAATGACGTCATCAGTTTGGCTAAGGTGTCCATGCTTGGGGGTCGGGCTGTGGCAGGCGATCCGTCACTGGGTTGAGGAGGGTTGCGAGAATCCGCTGGGGCAGCGCCAGGGACAGCAGGGTTACCCGTCGTCTGAGTCCTGGCCATCTGCTGCTGGAGCGCTGTGGCTTTGGAGAAGGCGTTGAGAACCCCGGCCATGTTGGATGCAAGCGAGGCCTTGGAATCGCCAGACGATGTCAGCCGCGCCGTCGCTGCCTGTTGGAAATCTTCCAGGACAGAGGCTTGGTTCTGTCAAAATGGAACAGTCCAAAATCAGTTCAATACCGAAATTGAAATACAGAGCTGTAATTAAATGATGCATAAGTACCAATCAGTGTTGGAGGCAAGACCATCAGAAGTACATCACAAATCCGGTCAAAGCAATATCACAAGTCCTTTCACAGGTTTAGTCACAAGAGGGATTGAACAATAACAGAGACATGCCTTTGAGGAATTGTGATGCACTTGTAAAGACAAGTGAGGACTTGTGATCCATGGACAAGTGAGGACTTGTGATGGAAACGTAAGGATTCCTGATGGAAAAGTGAGGACTTGTGATGGAAAAAGGAGGATTCGTGATGGACAAGTGAGGATTTGTTATAGGAAAAGTGAGGACTTGTGATTGACAAGTGAGGACCTGTGATGGAAAAGTGAGGACCTGTGATGGAAAAGTGAGGACTTGTGATGGAAAAGTTAGGATTCGTGATGGCAAAATGAGGACTCGTGATGGACAAGTGGGGACTTGTGATGGCAAAGTGAGGACTTGTGATGGACAAGCGAGGACTTGTGCTGGACAAGTCTACAACACTGGTCCCCACCTTCTGATATTGTTCCACTGTCTGCATCAGGCTCTGTACATTGTCTGGTATGGGCTGCTGCAAAGTAGACATGATGTCCCGCACTTTGGTCATATCGATGCTCCGACTTCCAGTCATACGATACGATTCCCCTTCTGTCCTTGTGGTGGTCACCCGAAGTCTGCTGAGCGCCAGTTGGCATTTGTCGGTCAAAGAAAGAAACTAATTTGGGAGAAACGAAAATATGGATAAGAAAATATGATTAAATTTTTTTGTTCAGTTAACATGATCAGAAAAGATAGGTAGACTTATAGGAAGGGACTTAACCCTATATTCAAGTTAATGCCTGTGCATTCGGTATGCTTAGAATTTCTTGGGTCCATGTGCCTAAGTTCCAATAACTGCATTTGATACATCTTAGCGCCCTCTGCTGCCACAGTGGCTTGACCAGCTTTACCTTCAACCTGCAAAGTGGCAAGGGGCCTTCGGCAGTCAAGTTGGCCAAGTACGAGACCAGGCCTGTCTGTTGGTCTGCCCCTCCGTCTTCCAGTCTCTCTCCCCTGACCGTGCAGCAGTACGAGTCCAGATTGTCGTACAGTTCAACGTGCCTGGCATTGCTGATGATCTCAATCGATGTGACGGCGATGCAAGGTCGGCAAGTCAACACTAGCTGGCAAGACGGTGTGGTTCCCTCGTCGCTGTCATTTGTTGACGGCGGGGGAACTAACTTGATGCTATGCGTTGAAGCTAGCGGCAGCTCTGAACTGAAAGATGAATAAGGTATGTAATTTATACAATGAAGATAACATTTACTGGGCTTTTGGATTTTTTTTTCTTTCTTGAAAACCTGTTGTTTGCAACAAGGAAGATGAAAAAGCTCTGTTAAACTTGACAGTTTAAGAAATATCTTCCTCTAATAAATAACTCAATAATTCATGTTTGATATTCAACCTTGCTTGACTGAAGTCATCCTTCTCAAATATATATTTGTAGGTTATAGTTACCCCAAAACTCACGAGGTTAACTGGCAATGCTCTATAACACTAACTAGTACAGTGGTAATGGTAAGGTTCTTCATATTTAATAGTCGCTCATTATCCCACAGCAGTTAATAATATAAGTAACTTCTAAGCATACCTTTCATCTTGTTGATGAATCTGAAGAATACAGTTGATATCATAGGGACCCTGGACATTCCAAGGTGATGTCACGTTGACAAATTGATGCTGTTCCATTTCTGAATAAAAACATAATCATAAATGTAAGGATTCCACAACATAATAACTTTCTCAAATTAATATTCATCATCAATGGATGGAATACCACTCTGAAAATATGCATTGTCAAATTCCAAAGGTCTGAACAAAATCCCCGTCCCTTTTCTCACGTCATGATGATAATTGATACACACATTTTTTTCCCAGACTAACGTTAGGGCCTAGGTATACTATAGGTAGGTCATGTAGGTGCTTTGGCTTTGTTGTACTTGTTGTAGGCCTACAGTATATGGAAATCAGTAATTAGGGTCGAAGAATAGTATTATTTGAATTCTATACAGAAAAGTGAAATGTAGACCGACATTGTGTACTTCCCCCTCCCCCCCCCCCCCCCCAACTTACCTACGTGCTATTTACAAACCACAGGCCCGGCCTAGTCGTTTGTTGATGTAGCCGCCTATTTATGCCCAGTTTCCGGACAATTCCAGTTCGATTTTCGGATGAAAATTCGACGAGTTAGAACTCATCAATCAATACAAGACCAATCAAAACTATGGTACATGGGCGTCTGAAAATCCAAGAGCCTTTCTTTCTCTTTGTTGGTTACTTTGTCTGATGACTGAGGGCTTTAGAATCTTCTCGTCCTACCTTCATGCATTGCAAAATCAAATGAGTCATGGACAGCGCCATTTTCAGTAACTTACTAACTAACGAACGTTGGGGGCGCCCCGTTTTTCGTTGCGCTTAAGAGATAGACCTCAGTGAAAAATACATACAATGCACCTCCATTTCTCAAGATCAGGAAATATACTCACAGCTCTCCAAGGTGTTTGAGACGCTCATCAAATTAAAGCTTATTTCATCATCTTTCATTTTCTGTTAAATTTCTGGGGGTAATTTGATGACTTTTGGGAGAAAATTCCATCCAAAGGCGATTACATTTGTACCCCTAAAATTACCCCACGATGAGCATTGCGCAAGTCGCACGTTGTGTACATATCAATACTAATAGGCCCTGTTGAAAATTGATCTCAAAAAGCAATTGTGTTCAATAAATCCTAATCCATTTTATTACAATAAATAAGCAAAGGTGATGAATACCAATGACACTTACATGGGGCGTGCATTTTTTAGTGTATTTCTGGTACAACGTCGAACACCTTTATAACAAGGTCCTTGGGACTTTACAAATTACCTTGGTATAACAGGTACCTTGTATTGATAGTAATGGAAAACAAAGAAAAGCAAAGACTTGGGACCTAATAATTTGCTTGTCATAAGCAGGGTGTGTATTTACAGTGCTCTTCTTATCAGGGTTCGAGTATTCAGTTAACTTAACCACTTCTTCGTCTCTAACGTGCACGTCATAAATCAAAAAGACTATAAGTATACAAAAAAATGTTCTTGGCAAAAACTTTAAAAGCAAAATTCTTTTTATACCAAACCCATCGCTCGTCCCGCTGCCCTATCCATGGGCGCTGGAGGGCGCTTATCCCTTTCAAAAAGGCGTCCCAAAGCTAATAACAATTAATGTGCATGTCATGCTTTTTTTGCGCAATGGGTGCGTGATGTGAGCGCGCGGAAGCAATGACATCTCAGCCTCGTTCCCCATGGGTACGATCTTGCTGCGCCATGTTGTTTCCCATCATGCCTTGCGGGAACGCGCACGTGCCCATGGAGTCGAGGCTGATGACATCTGCTCGTCACTAAACTTAATTTATCCATAGAGCAAGGAACAGGATTTATCCAATGAGCTCAAAGGAATAGGCTACCAGCGCCCTTGGATGGGGCATCATAGATATTTTAGGATGGCGACCAGCGAAACCACTGCCAACCTCGTCCAATTGGCGTAGACCAGTACGCTCCCACTATACTGCTCTCCATGTATTTTTTGGGTGCAAATCAGCCCTCCTGGAACTGATACATGGCCAGAGGCGACGGCACCCAGTTGTTATCCCCGCCCCGCCTGCATGCAATACCGTATCCCAAGCCCACTATCAACAGACCGCCGAGTATCAGCAAGATCAGTGCAGTAACAGTGGCCTGCTTACGCTCCAATGCCAAGCGGTTCTCCTCGGACAGCACGCATGGGCCCGGAGGAGGAGGGAACTCGCTGGCTGTGGCGGCCATGAAGCCCTGGAGCCAGCTGGGGTCCTGCGCTGTCGTCTGGAAGGGAAAAGGATGACAAAATGTACATGGAATATAAAAAATTACTGACCAAGAGATTCTGAACAAGATATATCTCACAAGAGTCACTAGGAAGTACAATTATCCTTAATTCCTGTTCCTAATTCCCATTAAACATTCCTTGACCATATCTTTTCAAGATTTGCAGAGCTATACTGCAAACTTGTGCCTTCGTTAAAAACAGAGTTCTGCTACCATGATTTCCTTTTAATAGTAGGAAAACAATCTTCCAAATGGACCTTTTCAGCAGAGTACGGACACAAACCTGACGGGATGCATGCTATTCCTGTTCGCCTAAAATAATGGATTTCGAGTTCTCCCACTATACTACTATTTTACTGCTTGTTTTACCTATACTACTGCTTGTTTTACGTATAACTCTTTACTCTAGTTTAGATGATCTGTTTTTGTGGACTTACACTTTCCTCTTGCCTGATGACAGCGCGTTCCCACGTCGTTTGGTCGATCTTGAATCCCTCAAATATCAACGCCCTCAGAAATATCATGACAAAACATGAGTTCACGCCGGTCGAGTTTACTTCCCTAGAAAAAGCCTCGGCCTGGATGTGAAAGGAGACAAATAGCCCAACAGTTGTGAGGAATTATTCTGGACACAGTCTTGGCTTAGTCTGTCTCGATTCACGTTGCATGGCCAAACCGACTTACTTTTTTGTAGCAGCCTTAACTCGGATGAAAAATCTGTTTCAACCCCAAGCTCAAACTTATTTCTCTACCCAACAAGACTGATAGCTCATTTCCTCCACGAAATACTGACGGAAACGGAAAACATTGGTTCGTTGATTTCAATAAATCGGTCAAAAAAAGACGGTAATTGATTTAAATATAAGTCACAAGCGTATATAACACGCATGATAATCGGCTACCTACCGGTGTACCCGTCCAGTTGCAATATGTCGCATCAATGTAAGAGTCCACACCAGAAATATCAGCCACATCAAACGGCAACTCTGGAAAGAATGCCTACAACAATAAAAACAAAAAGTAGAAATTGATACCATTCACAAGTTTCGTTTTGCTTTTTCAATTACAGAAATTCATTATTTGCCCAGTTTCCGGACGCTTCTCCGGTGTCTGAAATTTGATGCCCAGTTTCCGGACGCTTTTACGGTCTTAAATTGTCCTTACTATAAAATCTCCTTTGAATTCCGGCAACTCTTCACCCTCCAGAGTCAGCATCCTCACTCGCCGGTGGCAGTCCGTAGAATTCCCCACGCCTTCCAGGGTGTATCTCTCCTCCCTGGTTTGGTTGGACCGTTCCGTTTCTCCAGCGTCCGTGGGTGCAAGACGGTCGTCCTGGGCCAGGGTTTGCGTGGAGCACGGCGAACCCTTCCGTGGGCTGGACAGTGTTTCAGTGAAACCGCTCGGTGCGCACGGGTTAGAAATCGCCCCAAATGACGAATTATACAACTAGTGGAAAAATAGTCAGATTTACATTTAATAATAAAAAAACCCAGCAGTATCCATTTTTTTTATTAAATACATGTAGTTGACTTTCTCATCCAAGATAGGCAATATTTTGCGAAGTCTGTGTGTAGTAACGTAACGAGATGTGAGAGTGGAGGTGGTGTTGGTGGGGAGGGGGAATTTGAAAAGCGGGAAAAAGAGGGATGAAATGACGCTTGGTGGCTGCTAGCATTTAGAGATGAAAAAATATATATGTATTTTACCTCAGACACAAGTTGCTCCTTAAACCACCTGCCAACCTCAAGAAGACCGTAACAAGGGAAGCTCCGCGTGTACAGCGCGTAGTCCCTACCGTACAGCTGCACAGGTCTCGCGCCATTGGAGCGGGTCGATGAGGAGACACCTCCCCCGTCTGACACGGCGAAGGTTACTCGTGCTGAGATGCTCCCCATGTCAAGAAGTCCGTGAGTCGGTCTCAAGCTGCCCGTAAAGTCATCGTTGCTTTTCATTAAGTCCTGTGTTTTGTATTACATACAACTGACACGAGTGTTACAGTTTTCTTTGGAAAATCTATGAGCGGGTAATGTGCTCACGAAAACAATCTTACGGTTCATTATTTAAAAAAGAAGCCAATTCCAACTTTGGCGGTCACGCAATGCTTAGATGCCATGCACAAATTAGTATTTATTTATATATAGTTTATTATCAATGGTTCAGTAATATCAAGACGTTATGCAAATTGACATACAGTCATGTACATCAAAATACCAATTCCAATAACGATAACAAACATAAATTATATTGGGTAGGAGGCAAATACTCAAATTACCTCCCCGAATAGTCAATTTCCAAAAAGTAATGCATATAATTTTTATCGGTTTTGGTATCGGCAAATGACTTTTCTTGGTCACCTTCACCTTCCATTAACTTTATGCCTGCACTCACGCTGGAGTAATAGTGCGAATCGAAAGCCTTCGCGCTAATTGTGCGTACGGAGTAAGAGGGCTAATGTTTTGTAAAGCTTGGATAGACACAAGAGCGTCAATCGCTTCTCGAAAGTGGGGGGGGGGGGGGGGGGCATACCTTGATGAGCACTAATGCGAGCGCAAGGCGCAAAGCCCTAATGGCGTGGGGTTCGGGGCCCGCTTAAGGGCCCGCTTAAGGGCCTCGAAAAATGTTGGATTATAGACGCCCTGTGGTGCGATCTGAGGCAATTTCTGGCCACTAAAACCAATTTCTTTTAAACAATATTTGCGAGTTTGGAGTCATTGAATCAGCTATTCTGAGCTGCAATGTATAGAATCATCATTGTTTTGGCTACAATTTTTATTCGGGGACGAAAAAAGTGTGGGGGGGGGGACAAACGATATGACATCTCCTTCACTTTAAAAACTGATTGACGCCAATGGATAGACATGAGCAAGCCCTTTGTGCATTCATTAATTTTTTATGACAACGAACTTCTTCGCACCTGGAACACATAAGCTTTGTATGACTTCACGTAAAAATATTTGGCAATCATTCAACCCTATAAACCTTCCAAGAAAAACGTAAGATTCACACGGCTTCACAATTTCATATATCCATGTAGATGTATTTTGTCATCCTTTTGATAATGTGCTAATCGGCTTCCATGATCCGCACGTGCATTCGTAATAAGCTGTTGAAAAAAAGTCCACCGCCGATGGCGGCCCCTGAGATGATCTATAACGCTGTACATCCTCAACAACATGACAAGATCCGAATTTGCTCGAATTAAATTTGGAATTGTCTGACAAAAGAGTGAAAGACGAAATTAAACATTTGAAGTGCACTAAATCGATGTTGCTGGACGAATTTGAATAATAAAAGCGGTGAATTCGAATGATATACGATTTTAAAATAGCCAGGTAAACATGCTAAAAGTAGTCCTATTACCGGCAGCCTTGGTTGCTACTGGCAGCATATTTTATCCCGAACAGTTGCAGCATAATTTGCATGAGCAAAAGTACATTGCACTTTATCATCTGTACTGAAGCTGATGTCAGAACAAAACATGTAATTTATGCATGAAACGCTGTTGCCTCAGCTCACAAAGTGCTGTGTGCACCAAGCATTAAAAATATCTAATTAACCTTCAGTGCGAACTTCTTTATATACTAAGACACTTTGCTGCCGCTGCCATTGTGCATTAGGCTGTGTGTTGTGAAACACTACACTATACAGATGGGCGAGGTACACCATCTTCTGTCGATACTTAGTTTGTTTTAAAAAAAAAACACCCTACGTTTCTCGATGTATTCTGAAATTTTCGAGCACCTTTTGATAGCTTGTGGTAGCCAACCATTGTAATTATATCGAAGGACCCAAGGATATACTCTGAAGATGGCTGCGTTGTTAAAACTGATCCTAATCCTTGGGTTGATTCTACGCGGAAACGTCGCCTGTCCCCCACAATGGCTTCAGCACGGACAATCTTGCTACATCTTCACTATCAACAAGTCATCGTGGGAGGATGCTAAGAAATACTGCCAGGAGACCTTCGGCAATCTGCTCTTGGTGATCGAGTCACCAGAAGAGAACGAATTTGTCGCGACAGAAATGGGTGATCTGGGGCTGAATCTTGCCTGGCTGGGTTGCGATCATGACGCTGAAAAGGAAGGGGAGTGGATCTGCTACACGACCTTATCGGTCGGCGGTCAGAGGATGCAGTATCAAGGGTGGAACTGGGGCGAGCCGAATGGGGAGGCTCTCAATGTCAACCAGGACTGTGCTGCAATAGAGAGTTCTGGTGGATGGAGAGATGACTACTGTTATGCAAGCGATTGGTTCACTGTGTGCGAGACCAACAATACATCGGGCAACGTGAATCAGGCGGCTCCGGCTACGACTGCGCCCCGTGCCGCACCCATGTCCTGCTTCGTCATGGGCGCCGACGGCCGCCTGCAGATTAACTGACAATACCGTCAGACTCTTTCAGCAGCAGTTTCGAAGACTTTCGTCAATGTGGTATCGGCTTTGTTCCAAGTGTTTAACTTTGCAGTGATATAGAGAAAGGAATTACACAACTCGGGTTTATCCATCCGAGGTCCATGGTCAGATGGACCCTCTTATTTTGAATTTTATCCCCCAGGAAGCTGTTTAGTTGGCTGTAGCAAAGAACCACATAAAACCAAACGCAAAATTGCCGGTGCCCGAATGGCTATAATTAATTTTTACTCAACCAATTGCCAATAATCCATTGAAAAGCTAGTGACATATCAGGATATCATGGACGCAGATAGAGAGCCTGCACAGAGCGCCCTCGACGTAGGCAGGTTTGGATATTACTCATCAGTAACAATGAAGTACAAAGTAAAGTTATTCGTATCACATGGGAACAAAGACTTGTCAACGGAGAGGGCGCCATGTGCAAGCTCTCTATCACAAAAGCTGGGATAGACTGCATGTTTCAAGAGACTTACGGAGTGAACTGTTCCAAGCGCGTCATTTTCCGCGACCCAGCGATACCTAGCGAGATCGTCGTCCGTGATTACGGAGGGATCTGCGAGGTCTGCCCGGCTGGTGTTGAAGGGATATGATGCGATGGTGCTACGGACTGATGCAAGGTTTGGCACGAGTCTTTGGGAGAAGAAAGAAAGAACGAAATTTAAAAACTAGAAACTTTCTTATGTATCTGTGTTAAGATTCTCTATTTTTTTCTTGCTTGCACAACTTAGCTTTTAACGATTGTCTCATCTAAATTTGAGCTGATGATGAAATGTTGAATTAGGCGAAATGAACGATGGAATCGCCGAACGGAATGATGAGTTATACAAAGGGAGTGTATTAATTTTTGAAGACAGTTTTGCCGTTCGGCATACAACACTTGTACTTATACCTTGTCAGTGATTGTTTGCATTGAAATTTCTTTTATTTTTCTGTGTGAAATAAATGGAGATAAATTCCAATTTCAAATTTCACTTACCGTGCCGAGTTGATCGTGTCCCGCCTGACGAGGTATATCTCGGTATTTTCGCGGTGGTCCCGCGGAACGATACGTCTGATTTCATCCAAGCACGACCGGCGGAATGCCTGAGGATTCTTGACAGCTTTCGTCTCTGTGAATGTAAATTTATCGATCCAATTAAATCTCGGAAAACTGCAGCATTTGAGCCCTCATCCAAGTTTACAGCTATTTACAAAGCTTTGGGTAGGCGGTATTAGTTTTATTGTTTTGGGAAAAGTTTCTCTATAATTTATTTCCGCGCTGCAATGTGGTGAGTAATGCTGCGAAGCGTTTGGGCTAAAAGTGACAATGGGTGGCGCTCTTCAAGCATCCAAGCCCGCCAACTCAGGGACAACTTTCGGTACATTATTCTCGATGTCTACAATGGCATATTGTCAATCTAAGGAATAAAGAAGGGTGGATTGACTAATCGAAAATCCCCTTTTTTGGCCAATACATGTAAATATGTTTTCTTTCCTTGATAAGCAACTTTATGCCTACAAACTTACTGTGTTTGCACGAGTACTGTTGGCGCTGCACGCGAGACATGGTTCTGTTGATGTCATAGCTCCATGAGAAGAGCTTTGGCTGAGCAGATTCGGCATCGACCCTGATGACGATTCCATACCGAATGATCTGAGAGAAAGGAGAGTTTAGAAAAACCGGAAGTACGTAGTAATAACATTGTGGTGCTTATGGCAAGGTCTCAAAGACCAGTTTTCTGCAGCAGCTCGAGATCAGTGCAATCTGGTTTCTGCCCTCACAGGTGCCGGCATCGCCCCATGGTGTTCTGACCAATCACAGCCGTGATAATGTCCGACGTGCGTGCACAAAATGCGTTCACGCGCGTATAATGCACGCGCGTATAATGCGCGCGGCAGAAAAATGCAGTGTGGCATTAGGGAGGAGCAGGTGTTAATTTGGCCTGTGCGCAGTGGGCGGGGCTTACTGGATCAGTCCATTACTCCTGGGTGCAGAGAGAGAGGCAGTTGTAGTTAAGTGTCTTACCTAAGAACACAGCCACAATATTCCCAGCCTGGGTTCCAACCACCAATAAATTGGCGTCGTTAGCCGACAGCGCCCTCTTTCGCCCAAGATTAGGGCCAATTAACATTGGCTCACAAGAAAAGACGACGTCTTACCTCGGTTTCTATGACAACGCCGGGCTCTTCCTCACACGTGTCGAAATCTAGCGGTACATTGGTGATCACAAAGACGAACATGCAGGTTATGGCGAGCAGGGTACCAACGATTACCAGGGAAACAGTTAAGGGATTGCACTTCAATCCTCCAGCCATGTTGACGACGTCTTCAAAGCTGTGCCATGAATATTCCTGTCGGGGCGAAATGGTCATTGGTCTTCAAATTTAACCTTTACATTTAACGTCATCTCTTACACAACAGTCACATTATCTTTGATCAGTGTGTCATTCTTAGCTTGATTTCGTTTGTGCGTGATATCAGAAACCCAATCATGAAGCACTTAATCCAGTAAAAACAATCGTGCACAACGGTATACTTTTAAAGTTATATAGCCATCGTGGTGTGATTATACTTTGTCAAATTACTTAGTTACAGCACATTGGACACAAACTATAAATAACATACAAGAGAACATTAATTGAAAATCGGGGGTTTGAGGTGGTATGCGTGTTTCAGCGACCTTTAAACGTTTCATTGCACCCACAATTGAACCTACCGTATCAATCGATGTTAAAAAGGGACACAAAAATACGGTCATCAAACATTATTTTGCAAAAAGCATTTACTTCCGGTTAACATCCAAGTGGTATGGCTTCTGATCCAAAGATTCTTGATATTAAATTACCGTACAATTCAACCAAAGAAAAGAGAGAAATAAAAAAGAACAAAATGCTTACCTTTAAACTCGTTGGTAAACGAGGTCACACATTCTCTTCCTGAGTATTCGTCTCAATGAAAAGTTGCTTCGCAAGAATCGATCATCGTGTCAATTGAGTTGGCAAGGAGACGGATTACCAATACAAACCGATCGTTTACGATCGATACCGGCCGAACACTTACACACAAATACAGACTTATCCATTTGTATTTGTCCTATATTGTATTTTAGCACGTAGCTATCAAACCTAAAAATAATTTCCAAGCGAAGGGTATGTCAAGTCTGATAACATTGAAATTAAAATAAATGATCAGTCAATACGATTGGTCCGCGAACTTGATCCAGTTGTTTGCGAACAGAGATCGTAATCGTCACTGTTTGTCCACGCGTCGGAAAGAAGGGAGTGCCCGTAGCGTCTTTTCCCTGCAGTGGAGTTGAACTTGACAGACAACTCCAATTTTTTATCACTCCTAAAAAAACTAGACTAGGGGGAAATAATGCCTGATCCCAACAAAACCAGGATCGTGGGCTCCAACAAATCCACGCTTCTGATCGGCTTGGGGCTTATTCTGGCGGTAATCTTTTTGATTGGCATCATTGTGGTGTCTGTGGAATATTCTAAGTGGGATTGCGGTGAGGATGGGGTAAGTATATAGCACCTTTTATTTGGTGCGCAGAGTTACGTATAAGTACCTAGTATGTCTAGTGCAAGGACATAACATAACAATGATAATAATCATCATAATAATAACACCGGAGTCTATAGCGCACGTATCTACCAACAATTCGGCATCAAGGCGCTGGTAATTACTTTTAAAGACAGGTAGTGAAGTTTATGAGAGTATGAGACCCATTATGCAGCACCTTTATAAAGGGTATAGGGCCTACAAGGTGCTGCAGTCACTGCCAGAAACACCGGGGCAAACGTCCCATCAAATAATGGTAAACGGACCCCAAGGCCATATTCCCCGTGAAGATTCGAACCCACGTACCACGGCACACGAGTCGAACACCGTAACCATTGGACCACAGTCCCCAACATAAGCGGTATACTAATGTAAACATTATGAATTAAAAGAGACAAAAAAATTGTACTGGTGTCAAAAAAAGGTTAAATGTTTGTGGAGCACAGATCGGGGTGTTTCTAGGAGACACTATACTGTGGCCAATGGGTCGTGTATACACGAGGTATATAATTATGTGTTGATACGTTTTGCCGTTACGTTACGATTGATTGAGTTCAGTATATGATTCTGTACGGAGAGAAGTGCTGTCTCTGATTATTCTCCCAAAAATCTTGGTGACTGTAAAATATGTAATGTAACGATAAAATGATACAAGATGTAACTAAACAATGCAATTAAAAGGGCAAAGGAAATTTGTTTTTCAATGTTGATCTTTCTACTTAAACGTTTGATGCAAGGGCATCTTTACGTTGACTATTTCTTGACGGGCAAGACATCGGGATATGTATGTTTGGCAATGGTTGTACCATCTTGGGTAATTTCTCAAATGTTTTCTTGGGCCACTTTCATGAGACGATCACAATTTCACTCATTTAGGTTCATTGCGTATGTCTGTCTGAACACTTATTTAAAGGGCCATTGCAAGGTAACTTTGAAATGCAAACCTTGAAAATCGTTGTGTCACATTTAGCCTTATTTTCAAGTTTTATTTATCCATTTTAAAGGCATTTTTGGTGTCTTCTCCATTTTTATGTCAATGCAAATTTCCAAGTTCATGAACAAAACAGTGGTGTCATTCCGGGCAGCTCAATGTTACACGGCTATTTCAGCACAAAAAAAGTTGCTAGAACTTTGGATATTTTGCTGAAATTTCTTTTCCTTGATGATTCTTTGTTGTGTTGGTGATCTTTCAATTTCATTTCTAAATTGAATGAGCAAGGCGTTAAATTGATTGAAAACTTGGTGAAATTGGACGGGCAGGGCCGTCGCTAGAGGGGGGGGGGGGGTGTAGGGGCCGGGGATGTGACACCCCCCATTCAAAATATCTGTCGGCAAATCCATAAATGTTGTCGACAAATTTGTAAAGCTGTAGCCCCCCTCCCCCCAAATTTTGTCTAGCCCCCCAAAAATAAATTCCGTAAAAAAAAATTGCATTAGCAAAAAGAAGGATTGTGATGTACATGCGAACGGTCTACCCCTAAAGAAGAAATAGCCGTGACAAGGGTACATTAGTTAATATAGTGTGAATGATTTTAGGATTGTATTGGCGCTCCCTATTGAAAATATGGCATGACCCCCCCCCCCCCCCCCTATTGATTTTCGGAGGCCTAAGTGTCTGGAAAAAATAACCGGTCAACATTTCAGCACGCCTCCCTGAAAAAATTCTGGATTCACCGTGCTAGCCCCCCCCCCCCCAAAAAAAATATTGGTTCTAGAACCGCGCCTGGTCCGACACCCCCTCCCCCTCTTAAAAATGTTCTGGCGTCGCCCCTGTGGCCGGGAAAACTTATAATAAACGGTTTGTTTCTTTTTTGATCTCAGTATGGGTTAGTGTTTGATGCAGGATCGTCCCATTCTTCAATGGCCGTCTACCAGTGGCCAGGCGATACGGTCAACGGAACGGGTGTGCTATCCGAGGCGGCGTTTTACGATGAGTGTGGTGAATTGGGCAAGTCTGAAGTTATATTCCCTTCAAAAAACTTCTTTTTAGTGTCAACACAGACATAATGTTGCAAAGGTGCTACAAGACAGTATCAAAATATTTCACCATAATTATATGAATTGAAGCTGAACGGTTGATTTTTTTTCTTTTCATAAACAGGCATCTCTTCCTATGCTGACAACCCGACCGAGCTGCAACCCGGCTTGAAGAAATGTCTGGACTCGGCTACGGACGTGGTGCCAGCGATCAGCGTCGAAGATACCCCCGTCTATCTGGCTGCCACTGCTGGCATGAGGCTGCTGCAGTAAGTGGGACCCAGTGTTTTCACTGTTCTGTTTGACGAGTTGCCCAGGTTTTTTTGCGAATATTAAGATGTAAAAACTTGAGGTGTGCAACTACATGTAGTTGAGTGACATCGGCCTCATATAGCCTGAAGAATCAAATACAAGGTCTGTGGATAATTCTACGGTTTTGGGTTCGAATCCAGCCTGAGGGATTTTGGTGCGTGTATCGTTTGGCAAGACAATAGCTGCTAATTGCTTCTCCCCATCCAGAAGTAAAGGGGTACCTGTGGGGACAGAGATGCTGACTGTGATATTTATTTAGCTGCTTTGCAGTGTTGTAGTCGAGACCGGATAGTCCGAGACCGAGACCAAGACCGAGACCTGAAGATTTGAGACCGAGACCGAGACCGAGACCAGCGCCTTCAAGGTGGACCGAGACCGAGACCAATATGGTCCGAGACCGAGACCGAGACCGAGACCGCTGATAATAAATAACAATAGTCGAAATAAAAAAACAAGACACGTTATTATAGTTGAAAAATGTAACCTTTCTATTCACAAAGAATACAGACCAAATTTTGACCAGTGGCAATGTTTACAAATTGATACATGACACCTTACTTGAGCAAAAAGTAGTTACACTTAAGAAATATGGGCTTTGACATGTTGTCTACACCCAATCGTGACAAAAGTAAAAAGTTAAAGGTAGATGTTTCATCTGTTATAGGAACTCGGATCCTAAACTCCACAGTCACCCCCTTGGTTTCAGCTATGACTTCTAACGGATATTTAAAGATGCAATTTTAATTTTACATTGTGCCTCTTTTTTCCTAAAATAAATATAGGACTTAACTTCTAACAAGAATTGTGTACTTGATTTTAAAAAAATGGGAGCTAGAAAATGTTGAATTAATTTTTAAATTTTTGTCATAGAATGTGGACTTGTACATGTAGACCCACAAGTTGCGAGGTGGTAGCCAGAATGTGCCAGATATGGATTTTTAATTTTTTTCTGAACGGGATTTTTAATTTTTGAGGAATAATGGGGTACTTTAAAATGAGCAGCCAGAAAATGGGGTCTCATCATACACTCTCATGGCAACAGTGAGTGGTAACTGGTAAGAGTGTGTGAGTTCAAAGCTGGAAAATCAGGTAGAAAAATTTACTTTTTCTTCAAAATACTGTCCCAAATTAAAGAGAACATTGTGTGGGGTCGAAAATATAACTAATTTGAAGCACCTCATTTATTATCAGAAAATGGTTGACCCTTATTGCATAAATTGTTACAAGTTTATACTTTGCTTTATGTGGCTGACTCAACAGATAAATGCCGAACTTGTTCCAAATCGTTCAGTGACTGGTACTGCTGCAGTTTTACATGTACTTTGGGGACTTTCCTACGTGCAGTCGAGTCCAAACCGACTGCGATATATAACAAGCTTGATCTACGGGCTAGCAAATGTTTTAAATAACAACGGTACTGAACGAAATGAACACAAAGTAATCGATCGAGCTGTAAAAGCTACATATTGCCGGTCTCGACCCGAGACCAGCCAAAATATCGAGACCAAAGGGGACCGAGACCGAGACCAAGACCGAGACCACAGCTTCCGAGACCGAGACCGAGACCGAGACCAGCCAAAAGTGGTCTCGAGACCGGTCTCGAGACCGAGACCGGTCTCGAGACCTACAACACTGCTGCTTTGTGCTGAAATGGCAGCATTGAGCTACTCCGCTCGTATAGGCTTAGTTCTCAGTGCCAGATTTTTTCCTTTGGATTATAGTGAAACTGACCCAGACAAGAGTGACACCGTCTTCGCCGCGGTCAGAGAGACTCTGCGTGAGTCCCCATTCTCCTTCGAGGATGAGGAGAAGCAAGCCAACATACTGTCCGGGGAGAGAGAAGGGTACTCCTCCTGGATCACCGCTAACTACCTCGACCAACACCTCGGAGTGGTAGGTGCCGTTCAGTTTGGATTAATAGAGAGCATTCATAGAGCTCTGGACACGTGGACAGGTTTTGTTATTTAACTTCAGAGACAATGAAAGTACAGTGTCTATGCATAATGAGGAACAAAGACCTGAGTGCAAGTTTCTGTTATGGCAAGATTTTGTTTAATCGGAAGGACTCAACAGAAAATAAAACCGTATACTTGATTTCGTTTGGTTTCCCGGCCCCACTCTTAAATAGACCCCAGTATTGGACTCGATTGCTGAAGCCCTCTGGGGCACACCCATCCCCCGTCGCCCCACCCTAGGGGCGTTGGACCTTGGTGGGGCTTCCACCCAGATCACCTTCGTGCCCAAAGACCCCAGCACCGTGCCCGATGAGTACAAAGCCAAGCTGCGCCTGTACGGGACAGACTACGAGCTGTACACTTACAGCTTCCTGTGCTACGGTGCCAACGAAGCCAGGCGACGACTGGAAGCAAACTTGATCAAGGTGAGATAAGAGTTTGTAGGCGAGTCATTATATTGTCAGACTATCACAAATCCGGGACAAAGCACGGTGGAAGGTGGGTACCTATGGAAGGCCAATAAAGCACAGATTTAGTTAGCTAACCGCCTCAATATGTTAGTCATACCTACGATTTCGACAAACTTGTCCTGTACTTTTCCAGGAATCCAATTTCTCCTCGCCGACCGAAAACCCTTGCGCTGCGAGGAATCACACGTACACGGTGGACGGTGAGTACCTGTGGAAGGCCCCGTGTAGCACCGGTCCACAGGCCCTGGCAGGCTGGGGGTCCGAAGTCACCCCAGCCCCGGATGCAAGAGACAAACGAGACACGATGGATACCATGGAGTACGAAATCAAAGGAACCGGAGACGGGGCCAAGTGCCAAGAGGAGACGTCGAAGCTCTTTGACGTTGATGCGCCGTGCCCTAAACCGCCGTGTTCCTTCAACGGGATCCATTCTCCCGAACCGTACGGTTCATACAAGGTCAGTGGCCTATGGTTTTATGAAGCTGTTTACTTTAACATTAAAAAAAATGTTCGTCTGATTTCTTGCCGTAATCATTTCCCAAGATTGTTGAGACGATGCAGTGTTTCCTTGCTGTAATGCCGCGATTAACATATATCCATTAAAACTTGGAAAGTTGAAGTGGATTTCAAATTGGTGTCTTCATATCAGCAGCACGATAACTATCAAAGTTGAAACAACCAAGACAACTGGTAACCTGCGAGAACACAGTGTGATTTTCTTTCTCGCTTTTGGGGAGTTGTTTCTCGACCTAATCACTATTAGTGAAGAACAATAATTATTGATATCGTTTGCCATACAATTTCTCTCTGGCAGGCTCTGAGCGCTTACGCGTACACCATGGAGGGGATCGGTGGATCGGTAGACGCATCTAAGAGTGACCTGTTGGCGGCAAGAGACGCCTACTGCGCCAAGACTTACGAAGAGGTATGATGATGTCATTACAGAAATGAAACCAGGAAGAAACATCGCAGCTTATAAGCGATCGTCACTCCGATTTCCTGTGATATAGTGGTTACGTTTAACCCTAACTCCCTAGCATTAATTTACTAGGAACCATACCCATCCTGGCAAATTCCAACACCATGGAAACTGCACACACATATTTCTGACTTTGATTCTGCATGGAGGTGTGCCAACCCAATGTAAAAGACTGTCAGTTTAGGGGTACTGTATACCCATCCTGACAGATTGCAACAAAACATAGTTGGGGTTGAATGGGTTGAGTTCTGTTAAGGTCGAAACATAAAATCGTACACTGTAGAAATAGTTTCAAGATATATGGAGACATTTCGTATTTCCGTCTTTCCAAATTGATGGCAGTAACTTTAAAATCGTTTCAGCTTGAAGCTCTGCCGGATAAGATGAAATACAAGATTACCTACTGTTTCCAGGCCACGTATGTCGCTGCTCTACTTGACGCCTACGGGTTTGAGGACAGTAACTGGAAGCTGGAGTTCAACACCAAGGTCAGTGTATTATGTGTATGACCGTTGTAGTTTAACACCAAGGTCGGTGTATTCTGTGTCTGACCGGTGGAGTTTAACACCAAGGTCAGTGTTTACTGTGTATGATCTGTGGAGTTCAAAACCAGTTGGTGTAGCTCTTTGACTCCTCATTATACATTAATCAGTACTGCTACTGCTGGGGAGGGGGGTTCGCAAGGGTTTTTGACATGTTTGGGGTCAGAAGTCGCAGGATCAAAATTGACAAGGCTTTCGACGGAAGCCTCAGGTTCAGGAAGATTTATTGTCGCAATGGCTCCATGATGAAAACTGTGAATAAACCAAACGAGTAATTAATAATAATAACAATATAACAATTCACATAGGTATGTACAATTGACATAGAGATGTACAATTGACATAGAGATATTCGTGAATTGTTTTCGTCTTGCTGAAAAAACACGCACCCTTTTTCATTCAGCCTGAGGCGGCCCAAGCGCCATATAGGCTTATACCACATATGAATGATAGGCTACATGTAACAAAATTTCTTTTCCCAACTTTTTCCAACAGATCAGTGGTGTCACTTTGGGCTGGGCTCTGGGATACATGCTTGACCTGACCAACCGTATCCCCGTGGAGGCCTCCTGCATCGGTCTGTCTCCTGGAGTCTTCGGCGCTCTGCTGGTTATCTTCATCATTTGCTTGCTTGTCGGGGTGGTTATGGTCGTTCTCGGCTGCCGTGAAAAGAAGACGCGCAAGGCAGACGGGAAGGGCGCCTCCATCTGATCTGCCCTTCCTCCTTTAAGTTCCCACATTTTGTTTGCGTTCAAGTAGTTGTAGGCCTACGTTTTAGCGTTTAGACTAGCGATACTAGTTGCCCCGGTATTACGGGAGGGGCTACCCTTACAGTCTCAGCAGGTGGTCGTTTCTCCTTCCTCGAAAAGAAAAAAATGACGATGATTGAAAAAAATGTCAAAACTTGACACCACTTTTCAGAGCAAATCACCCGAGGTACTTTTTGGTGTGGATAGAGGGCGAGAGTTGATTTTTTTAACGTTAAAACCCTCCTACGGCCGGGCCTACATCGTGCAGCTGTATTTTCTTAAATTAGAATACTCAGAAGGTGAAATAAACACACCTTAGTTACAATTCTTTAGATATAGATCCCTTTTGTGTCAAGACGGTTTACTTAATTGCTGCAATTATTCTTATAGAACAGTATTACAATTTGCACAACTTTTTTTATCCGAACAAAATTAGAAATAGGTTTGAAGTGTGTTTTATACCGAGCACTCCACATTATTGGAACGGTCGTGTGTATTTTATAGTTATATAAATATTCATGCCACTTTCACAAATTCATTTCAATATTTGTAGATTAGGTACTACGGTGGATTCTATTTGAAGCAACAATATACTTCGTTCGCTTTACGAATGACAATAAAATGAAATCGAGTCTCCACTAGAATGTACATGCATGTATTTTGCACTTTCAGGTTTGAAATAAAAGGACGATCTGTTTCTAACTTGATAAGACATTTTGGAGCAGTGAGAAATTGTTTTAAGGAATTAAAATCTGATATGTAGGCCCTACATGTCCTCTGACCTTAGCCAGAAGCGCTGGCCAAAATAATTTTCGAGATTTGTTTTCAAAGAAATCTTCAGTTACAGTAAATATACCATCAATGGAACGGACCCCCGACAACTGTGTTCGAGTGCAAATATTGCATGGTGTCAGGTAGCTGGCCGGGTTGTATGACCCAAACGCACTTGAATTCAAGGTCATTTATCACCCGCACATCGGAAGGCGGCTTGAGCTAAAACTATAGACCCAGGGCGCCCTCTGTTACCAATTATGTGAAAAAATTATCGTCCGATGATTCGAGATCATCTGAAAAAGTAAAACCACACGCGTCAGCGGTTGGTATTCGCTGATTTTTTTTTAACTGAAAACTTGTTCAAGTACCAAAAAGTTACTCTTCTTATAAAAAAAAAACACAAATGAAAATAAATATCTAACTATTTTGTGACATGTTGAAAAAAAACTTACAGGACGGCACAGTGTTTTTAGGCAAACATTTATTACATAAATTATATATATGAAAACAAATAAATTCATTAGTTGACTTGCAATCCAGGCAAGAAATGAAGCCACGAGATGAAGAAGTGACATTTCTTGTTCCCATTTAAAATCTACGTTCGGTAAAACTGCTCGCTTGTATAAACTAACGAATTAAACAACAGGTTATTATTTCTTTGTTGGAGAAGTGGATGACTGCTGAAAAATACCTTTCATTAAACTATTTTTTGGAAAAATGGAAGACTGGATTTTCTTAAGGCTCAATCATCGTGATTGCAATTCAGACTTCCATCTTAGACGAACGGTTAATTCCAACTGGAGGATTTCAGTATATTCTGGATATGTTACTTGACAATCATGACGTTCTTGAATGAGGGTGATCCCAATGGCACCCCTCTACGTTCTAGACTGCATGTTGTATGTCCTTCAATGTCCTGATCAGCTCCTCGTCGGCAACCTTGTGGTTGAATTCTTGAGGTGCTAGCGACGCTCCCATCGTCACCCTGTTGTTCCTGTGAACCATCTGTGAGTCCTGAGTGCCTCGTCCCGAGCAGTGGAACTCCCGAGTGCCGGAGCCAGTCAGAATGCGATCCAGGTTCCTTGCATTGATTCCTCCACCTCAAAAAGAGAGAATAAACAATCTGAAGTTATTATTATTCTGGTTTATTAAAAATTTGAAACAGGCAGCCAGAAGGCTGACATTGCACAATTACATGGAGCGGAAAGGATAAATTCAAACAATTAAACCATACATTAACAAAAAAGACAAGTACACTTTTAAAGTAACATTAGACACACAAGTGAATGAACTAAAGCATTTTGACCCATTATTTAAAAACAAACAATAGCAGACAACTGAAAATGGACAAACACACAAACAACAGACCATGGGACAGACAACTAGATAGCAATGAATAGGAAACAACCAACAAGCAGGCAGAAACAGACAAACAAACTGACCGACTGACCAATAGATAGACTGAGATAGACAAACTGGTCGACCGACCGAGACAAACAAGGACACAGCCCGCCTGACAAACAGACACAGGCAGAAGTGAGTTTTGTTCTTTCAAGCAATACCCATTTCTGAACTCTTTGCGAAGGCGAGACAAAAGTGGCATCCACTAGAGATAACAAGCCAAGGGTACATTAGTCTTAATGTAATAACATTTTTATTTTTCTGTTTAAGAACATAAATTTCAAATTGAAAGAGTTTATTTCTCTGTGCAAGCTTATGATAAAACAGCCTGCAAAAACTGTGCAGTAAATAAGGTCCAGCAATGACAATTAGATCATAAATTTGTGAAACTTTTATTTTCTGAAGCAAGCATCATTAACAAACATCATTGACAAGCAATGGACAAGTTCAAAGCAACACTTGAACAAAAGCGCAAATCACAAGGGATCATGGGGGAGGTTAAATATACCTTCGTTAAAAGTTCACACACAAATCAATTATAGTACAACTTAGCTTGTTAAAAGTTCACACACAAATCAATTATAGTACAACTTAGCTGCACCTACCTGGCATTACAATGATCCTGTTGTTGGCTATTTGGATCAGTTCTTTGATCAGCGGAAGACCCTCCAGGGCGGAGGACTCCTGGCCGCTGGTCAGAACTCTCTCAAAGCCGAGAGAGATCAGGGTTTCCAGAGATGTGTGGGCATCACTGCACATGTCAAAGGCTGCAAGCAGAAAAGGGGTAAAGGGGGGGGGGGGGGGGGGGGGTAAGGGACAGGGGGTGGGGAGAATCAAGTGATTGTCATCAGTCATGGAGCGAACTAAATTCTAACTTATTAGCTCCTGTTCTGCCCCAAACTGACGTACCTATCATTCCCCTTTCTGTCCATTTCAGTTTAATGAATCGACTTACCTCTATGGAATGTTACAGGTAGAGGTCGACACAGCTCTGAAAATGCACACACACACAAAAAGACAAATTCATTCAACACAAACCAAGAGAATATATTTTTAAACTTAATGACCACGACGGCTCATTATTTCAAATGCATGTTCTTACAGCTATCTAGAAGTAGGAAGGAAGTTTGCAAAATTCTTACCCACAAATTCTTTACAAACTTCTGCGTCAACAGACCCTGAGCTGAAGAAAACAAACCAAAGCAAACAGAAACAAGAACTTTATGGAATCAATTGGATATCAGAATGAAAGGAAGCTAACACAGTGTTATTTGTAACATTAACTACTTTCAAACGTAAATATGTCTACTTTCAAATGAAAATATAAATCGACCATGTTGTATAATTATTTTGATCCCGTGTAACCCATTAACTTCGAGATTGCTCGTGCTACAAATCTTATCCTGCTTGTTAACTGGCATGTAAAGTTTGTGTATTGTCCTTGTCTATTGTTTGTCCTGTGTTTTATGCATTAAAAGCAACTTTAAATTGGTATACAAGGGGCCAACGATTACAAGCTTAGCTTCTTAGTAGGTTACTCTACAGTCTCACCATCTGTCTATAAAGTAGCCTACCTTTCTGTGTTAATTACTATAATTAAAAAAAAATGTGACACTGTGGAAAATAAGTGAACAATGAACAATGAACATTCACATTTTGAAAGTAAAAGAGATAACTCTTTGATTTTTTGGAGGAAGCATATCAAAAGCTTGGCAGTACACAATCCCCCTCCCAAACTCCCTTGGATTCCTGTGTTACCCCCCCCCCCAAAAAAATGGAACTGATTTTCCTTCTGTACCTTGTGAGGGCGCCAAACACAATGCCGTCAGCGCCATTCTCTTTGCAGAGTTGAATGTCTTCTCTCATGACCTCTAGCTCTTCAGGTTCGTACAGGAAGTCTCCAGCTCGCGGACGGATCAGAACGAATACGGGTAACTTGGTCACAGCCTTCACTATTCGTAGCAACCCTGGAGTTTCATTGGAAAATAAAACACAACAAATTCAGTTCGGTAAAAATTATGACTTATAAGTTTTCTAAGCTGTAATTTTTAATTTCCTTTTCGGAAAGAATGTTGGAACCTGACGCCACTTCAGCGGTTGTGTACAAAGTCTATGGAGAGTCAAGAAAATTGTCCAAGTATTTCCTTAGAAAATTGGAAATGTTTCTCGATCCCAGCATGATCCCAGATTCATGTCTTATCATCGTTTTTGCAATGACTGACCTTCACTGAGATGATATATAAAAGAAGAAAGTGGCATCAGATTGCAACATACTTTCCGAATTTGCTCATAATTTGGACTCACCAAGACTTGGTGTGGTGCCTCCTTCAGACAGACCTGCACATAGTTCAATTCTTGTTGCTCCTGCAAAATATTTTTTGCAGTATTTATTTAGTGTACGCCCAAACATGGCCCAAACAAGCGGGGTGTCATTGTCAACGAACGAACGGTAAATCACGTCACTAGGCTACTTGTTTTCAGTACTTCCTTTATTATCGCTAACAAGTAACATTAATATTTCTACACTCACCGCCCCTTTCTGCAGCAGTTGCAGACCTCACTGAGTCAACACACACCTCCATAAATTGTTTCCTACCTCAGTGAGCTCAAAACGAGGAATTTCCAAGCAGTTTCGAGGCTCACAATTTTTTTTCTGAGTGGACACTGAATGATAGGGTCCACATGGTGTGAAGTCTGGTGCATGTTTATTGTCAAAGTTGCCTTACTTGCATGTTGTTCGGATGACGCGGTAACTGGGAAGCTGAGGTGCCAGACGTACGTTGGACGGTTTTAGACTGGTCTTCAGCCTTATTGATGCTGTTGGAACTTCGAAGTTTTCACAGGACTACCCCCCCCCCAACCCCACACACACCCAACCAAAAGCAGTTCTCTGTTATTTTGATTGATGATAATTAACAAAAGTCCTGTACGCACTTGAGAATCAGTACATTGTGCATTTAGCTGTTTTGATTTGTTGCCGTAAAGCAAAAACAGGCCTATCTCCAAAAAGAGAGAAAATGACCACATAATGGTTTTTTTGCAACTTTTGATTCAGTGACATGGATCAAATAGACTTTAATAATAAATTTGCCGACACTGCGCGTACAGTATGTTGCGCGGAATTTCACCTGAAAATCAAGGATTATTAAAGCTGGGGGGGGGGGGGGTGTTACCATCTGACTAATCATGGGAGCGCTCAAAGCGGACTGAAGTGGACACTAATGGACGGTAGGTGGCGCTATTCTTGTTGGCATTTTTGCATAGCGCGCGTTCAGCATGTATGCCAAGAAAATAATAAAAAAAACAGGTGTGTTTCAAGCCATTTCTTTTAATACAAAATATACTCAGATTCCCCAGAAAAGAAGAGTTCACGTCAATTGAATACACTTTCATCATTGAAATTATTACATTATTGCGATCAATAACATTCAATTTCCATAGCCTCCTCAACCGTCAATACCAACATTTACCAACAATTAACACAGTTCCTGAACATTTTCTTAAACAAAAATAGATGAAAGTTCATACAAGTTATTTACAAATAAATTATTTACTCTTTAGAATATATCTTGATTTGGGGTACAAAAATACAAGTCAAGGGTTGAATGTTATTTTAAAGTGATCTATACAAAGTAAATGGCTTTTGAGGCCATTATACGAGGGACACAGGTAGAGGGTCATTATCTGTCACAAAGTACGGTGTCTCCCCATCGTCCGGGAACCAAAATTGGGTATCGGGCAAGGTCTGTTGCTGCTTGCGATGGCGTTTCTTTTTCTTTGCTCGTTGCGTCTCCAAGGATGACTCGGTAGTGACGTCAGGGGGCGGAGTTACCACTATGGCGGGCGGTATTGGTGCAGGCCTGTTCATGTTGACGTCCAGTGGTAGTTCATTTCCCAATAATGTAGAGTTTTCTGTAAAAAAAGGGAACATTTTCGGGATGCAGTGTAACATTCTCGACTCGTTTATTACCTGGTAATACAGGGTGATCGACGTGTCTAAAAAAAACAGCTTTAAAAAACACATCGCAAATATCTATACATGTAGGCTACATAATAGAGAAATAGTCCATTAGGCCAAAAAAAAAAGTCTCCGGTTTCTGGTATGGAGCTTGTCCAAAAAGTGGTGCGGCAACGCGGCTTTTTTTTTTTTTTAGCCGACTTTTTTGCTTCAAATGTCGGCTGATGACTGCAAATGGTGCCCGACTAAACTTAGTGCAAATATATGGGAGTCCACAGAGGCCACATTAAGCTTATTCTCGAGCATAACCCCATCTAAAAACACGTTGAAATTGCGCAGCAGCAGAACTGATTCCAGTCAAACCAGTGAGTTTGGCGGTTTTGAGACATCATCTTTCATTTTGCCGACGCGCATGGGTACGGCAACGCGCGCGCATACCAGAAACCGGAGACTTTTTTTTTGGCCTTAGCTTTTCAACAACGAAACAAATCTGTTTAATGGGGTAAATGTTTATTGAGTTATGGCCAATTGAAAACAAGTACGGCTTTTGCATTTTGTCCACGGCGACTGATATTTTGACTGCCGCAATAAGAACTGATCTGGTCACTATGAGATCTGGTCTCCATTCTTTATATAGTTTTTGGCTCTTCATTAGATTTTCAGTAGTCGCTTAATATATGAATGTAATTCACAGATTTGCATTATTATACCATTTGCATAATTATACTCACCTTTTAATTTGATAGAGGAAATGCTGCTATTTCTTTGATGATTTGGTTTGGAATTCTCTTGCCTATGAAAAAGAAATGCAAGGCAGCAATTAGTTCTGGGGTTGTGGCTAATCTGTATTGTTGCTGATGATAATGTTTTAAAGGGTTCAAAACATGATCACTTTTATGAAAACAAAAAACTGAAAAGGGAACTCACGTGTCACCCGATTCGACTTTGTCGTCTTCTTTCTTTGCTTTTGAGGTCAACATTTTGAAGCCCTTCCTCTTCACCCGACAGTGGAAGAATATTGCCATGGGGATGAGAGTTATCAGTCCAAACACTACCACCAAGATGGGCGTCGTGCCGGGGTTTTGATTTCGCGAATCATTGCTTCCGTTATTAGGGGGTCTTTTTGGATGTGGCGTTGAGCTTGAGTCGACAGTTTGTGTCGCGTGACCATGTCCGTCAATTGCTGCCGTTGTGCCAGGCGTAGGTATGACTGTCGACTGTCTAGGTACTGGTTCCGTAGGGTTGTCTGTGGCCCCAACCCCTGTCGGAGGAACTTTGTCGACTGTCGACCGTTGTGTCGATTCCGTGGAAGGAAATTCCGACGACGTGCCCGAGGCTGTCGACACAGTGGCGGTATTTGACGTGTTTGCGTCACCTGTGTTGGTAGCGTCGTTTGGCGTGACAAAGTCCGTTGTCGGATCGCTTTGGTGTCGAGTAGTAAGACTGCCGGGATTGTTGACTTCTTGGTCCGTGATTGTCGCCGTGGTTGATTGTGTTGCGACTGTCATGTCTTCTGCTATTGGTGAGCTTGTCTTTTCGATCGCTACCGTGCTGACGCCTGGTGAATGAGTTGTGTCGAACCCTGTTGTGAAATCCGACGGTGTTGTGTTTTGCGATTTCGTTGCAGATGTTGAAGAATCTGCGCTGTGTGTGTCGCTTGTCGTGCCTTGTGTTGTGAATGCCTGCGACTCGGACGTCATTGTCGAACTTGTCGACTCAGTAGCGAGAATGGAGGAATATTCCCCCTGTTTCTTTGTAGCTTCAGTTACCGCTTGTTGTACCGTTGTCGTCCTCATTTCGGTGCAGTTGGCGCCCGTGAAGGGGGTAACGCAGTCGCACACATGGTGGGCCAGTCTGATTTCCGACGCTGATATCGATCGGCACGTTGAGTGACTTGGACACGCTGGGGCCTGACTCTCATCGCATGCAGAACCTGAACACGACAGAGTAATACACCGTCAACGCTTTCAAGTTTAGCTGGATTACTTTTGAACAAGGATAACTTTTGAGTTATATCTATAAATGTTTGCAACATTCGACAGAGGACTGATGAGGACTCAATCGTTAAGAACTGCCTCTTTGTATAGCAACTTTTCTGACTTTGAAATGCATGAACTTTATTTTAATCTTTCGCATTATTACCTCCTCTGCAGGTTGCCTCGCTTTCGTCCGAGCCATCATCGCAATCGATGACGTCATCGCACCGGAATTCGGCCCAAATGCATCCGTCTGTGTAGCCACATCGGACCAGTCGTACGGCCGAGTCAGCAACGCAGGCAGTCACTGGAGAAAACAAATCTTCAATTTTATTTTATCAATACTGAATATTTTGCCCTTTATGTTTTGTTTTTACATGTTGTTGTGAGCGATAAGGGAATTTTCATTGTCAGCAACAGTTCCCGCACTTTTGGCTTTCAAACCCCGAGGCTATTTTACTAATTGCGAAATCTAAATAATGTAGAAGATCCTCTCTTAATTAGAATAATTTTATGACTTTTATCGGGTTGCAATATCACTGTTGTTATCACTGTACAAATAGAAAGATACGAATATTTAACTAGAAATTTCACAAACAAAAGCTGTTTTCATTTTTTTTTTATTTAAGTGTGGATTTTACCGACTAAACGGCATATTTACCTGATCTGTTCGATCGCTTCGCCTCACGTTTTGTTGGAATTCCTTCTGATGACAGTATGATAGCAGAAATCACCACCAGATACGCCAGGTAGATGAAACAGCTGTGCATAACGACTGTTTGTTTCACTGGAGACATCTTGTACGAACACTTCCTTACAAACACAAAATTGCAGTCACTGAAGAGGATCGCTTTACGTAATTGCTTTAAACTCCAATCAGCCTGTGACATAAACTGATATGCACAGTTACCAGATATTAAATCCATTCATTGCACAGTGGCCCTTGAAAAGGTCGCGCACGACGCATTTTTCATTGATTAAAATTATCGCATGGTACAATTATGATTAAATGCTTTAAACTGAAGTATTATTGTGAAAGCGTCATATGGTGTGATTAACATTCCATTGCCTATCGATTTAATTTTTCTAATAATAGGCTGTGTGATTACAAAATATTGTTTGCGGTGATTGGTGGCAGCATTTTTACACCTTCGTGTAGATTTTTCTATGAACTTGTTTTTTCTAAAACTTTTCTTCAGGTAATCGTCAAAAGCATGAATCTGTAACAGCTTTTTAATTGGCCCGTGTATTCAACCACTTTTTCTCTTTATGAGAGGAATTAAAAACAACAAAAAAGGTGGGTGTTATTTTTTTTCCTGCAATGATATTTCGCGGCATAGCCAAAAATAATTTTCTAGGAATGCCGCTATTCGCGGTCAAGTTGCGTGCTGCAGCTATACGTGCAAAATGTAATGAGTCAGAGCATGCGCAGTGGTGTGGTATGGATTTAGGGCCCAATTTATGAAACCCTGGATGAAATGAAAGTGTTAGTAAAATTCAAGGGTCCTGGAAATAATGCAATTCTTTTTCCAGAGCAATTCTCAGTCGATTTTAACGAGAAATTAGCTGTTCCAACCCCCTCTATTAACACATGCTTTCATTGTGGTCTGTGTTTGGGGGGGGGGGGGGGAGGGGGGAGGGGAGATAGACAAATATCTAGAACATCTTTAAATCCAACTTTGGATTATTAACCCCTCAAATTTAAGGTTTTCATGATGCGGGAAGTGTTTTTTTATACTTGTAAAGTGCATTTTTTAATCCCACCATCATTAATTACTACACACCTAAATTACACGAATAAAGATGGCAAACATATGAACCGTTGGGGGCGCTCTTTTCTCAAAACTTCGCATAGTGCGGTTCCGGAATCCGGATACATCTGAAGGTGATTAAATGGTGCAAACGGCAGGAACCAGACCATTACCTCGGTAACGTGTACACATGATATTTAGCCAGCCGGCCGGAGTCGATTCTAGTCGCGGGTGCATTTGTCATTTGTCAGGTGTAACCTTTTGTAACTTTGGTGAAACGCTCAACTAGTGTTGACAATGACAATGATATCAATTTAGTTTGTTCACATGCAACTGGATTAGCAATATTATCCTTTCAATATAGTAACGATCCCGCTAAATGAAGAAAAATTTGGTGACCTTTCCCCTCTGTTTAAGTTAGCGAATGCAAACACAGTTTCAGTGAGCTTGCTGCCGATTTGACTGTTGTTGTCCATTGTCACTGTGATGCCCAAGTCAAGGGCGAGTGTGCCATCTGCAAGCAATGATGGAATATGGGTGAGTAACATTAGTCACAACATTGAATATACAATTTTTTTTTTTTTAATCGAATCCTACATTTAATTGCAGAATATTTTGTCTTTTTTGTTATTCGTGACTTTGGACCAAACTTGGAGGATTTTTTTAACACACACAAAAAAAACCCAGAAATAAATTCTGACTGCATTGGCATTATAATACTAGTATTATTCTAGGTCTGATTACGAAGTCACTCACAATGACAATTAATTCAACTGTGTAAGGGAGGCACCAGAGAAAGATTCGTCACGGCACAATTTTTAAGTTCCCAAAACATCCACTGTGCATGTTCAGTGGTTTCAGTGCAGTGCCGGTACAAGAGCGAAACAGTTTTTGGGAGCGGTTCACAGTCAAATATACACTGCCTTTCCAATATAACTGATGCTTATTGAGGTAAAGGGCCAAGGCTTATAAAGTTATATCCAAGAGGAAAATGGTAGCCCCTAGGCTAGATTTTGTTTTGATATATTTTCAATTTGCTGTTGTTTCATTTGAAATGATTGGCCCAGTTCCGAACCAGAGGATGGTCAGACCCGCCCATGATGCGAGAAACAGTGACCAGCACAGGAAGCATGCTGAGCACCTCACTCAGAGACCAGCAGCCAGAGAGACCTAAGCCTCCACCAGAACCTTTCGATACTAGAATGGAGGTAAGAAATACCTGTTTAGTGAGGATTTACTGATATTAGTAATAATGCTTTTATCACTGGGTACCTTTTTGACAGTTTCGGCCCCAAAATGCCATTAATTATTCCTGTGGAAGCTTTGTCTCAGGAGGCCTGTACAAAATTAGAACTTTACCACATCCTTAACGACCCTTTCAATTTAGGAGTCAACTTGTCTGTTTGATTTCACAAATTAAATATCTAGATGCAAAATCAATTAATCACTGAGCCAGTCACGCTTTGAACGACCTAACGAGGTGGGCTAAAGATCGGTTAGCATCACCTGTCACTCTGTGATGTCCAATGTTCAACAGTTGTCAACAAAGCACACAAGGGGTTCAAAGTGTTAGCGCAGGATCGTGAAAAGGAATATGATTAATTAGAGTCAGTTTTCATTAGACATCTCATTTTTATTTGTCTGCTGGAGATAAGGTTGGATAATAAATTTGCTATGACTGCAAAGAATGAATGAATTGTAGAAGGAATCGAAAAGCATAAAGAGGAATCTGGGGTGGAACAGGATCAAAATTTCATGTAGATGCCTTTTGTTCAGAAATTGTTTTGTACAAATATAATGTAGCTGGATGACAGCCTTTGAGAAACTAAATGCCAACTGTTGCGTTTGGCAACACTTTTCTGTTAATATACAAAACAGTGACGCACCAATCTTCAGATCTTGAAAAAAAAAATCAAAAATTTATTTTTTTTAATGAAAAATCAAAGTGTTTGCAATATTCTATACACATTGTGGAGAACTAAAAAAAACACCTAAATATCCAGATGAATTCTGCATTGAACTGATATTTTTGTGGGTGTTTAAACACTGAATGACTGACTGTGCCATTACTTTTTCCGTTCCAGTTATCCTATACCGTGGAAAATCCCTTCTCCATGCACGACAACAGAAATTCATTTCAGGATCATGGAGTGTATTTTGGCCATGTAAGTAATCTTTGCAAACAAGCTAATCAAAGTGCTTCATTTTCTAAATGAGAGTGCGATATTTTCAGTTTTTTTAAGATTTTTGATTTTGTCTTTCCTCCTCCAGTATGCCAAGTGTTTTTTTCATTTGTGCTCCTTGGACCTTATTTTCCCCTAATTCATGAAAGATTCTGCTGAGCATGAAAAATTAAGTCACTTTCTAGGATTTGATTGTAACTTCACTGTTTTTGACATCTCTTTTATTTTTAGGGTCTTGGAAAACGCTTCTTTCACGGTGATGAGAGGCAACACGGTTCCAAAGACTTCTACACCTGGGACTTACCCGGGCAGGACTTGCACTCCACCAACTACCGTGATGCCTTCATGGGCAGGCCCTGCAGGCAACCACCAACGAGGCGTCGTTTCCCCCGCAAGCACCCCGAGCCCAGGGAGGGACAGCAGAAGCTGGACACGACAACAAGCGATTGGTTCCAGCCGCCAGACGTGCCATACAAGACAGAAACACAGACTCTGGTGTCTAGCAAGGAGCCTCATCTTAAACCCAACCCCTGGAAGTACTCCTACAAGGCATATTAATCAAGAGTTGTGGTCAAGTCCTCACAAGACTTTATCAGTCCTGACAGGTCCTCGCAAGTATTTATCAGTCCTCACAAGTCCTCATAAGTCCTCACAAGTCCTCACAAGTTCTCACAAGTCCTCACAAGTCTTTACCAGTCCTCACAAGTCTTTACCAGTCCTCACAAGTCTCCACAAGCCTTTATCAGTCCTCACAAGCTCACAAAAGTTCTCACGAGTCTTTATCAGACCTCACAAGCCTTCACAAGTCCTCTCAAGTCTGTACCAGTCCTCACAAGTCCTAACAAGTATTTACAAGTCTCCACAAGTCCTCAGAAATCCTCACAAGTTCTTACAAGTCCTCACAAGTCTTCACAGGTCCTCACAGTACAGACGAAGGTCATTAAGTCTCAAGTCTGCGAAATGCAAATTCCTTTGTGATTGTTAATCGACTATACTTGTGACCTACCTAATAATTTGACATGTGATTTTACTTGTAACTTGACTTGTGACGGACTCAACTGAAACTGTGCTAATAATCCTGCAAATTCCGGAATATACCTTGGATATTCCAAGCAGTTTGGATGAGCGCAGGTTAAATCTCTTCCAAGATGGTCACAAAGGGCATTTTTGGTCCTCCGCTAATGTGAGCTTTGGACTGCGATTTGTTTACATTGTGTACATTTTATAAATTGTAAACCTATGCAACTTTTATGGAGCAGGACGTCGTCAAGTGTGGCATTGTTTTATCAAGTGTGACCATGTGAAGGAAACACTTCTACAGTTTTACTGTTTGGTTATCTGAACAATTGTGAGATCTATTAAGTGTGCTTTGTTTAGATTGCTTTTTGCGATTGACTTTTTATTAAGGCTGTCCTATTGTTTTTTTCCCATCCTTTGACTAACAGGGTCCTTAATTGTAATGAATGAAAGATATAGCTCTCTATCACCTTTAATTCAAGACTGTGTGTAAATTTTCAATAATTTTAAGTTCAAAGTGTGATTTCAGTTATCAGACATAATTATCAAGTTTAGTGTTGGCAGTATGCTTTACCCTTTGTGTCTTTATGAATGGCTTCGGACCAACTACATGCAGTAAAAAAAAAAGGTGTGACTCATTCAGGCCTTTTTAATTAATCTTTACAGAAAAAAACGTACTTTTTTTTTCCAAAAAATTCTACCTCTTGAAATTTGTTACTTTTACATAAACACAAACTTGCCAGTTGAATATAATTGTAATCAGCATAATAAAACAAAAGATTGTGCAGTGAATAGGCCTACAGTATGTTACTGTGCACAAAGATGTCCCTTCGTTTTCACAGGGTAAATACCAGAAAGCTACTTAGTTTCCGAGATGTGTGCTTTTTTTGTGGAAATTACGTAAAGGCTGAACAATTTTCAAATGATTTTTAAAAGTAGAACAAAGAAATTGAACAGAGATTTCAGATGATTCAATTGCTTCCATTTCAATTTCACACCTTCCATTCTTCCAGCATTATTTGTACCACAATTTTACTTATTTTTATTGCCATTTCTTAATTGTAAATATATTGCTTATGTACATACATTACAACGTCAATTTTTAATGAGTATGGTAATTATTAAAAGGCTGAATTGATGAAACGGTTTTCGTCCAAGTCTTGCATTTTTGCAATAACTTTGTTGTCGGTTTCTGTGTTTGAAATGGGACTAGAATAACATTTGAAAGTTTCTGACATCACAAGACTTGCATCAAAGTGCAAACACAAGTTACATTTTATGCTATCAAAGTATACCGTTTTAATTAATATACTTTACATTGAAAGTAACCTCAATCAAACTCTAGTACCCTGTCCCCTCAAGTATAATCTCAACACCTCTTTTCCCCTCCACACGGGACCACCTCATCATCACTCCATGAATACAGACGCAAATGAAACAAAAAAAACCTGAAGTCGTTTAAACTTTGTTTTTATTTTAACATACTTGAGAGAATAAACATCTCCATACTTTATGCCCACTGTTAGGATTACAATTTTTAGGAGCAATGCAGAAAAATGAAACTTATTTTAACTATAATAAGTACAAGGATCATACATCAGCATTCAGGAACAACCAAATCATTTTTTTTAAAGGGAAACAAGTTAAATTTTAAAAGAAAACAAAATACAGTATTTTAATTAAAAAACTGTCTTGGAATCAGTCAAATGAATGGAAACACATTAAAATAACTATTTGTGCATTTTACTGTATCACAGCCTTGAGCCTTGACAGAAAACTCTTTTTTTAGTTTGTGGAGCTATTAAGCACGAAACGCTGCTTAGCAAGTTTACGTGATAAGCGAGTATGTGTAAGTTGAGAACCAGCCTCAAGTCTGAAGACGGAGTGAAAGTTCTGCAGGATAACTGCACGGGGGATTAAAGACAAACTAATAACATAAACATCGCAAAAAAATAAAGTCCACACTCTTTGGAGGGGTCATCATTTTGAATCTGATCGTCTTATGATGAAGTCATTTATATACATGTAGACATTTTGGGAATTTTGTTAGCTACATTTTGATACCCCATTTGCTATTGACAACAGTTTATGAAAAATGATGCAGTTTGAAAAGTTGCAAGTTTAAAGATTACGCGAGGAGAAACTGCTAAGCGCAAACACACATGCACAGTGCCCGAACAAAGCGCAGTTAATTTGATTCGCGCTCTCCCATGCATGCAAGCAATGTGCGATCGACATTCCCTGCCGTTCATTGTCACACAGCAATTTCCACTCGCGTACTCTTTAAATTTGCAACTTTTCAAACTGCATCATTTTTCATAAACCGTTGTCAATCTTGGACGATTTTACAGTCTTTGGTAGCAAACGGGGTATCAAAATGTAGCTAACAACATTCCCCAAAGGCCTATAATGACGTTATCGTAAGACAATCAGATTCAAAATGATGACCCCTCCCTCCAAAATGTGGACTTTCTTTTTTTGCGGTGTTTATTTTAGGTTCAACAAAATAGTACCTTTCATATGAATCAATCTGGGCACGTGACCACTTTACACTAACAAGGCCCCCTTCAATGGAGAAACCATCGTGCATGTTATAAAAAGCAATGTCTCCATGACTGATTATCTGAACAAAAGCTAGCACAATGCTTTCGCCATGAAAGGGGGCCTCCGTGATAGAAGTGGTGGTGTTCTCGGATCGGTCTATACCTTAGCACAATATCGAGTTTATCCGGATCTCTTTTGGTGAGCTTCATTTTAATATTTCAGTAAACGACACTTTGAACAAAACTCTTAGATTATCAATGAATTATCTATAACAAACTCCAAAATGATACAATAAAAAATGTCACAACAAGTTAACAACGCAAAGTGGTCCAACAGGGAAATATTGCCAAAATTATGGAAATAATCACAAGTATAAAATTCAAACAATTAAAAAAACCCAGAAGTTTTGCAACTTCAGAATGACTTTGTTAATAAGAAGACTGCAACTTAATATGCAATATTGGCCATCAGTAATTTTTTAATCCAAATACCTAGGTGGCTTGGTTATGGTAATTGCCTCTGTGCACAAGTACTCCCTCAATAGTTAGGAAGGGAGAGTTGGGGGAGACCACTGGGAAGGACATTTGAACACATTGCTGACGACGCACGTCGCCTATGCGAAGGCACTACATACAAGATTGTGTAGTGCATAGTTGTGCGCACTTTGTGCGATACACGCGCAACCGGTACGCGCATGCGTTGCGTCCCCCCCACTGGGGCGCCATCTCCTGTTCGCACACGGAGTCAATAAGAGTGATAAATATGTGCGTTAATAATAATTATGTGCATATTAATGATTTCCTCCAAAACACTGGCCTGTTATTCTTCACTCACCTCTTACATCTTAAACCATGAATTTGTACTGATTAAAAAAAAAAGGACTTATTAACCCAAATTCCCTTTGAATTTTCTCGTCTTAATCCCCTAAAATCACCACTGTGCAGAAAACCAATGGCATAATCTTTATATTAATATGTTCAAGGCTACCCACTCCCCCCCCAAAAAAAGTGGCTAGGCTCCACCTCCACTTTCCTGAATTCTGAAAAATCCTGCAAAACATCTTCAGTTCCGTTCTGTTGGCTTCACATGAAGAAAGCAACACTGATGTCCAGTGCTTGCAATATCTTTTTTTCTTCAATGTTATATTTTTGTTTACTCAATATCCCGTATTTGCACAATATTGTTCTTGAGCAGGACATTTTACTGCAATATTTTCCCTCCAAACTAATGAGCATACCATGTACCCTTCATTGGCTCTCGGGAGTATTTCGCTTACAATGATCACTGTGCCTGGCTGCAGATTCACCGTGTATATTCATGCTGTAGATCGCTACACTCAACACCTTTTTGGCAGTTCCCTGAATTTTATAATATGGACTTTCTGCTATAACTAAAGGGTTGATATCGATGCACAGCATATGCAGAGCAGTACATATTTTCAGCGAATAAAACGATTACTTTGAATAATTTTCGCTTTCACCGTACTTGTAACGACTAATTTTGGGCGCTGAAAAGCCATGGGAATTTATAGCCTTTTTGAGATACGATAGACACGATACCAGGGCACTATTTAAAGTAGGTAAATTGGATAAATACGAGAGTAGTTTACAAACTCTAAATAGCGCCCTCATATTGTGTCCACCATGCACATCAAATATGTGAGGCCTTCTCGCAAAATGAGACGAAATTGGGAACAGGCCTTACTGGGCAAAAAGGAAAAACCAAATGAGGGTTTTTTTTTTCTTCGATTTTCAGATTTATTGATATTTGTTATCTTTGATATGTCTACCACACGTTTCAAGATAGAAAAAAAAGTCTTAAAAAAATGTGGAATGAAAGTGTTTTTAAGGAAAAACAACTTGCATCTTTCAGTTCCACAACTACTAAGCTTGAAACTTTGAAAACCTTTTTCTCAGGTTTTTACTTTTCTGTCAATAAATGCAAACTTCAAACAGCCATAACTTGTCAATGGAATGCCTGATTAAAGTGCAACAAACAGTATTGTAAGGATAATTGTATTCTCTTTCTTAAAACCTGCAAACCCTCATTTTTCCCTCTGCCCAGTTCTGTCTCATTTTGCCAAAACGCCTAACAAGCAGTTACTCACTATAGGACGGTGGGGTTTTGTTTTGCCGATTTTGAGAGTTTTATCATTCGTGAATTTTCAGGCCAATAATCACCTGTAAGAAGATACACAGGTTTATTCCAGGAATTTCTCTGTGATCCAAAACAGTCCATGCTGAGGTTGATCGTTAGAAGCTGCTGTTTCTGCTGCCGCACACGGTTGGCCCCAGCCACCTCACATGATGAAGACCTTCTCAACTTGGTCTATGGTGAATTTCTCTTTCGTCTTGGGGCAGATTACCACCCCGTTATTTTCTGCAGCCATATTTTTGAGGGACTGTGAAGAAAAGGAAAAAAAAGTAAACACCTAGTGTGAAACAGATATAAAACTGAAAAGAAAATGGATATTAATGTTGCACTGGTTTAACATTATTGACAGATGATAAAAAAGTGATATTTTAACAAGACAAATAAAGAAAATATAATTTTATACTAATTCTAGACTCATGCTGTTTCAAGTTTGCAAAAGAAATTCACAATCTCTCAAACTGAAAGCTCTGAAACTGAGCTACATTACGCAAGTTCAAGGAAAACTCAACATCAAAATTTACATCCCACAGCAGAAACACAATTATTCAATTGACCTATCGCCGTTTGCGAGTTAGCCACGCCCCTTAGACAACCTTATGGAATTGTTGTGCACTAAGTTTTGTTTGTCTAAGATTTTGCGCATTCCGCGTCTATTTGATTATCATGTTATTGGACCATATTTCACAAGCTGCGTTGACACGATTCTAATGCGATTCTACCGCGATAGGTCAATTGTAAGTCATCGGCAGATTATGTTTTTTTAATGAAATGTGTGCACTGAGCTAAAATCAACAAAATATCCACACTTTTTAAAATTGTGCTGCTATTTAACTTACTAATTCTCCGTATACGTATCCATTTGGAAGCATCATAGGTGGATTGTGTTCATTCATTATATTGCCTGCAGATCACAGGGAAAGAGAAACATTTCCAAACATCATTATCTTAAACCTTTAAAGTTTAAATCTTATATTTCAAAGTCGATCACTTGTTTTATTAGTTGGTGACGAGCCCATGTATAAGGTATAGACGCATCTGAGCACATGATCACTACATTTAACCATGGACAATACTTGCTTAAGCATAGACAATATTTGCTTTGCAGAAACAGGTCACCAGCCAAAATATATTACAATGTATACTGGTCGTGACTGGTTCTCTGCTGATTTCTGCTTAAAAACATAAATTTGCTAAGCAGCACTTTCTGCTTAGCAGCAAATTTGAAAGTTGGCCCCTGGATGACTGGGGAAACAAAGACACTCGTGAACTCTGACCCGAACTCATGAACTCTGACCTGAAATTGTGCAGACTAGCCTGGACTGGGCACAGTGTGCGTAGGGAAGGTTCCTGGCCAACTCGTTCAGGTTCTTACTGCATACTGGGCAATCTGCATTCTTGTTGCTGTCACTATAACAGTGCCTAGAAAGATGCGTTATAGTCAAGGAAAAATTTTACAAAATGATAATGGCAGTTTTAAGTTTACGTATTGACAACTTGCAATGGAAAAATAATCCACAATATTTTCAAATGCAGCTTTTTGTGGAAATGTAATAAACACCTAAAATTTGACATAACATCATTAATTATGCACGAGGACATGCCTTCTCTGTAGTATATCTGTGCACATGTGAATATTTAAATTATTTGACCCCATGCGATAGGTCATAAAGACAATGATGCAATGACCGTTCTCTGACTCTATATCTGAGTTGGGATGACATGAAACCAATACACAAATTCAAAAATCAGAAGTTGTTTTGAGGATGTCGGAACAAGGATACGGTGTTTTCATTGCAGCCAATCCCGCCTCTAGCGAGACCGTTAAGACAGGGGTAATGTTCAGTTGATACAACTTGTAGTTCTCCTCCCTGAATTGGTCCACAATCTGCTGCCAGCGATGACCGTCTAGTAGCTCCTTCAAGATCAAAAGATCAAAAGGAAGGATCAAACGGAAGGATCAAATGGAAGGATTAAGGCAAAAAAATGAAAAAACAATTGTTTGGTTTGGATAGTTTTCCTCTATTCATTTACCCATTTGTGCTTGTATTACATTGTATTACACTGTATGAATTCAAAACCGACAAAACTGGGATGGTTTGAGGCGGTAAAATGTTGCCCACTGGCTGCTGAGCCTTACCTTATAATGCGAGACGTCCGTGTCTGCTGGGAACGCCAGAAGACCCATGACCCTCTGGACTTCGGCTAGCTGCTCCCCCTCCAAGGAGCCGAAGAACTTGCGAGCGTGGCGTACCGCCTCCACGCGCTTGTTGAGCAAGATGAGTTCAATGAACTCCTGGGTTCGTAGGTTGAATTCAAGTGTGCTCTGCAGAAGACAAGGATTAAGGACAGGTGTCAGTCCTCAAAAGAACAAGTTTTGTTTTTCCCATTTTATACAAAGTTGAAAACTTAGGACAGAACCGTAAAACAGCGACTCTACATTCGATGAATCTGGTGAAATTACAGTCGGATATCGGATATTAATTTTTCAACAGCTTACAATATTTGTTTTGAACGAAAACAGATGTGGTTATTTAAATTTTGCACTGAAATTGTATTCTAAGTCAACAATAAAATTGACAGTCGGCACATGACAGCTTAAGCTTAAATACAACTAATTATTTCTGTCTTGGCAGATTTTGCGTCTTATTTCTCCCTCTTGGGAGTCTCACCTTTATTTTTCTAAGTTTGGATTTGTTGTCGTGGCACCAGTTTAGGCAGGATGATGTTTCTCGTCTTAGTAGCGACTCCTCCACTTCCTTGGCTACTAGGAATAGCTCTATATTTGTTAGTTCCTGAACCATGAAAAAAAGACAAAACGCAGACTTTAAATTTGAAATTGGCACAATCTCTTGGTGATATGAAAACTGTGCAAAAAACCTAGTGGAGGTCCCAATCTCTGCACATGTGCGGAAATCGAGGTGATATTTTTTTCTTGTATGCATATTCGCCATGAACAAGGCTAAAAGCCACTCCAGGTACAGGGCTACAAGAGAAATAAAAAGAGTAGGTACTCAGGAAAACATTCCTCTTGAAACAGGACAGATCATAGGTTGAAGGGGAACAAGCACCACGCAAGGAATTCTAAAGAGATGCAGCACGTTGGGAAAAAGCTATTAGAATATCCCTTTTTGTTCTACATTTGGGCACTGCAACAGTATATGATGAGAACAGGCGAACAGCCGGGTTTCTCTCTCAAACACTCTGATTGGAGGAAACAGGTTGGGCAGACTAGTTGAACAATGACCAGTCGAACAATGACCATGAAAATAAGGTGAATCAGATCTAGTATTAGGAACTTCGGCATCTGTATCCATAAAATTCAAATTCCAGTCTGGGACCCAGACTACCTCTATATTAGAATGCCTAGCACACTTGACGGCTGTGTCGTAGTAGCCAGCTCTCAGGAAGTACTCCACCAGCATACGATCCACTCGCTTCTTCTTCCAGTAGGCCAGGGCTGCACCTGTAGATCCCTCATACTCCTTGAGATGCTCGAGACGGCGCTTGACCACTCGGGCACTGTCCTCCTCTTGGGTGATAGACTCGTTAGCCTGTGGGGGGGGGGGGGGGGAGTCCATCCAAAGTGGTTTTATAGATGGTGTTTAGATCATGAAATTGGTGGAGAAAAGTTCACATGATTCATTTCTGAAGTTCATGTTGACCACCTAATGGACTTCAGGTAGGGCATTACTCAGATCTTCCACAGATTTCAAGCAAACTGGATTTGTATCAGTTTCTTTAAAATCAATGCTTGATTATAGAGCCTACCTTTCTTTTGAGAGCACTTAGCTTGTCCACCATAGAGTCTAGAATGTTAACCACTGTTCCGACGGTAGTCGACGTATTCTCCAAGCATTTCTCCAATTCGTTGTGAACCTTAATATAATACAGTAAACAAAAATGTTTGGATGTTTTTACTTTCATAGAGTTTTGGGTTCAATTCACAAGTTGGAAAAACTTTTACACAAGACCATCACAAGACCATCACAAGACCATCACAAGACCATCACAAGACCAACACATGACCAACACAAGACCATCACAAGATCATCACATGACCAACACAAGACTATCACCAGACCATCACAAGACCATCACAAGACCAACACAAGACCATCACAAGACCATCACAAGACCATCACAAGACCAACACATGACCAACACAAGACCGTCACAAGACCATCACAAGACCAACACAAGACCATCACAAGACCAGCATAAGACCAGCACAAGACCATCACAAGACCATCACAAGACCAGCACAAGACCAACACAAGACCACCAGAAGACCATCACAAGACCCTCACAAGACCCCCACAAGACCAACACAAGACCATCACAAGACCTCCAGTCTTAATTCAAGTCACAAGCTATTCAAATGAACTGCAACAAAGGCATTCCTTTGTCATTGTTTGTGCCCTGTTACTTGTGACTGGTCTTGTGAATGGTCTTGTGCTTGCTCTACAATTGGTCTTGTGTCTGGTCTTGTGATGGTCTCGAATACAACACTGACTCATCCAGGTAGCAAAATCTGTGGATAGTAAATCAAGCGTACCATATTTTGTTTGACTATTGTATGTGTTGGGCGCGATCGGTCAATGTGTGCAATCAGTCAATCGCATTGCGCTTTTGGTCGATCATGACGCTATCAGTCGATCGCGCTGCAACCACTCGAAAACCTTTTTTTTTCCAATTTACGGCCCTGTAGGATTTTTTTTATAGGTAAGCAAAGTCTGAGATATCTGTTATGATCGACCGATGGCGCAGCACGACCAACCAATTGCGCAGATCGACTGATCGTGCCCAACATGCTACATACCTGCATCACATGTGAGACTTCTCTGTCAATTGTCTTCTGGCAGTTGCGAAACTTCTTGTTCAGTGTTTCATATGGTACCTGTATTATAAATATTATTTAAAAATTTACATCAGCATGATCAGTGTTATTTTTCATTATTATTAGTGTTATCTCAGTGTTATTTTTACAAAATTTTACATTTTATTTAAAGCGTTTTAGTTCAAGATAAAAGTCATCTTTGACTTTGTCTGACATTCCTAGCCAGAGAAACAGACCTAGGCCTACCAAAATAAAAATCACAAAATCATAACCAAATCAAAACCAAAATTAAAACCAAATTTTAATGACCTGTTCAACATCACACAGCACTACCCAAAACATACAGTTTCATGATATGTGATATGACCAAACTGGCATAGCCATGTTACTTGTTACTTTTTTGTTAGCAAATATAAAATTCCGTAAGATTGATGACCCCAGAACTTACTCCTAGAACTATGAGGCTCCGCGTGAGCGGAGCTCACGCGGAGCCTCATAGTTCTAGGAGTACCCAGAACTAGGTGTGATAAATTTGACACAGATTGACACATTTTCCTGACAAACCCAACCACGCTAATGTACATGGTATGACCCCAATTCACGGGCTAAAATACTGCTAACATAAAGTAACACTGCAGTAACAATCGTCACTTTCACTGCTGCTGGCTGTGACAGCGCCACATTGAAATGACACAGCACTTGAATTTCGAGATTGTTTTGCGACTTGACCCACCAGCTCCACCACTGTTTTTGGCGATACTGGCCAAGCATTATGGTTTTTAAAAGAGTCATCTGCATTCCTCAGTTACTAGACGAACGATCAGTGACTCAGTATTGCTTCTAATGCCCTCTTTATATGGAAAAAGCTCTAAAATACCTTCAATGTTGCGTGTTCCAGCGCCTTCAAGTCAGCCATTTTTGATAATGAATTATATACACGGCATTGCTCACTGTACCTTCGGATGAGTCCAGGCACCAGACGCACTAGACACCGACTAAATCAAACCAGACACACAAACAGATCTGAACAAACAAACAGTGCATAGCAATACATTACATTCTCTTGGCATTTAAAGAAACAAACGACAAAAACAAATAAACACAAAACGACAACAAATGACAAACCAACAGTTAATTGAGTGGGATGATACACAAACTCAGTACCACTCATTAAGATTAAGAAATTACCGACAAACCTAAAACATGTAGCAGGCTAAGAATTTATAAAATGATGGGGAAAAGATAGACAGATGGCCAGAAACTTGAACAAAGATTATAAATTAAATGCACAAAAGCCGTATCCGCACAAGTAATGAAACAAACTGACAAACTGAATTGAATGGGAATTCGGGGGGGGGGTGCTAACTTTAAAGGAAAATTAAAACTAAAAAAAAAAACTTTAAAAAGTAAAAGAAACAAAAGGTAGCACAGCGTTGTCTTGGGATATGTTTTCACTAATTAATGTTCTACTTAAGCATCAAGTAAAATGCGTATGCGTGGATTATAATGGTTTTTTTCTGGTGCCGGAAAAGTTTTCAGTAAACGATCGGGCTCACTCAAGTTCCTTTTTTTCGCGATTGCTACCGTCAGGTGGCGCTGTTTAAATTTGCCATTCTTATAGCTCCATGGTCAGATTGACCCGATCTTGGTCTATATCTGCACAGTCCTTTTCCGGGTCAAAAATGACACTTTTCTGGATCAAAATGATATACAAAAATGCAAATTTTGACCTGGAAAAGTGTCATTTTGACCAGAAAAGTATTATTTTGACCCGGAAAAGGCCGTGCAGATATCTCTCAGATTCTGGGTCAATTTCTGACCCGGGTTAGTACCGAGGCTGTGTTCAACGGTGTGAATTTGTAGCATTGTTTTTAAAAACGTTTCGGAAAACTGTGAACCAAATGTCAGAAAAAAAATCAAACAATACTAAAGGAACTTTTCTTATCATCACATCTTGGCCTATTTTTACAAGGCAGGCCAGGGTTCACTGAGATTGTAGCGCGGATCCAGGTTTGGCCCAAGATCAAGTTGAGAGGAGCTGTATAGCTGCCGAGACGGGGGGTTAACAGGCTGCGTTTTTCTGCATTATTTGCCATTTCTGACACCCAAAGAGGGTTTAAAGCCCCTACCCCGCCCCTTAGATCCGACACTGTAGTCTTTTAATAGAGGTGTGCTTAAATCACTAGAAAAATCGGAAATTTCTGAACTTCCCCGTAATGACTTGCGAGGGCGCCTCTTTGAACACATACGCAAAAGGGATCAAGTTTGTTTCTTCAGAATTACAGACCCTTGTTAATAATCTTCTCGGTTTGTTTTCGTAAATCGTAAAAAATCGTAATTGGCCTTAAAACGTATAAAACAAATAGCAAAGAAGAGAACTAAAAACCTGATTAAAATTACCCCGGCCAAATTCGTCACTTCCTTCGATATTACCATAACCCCAAGACCCTATGGTACAGACCTTTATTTTGAAGGAAGAAGTGTTCGTTTAAAGGGAATGTACATCATTGGCTTTTGCTGTAATTTTCAGAAATGAACTATTTGAGAGGTTAGTATAATAGATCAAATATTATTACACTGACATTTTTGAAGTTTGGTGTTCGAAAAGGTTGGAAAAACCAAGAAAACAAAAATGTTCAAGTAGTCTGGTTCCCTGACTCCACAAAAGATAAAATGGATCAATTTATAGATGATAGAAAATTGTAAGGCAAGGGAACCAGTCTAGCTGGCCTGCACCCGTTCATGAACATGTAACCAATAGCAAACCAAATTTGGACTGAAAAAAAGGTAAATTTGGAGCAGTAGTTGAAAAATAGTTTGGTTTTTCCAACGCTGGTCGGCCGACCACCGTTGGAAATGTTTACCAAAATACCATTTTCTTGAAAATGTCTTCACACCAGGTGCCATAATTTTACAAGATGCTTGAGACTGTCATTTACCAACATCCTAGTAAGGTATTTCGTAAATACTTGGTAGTTTTTTTTTCTCGATGTTTGCAAATGTTGCATATTCCCTTTAATTATGGTATTCGTCAGGCGCAGCAGGGTCACGGCATTTGAAAGACCTAAAAAGGGAATATCCACTTCATTTCCAAGCTGAAAGTCGTGGATTCGAATCCATATCGCCCTAGCTTGTGTACCCTGTGAAATCTCACACGAAATCATCAGGCGCACTGAAGTAGCACCCCGGCCCCCTAGCCCTCGGCCTCCATGATGGCCCCCTCGCAGCTCTGTGGATGAGCCTGTGGCGGCGGCCCTCAAATGGAAAATATACTTGCTACATGCTGGCAGGAAACAAGGAAAAATATTTAGATTACTTTTAACACGCCACACGCTCGTGTAAAAATGTAAGGTAAATGTTGACGTGATTGATATCCACTTAAAAATAAAAAGGGCAGGAACACCTCAATGGGAACTTTGTTTTTATTGATAAAAATAACAAGGTTATTTTATGTACTCCCAATTTAGACATCTGTCACTGCAATTTCTTAGCCCCCCCCCCCCCAATCCGAAACCCCAACCGGACTTGGTAAATAATGAAAATCCTAATAGTCTCGACGCGACCTGTTCGCCCACCAATATCCGGATCCCTAAAAATGCGCTTATTTCAGTTAATTTTGTATATGGTCCGAACGTGATTCATCCAATCCATAAAATTGGTTCAATTTTCTTTCACAAGTTGTCAGATGCTTGCTTTTTCAAACCCATTCAACCATGATGACATGCCGCTGCCGAAATGTCACTTTCAAAGTTTCATCACAATTACTTTGGGGGCCGGGGTAAAATCATGGATGAATAAGAACGAAAAAAATGTATGTATTATCAAACAAAATTGACATTATTATTTTTTTTCGTCGCATCTCATCCTTCAATAAACCTCCACCACAAAAATAGGCAACCATTTGATGTGATTTGAAAATTATAACGGTCGAAAGTTCACCGGATGTTTTTAATATGGCCAGGCTAATTTTGTCACCCGACGCTGTGTTCGCGGGAGGAGCTAATTCTGGTACCAACCATCCGTTGATCATACGCGCTAATCCATCCGTGTCCCACGGTGTCCTATAAAGGTCTTTGTGTGAAAGACGTGGTTTGGACGAACGCAGAACGGTACACATCGTTCGTAGTTGGAAACAAAGGTTTTTTTTAAACTGTAAATTGTGCGGACTATACAACAACAAAAAATTGAAAAATCATTACTATGCTTATTTATTTTTTCTTTGAAACTAAACTGTAACAGGAGGTGCCGGTTAGTCAACTTTGTGTCGAAAGAAACCCTGTTTTTAATTGAAATAATAATAATTCCCAATTAATTCTCAAGAACAAGTAGGGGCCTACTCTTGAGATGAAAAGAATTCCAAGCAGCAAATATTAGAAGCGAGCAGTTATTAATAATGCTGAGAGAAAATAGTGTGTTTATGGTCACCCGCCCTAAAAATTATCCAGGTAGGTAGGAAATTTATTCTGTTTTAAAACTTTTTTATATTTTGTCTGTCGGTCCTTTCTACTCACTTTGTTTATTGTAACATTATTCTGTCTAATTAACCAAAACAGATACAAAAGTCACAAAAGGAAGACTTTTTTTCAAAATATACTTCATTTTAAATTTTTGGCCAAATATGGAAATAAAAAAAATGTGTGGTCTGCACTTTGACCAAAAATAAGTCACATAGGTGGAAGGCATTTTTATTTTTAAAATTTACTTCATTTGAAATTTTTGGCCAAATGAGGCAATTATAATTTCGAGGTACCGTAGAAGTTGAGTACATGATACCATTTTTTAAGGCCTAAACTATTTGTTTTTCTCTTCAAAGTTTTTGAGAACGGCTGCTATTTTCGTCTCCATCCCTACCAAATGCTCAAATCATATGAAACGATCCTCTGACGTCAACTAAATTAACTGTACTCAATAAACAATCGATAAACAATTATTTACTAAAAAATAATAATACTGAACTTTTAAAAATTGAATCTGGTCGATATAAATCGCAACAACCCATCATGGCTCATCGAGAACACCGTATTCAATTCTAACCCCAACGTGCACGCATGGGCTTAGCAAAGTGCATGCATAATACACGCATTGGGTACCAAAAAGACTCAACGAGCAGTTTGTGCACATTGGAATACAAAATGAGAAAGCACTAGTACCAGCGCCATCGTATCTGCACTACGTGAGGGCAATAATTCCATTCCACCGGCCAGCGGTTTTCTTGCTTTTTTCTTCGCCACCATCGTGGCTTTGACCCACTTGTATGCGTGGGACCGTGGAGGAATATTCATGACCGTGCCCCTGTGGAAGAAGGAGAGAGAGCCAGTTCGCCAACGCCTCCGTCACCAGTGAGGCAGAGAAGAAAACCAAGGCTCGACGGCCGAAGAAGTGTTGGGAGTTGGGACCAGTTGTGAGATCGCGATAGGAGATAGTTGTGGTACCGTTGTGTGTGGTGTATACGTGTGTGCGCTCGACCTGAACCCTTTCCACGCACGGTAAAAAAAGAAAGCAAAAACATCAAGCGTGGCTTGTGTGTCCTAAAAAAACACAACAAAATAACCCACACACCACCACACCGTGTGGCCGTTGGCGTTTAGTCGACGGTGTCTTTGTTCGACTACATTGATAAAAAGGTGAGTTCTCTGGTATTTTCTCTGTGGTTCCCGTTACGTTTTTGGTTTTGTTCGCCGTCTTCCAATGTCGTTGTCTGGGCCTGAAAAATTGCCGCCCGTTTTGTTGGTGGAGTGAAATTAATTCGGTGCATGCACTCTGCGTAAATGGCGTTGTGTTAATGATGATCGGTCCCACTCCCAGCAAAAGTTAATCAAATTTTTGCTCTGGTACGTTGCCGCTGCCTCTATATGGTCAGATATGATTTTTTTTGCGTGTGTTCGCACAGCGGGAAAGTTGTGATGGCGGCTGAGTTATTTTTTTTCAATTTACGGTGGAGGGCATTGGCTGCTTTGGCATTGTTTTTAATTTCCAAATAGTGACCAGTCATGCCAGCGCCAGCTTTGATATTTCTCCCAATTCTGGAGCCTAGGTTGCAACATACAGTAGTGATCCTAGGATTTGTCCAGTCAGCCATTTGATAAAACTACAACATGTACATAATTCGTCATTTAAATTGTGGTTATAAATATAATTTTTATTGATTACTGACATTGCCTGTTTTTATCGTGATTTTTATGTTTAAAAAAAGTTCAAACGGAGTTTGTTTTGTGGTATATGTACATGTACCGTTGAAAAGGGTCAGTGCACACATCATGCGTGTGTGCACTTTGCATAAAATAAACATTGCATGAGAGTGGACTATCTGGAGATTTTATTTTAATAAAATAAGAGAATTTGAATAAAATAAACGAAGGAGAAAAGAGGCCTTTATACTTGAATGAAAAAAAGCGCGTCACCATCTTGAGGGTAGTGTAGGCCTATACAAGTTTACAAATTACACCATGTATAATATACTGGTACCAAAAATAAATGATACACAGTTTTGTATGGAGTAAAAAATCGCCAATTTCGCCATCTTTATTATTTTTCTTTGGATATCTAAATGAGACTGATGGCTGGCTCTTTACACACAAAGCATGTCGTTTAGTAAGGGCACCCATACCCTGCTTAATCACCAGCTTTGATTGTCTTCTCTTGCTCAAACAAGATGTTATTCTTTACAAAACAACGTTACCAATTAAGACTGGTTGTGGCCTCGAGTTACCGCGTATGTTATGAATACTTGAAACAACACAACAGAAGGAAGCAGGTTAGACTTGTTTCAAGGCTTCCTGACTAATTATATATTGTTGAGCTGAATCTTTGCAGCTGATCACAAACGTAGCCCTCTCCCCCAAAAGCAACATGAGCAAAGCACAAATAGCCTAGCAATGTTTCAAAACTTTACTGGATGGTTCAGCTGACAGTTGTAATGTGTTAAAAAAAAGAGAAGAAACAGGCCTACAAAATGAAATGTAATGTATTAATATGTACATACACCGGTATGCAAGAGTAAAATTGAATTATATTGGGGTGTCAGGATGCTACAAAATACATGAGTATTGTATGACATTATCTTTTGTACACTGGTTTTGACTTCCCAGTTTTGCTTACAACTTTGGATTTTGAATAAGGATGTCCGGAGCTAGATTTCTTTATGCCAGTAATACACAGAAATGAATGCATGTAACCCACATAATACATGTACCTTTTCCGTATCGCATCCTGGTTTAACAATAACATACAGAAATTATATGAAAAAATTAAATATGGGGAAAGTGAATTTTATGTTCATTGGTACAGTACATGTACAATACATTATACCTCAGTACTACATGTACATGTTGGGCCATTAACAATGCATGCAGTCACAGTACATGTGCACAACAAACCTACATGTGCATGTACCTGATTTGCATATGATGATACACTTCTCAAAGCATCGGACCTACAAATTAAAGTTAAAGACACAGTACAAATTTTTTTTTTCATGGAATGAGGGCTCAACTTGGAGTTAAATTCATTTTCTTGGCCAGTTTTAATTGACTCAGTATTTTAGGTGAAGTAAAAGGTTGCAAGTAGGGCTGGCTTTGTGTTGCTTCCTTGTAGTACTTATTAAAAATAATCTGCAGCCATTCATGTACACCACAACTGAGATTATGCAACCAAATACATGTACATTTGTACATGTACATGTGTGAAGCACCAAACCACCTCAAACCCAGACTACAGGTAGCATTATTCAGTTCCTTCTAATCCCTCTGCATCATGCATTGAATTGCATTCTTTCTACACACGTATGCAAGGACTGTACAGTATGTATGTACACATGTACTCCAGACACCAGTATATTTGAATACAGGCGAATTGTACGAGGATCGAATCAAAGGCAACCGTACACACCACCGGTTCATCGGAGTTGCATTCATGGGGAAAACAAGAGGCCGACCCTGCAGGAAATAATTGGCTTATTACAGGATTTTAATACGTCCCTCTCCTCCCCCCCCCCCCCCCCCCCCTGTAACTGGTGGCGATGTTAATGAGTGACATTGGAGATTGGAGCGCCGAGAAGCTGTACATGGACATACATGTATACTGGGACCACACTGAACACAAGACTCTAGAATCTTATCAGAGGCCTGGGTGGCCAAACTCTTGGAAAACTGTGTTTGCTGTAATGAAATGTGGTGAAAATTCCTCCTGACTTTTTTGGCTAATGAGTCTAAGATTTTCTATTCAATCGAGTATGTGATTTCATAAGATCTATCCATTTGAAAAGTAAGTGATCGTATCACTCATCTTCAGATATTAATGACACACTTTTTTTAAAAGAAGAAATAGAGGCTTATAAGCACAAATGTTTCATTTTGAAATGGTTTGGCCAACTACTTTCATTTGAGAGAACATGTACATATGTTGTTACGTGGTAGTAATTTTTAGAGATATTCACTGCACATGCTAGATCCTCAAACATCTCCAAAGTTACACCAAAATAAAAAAAATCTACATAATTTTTAATTGCTCTGTTTTGTCAGAATTAGGGTCAGGGAACCAGACTACAAGAACAGCATTTTTTTCTTGTTATTTTTCCAGCATCTATGATCACAAAACTTTTAACAGGTCAGTGTAACAAATATGTGATTTAAAATACTAACCCCCAAATCCATCCATTTGTGAAAATTACAGCAAAGCAAATATTGTATTACCTTTAAAATTATGGCAGTGGATTTTGACTGCTCATTTGTTGGGATTGAATACGTTGAGTCTCAGGTGTATGTATATTGCGTAGCTTCATAACAATAGTTCATCAGCTACACGTTGATAATTGGTAACAAATTGAATTGCTTGAAGAAAGGATTGGAAAGGAAGGATTGATTTTTCTACTCTGTCCAATGCACATGAAAACAACCATGAATTAGAATGTGGCTCCAGCAAAACCATTTAATGTTTGTTATGACTCCAGTTGATGAGCAAGTTTTTTTGTACACTTACCTACCACATTGTAGTTATTCAACTGTGACATGTTCTGTGGGGGGGGGGGGGGGGGATGTATGCAGTGACTATTGCCATGTATATAAAAGGCATATTGAATGAATGATCTGCACAATATCCAAATCAGATGTTCTTCCAAGGAGGGATAAGACATCGTAATTGTACATCACAAATGGAAATGGGATCTTTATGATCATCTGACGGGCAATTTTGTCGTCAAAGAGCATTTGGACTACCGATACAAACGGTCCAGCAGGCATAATTTTGCTTTTTATCATGTTGATTATGGGTAATACATTGTACACGATGCACATAAAAATTTCATATACTGTACATGTATGGCGGGACAGGGAAAAGTGATTAGTTTTTCTGCACGTCGTACAAAATGCCTGAAATCCTTGGTTGTATTGTTTGCACGGGCGTTCAAGAGATTCTGCCATCGGAAGATTGGCTGTGTGGTTGGTGCAATAATAACAATTGTAAATGCCATGGCAGTGCTTGTACAGTATCGATGTGGACCCCCAATAGTGTAAAACCCTCAATTCGTTGGCCAGTTTGGGATTATTCACTGCTAAACTTACACTGTGTTTTATCACAACAGGGATGGATCCAGGAAATTGTTTTAGAAGAGTGAGGGGCCAACTCTAATGTTTTTGATGCAATTGAATCTGGACCGTGCTTGAGCTGTCTACCTTGATAATGTATACGGAGTGTCTAAAACCTTTACCTTTTGGACTGAACTAATAAAAAGTGGAGCTGTAAGGCATAATGTAAACATGATACACCTATTGACATCCCATTTGAATATCTACATCCATGCAAATGTTTAAGTTGAGGCCTTCGTTTGCTGTCAGTCACTAAGCAGCTTTTCCCTTGGTGCCCTCCAGAGATGCGCCCAGGCAAGACAGTGCACTGCGTGCTCGACTGCACAGAGCGCATCACCCAATGATATGCCTGAAAGAAATAGCCAAGGACGTATCGTGCATAAAGCGTTGTTGGCAGCACCCACCTGCAGTACATGTGGGTACACATCTATTAGTGATTCAAGATGGGGATGAGACAAGACAGTCTTGGAGTCTTCTCAGTACAAGATGGTGCACTGATGCAGTGGTTGGTGGTTGGTAACGGCACTCTTGGTGCCAGTTCATCTTCTGCATGATGAGTCTCATTTGATACAGTCTGGAGACAATTACCACTGTCATTGTATCAGGGCGGTTTGGTGTTCCCTTCCCTTTTCTGATATCAAAAACTAGCTTTGAGCGTGCAGTGTGCTTATATAAAATATAAAGGATGGAAGATTTTGAGGATGGAAGATCTATCCAAACAGTCATTGCTGAGTGACTTGGACTTATATTTACCACCCATAAGGATTCATATGATTTGACACTTTATGAACTGCTGGTTCAAAGGTACCGGTATCTAAACATTTGAAGATTTTATTTCCAAACGCGATGTATCCATTTGAAAAAAGAGGGGGAAAAAAACCACGTTTATCACAGTTTAAAGAATAAAAACAATATAACAACTGTTTCTAAATTTAATTTTTTCACTTTATTGTCTTTCGAAATTGTGTTGAAACGATATTTTGGAAAAAGATATTTTGGAAAAAGACTCTTCATTGCTGTAAATCAACAATGTATGATTTTAA